TAATAGTATTTAGATTATAAATAAATAGATAAATTAAATAAATAAATTAAGTATTAAAATAATATCTATAATACTATATTAACTATAAATAAAATAATTAGGTAAAAAAGTTATTAAGTGCCTAACTTGCCTATAATATAGTATATAATAAAAGTATAGAAATAACACCTTTAGCAGTAAACTTTAGATTTACCCTAAACCTATACTATATAGCGCAAGAACTAAAAACAGTTAACCTAGCCGCTATAATTAAGAGTAAAGACCTAAAAGCTTTATATAAGGAATTAAGGAAAAAATTAAAATTTATTAGAAAATAAATAAAAAAATACTATAATATAAAAAGGATTAAAAGACTAACTTTCTTAAAGGGAAATATAGTCTACTTAGCTATAAAAAACATTATAATAAAATAACTAAGTTATAAATTAAATTATAAATATATTAGGCTATATAAAGTTAAAAGAAAAATCTTAGAGAATAATTATAAACTAGACTTACTATTAAAAGTTAGGCTCTATCTAATCTTTTATATTATATTACTTAAATTAATAGCTAATATAATATAAGTTAAAACTAATAATAAACTAAAAGAAATTAAAGGACTAGAAGTCTATAAAGCAGAAGTAATTAGAGATATAAAGAGAATTAATAAATAAATAAAATACCTTATTAAATAAAAAAACTACCTAGAAAATAAAAGTATATAAAACCATTAAAATACCTTGCTAATACTTAATAACTCCTAAAGAATTTCTACTAAAATTAAATAAAGGCAAAGCATTAAGGAAATTATTACCTAAACTAAAAGCAAATTAATTTATATTATTTAGGATATAATTAGTTTAAAGATCCTTTATTAAGGCACTCTTATAAGTATCTAGTATTAATAAGAGGTTATTCTGCTATTTTACCTCTTATAAACCCTAATAAGTAGCCTTAAAGTATTTCTCTTTTACTTTACCCTTAATCTTATAAATATATAATAAATAACTAGCTGCTGCAGTAAGATAAGACTGCAAGGCAGCCATCTCCTTATAAAGCCTAAGCAAGTCTTTACTTACCTTATTCTTATTATTTTCTAATTTCTTTTCTTACTTTATTAGAGTTATTACTTAAGAAAGTCAGTATATAAAAGAAATAAATAAAAACTTATAATAACCTATATAAAGAAGTAACTTATATACTATTACAGGATTTTTTATTTTAAATATACTTATTATAATAACTAAAGTCTAGAGATATTATATACTATTTATTTCTATAAAAATAGTAAGTATAAGATATTTCGGCTTTATCTCTAAAATTATAAATAGAATTAATAAGTATAATAAGCTTATATTCTTTATAAATTTACTTAAGTTTTTTATTAACTTTATAAGATTAATAGGATTTATAAAAATACTATTTAGAGATATAGTTAGATATTACATAATATAATAATAAAAGAGTTAAATTAGGACTAATTAAAAGAAAGATTAAGACAGCCAGGATAACAGGTCTTAAGGGCAAGACCTAATAGAGGGAAGAGATTATATTACAACCCTAATAGTTATATTACATATACCTTATAAAAAATATATAAGGCGCTAGCCTTAAAAGGACCTAGCTATGCATTAACTAACTAATTAATAACCTTATTATATTAAAATAATAAATATTAAAATATAATAACCTAGAAATGCAGCATTTTAGGAATAACTTATCTTAAGGACTTATTATTCCTTATATAATTACTTTAATATATAAAATATACTTATTAGTACTTTTATAAAACTTAGCTTACTAGCTATTAATAAGACTTCTTTACCTAAATATGCCTAACTTACTTTATTTACTATTAAGGGATATAATACTTTATAACTGCTTAGTATAATGCCTTATAACTTTATAAATATTAAACCTAGTATAGACTAGTTTACCTATTTAAAACCTATTTTATTATAATAATATAAAGCTTATTTTTATATTTATAATTATTAAAAGCTATTATAAAATAAGATATTAAGTTAAGTTTTTTAATATAAAAGGCCTTATTAAGTAATTATAAGCTTCTTTAAATAGGTAATATAATAATATAGCTATAATACTATTAATAATTACAGTTAGGATAGGGAAAGTTAGGTTAAATAACTTATTATATAATAAATAATTAAAGTATGCCTTTTAGGTAAATTATAAAAAGAAGGTTAGGGCTAGCTAATAAGTAGGGCTTTTTAACTAATATATATATAATAAGGTTTAGGCTATAATTAAAGTAGCTAATTATAATAATTTAACTTAATAAAGCTTTATTAGTTATAAGGGTAATAAATATTTAAATTATATTAAATTCTAAAAATACTTATATATACCTTTTAAGGCTAACTTATAAACTTAAAAAAATAATTATTAACTTAATTATAAAACCTTTTATCTTATTAATAAAGCTTAATAACCTAATAAAGTATTAACTTTTTATTTTTAATAGTTATAAAAGTTAAATATTTAAGTAATTCCTTTTTAAGTATTATAAAAATATTATATATCTATTATTCCTTTTAGTATATACTTCCTGTATCTTATTACTATTATGTAACGGTTGCATAAGCCGTTAAGCCACAGGGCAAAAGATCGGGCCATAATCGCTATGCAAGCAATTATAGGTGTGCCACAGCTGCCTTATAGAGCCTTATAACGCTGTTACGGGCACAAATCGTAACATATTAAATATAATAGTATTTAGTCCCCTAAAGCGTGCCTATTATCTATATATTAAATCTTGCTTGTATTATAAACTCGAGCCAGATTAGTAAGACTTTATTCCTTTAAAATTATAAAAAAGCCCAGAAGGAAGCTATCACGAAATCCAATGCCTGTACCGGCTTTAAAGTAACCGGACTATAGCCAGTTAATCTGGCTAAAGTCCTGTTAAACCCGATGGTTAGAGAGATGCCGTCTCCCGCTATTGCAGCGATTTCGCCCACAAAAGAGTAGGATTTCTGTCTGCAAATAACCCCCTGTTCATCTATGCAAGTCCAGAAGGTTCCGGCAACCATACAGACAATCGTTACAAAAGATCCGGCTATCAGGCTGCTGTTCAGGAAGATCGGTAGTTAATTGGACCGTGAAACGAAGGGAATAGGAAGGAGATATCACTATTACAATATCAGAGTGAAGAACTTCAACCAAAGAAGAAGCGGAAAGTCACCTATAACGGCAATGTCGAGTTCGTAAAGGTGCCAGTAATAAAGAAGGCTTATAAACGATATAAAGATCATACAACCTGTCAGAACATCAACACAAATCAGAAAGTTAAAATTAAGCAACCTCCGCAGTCAGGTCCATTTGAACATTAATTAATGAATTTTTTTTAAATTAATTAAATTGTGTTTCATTATGCTGTGGAAGAAATCCGTTATAAGATCGTTTTTTTTTTTTTTTGGTATTGTGGAAAGGTGGCTAGTTATAGGGTGACCAACGTTATGTCACGGATTACTGCAGTAACGAGAATAAACGTGTACCTTTGCCCTATTACACTACAGCACAGTGGTTTGCTCTAATAGTTCGCTTTTTGTTTTAATAATCCAGTGATGATCCTTTGATGCTGTAATATGATAAGACAGGATTTTCCTGGTACGTTTACTATCTAGAAATTGACGCAAGTACCCTCATCTACGTAGACTTCTCAAGAAATGGAGACAGCTCCGCCAACTCCCTCTTGTGCTCTCCCTTCTCAATCATATCATTAATTGTTTTCTGTGCCACCTTGAAAGCTTCAACACCCGCCGGAACACCACAGTAGATAGTTGCGTGGAGAATGGACTCGCGGATCTCAATCTCGGTGAGTCCGTTGTTCAGGGCACCGCGCACATGGACGCCAAGCTCGGGCCAGCTCTTGAGGGCAATCAACATGCCAAGATCTGAGATTAGTTAGATTAAATGATGGTATGGTGTACTGGAGAATAGGCATACTCAAGAGACTGCGCTGCTTGCGATCCAGGCCCGGCCGAGACCAAATATTACCCCAACACCACCTTTATGCGCGTTAGACGAGGCGACTAACAGGCCCCTGAGGCATGATCTAACTTACTCAGTAACAAGTTGCTGGCCAGGGTAGGAGAACTCGCTCTTGCCGTTGTTGAGGGCGGCGTCAACGTAGGCATTTCCAACGACCTCACGTCGGTTCTGGAGGCCAAGCTGGAACATGTCCGTGTGAAGGTTATCGAACTTCTTCTCGGTTGACATGTTGTTATGGTTTTGGAAAGTATAAGATTATTTTGCAATCGTGTTTGACGGTGCTCGGAAATCGTGGATAATAACTCTCGCAGCGTCAGTTTTATGGTCCTCTATGGAGGCGGCCATTTTCTTTTCTGCTCCAACGTCTCGGGATAGCTAGTCCGGCCTCTCCCGTCCTTCTATGGATGCTTGGGGTAACTAGCACGTCATGAACGGTTATCTAATGGTAGTTGCCCCGCATCTAGAGATGATACTGTCTCGCGGTAGAATGGTTTGTTCCGCTACTTCTGAAGACCGGAAGTTACTGGGTTCTCTAGCTCGTCTATCTGGACAGTCTAATGGGCTAAAATGATTGATCCTCAGGGTTATGGGAAGATATTTAAAACCCAAGAATCTATGTGAGATCGAACTTGTGTCTAAATAGACGTAACATGGAGGGTATTGGACCATGAGCTTGAAATTTGGCAGAATCGACCCTCTTGTCACCGCGGAAGTCACCTGTCGTAGGAGAGTTAGTAGACAGATTATCCACTATCTCTATATAGCTAGGCGTTCAACAATGAACAAATAGCGATATGGTATTACTTCTTTGGTATTCAGGGTCTTTCCATAGCTATAATTCATACACAGATACGGTGCTAAGAAATAACTTATTGTTTATAACCTCGTATTATTCTAATTTCACATATACGTATACGCCATATTTCAGAATTGCTATAAGTGGCGACGGATCTTGATATAAGTCTAGCTTGAATTAATCTCTACTTGTATCGTCCTTTTTGTGCCTAATTCTTCAGATCCCTACGCGGCAACTGGTCTCCATTATCCTCACTAAATAGTCGGTAGATACTCCTAAAGTCCTTATCACGACACTTGTCGTTCTCTACAGCGCAGTCATACATGTCCCGGACCACAGGTGCCAGCAAACTCTTGGCCCCAAGCTGCTCGCTCAATTTCATCGCCATCTGGAGGACACCGTGACAGAGCACAGTCGAGAACCCTCCCTCAAAGTCCTTTGCCGAAGAAGCCACAGAGGAAACACCCTTGACTGGGTTTTGCTCGCGGCTATTCCGCGACATGCCGGTGGAGCTATTGATAGCACTAGCAAGTAATACAGGATCCAGGCCGTAAAGTCGACCCATGTTCATGCCTTCACAGACTCCAATCATGTTGACGGCTGAGAGGTAATTGTTGATGAGCTTGGTGACCAACCCGGCACCAGCTTTCCCGCAGTGGAAGAGATTCTCCGGGTTGCCCATGAGCTCGAGAGTGGGCTTGGCTGTCTCAAAAGCCTCTGGGCTGCCTCCCACCATGAAGGTCAGTGTGCCTGCATTGGCACCACCTTGACCTCCAGAGACAGGGGCATCTGCGAACGATCCCAAGTCGGAGGCTTCCACGGCGGCAGCCACTTCTTGCGATGTCTTGACATCGATAGTTGAGCAGTCGATAAAAACCTTGCTTCCCAGCTTCACCGAGCCAGCCACTGAGAGGAGGCCAGTCTGCGGGTTTGTGAAAACCTCACGAACGTGCTCGCCACGGGGCAACATGGTGATTATTATGTCCTGTTTGAGTTTAGAGCTATGATCAGAAGGCTGGAGGTGTCGTTCTACTTACACTCTTCTCAGCTATCTCGCGTGGACTATCCACAACTTGAATCTTGCCCGCCGTTGATGCCACAAACTCGTCTCGTCGGGGCTTGTTGACTTCGCAGACATACAACACTGAATCGGCTGGGATCTTAGCCCTTAGGTTTTTTGCCATGCCCCATCCCATGATACCAAGCCCAATGAAGCCAAAAGACTTGGCCGAGATGCCATTGGATGAACCGTTTGTAGTTGCCATATTGAGTAAGGTATGTCGCCAATGACGCTTGCGGCTTGCGATAACTCTGGTCTGCCACAACCGGTAAATGTCTTATATAAATGAAGATTTTATCTTGACCAAAGGGCTCTAATGCGGAGTATCCCTATCACATGATGATCGCTGTGGAGATATCTAATGATGGGGATTTTGGGGTAAAAACTCCAGCTTCGTAGCTTAGAGGGGCTTAGGGTAATCAAACTTATTTCTCTTGATGATCTATTCAATCGTTAACCATCATTGGGATGACATGTATAATTATTTCTACAGATAAGTTTCTGTTTGGAACGTAAGAGTTTGTTCGGCTCTCGAGCTTGGTACAGATATTGCTAAAGGGTTTAAGAATGGGATTGCTTGACATGGAAGCATCCCGTCACGACACAAGTGACACGTCTTTATTTCGAATTTTCCCTCCAAACAAGTGTAATGGAGAATGATGTGAAAACATCAATACCAGCGAGAACGAAAATTTTCAAAACAATAGCTATTTACAGCGCCGTAACACCGTTCCGAATAGTGAATTGGATAGCCCAGTGTCGGTCGCATTGCCCAGTGCGACTCAGATATGATTAAAGATATGAAGCTTGTAAGCCAGCAGAACCAAGCCAACGCCATGCCTACCTATGCCAACATGTCTACTTCTTCCAATCATCAAAAAAACAGCTGAAACGTATCATGGACAATGTTGAAGATCAAAGCGAGCAAGGTCATGCCGTCAGGGGCTCAATGGCGACAAGTCGTCAAGCCAAAGCTTCGTCTGCTGACCTGCACTTTATCGCTGATGTTATCTGACACGTTGCCCCTCATCGTCCGCTTAAAACAGGTTTATCATACGTAGTATATAATGCCGACTCGCGACCTCTCAACATTGCGACATGGATGATCTGTGGAATTTTTACGAGGCTTTTAACAAACGCCTCAAGAGATTGCACGTTAGCGGGGAGTACCGGTCCGAGGAAAGCAGAAGAACTAAGGCTTTCGCCCCCTTTCAGATCGGTGTTAGAGGCACGCAGGCCCGTGAGTGTATTTATGGGTCAATCGTAGGCTTGGATACCTTGCAGAGTCGCCCTGAGATGAACTTCACTTCTAGATTATTTTTACAAGCGAGCATGATAGATGGGTGTGTACCTAGCCTGAAATGATTTGGGGTAAATATTTTGGAAAAGAGTCGAGTGGTATCTTAGGTCTCTAAGTATGTATGCAATGTGACCCTTGACTGCGCTCCTGGAGATCAATACTTTCGGCCAATTCTACCGAGATTGCGTTCCAACATGTCGCTTCGGTCCAGACCACCGAATTCCCGCTTGTATCATTCCATTGCTGAGTTGTGTCGAGCTCGAAAGCTCGGCTGACTCGACCGTGAAGCGAAACCGGTCATCATTCTGTTCTTCTAAGCCCCTCTCTTAGTTGTCTATGGCAAAGTCGCTCCACTGAGTAACGGAGGAAAAGAGAGACAAGGCAAGATTAAAGGCGCATCATTATAGAGACATGGCCTTAAAAAGAGGTTGATCGCAGTATACTATAAAATGGGAGACAAAGGCGGAGAATGGAGTAATCAGATAGTTATGTTGACTGGGCTGAGATTCTAGACTTTTCTCCGCATGGTTCTCAACATCTTCTTCATGAACCCTTCGTTCCAGTCCGCATCATCAGCGGTCTCCGTTTCCTCAAATTGTCGCCTGCCTGTATGCAAGTCCACATCTGCTGCATTCCAGAAAGTTGTCTTCTTAGTAATTTTCCAAAAGGTGATATTGAACATGAACATGAACGATCCAAGATACTTAAGAATGAAAATATCAACTTTAAAATAGGGAATGAATGCATCATAGCCTGGAATGCCAAAGTTATGGTTAGCGTTAGGAAGATAACTTATGTGGCTGTGGATTTCTTACCATTGAACACAATGACTAAGAGGGAGATGAATAATGCAAAGTAGGACCCGTATGGCTGCAATACGCCAACGTAGGGCAGGTCGGTGGTCACTATGCCTTGAGCTTTGAGAGCTTGGCGAAAGCGAATGTGAGAAATAAGGATGGCCACCCAATTGAGGACAGCGAAAACGGTAACCAGGCTTACTAGGTAGCCAAACACGGTCGATGAAGATTTACTCGCATTCATATAGCCAAGGCCGATAAACATGCTCGTAAAAGCGACTGCGAAAATAGGATTACCATTCTCCCGTGCTCTCGCAAAGATCCGTGGTGCCTGGCCATCTCTTGCCAATCCGTAAAGAGACCGAGAAGCGCAGTAGATATCTTAAAGTTGGTTAGCTATAACAATTACGACACGCCGGGTTGTCATATTCTTCCACTAACCTGAGCTTGAAGCGCTGAGTGTAAACACCAACAAACATCCGTTGATGATGTCGGCAAAGACACCAACTCCGGCCGAGCTGACTGCGACGACAAATGGAGAGGCAGCTATCCAGATGGTTAGCGATACTATCTCTTACTTGGAACAGAGTCTAGACAAACCTCCGCTTGTTGCTTGCTTCGTCGCGCCGATAAGCCGCTCATTGTTGTAGGGAACAGCCATGCCGAGCACCAAAACACCGAGGATATAAAAGCATGCGATTCGCCAGAAGGTCTGCTTGATTGCTCGAGGAACATTCTTCCTTGGGTTGGGAGTCTCCCCAAAAGTCATGCCCACAACTTCTGTGCCCTAAAACATATCATCAGTTGAGAATGCACGAGATGCCTGATAGCAGGGGGGCCAGGCTTACGGTGAACCCGAAGCAAGCTTGGCAGCAGCAGGCCCAGAAGCCAAGGAACCTTCCCTTTGGTCCCTCAAGAAGGTATTCTGCAAAAGCACCAGGGTCTCTCCAGTATCTGAATCCCGATCGATCATGGTTCGGTCCGCCCCCCATGGCAACAATAAAAGTCGAAAGGATGAGTGTTATCATTATAAGGATCTTGGCAAAACCGAGCCAAAACTCGGTTTCGCCAAAGCTATTCACATGGAGGACCTGCATGGAGTCAGCTTATGTTAACTGGGAACGATATAGTTGCTTAAGAATGCTTACATTAACCAAGACAATGGCAATTCCAAAGACTGTGATCCAGATTGCCACGTTCAAGTCAGGTCTCCAGTATTGAATAACCAGCCCGGCAGCTGTCAGGTTCGTTGGTGTTGCCATGATATATTTGAAGAAGTAGTTCCAGCCGGTCGCAAATCTTTACTCTATAGTTAGCTTTGCATAGTGGTATTATGTCGAGAATGAATGTGATCATACCCAAAAGCCGGATCGACCATCCGAGTAGCATACCCTCCAAAACCCTTATTCATAGGGAGAAAGGTTGCCATTTCTCCCAAAGCTGTCATAACAAAGAAGACAGTGCATCCGACCAGCAGATAAGCAATTAATAGGCTGCCAGGGCCTCCTCTCGAAAGAGCGGTTCCAGTGCCAATTACCAGTCCTGTACCGATTGCACATGCAATTGAGAACATGAAAACCTGATGGGGCTTGAAGTCTCGTTTCAACTCATTTGTTTGTGTCGACTCTCCTTGAGTCTGAGACTCGACCGCTCTCAAGTCGTCGAGCTTTTCCTTATTATTGTCGGCCATGGTAGCTATGAGAGAACAATGAAAAGGTGGGATTTGGATGTCTACGAGATAGAAGAGTCTAGGTAGATTTTGTTGAGCCTTTCTTTATAGGAACGTTGATCTTGATTTCCCCCAGACTTGTCGCTAATTGGATGCGGTTATAGGCTACCCCGAATTATCATGTAATCGACTCGGCGATAACAACCCCTCCGGTTAGGTTTCCGATGGAGAATCATTTCTCGGCCACATCCACCGAATCGATGTCACTTCCTCGCATTCAACCTTAGACATATCGGACTACTTGGCAATTGGTTATCATATCATTCTCTAGCAGCGGAGGCCCCACCCACGGTTTATTTCTTATAGAGTTAGGCATATGGGGTGACAACGGCTTAGCCTGGGGTGTAAAGGGGATGGTGTGAAAGCTTGAGACCCAAAGACGAATACCCCAGCTTTTACGTAATCATCGACAGCTGTCTCTCTCGTAAGACCCCACAAAGGATCCTCATGTGTCATGGATTTCTCTTCCCCACACTGAGTGGAGTAATTAATGGCCCTGGGTGAAATGGAGTACTTAGGGGCTGGGGAAGTGGAGTAATAAATCGAGTCTGGATTATGTCTGGAGTCGAGTCTTGTCATGAATGTCTTTGCGGACTGTTCTGAAATGAAAAGTCAGGGGTTTTCCACGGAAGATAGCTTTTCCCATGCAACGAGGCTATACCCTGACAAGGAGAAGCTTGTAAAAGCTTGGGTTGATCAGTATCTCCACTTGGGTAGTATTGTTACCTCCCATGTGGAAGGCATTCATAGTTTTCTTAAAAGCTATGTAAATATATCTATGTTAGATCTATTTATAACTTCAGGTGCTATTATATGAGCTATTACTAATTAGGTCTATTAGCTACAGTCTAATCAAGCCTAATAGCAACTTTAATAACCAAATAAGCTTTATATAGCTCTATATAGTGCTATTTAGGGTAGGTATCTTTTAAGGCATTAAGGAAGGCTAAAGAGCAATGAAAGCGGCTTTTGGATACTAGTCTTAATTTATATTCCTGCACTGGCGTTTTTATATAAATACCAGGACTATCTTGCGCTTACTTACTTTAAACCTTATAAGAATAATGTCAAGTTCTTCTTCTTAAGTTATTTCTATAAGCATTAGCATCTTAAGCGCTCAGGGCAGTAGCAGTTATATCCTAAGCCTTGTACTCGCATAGATGCAAGGGCTATTATATGAAATGTGCCACAGTCAATAACAAAAGGACTATTGAGCTCCTTTAAAGCCGCTGAGACTACAGAAAAGGCAACGGCAAAAACCCTGCTAAAATACAGCAAATGCCATGAAATTAGTCACAAAATGAATTCAAAGGCATGCCCCTTGCGGAATCAAGAGCACTTGGAAAAGGTAGCAATAGAGGCATTGGCGCCGGCAGTGACATCAGCACCGGAAGTACTCGCCGATTAGCCAGTGACTATGACTAGAGCCTTGCAAGACTCGCCAGGTGACGCCTCTCAGCGGCCAGGATCCCCTATTCATAAATCGTCTCCTTCGTCATCCATCGCCATCGCCATCGAGGTACGACTCGCCACAGGCCATATATGGAAGATATGTCGCCGCAAAAAGCGCGTAATACGCAGCACAGCCGGCCAGTAGCATCAAGATAAACCAGCAATATCGCAGGGCAATAGGGCTCCTACTCAGGTATGACAAGCAGAGTTACGAGTGGTGCCTGGACTACAAATAGATATCTAAGCGCTATATTATATCAATAAGGTAAGGAGAAGGGACGAAAGAAGATATAATAGCATATCTAGAATAAAATAAGGCTGAGGATGAATGAATTAAAACCCAGGTCGCTAAAGAGATGGGAGACATTCTTTTGACTAGTAGAAGAAGGGGCATTAAAGACGTTTGGGGGAGAATAGAAGCGTATAGTAAGGAATAAGAAGATTTGCACTTAGCTAGCCGTAGTACAGAAGACTATATTATTGTTGGAAGTCATGGGTGTTAGACGATCACTCGATGGCAAAGCCCTAAAACATTCTCCGGCTGTCATAGCTGTGTATTATTTGGGTAGCTCTTCCTACGCTTTACTTCTCTGAATTACGCCACTTGAGCCTTCCCATTTCAGCAATCATAGTCGAAAGGTAGCTTAGCATTCCTGATAAGTCAAGTCTAGCAAGTCAAATTGGCGAGCCAAATCAAGTCTTGCAACCCAAATCAAGTCAAGTTCTCCTCATTCAGACTTGCCAGACTTGCAAGTCATGTATGGCATCCAGCTTTCCCTACATAGGGTCAATTGGCCCCGGCAAGTGGCCATAGTCAAATATTGGTTCTGGTGATAATCTTCTTGGTGGTGTTGTCTCGTCGCCACATTATTTGGGCACCTAGGTGCCCATGTATTGGCCGCCGTCTCCCAACATTTGGCGCGACTCGGCATCTGGCTCATGTGGCGCCGTCGCGGTCTGACGCGTTGCTCAACAATTTCACCAAGAAGACTTCGTCACTCATCAATTCCTTCCCCAATTATTGAGCTTTCGTATCGAAACTATGGATACGCCTTCGTCAACTGCCCATTGGCATTCTTGCGATTTTACCAATGGGTTGACCGCTGGAAACGATGTGTTCTCGGTACTTAGATGAGCTTCGTCCTCGAATTCCCTGTACTTTACCTACCAGACTGCCCATATTCGAGCCGACAATATCAGGGTCTCCGAGGATGTGAACGAACTTCCCAAGACCAAGCTGAAAATCGACAGCAGGGTTAATACCTATATTGTCGAGTCATGGCTACACAAGAAAAGGAAGCGCGATTTGCGGATACAGACTCATGTCAATTGTCTTGTTCGATTGAACCCTGACAACACACACGAAGACATCTTTCTTTGCAAGCACTGCAAATCGATCGGAATAACGGAGCTTTTCGATGGGGATGCAACTACGTCAGCAGACAGGCATCTCAAGAAACAGCACCGTATATTTCCAGATGTGGAGCTTCAAGATCAATATGGGGAAGGGCCCCTTGCAACGAGACAAACAATAATCGACTTTGCGAAGACGTCGAGCTCCGAATAGTCCTCTCAACGCCTCGTGGTTCGTACGGCAGCCGACGAATTCAAGGATCTCTTGATGGGTTGGATTATCGACGCAAATATCCCCCTTCCACGGCATTGAACACCCTCTTTTCCGCGAACTCCTTCTGCTACTCAATAGGGACTTCATAGACGAAGTTTTACCTGAAAGCGCTGATACGGTCAATAATTGAATCACTATTGACCACGAAACTCGAAAGACACTTCTAAAGCGTAAGTTCCAAGTGGCTCGGAGCAAAGATCATACCACCTTCGACCTCTGGACTTCTCCAAGCAATATTGCATTGTTTTCTATTATCTCCCGTTTTTTTTTGACACTTCTAGGAAGCTCCAGATACACCTATTGTCCCTTGAACGTTCTGAAGGCAGCCACGGAGGCGAGAACCAGGCACAGATCATGGTCCAGTTGTTTAAGGACTTCCAAATTAGCAAGAAACCCGGCTTCTTTACTGCCGAAGACATGGATTCTTACGATACGGTAGTCAGGTCCATTCTTAGAGCGTTGAAGCCTCAGTTAACTAAGTACCAAAGAGCCAACCGCAGGTTCCAATCCGCTGCTTTGGCCACGTACTCAACCTCCCTGTCAACGCCTTCTTCGAGGGGGATTCGTCAGGAATCTTCGACTCTACCGATAATAAGGACAGACTTGATATCGATACTGAACTGAGGCTTCTCACAGAGTGGAGGAAGTATGGCTCAGTTGGCAAGCGCCACAACGCCGTCCATTTCATCCGCAGATCCTCTCAACGGAGAGGCCAATTCCTTGCAATCACCACTGGTCGAATCCGCACGGATATATTGCAAGAGCTGGGGCTTTGGCTAATAGAAAGGACGTGGTGGGCTTGATGTTGAAGGCAGATAACCATACATGGTGGAATTCGATATACCTTATGATCCTTCGCGCTATCAAGCTTAAGGACATCATTGATATCTTCTAGAGGCTGGGGAGAACAGACGAGAGACCCGAAAATCGGATCTCTGAAGATGATGTCTTGCAACACGAAGACTGGCTCATCCTCACGGAAATCCTCGAAATCTTGAAGGTCTATATCCAGTATACCAAATATTTCGAGGGCAGGGAACCCAGATTTTCGGAGGTCATCTCAACAGTCTGTTGCTTGCAAGACCACCTCAAGGAAATGCAGAAACGCTATAATGAGGACCTTGTTGGTACGCCTTTCGAGACGCCACAGATCGATCTAGAAGAGCCTTCCTTTGGTTCTTCCGATTCAGCTGTAAGCTGTATATTTGTTGCAGGCGACGAATCCCAGATGCCTCTGCGCTCGCAGAGGGATGTCAGACTTCCTGCCCGCCTCCAAGACTTCGAAGTCTATATTTCCTCTCAAAACGAGCCTCCTCATTCCTTAGAGCCGATCGTCTCCGCGTGAGTCATCAAGAGCCACCGAGGAGCTCCAATTTGGCTATTTAAGCCTCCGATATATACAGCACTCTCTTGAGTTTGCCTTTAAGACGCTGGAAAAGTACAGGAATCTGATGAAGGAAACAGGGGTATATTGGGCGGCAACGTTCTGCATCCAGCTCATACGACACAGTTATCGAAGTCTACTACCCGGAACGCAAGGAGGCCATTGACAAGCACTCCAGGGCTTTGTTTGATGACCCATATGCGGATAGGGCAAATAGGAGCTCTTAGTTCCTCAGAGTGCCCAAGCGAAGAATACGAAGACTCTGTGGATGACTAGGGGCAATTATTATCACACCTAAGAACCACACTTGATCAACGAAATTGAGGCTTACATTTCAGAGCCTCCACAGCCATGGCCCGAGGAAGCCACTAATCAGGGAGGTAGGGAGGAAGCTGAGTACCTCATTTCGTGGTAAATCAGCGGAAAGGGCGAGTGGCCGAGATTGTATGGAACGGCAATAGGCTTCTTGACTATTTCTGCCAGTTGAGACCGTGTGACTAAGGTGGTCCGATATGCTGGTGGCTGGGATGTGAATATTATTATATAAGGAGCTTTGCTGCTCTCAGATATATGCAACTTAGAACTAACAATAACACAATCAGCCCATTTTTGTTTTATCAACTATAAATTTAGCTGTAATTTACACTCTTAGAACCCTTCACAAGGGCGCTGAACACCTGGCTTGGGGTACCCCAATGACTCTTGAGCTTCTTTTCCTTGTGTATCCCAATATAAATCCGCATTTCAAGCCATCTATATACTTCTGCAACGGAGGGACCTTCCCACCTGCGAAGGGCTTGGCCCTTCGCAGCAGGGTGGTTCCAGCTGTCAACAACCTCCCTTTTCTTCAACTAAGAGACCCATCTCTTAGTATACTGAACCCATTTCTCAACGAGTGAAACTGGTGGAAAAGGCTGGAACAGCTGCAGCGGCGACTGGGGCAGCGGGTTGATGTGTGGCTGGTGTGTTTAAGCGTGAAGAGGCTCGAAGTTGGTGCCCCGGTCGGTCTTGGCCGGAAAAACAGCCACCCGGGTGGTGGTTACTAGGATGTATGCGATAACTGTGATCTTCCGCGATGAAGCTGCTGTTATCGTAGGTATTGAGGGAATGTGCTTTATTGAGAATCGATTGGGTATCTACTGATGAGTTTAAAATGGTTGGTAGGTTTTTTGCAAGGAAATGCTTTATTGAGTGAGCTTTGGGTACCCTGCTTGTACCCAAATCATCACCACCTTATTACAGGGGTAATTTGGGGCAAGGTACGCCGTGCAGGTTTCGTGGAGGAGATGGGGAAGTTCCAGAAATTATCAGCGTGAGAGAGCTAGTGAGGACCGAACGCGAGAAAAGGTGGGGGCATGGCACTAGTAGGAGGATAGCACAGAAAGCCAAAAACAAATGCTCATTCCAAACTCAGAACTTGCTAGGTCATGTACTGCCGTGATATCCGTCGGAGTTTCTCCTGTCAGCTTCATCCACCTCTTGGCTTTCTATTCGAAGTTCCTACGCCAGCTCCTGTTGTCCAATCGTGAAGCACCGCATCTCCTCAAACATCGTCTGAGGTGCCAACCCTTCGTTACCTGCTGGACCGTTGCGTTTGGCCGCCGCCACTTGGGAAGGGAAGGGAATGTATTACGCCCGGGAGGGCTAAGCCTCATAAGGGTCAGTGCGCTAGGCAATTACATTTCTAGCTTTCTGACCCAGATCACCAAGTGCTTTCCGGGGTTTGTCAGCAAAAGCTTTCCTTTCAACCTCTTCCATGGACAGGGATTATGGAAACTCTGTGCTAAAAGCAAACAGCTCATTGCAAAGGCCCTCTGGTGTGTGTACATGGCACCATCATCCCTGTAGAAACTTACTTTTGGCCTGACACTTCCAGCTAGTTAGTTACATTAATTAATTCTAGCTTTGCAGGATCGGCCATTCGATGCCGTTCATCCCATGCCGAATACACACACCAGATGTATCATTTGCTTGCTTAAAGGTGACTCATTGCCTCTGTTACGGCACACAAACGTATTCCTCTGGTGCTAATCAAAATGGAGCACGCTGCGTTGATTGCCCTCACCGCATTTACAACAACCTGCTTCCTTCTCATTGCTTATTATACTCTGTATCCAATTGACCCGCAGATAATCCCCTCCCCCCTCCACATTATTCCTTCTCTCCCCGAAGATGAGATTCAAAAGCTACCTTACCAGCCTGACTTCTTTCCGGGTGCCCGCGACGTTGAAACCGAAGTAAGCTGTCTATGTCCCCCGCCTTAGATGTTGATCATACTCATAAAATTCAGTACGGCTCCATCCGCGTCTACGAATGGGGACCGGAGACAGGGCCAAAAGTCGTTCTGATACATGGCATGTCCACTTGTACAATGACCCTGGGGCCTATAGCTAAAGCTCTAGTCTCCCGCGGTTGTCGGGTTTTGCTATTCGACCTCTTTGGTCGGGGGTTTTCAGATGGCGTCGGCGACCTTCCTTACGACATTCGCCTTTACACAACTCAGGTTCTGCTCGCGCTGGCTTCTTCTCCACTCTCATGGACAGGTTCAAACTCATTAAGAGTAATTGGTTATTCACTTGGTGGAGCCATCGCTGCCTCTTTTGCCGTCGACTTTCCTCACATGGTTTCGAGCCTGATTCTGCTCGCTCCAGCTGGACTCATCCGCTCAACGGATCTAGGCTTGACCTTCTGGTTCCTGTTCAAGTCAGGTCTCGTACCGAAGCGTGTATTGCATGCCTTAATGCGTGTTCAATTGCGAAGCACTACGAACAGCGGTGCGGTAAAAGAGCAACATTGCTCACCTCAGGAGACTGATAAAAATCCTACCGATCTCTGGACAGCTAGTCCAAGCGTCAACAAGCTGTCACTTCAAGAGCAGGTGTCCGCGTATATGCCATGGATAGTGACGCATCACCGCGGTTTCGTCCCCGCCTTTACGTCCTGTGCGCGATTCTCGCCCTTGACTCATCAGCATCGGGTCTGGCTGGCGCTAGGGAAGCGAAAGGTGGGCAGCACAGCTGTAATAATTGGTGATGCAGACGAGGTTCTCAACACTATGTGGTACGAAAAGAATGGACTGCCACTACTTGGAGGCCAGGAGCGCGTAATGTGGAAGGTCTTGCCTGGCAGCCACGACTTCGTAATGACCGCGCCAGAGCTAATCATGAGTGAGATCGATGTTTTTTGGGGGTTGCATGTGTAGGGAAGGAAAAATTGATCGATTAATCAACGAGTTTACAGAAACTAGCCGCAGAAAGTGAACCACCCTAGCACCCACAGCACCATTCCCATGATTGGGACCTGCCTGCAACCATCAACGGATTCCAACACAACAGCTTCTTTCCCTCTTCGGAAGTGGTATAGATCACACGAGGATCTATCCCTTCATCTCCATATATAGGCAGCAACTAATAGCTTTAAACTTATTATACGAAGATCATTCACTAATGCCTCCGGTTAAACTACTGTTACATATTCATGTAATAAGTTTCGTTGTGATTGTCAATTTTCTGTTTTTGCAAAGTAAAAATGACGCGGCAGTTAGCTTGGCTTCTCGAATTTCATACTGAAGTACGGTTTTCTGAACGCAATCGCGAGCTTCATCAGTCTCGAGATGAGCCGCGAGGCGAGCTGCATGAGCTATAAGACAAAACCCAAACTTATCTGTAGCAAATGTCATAGAGAAGGTCATAGAAGGGCGTGCCAAAGCTTGCCAATTGAGATACTAAAGTAGTCCCTAGTGGCAGAAAAGTTATAGTAAGTGTTGCTGAAGATTACAGTGCGGGGTCTAATAGATGGACGAGTCTGTATACTTACTGGTTTCCTATTAGTTAGTATAACCCTAACCCTCTGCCTTGCTGCTTGATCTTCTTATAGGCCACTTCTATATCATAATAGACAGGACCCTGCACATCTTCTATGGCCTTATATGTGACATTTACTATATATAAATAGTCTTTTTACTGGCTTATCTTGCAGCTTGTCTTGCCGCTTGTCTTATAGTTTGCGTTAGGGCTCATAATTGTGTTAACAAAATCGAGCTTTAGTTTGATATTTGAGAAGCCGGTTTCCACTCTATTCTTCCTTGGCTACTATTGAAAATTGGCGGCCAGTGCGAAATCGATTATATGCGTAGGTAACTGTAAGTCGACTGGACCTTTTCGTAGTTAATCTTCTGGTTATAAATTTATGGCCTCCGATTACTACCCAGATATTGAGATCTAGAATAAGATCTTATTATGATAAATACCACTGCTGAGGAGGAAGAGAGTTCATTTGTTAATCGTAATAAGCAAGCATCGCTATGATGAGATGTTACATAGATAGAGTTTATTACGCCCGGGAGAACGCATCTCATAGGGCCGGCACGTACGCTAAGCTATTTACGATTCCTACGCATTGATCCGGTCTACACAAAGGAAAGCCTCTTCTTAAGCCTTTTCCATTCAAGCCTCGCTTAACTCTGCTTAACAAGCCTGCTATAGGGGTCTTACTATTTAAACTATTAATAGAAAAGCTAAAAAGCTTAATGGCCTTATATAAGGCTAAAGGAAAGGAAAAATAAAAGCTATATTTAAGTATTTCTAAAGTCTAATACAATTTAAATATTTATTACCTTTATAATTAAAAAAGCTTTATTAAGTTAAATTATACTTAGTTATTTTAATTATAGCCTAAACCTAGCTATATATATATTATTTAATAAGCCTTATTTATATATTAACTAGCCTTAATATCTTTTTTTAACTTATTTTAAAAGTATATTTTAATTATTTAATATATAATAAGTTATTTAACTTAACTTTCCTTATACTTTCTAGCTATAAATATTAATAATATTATAATTATATTATTATAATACTTTAAAAAAGCCTATAATTACTTAAGGTAAATAAACCTTATTTAATTAAAAGTTATAATATAATTTCTAAAATTGAAAAAGGTTTTAAATAAATAAATATATATTTTTATATAACAATTATAAATATTAAAAAGGCCTTATTAAATATAAATAATATTAATTATATTAAATTAATAATATTTAATAATGAAATCCTTTTATTTATATAACTTATTTATAATAAGTTTTTAATTAATAAAGCCTTTTTAAAATTTAAAAAGTATAGGCTTAAAAAGGAAATTATTTAAATATATATAATTAAATAAAAAGTAAAAGAAGTTCTTTAGGGCCTTTTACTTAAGTAATTTATAAAATAAGTAATTTAAAAATATATAATAATAATCTAAAAAGGTATTAAAAAAGATTAAAAACTTATAAAAATTAAACTAATTATAATCTTAAAATATAAAAGTATAATTAAAAAGAAATACTATAGTATAATAGTTAAAAGAAAAGTAAAGTAATTATAAGAATTAAAAGAAAATAAACTAAATTTTATATTAGTTTAAGTTACTTAAAGTAAAACACATAAAGGTATAAATTTAATATAAATAATAAATAAAGGTTTAAATAAGTTATAAGGTAGAATATATAATTAAATAAGTAAATTAGGTATAATATTAATATATTATTAATATAAAAAAGAAAAATAAGAAAAATATTTAATATAATATAAAAAGTTAAAATATATAAGTTAATTTATTAAATTAAAAGTTAAATTAAAAAATAAAGGTTTTAAAATTTAGGAAAAAAACTATAAAAGCTAGTTAAAAAACTAAGACTAGCTTAGCTAGTTAATAGTAAATTAAATTAAGTATTAAGATAAAGTAAATAATAAATTCATCCTTATGGCATACACCAGATAGCAGCAACTTAACAACAGGCACACATCGACATAGTACAGCACGACCGCCATTTCAAGATTCCAATTCTATTGTTTATCTCCTATGTTTCTTATAAGTTGGGGCTTCCACTGACCAAAGAATTTTCCAGCTCGATCAGCCGCTCAATTGACTGTACTGCATCTCCATCCATGCTTGAGAGCTCTACAGTTGGAAGAGGACGCCTCACCCGGCCATCCCCATAACCAAACCACTTGCGGCAGGATGTCTTAACACCCGAGATTCCAAACTTTAGCAAAGCGGCATCGGCACTAGAAAGACCTTTCTGTATCGCTGCTGCTCGCTCCAAGTCACCTGCTGAGTAGGCCCGCAAGAGCTCAACATGGACTCTAGGAACCACATTGGCTAGGGCTGCGATAACACCTGCTGAGCCACAAACCAGGCCCGGGAGCATAAAATCTGCCTTGCCTGCAAAGGCAGAGAACTTATCGGTCGTAAGGGCAGCAGTAACCCTTTGAAGTTTACCAAGATTTCCACAGGTTAGCTTGACACCGCTAATATTGGGCAGCTCTCTCGCCAACTCGACAATAAGATCAGAATCAACATCGATTCCACTCGCTACATTAGGGAAGTTATAGATAACTATAGGTAACTTTGATTCCGCGGCCACCTATCACGGGTTATTCAAGGTCACGTTATCCGTGGAGGCGTCAAGGATATACATCTCTGTAGAAAGATTTAATAATAGGCTTTGTCATGGCGGCTGCCCAATAGCTAGGTGGAAGAACCAGTGCGTAGTCTGCCCCAGCCAGTTGAGCTTGACAAATAAGCTCTAGTGTCTGGCGCACACTATTGGAGCTGCACCCAGCAATAATTGGCGTTTGTTGTTCGAAAAGGTTGGCAGTGGACCGAATGTACGAGATGATTTCTACTCGTTCTTTGTCGCTTAGATGGGTGGCTTCGCCATTACTGCCGTGGACTACCAGCCCGGTGATTCCAGCTTTGAGAAGTCGTTGGACATGCTTGGCAATGCTGTCAAAGTCGATGTTTTCCTGGCCATCAAAGAAGGTAACGGCTGGAGCGTATACTCCATGTGGAGGGGGCCCAGATACTCGAGACATCATACTAGGTTGATCGCGAGCGGTTTCTTTGAATGAGTTTGAGAATCTTCCTTGAATACATATACACCTCAAAGCTCTCTCTCTCTATATATACAAGTTTTTGGAATCGTATGTCGCAGATTCCTGCTCCATACATCCATGATTAAGCTCCATTCTTCGGTGTGTGTTCCGAAGATGGGAAATTGGAGAAGCTAGCCTCTCGGCACCGGCCTCCAACGCCGTGAGCCCATGGGTGCATTGCTGTTGGGGGTGAATTGGAGGGGAAAGCCATGTGTGCCCCGCTTGGACGGACTTCGGCGCTCCTTGTTGGAGGGAAAAACTACGATGGATTCAGATTGCTTATCGACCAGGATCAACAAAATGTGATTTAGTTGGCTCATTGACAATCGATGTGACAATGCAAGCTCCCTCCTCTAATCTGGCCATTTATAGCACACAACGCCTGATAGCAGCCTTGCCTTGCATACGCTGCCTGCCCTCACCTGTGTTCGCTGCCGAAAGTGCAAGAAGAAGTGTGACCGTAAATTACCCAAATGCGGAGATTGTGATCGATCTAGAACAGAGTGCATCCGTTTAGAAGAGACAAAAGTTCGAGACACTGCGTCCGTGCCGTGGTACTACGTTCAAGGCCTAGAAGCACGGCTTGCGCTGGTCGAGAAGGAACTGGCAATTTGTAAGGGGAAGTTTAGCAAGTGGAGCTTAACAACTGGTTCCACGCTTACGTCGTACTTGGTATATCTCTGCCCGGCCACCAGCTCTTTTTCATGCACCTCGTTTGTGTCATCGGCGCCTGCTACTAAAAGAGTCCAAGCACACAAATCAATGGCATCTACACCGAGGCCGTGAACGTATACCTGCCATATGCTGCATCCCAAGAGGTCCTGAACACGCACGCCTACCTTTTGCTAATCGTTCATGCATTCCATTGTCCGGCCCCTTTCCAGCTCTATGAGACGACGAGTGAAGCCAGACTCAAGATAACGGAGCGGCTGCTAACGTTTCAGATTGCCCAGACCTTGCTGCCGTTCGAGCTCGATGGTGTGACATTCTTGCCCAGGATAGGAATGATACGGTGTTGCTGACATACTGTTACACTGCGTATGAGATCATCGTGTCTCTTTGGAGCTGTTCCTTTGAAGAACTTGTCTGCTCACTGAACAAGGTATGTGGTCTTGTCTGCTGCATCGCACCTGGGGTTACTGACAACAATTTCTAGATCTTGGACCAGGGTATATGGCTCACCTTTGGGGGATGCTCATGCCGACCGGATTGGAGTACATGTTCGTCATCCGACATCTCCAATCAAATATTCGACGACTCCAAGATCAATGCTGAGCGTTACCCAGTTGGGATGAGTACCGCAAGCGTCGGACGGCTGAGATTCGTGCAGAGTTCGAGCAGTGGAAAGCCTTGATCCCACTTGTGTCAAGTACAGTCGATGGCTACATGAATTACCACCCACTTGCCATGCTCAAGACATACAACTACAGTATCTGCTGTCTATACCAGCAAGACACGTTTGTATCCACCGTCGGCGACTACTTGATTTTGTTGGCGGCTGTAAGTGAAAACATCCGTTGCTTCAGAATGTCCTGGAATCTTTTTCTTAATGTACTTTACCTGGAGCGGCGTAAGTTTTAGTGTAATACTTGCATAACGAACAGAGCTGACCAGACATTTAGCTGTTAGAACAATTCAACATTGGAATTATCCTCCTGGCTTGTTATTGGGAGACACCATTCGTGAGACGTTGGAGAATAGCACTTCAGCTGGATTAAAGTTCTGTGGCCTACAGTCAAGGAATGCTCTTTTATTCTGTCTGATATGCTCCGCAGCATGACTGTCTTGAATTCATCTGGTTTTTTATTATACTTCCAACGCTCAACGTTTGTCAGAAAGGCCTCCTCATGAGATGAAGCTAATTGAAGATTCTGTGTTGTGGCTGATACAGCTACTCAAGAAAGGGTCATGGGTCTGAGCATTATCGTCTAACCACACCCTACTCAGTGACCTAGTCGGCAACTCTACGGAACAAGTGCTGTCCATCATGAGGCAATGAGAACCTCGAATGAAGATTCTGAACTTACTTCTCCGACAGATTGCCGGTATAAGCACCATCATCCGCATACAATATCGCCATTCCAACGTCCTCTGTCATCTCGGGGTGGCCTTGAAAGGTGATGATATTGTACTCCTCGTGCAGCAGGGCATCGCTGTCTCCAGCGAGAGGAACAAATCTTTGGGCCGGACGGGCGACACGTCTCTTGTGAAATTCCAGCAGCGCCTGTAGCTCAGTCAGTACTTGGGCGAATCGTATCTGGTGTCACTCGTACAAAGTCTATCTTGCTACTCTTGTCCTGGGAGCCTCCCAACAATTCAATACCTCGCTCTGTATAACGCAAAGGTGACACCAACCTAGGAGAGTGTTAGCCCACCAATCATGGCTGGCCTCTGGGTTGCTTACCCTGTCACCATAGGGATTGAACTCGATTTTGCCGCCCATTGCTCGGGCAACAGCTTGATGCCCCCAGCATACGCCAACAATCGCCGTGTTTGGGCATGTCTTGGCGGTCTCTCTGATGAATTCCAGCGTTTTCTCGACCCACGGATAAGGCACGTTCAATGTAAGGTTGAAAACTCCTCCCGTAAAGTCGATGAGGTAAAATTCGCTGGCACCTGGGAGGATATCATATATGATGGGGTAAAAGGGCTTGATTTCGGCATCAGGCATGGTGGAAGTGATCAGTGAGTTCTATGACTCTATCATGTCGCAGGAGTGTCGTAGTTGCGCACAATGGCGACTTGTGGAGACATCAGCTTGGAGACCATGCTGAGGGTAAATTGAGGTCGAGAAGCTATCTGCAGATGATTGCCTTTCCGTTGTTATTGGCATGTCGACCACTAGGTTGCTAGGTTTTAAAGATGGTAGGATACTCCGGGTTCAAGAGCATTTGCTCCGCCAGCTTCAACTCTCATTCTTCACTTGCCGTTGATCATCTCCAAATCTCTTTTCGCCGTCCTATTCTAATTACACATGTAATTGAGAATACGAAAACTTGATGGGTTTGAAATCTCGTCTTAACTCATTTACGAACGTCGCTTCCCCTTGAGTGTTGTTGGCTGTGGCAGGAACTGAAAGAAGAATAAAGGAGAAGTGAAGACAAATAGGAATTGGTATAGAGCTGAGAGATGAAGTCGAGCCTCTTTTACAAACGAGTTGAAATCACATTTTCCTGAATTGCTAACCATTGGGAACTTCGGGGACGCACCCCTTGAACTACGGGGGTTTCCCGAAGACGAATAATCCTCGGACATGTCCGCCGAGTCGATAAGACTATCACCACTACCCCGCGTTTTGCATTAAAAATACTAACCGGTGATCTGATTCTTATCGGGTTAGGAAGGCAGGGTGATAGGAATCTGGACCAGGAAGGAGGGGGTTAGGTTAGACACTATCTCGGGAGTCCACGCATGTCATCAAATGTTCGCCCCGCATTGAATGGAGTAATAACGGACTTGTTGAGGGTAATATTTACAGCTTGTATCTAATGTATCTGGGTCTCAGTAGCGTCTTTTGGCACGAGTCCTGTTTGTTATGGTTGTTTTGAGCAGATGAGCCAATCCAGCTGTAGTGGTAAAGAACCGGCCATCTAGCAAAACAAGAGTCTTGCCCAGAAGCAGCCTAGTTTTGTGTCTAGCATCAAGGGTATCTTGGAGAAGTCAGTTGTGAAGGAGTAAAAAAGCATGGTATGAGATGGTTAAGGAACAAGTCCAAGGATATCGACAAAAGTTTACAATGACTGACCAATCCAATAATCAACCCAAAGTCTGATCAACAATGAATCGACCAGTCAGTTAGTTTAGCCCTTGTCTTGACCATGACCGACTCACTCTACCGCGTGAAAGTGGTCATCTGCACACAGTCCAGCAACCTCTGGTCTATTGTAAGGAGTGCCTTCTCGGGTCAAGGCACAAGTTGAATTTTCTATCCATATGAACCCGCTGATGATGGCATGATAATTTCCCCGTAACCTCAGGCCTTGTCAACTTATCCCTCTCGTTAGTCGTTGAAAATCGACCAAAAAGACTGGCAAGACTCCCTCCTGCAACGAAACACGATACATTGGTGACCAAGTTGACGATTCTCTATCTATTTACAACAAGAGTCCCAATAGAATAGTAGGTTTGGGGTAAAAATTAATAGACTATGATAAGATAAGCTAAGCGGTCTCAACTGATGATCTAGCACCATCTCCGTGTCCCTCCCGCGCCGCATTACTATCTAGGCAAGACCATTATGGATTGGTGTATATTGGTCGGCCCCGTTCAATTTTCAAGTTTATCAGACAATACTCGACACCAAGTCGAGTCAATGGAACATGGTTTGTCTCTAGGCTGGCGGTCATGCTTCGGGTATATACAAGTCTCGATTCGCAAGGTTTCCAAAACCTCCATAATCGGAGCAAGCTTGCCTCCAACACCCCGGATGTGGGTATGTTCGTTCCAGTTGGAAGAAATCTAGTCCACCGGTGTCACAATCAAAATTCCCGGGTCCCGATATTATTTCCCTATGAGCATCAACTTGTATCATGTTGTTGGTATAGAATTGAGACTTTGCTCACGATTAGAGGCAACTTGATGAATGTGATTCCACCATGTCTCGAGAAGACTGGTGCGGAAATTGTACTGACTATGGTATCAATTGCACATGGAGAACGGTGTTTCATTGGGAAATTGTAGGCAGAAGGGAGATTTTACAGGGGTGATGAAAAGTCCTTGGCAAGATTTCAAACAAGTCAATAACTTGTTTGCCTTCACGACGCCAAACCTGACACTGCGCTCAATATATCGCCATAGATTGGCCTAATCAGGGGACAGAGCTGTTGACGGAGATGCTCGCTATGAATACTCCATCGTAGCGTCGTGCAGATCCGACACGTCAACACTGTGGGGCATCTGTACAATCTCTTGACTGGTTTCATTGCTCCAGCTATGAAGAGAGAAAAGGATGTGGGCTTGTCTTTTGAATACATCAGCGTGGCCTGTAGGCAGTATGCAGAGACATTGATCAAATGACTTGATTGACATTGACAAGTTGCGATATTGTGCTATGAAAGTATGAACAAGAATACATCCAAGAATACAAAGATTCGTCCCTTTTGCTCGGCAATACTGACTAATTTTCTTTTACTGGGATCTCATGGTGATGAGAAACCATGTGGCCGTCGGCCTCGAGGACAGGACCATGGAATGATTTCCTCTTGCCACCCCACCAGAGAACAGTAATTAAGATTAAAGTCCCCACAAGCACAACAGCTTGATAATTCATCGACTCGGCAGTTACCGGGAGCGACAAGGGAAAACAGAATAGGATAGTATATAGCAGTGCATAACATGAGGCAAAGATATTACAGAAGGTGCCAGCGATTCTCCCAAGGTTAAAGTATCGCTTAGGCATGACGCTTCGTCCACGGATAATGAGTATAGCTTGCGGCAGAGCACAAGTGATGTTGGTTGACATGATGGCTAAGCCAATAATGCTATTATATGCGGCCGTAGACGCAACATATAACAGGCCAAACACGATCATGAAAACTCCCGCGAGCGCATTAGCATTGACCGGCACCCGGAGAGTTGGATGGATCTTGCTAAAGATGTGAGAGTATGGAAGGCCGCCGTCTCGAGAGAAGGCCCAGATGAGTCGACCGGAAGTGACATAACAGCTGACGAGGGCACCGTAGTAGATGAAGCAAATCCAGACAGTGAAGAAAGTGGCAGCAGCTTGAGAGCGGATAGCTTGCATGAACACCTCAAAGATTGGAATAGCTGCCGCTGAGACCTCATCGAGATTGTTGGTACTGAATAGCATGGCAATGCTCCAGGGGACACTTGTAACAGTTCCGATAGCCATAATAAGGGCGATGACCTTGGGAACTGTACGTTCGGGATTAGGCATCTCTTCAGCAATGTGAGTAGCGCCATCTAAGCCCAGAAAGCCATACATGGCCTGGCCAGTGGCGAGAAGAAATGCCAGGCCATCAGGCCATCCAGTGACATTAACCCATTCTGCAAAGATCACTTTGGCCGGCTGCTTTGGGCTGCTTGTTGCAAGAATGGTAACGAACGCAACACAAAGGCCAAGAAGGGATGAGAAGAGAAAAATCCTCTCGGCAGTGGGGACCCAGCGGGGAAGCATCACAATCAAGACACCGGACAGGATTGTGATGAGAACATAGACAAGCCACACTTGCCAAGCCTTCCAGACATACGTCGGATGGTAGAGGGAGGCAATGACGAGCGAGGTCTGAGAACAGAAGACGGTAGTGCTAGCAGTGGTGAAAAGCCAGCCTATTCACTCGTGTCAATGATTTGTATTCAAGAAAAGAAGGACAGTATCGGTGCCTACCTAAGATGCTGATCCAGCCAACGGTGAATGCCACGGGGGCTCTGTACTTCTCGGTCGAAACCATGAATGCGTAACTGCAAGCGGCGATTAGTAGTCTTGAAAATTGGTAATGCGAGTACACACAAGCGCGCGCATGCGCACACTATGGGGAGCAGAGGGGCGTACTGATATTGGCCACCACTGGAAGGGAAGGCAGAAGATAGCTCAGCAAGGCCAAGAGCCAGGACTGTGCAGGCGAAGCACGCCAGAACAAGACAGAAGACGGCTGCTGGGCCACCGCCAGCCAGTAAAGGTGGGACAAAGGTTACAGAGTATCCAATCCATGTGTTGGTGATGGAAAATGCGATAGCCAAGGTAGAAATAAGGGAGAAGATCCGAGGCATCTCTTGGGTAGACGAAACAGTGGCCTCAGCAGCAGAGGCATCACCTCGCTCACTTTGAGCCTCGGTATGGTCCATGATGGAAGTCAGTCTATCGACTAGATGGTTGAGGGAAAGTGAGGAGGGAGAAACATAAGAGGGTTAAAGGTTTACAGAGGGCTTTTGAAAGAATCCTGTGGTTTTTTGAGATGAAAGTTGGGAATGTGCAAACAATCCAGGAGACCATGAGAAGGAGTCGTCAATTCATGAAAAGGCAACAAACCCCAATTTGAGCCACAATTGATTCCGCATTAGCAGCTTTCCTTTTCGACCCCAACGATAAGGGACCACCACCCATGTTAAAGTTTCGTCTAATCTAGAGCCATCTTTTGGCGAGAGGTCATCGGATAAGTAGGGAGCTGTTCCTAGATTGCTTCTAGACCCTGTGAATGTTCGTTGCATTACCCCGCAACTCTCACGAGGCGTTCCCAGCCAAGATTGGCCAAGCCTTTTTTCGAGATTGGTCTAACCAAGGTTGTCGATTCCCCAGGATTTCTTTCTCCACGGCCTAGTCCTTCGATGATGGATGTCTCGGGGCTAATCTCTTTCTTGCTTATCACTGTGCTTGTTTATCCTTGTCCAGGATTCCCATTAGTCCTCAAACAAAGAACCGAGGGCGCGCCGAGCTCTTATCATTCCCTGCGCCGTAGCTAGCTGATCCAGTGGATATACCCTATCGTATCAACCATGATAGTAAACCAAGCCGAGATATACGGTGCTGCGCCGTTCGGAGGAGGATTCGCAGTATTGACCGATAACTTGCTCCATCCGGTAGCAAAGGAACATTCTCCAGCTAATGCGTCTGTATCAATTTGAACCATCCATGTAGCTGATGGAGCTCTACCCCTCAACCCCCAAGTGGGCCCAGATAGATAATAGTCTGGAGGAGTTCGTGGCAGAATAATTTAAACTCCATTCCGGCAGACGGCAAGCCAAGCCAGTTCCTTAGGACAGAATAGAGGTCAGAGAAGTTCGGAGAAGTATAGGATAGCCACCTGGCACTGATGCTCGACAACTACAAAAGGCCTGTGGTTTGCCAAACATCGGCCGCGATATTCGCAGTACTCGGAAACAGTCGCTTAACCCCAAAATGCATCTCAGCCTCTCACTCATCGCTATACTCGTTCATCTCATGGCCCACTTGCCACTGGCCAGTGCTGCTGACCCCAACCCCATCCCCTACTTTGCCTTCTCAGACATTGGCACCTTCAATCTGTCGAGCCTGAACGCCTCCGATGCACGGAACTCGGCTATCCTTACTCGTCAGGAGGCTGAGCTTTTGCCTAATCGTACCAGGCAGCTTCGACATGGTTCATACCTACGCAAATTGGCCAAAGGGAAAGACATCTACTTCACTACCAAGGCGAATGGCACCGAGCACGATATTACTTCCTTCTTATACCATTTCGGTATATCTGGGGTAATGATTATTAAGGATGGGAAGATCCGTCTTGAGAGATACCAGTACGGTAATGAGCCTTCATTCCGGAACCAGATTCAGTCTTGCACAAAGTCTTTCATCACAACCTCAATGGGTATCGCAATCGCCCAGAACAAGATTTCCCTCAATGATCCTGTATCGAAATGGATCCCTGAGCTTGCCAAGTCTCCATGGGGGCCGGTCCACATTCGAAACTTGATTGACATGACATCGGGTGTCGAAGAGCCCAACTCCACCCACAACCCGGACTTGTTCAATGACGTATACCCACGGACGGACCCTGACGCTGTCATCAAGTGGTTTAAGACCTTCGACAAGGTGGCGGAGCCTGGCAAGGTGTTCAATTACTACAACCCCAATTACTATGTTGCTTCGCTCTCGCTTACTCGAGCCATCGGGGAGCCTTTGCAGAACTGGGTCACCAAGAATATCTGGGAACCAGCCGGCATGCAGTACGACGGCTACATGCGAGTCACGGGAGCCGGCCAAGTCGACGGTCACGGAGGATTGGCACTGACATTGCCCGACATGGCTCGCTATGGAATGTTCATCCTTGACGCATTCAATGGTAATGGCGGTCCCCGGGTTCCCAAGCAATGGTTCTATGATATCTCGACTGCAAGTACTAGCAAGGGGATTCGTGGGCCTGGTGCCATCGACATTGTGCCTGGATTTGGGTATCAAACAGGCTGGTGGACCACTCCCCGGGGAGCCAAGAAATACCAGCTTGGCGACGATGGCGGCTTTGCTGCGCTTGGCACGTACGACCAGGCCGTCTACGTTATTCCCGGCATCAACACCACAATCGTGCTACAGTCCGATAACCCCGTCCACTACCCTAATCTGTTTTACTTTGGACAACAGTTTGCCACAGCTGCAAGTCTTGCTTTGAGACAGGAACGCTACTAGTTAGAATACTGGCCTGTCTGTGCTGGGGAAGACACAAAGTGTTTCTACTGCCAAGACGGCTGCTTGCGTAGTGTTAAGCCAAGAGCGGAGATAGCGAAGCATACTATCTTTCAAAGATAACTGAGTCGATGAGCCAGGACTAGCCTAGTGTAGAATGCGAACATTGTTATGTCTGAACTTACGAGAACCGACCGAGACGTGAGGTGAGCTATCGATGATGAGCCACAAGGGTTCACAGCTGTAGTCCCAGTACGCGTTGCATCCTGCCTCGGACTTGTAGGGGGAAATCTTTAAACAACTGGCTCTCCCAAGATACACTTACTGGAGTCTCCTTATCCTTCATGAACCAAAATACAGGTTTTCTTACGTACAACAGAGATATCCGTGCACGACAAAAGGCGCGATGGAACGATTGATAGTTTTGTTTCACAACTGACTACTGTATCTTTACAACCAGCCGACCGCTAAACTCATGAGCCGCTACTCTCTGGGGAATATCCTCGCCTTCCTCCAGCGGCAGTATGGTCAGGTGGCTGACAATGCCGTGCTCAGAAACTGCATCGATCATCTTCTTAACTTCGTCTATGCTGCAGTGAAGAGAACCTTTGACGTTGATCTCTCGGAATACCAGGTTGAAGGCATCAAACCTGAAGCCTTCATCTGGCAGGCCGAGGGCTATACAGGTGCCTCTTGGCTGAAGGCGATGCAACGCCCAGTCTGTGGCAGCCACACTATCGGTACAGACAACAACTCCATGTAGTCCCTCGCCGTCTGTAAAATCAGAAATCTTCTGAGTAGCGTCTTTGTCGCCCGAGTTGATTATTAAGTCAGGTCGGAGGTGTTCCGGCACCCCCGAAGCAAGCTTCAGGCCGGCCTCATGGCTATCACTGGCGACGACTCGATAACCCAAAGCCTTGGCAAACTGTACACCTAACACACCCAGGCCGCCGATGCCGACCAGGGCCAAGGACTGCCCTTTTTCCAGGCCTGTCTCCTTGATTGCGTTCCAGACCGTAGCCTACCTGATTTGTCAGTATCCAAGAAACCGAGTAGATGAGGAATGAGGAAGCGGATATGTACTAACACCGGCACACATCAATGGAGCCGCCTGCTCAAATGACACATCGTCTGGGAGATGAACTAGCGAATAATGCGAAGTGATCATGTACTCGGCAAAACCACCGTCCGACTTGACAATTCCGTTCATGGTCTTGTTCTCACAGTAGCGAGCGTCCAGAGTACCGTATCTTCTCCTTCGCCATCTGCACCCGTTACAGTCATCACAGGGTTTTCTGAAGTTCAAGACACCAACTCGGTCACCGACCTTCCAGTCACCGGGTATATCAGATCCCAGGCTAGCAATGGTACCAGCAGGTTCGTGAGAACCTGTGAATGGTAGGTGGGTCTTGTAAGTACCCTGATAGACTTGGTAGTCAGTGTGGCAGAAGCTGGCAGCGGCAACGCGAATGAGAAGCTCGCCTGAACCGGGTTCAGGGACTGGAACATCGTGGCGGAGCTGGTAATTCTCATTAAACTAAAAAAGAAGTAATTTAGTGGAATGATTAGAGCCCCCCTCATCTCGCTCGACGTACCTTTACCAGCCTCAATGCCTTCATTGTCTTGGGGATTGATTGCTGCGCCATGACGTTCGTTTCAATGATGATGAGAGGCTACTGAACGCAGATGCACTTCACTTTGAGATGGGAATGGAGGAGCGAGCTTGGGACATCTTTTCTTGATTAATAGCTTGATTTAATATATCACGCGGGATCCGGGTCCGGCCGTAATTATTCCTGTAATCTGTCTCACCTCGCTTCTCTTCATCTCCACATGCAGCAGCCTCGTGGAGAAGAAAAGACGTAGTGCCGATGTTGCATACCAATGATAATCAAGGACTGATATGGTGGAGGAGGCTCCGAGATATGGCAGCCCGTTATAGATCAAGAAAGATTGTTCTAGATGCTTTACACATATCGCAGTACATCATCCGCCCACTAGGTACCTCGAGCAACCCCTGTTAGTCTGTGGCTAAGAATACTCATTGTCTCGGTTTGGTGTTATCTACTTGTCGACCGTCTCACCGAGGTGGGGAAACATTTTTGGAGAAACAACTGTCAGTCGCTCGCATGCAGCTTTGTCTGTCCTCTATCAACCATACGACCAACATGTATCACTTTGGATGAGGGGTGAAAAAGCACAACCTTTGCTAGAATAGAACGCAACATCTCCGTTATTAAAACACTAGCATGTTCCCATTGAAGACCATCCTCATTTCCGAACACAAGGAGGTCATAAGGTTGCTAACAGCGCTACTTGAGCTCCCCCACCACGAGGCTACTTTAATATTACTTCACACTCGACAATGCTCTGGTCGTTGGACGGTTCAAGAGCATGCAGGACTTCATAGACCAGCATTATGACACGCCAAAACATAGAGCAATCATAAGCCTAGGAACCACGAGGCTTTGTGGGGAAGCGTTTCCTTTGTGGCCCTTTTCCATTGACGATACTACGGATCAACCCAAGACTAATATCTACCCCAAATATCCAATGCAATGCAGCATGTGACGCGACATATGACAAATCATGACGTAGGCATGGATGTTAGGTATGCTTATGATATCATCCAAAGGAGTTGGCTTGCGTTACTAGCAGGGCATAAAAAGCTAGAAATATAGGAGCATGGATAATATTTGATAGCCGTACTTCGCAGTTCAACCCTTCATACAGTAAATACACGGGCCAGGCATACAAACCGCATTTCTGCTTCTCTTCTTTATCAAGAAAGAGATACCAAAAAGACGACCAATCATTCCGTTTCCCACAGCATGCCGATTCGGGTAGGAATCGTTGGGCTTTCTTCGTCCGGAGGCTGGGCTTCAATCGCCCATCTTCCTTATTTACGCGATTCAACCAAATATCAGATTACGGGCTTGTGCAATTCGTCCGTCAAGTGCAGCCAAGATGCCATCAGCAAATATAAGCTCGACTCAGCCCGCCCCTTCGACTCGGTTGAGAAGCTCTGCACCTCGGATACTGTGGACCTCGTAGTCTGCGCAGTTGCCGTTTTTTCCCACTACGAAATCGCCAAGCCGGCCATCGAGGCCGGCAAAGACGTTTATGTCGAATGGCCGTTAGGTGTGTCTACTGCGCAGGCGCATGAGCTCACGCAGCTAGCAAAGGACAAGGGCGTCCGGACCATAGTCGGATTACAGGGAGCCGTTTCTCACCTACAGACGACATTGAAGCGCGTCGTCGACGCAGGCTACATCGGAAAACCTTTGGTCACGCAGATTTTCGGCAGCGCCTGTACTGGGGAGACTGGCGTCAAGATCGACAAACGATACGGCTATTTCAAGGATCGTGAAATCGATGGTGTTGATGGGCAAGTAATGCTGTCCATCTATGTGGGTCATACTTTCGAACCCCTGGCCAAGCTGCTGGGAGAGCCAGCATCAGTGTCGGCGCAGCTGCGGACTACATGGCCTACGGTCGATGTCCTGGATGGGGACAAGGTCATTCAATCGCAGGTTGAAAAAACGGCAGACGATTACGCCTCACTTCAGGGAACGACCAAGTCAGGCGTCACATACACATATACATTCCGCGGTGGCGATGCGTTTGACGACGGAGAGGGGCTGGTCTGGGACATCATAGGCGACAAGGGCCAGCTACGAGTCACGGGAAGCACAATCATGTCCAATATGGGTGCCGAGGATTATAAAGTAAGGCTCAAAGAGTACGCCACCGGACGAATTGAGGAGGTCTCTCTTGACAGGCCACTAGATCTGCCACTCACCTCGCAGAATGTCGGCCGTATATATGAGAACTTTGCAAGTGGAGGAGCACACCCAACTTTTGATGATGCCTTGAGGAGGCATCAGTACCTGGATGCAGTGTTTGAGTCCGCCTCCAAGGGTGGTGCCCAAATTACAATCTAAGTTCTTTGCGGTTGATTGCCACAAGAGTCCGAGTTATGTTAGCTCTGCAATATAGCTTTGCGAGGGCAAGAAAAGATAGTATACAGAGTGTGCGTTTAAGACATTAGCTAGATGGACACATGTCCAACATCAAGCTTGATTGATGGTAAGCCTGTCTTGATGCCATGATGACGATTCTCAGATCTCGCTCAACATTGGCGTGCACAGCGTCCATGGCCTTCTTCTAACCCTCGACATGCTCTTGCGAGTAGATGCCTGGCATGAAAGTCCACTCGACTCCCGGGGGGCAGGTCAGAGTATCTTCTGAGAGCTAGATGATGCCGCCGTGTCAGAACTCAACTCAACTAGTCGCGGTATAGAGGATTTATTCTTACGATTAGGCCTGTGCCTGCACGCTCGGCGTAGTAAGGTGCGTGGAGGTTCTAGAAATAGCCGGTGGGGGAGATGTCCCCCATCTAGACAAGCGTGTCAGATGGGATCTCACTTGGTTTGCGTACCTCGGATGAGCTTGCAAAAGGGACACGCATGTACTCGGCCTGGCCGCCATCGATACTCCTGGTTCCCGCACCGTTTCCTGCAGGACCAGTCAGTTACAGTGCTGCATCGGAGGCAAGGTCCTAAGAGTCTCAACCTACAACAACCTGATCCCCCTTCTTCAGGTTCGTCACCTGGCTTCCCAGTTCATAAACCACACCGGCAAACTCGTGAACGGGGATGAAGCCCGTGGGGACATTCTAATGACCACGGTACCAGTGAAGATCGCTTCCACAGAAAGCAGAGACGGTCATCTTGACGATGGCGTCTCTGGGGTCTTGGATGGTCGGGATGGGGCGGTCTTCGACCTGTACCTGTTTAACACACTTGAAGACGATATCCCTCATTGATGAGGTTGTAGCTATGGTGAAGTGACTTTGTTTCTGTATGTCGACTGGTGTTGTTTTGCTGCCTTGAAGCCTTGCTCTTTGAAGAAAGACCAAGAGAGTGTATTAGACCTAGAACTCTACCCTGTACATATGAGAGATTGTTATAAAGATGTTCACCCTCATTTGACAGAGAGGTTGGTGTGGATGTGGGGAGAGAGAAGCGAGAAAAGGGAGAGTTGGCGAGATGCGGGTGGTGGAGGTGAAAGGCCTGCCATGTCAAGGCGCAGTTACTAAATATACATTAAAACATTTGAGAGAAAGAAACAGAGACAAGAGGAAACTCACTTATGCTCCAGATTTGGGAGATTTATCATACTACAGAAACAAGTGCATTTTAATTGCTTCGTCGCTCAACCCATGGCTTTTACAGACACCATGAGTCGGGAAAGCTGAATCAACGTATTCTAAAAGTCAAGCCCATTATATCCGATTTTGACTGAACTACGTTCTTGGAAGATCCTTGCCCTCTTCCTCGGAAAACTGACAGTAAATGCTCCTGAAAACCTGCCCGGAGCATTTCTCGTTCTTGGCGGCGGTTCCATACAGCTTCCGCACTACGGGCTCTAGCATGCATTTGGCGCCCAGCTGCCGTGCAAGCTCCATCGACATCTCGAGCACACCATTGCAGAGCTCGGTAGAGAAGCCTCCCGTGAAGCCTGTGGCTGACGAGGCCGTGGGCGACACGCCCTTGACAGGGTTCTGCTCCCGGCTGTTGATGACGCCAGCGAGCTTGACTGAGTCTAATCCATACAGTCGGCCTATGTTCATTCCTTTGCAGACCCCAGTCGTGTTGACGGCCAAGAGATGTTGATGAGCTTAGTTGTCAGGCCTGCCCCTGCCTTACCACAATGGAAGATGTTGTCAGTCTTTCCCACCAAGGCCAGCATGGGGTTAATTCTCTCAAATACATCGTCTTCACCTCCTACCATGAAGTTCAAGGTTCCTGCGTTGGCACCGCCTTGGCCGCCCGACAGGGGAACATCAGCAAAAACACCAAGGCCGCTCTGCTGAACAACCTTGCCAATCCCCTGCGATGTCTTGACATCAATGGTAGAGCAGTCAATAAAAACCTTGCCCTCGCCATCCTCAGGGGACAGGGAAAGAAGGCCAGTTTGGGATTCTGTGAAGACCTGGAGCACATGCTCTCCACGAGGCAGCATGGTGATGATGACGTCCTAATTCAGTAAGCATTGAGTACAAACTTCGACTGTCACGGGATATCCACCCTCGTGTCAGGCGTCTGGACGTACACTTGTTTGGACTACCTTAAGCGGGTTTCATACCACCTCAACCTTGCCCGGCGTTATTTGAAAGACCTCATCACGTCAAGTCCAGTTTAGTTCACAGATAGTCAGAACCGACTACTCTGGCAGCTTACTCCTCAGGTTCTTTGCCATTCCATATCCCATAATACCAAGGCCGATGAAGCCGTAGGACTTGGCCGGAACATCATTTGTTTTGGAAGTCATGATCAAATGTCCAAGAATTACTAGCGGTAGTTGAGCTGTGCAGACAAGCAATGTCTTTTGGTTGTGAAGGCCTGCATTTGTTCGTCTTGCTCTGATGTTAATAATTATTTAAGCTCGGGCCGTTCCAATGACGCATTGAAATCCCAAGCCAAGTGTTTCGCGTCTGTTGGGGAAGATAATCGTGGGGTAAATACCTTGTATCCACGCTTACAGCTTCCGACCCAGAACCATCCTTGAACATCTATACTCCTATGGCAGCTTTGAGAGGCGATGGTCAGTTTTCCCAAGCCGGTTTGCAAGGAGAAAAAGATGGATCATGTGTCAGGACAGAGAAACCCCAGAAGAGCGTCCACGATTTGATTTTCGTATATGACTTGAGGTCGACAGAGGGGGCTGTAAGGAAAGCTAAGATAAAGTATGTACTATAGTTATATTGCCCACTGGTTGTTTGCTTGATCCCGTTCCGGCGACCTACTCCTTTTGACTGAGGCCGTGGACCTGACGGATAACATCTACCTGCGCAGCAGCAATGACGGAAGTCTATTGGAGGCATCTTGATGAGGATTGCAAGACCCTCCACGCTAAGGTCCCATGTTCTCCAGTACCTTGCGCCCTGTCTCGTAGCCGCTGACCCAGAGGCCTCTTTTAACTGACCCAATAAGTCCTAGTAGAACCCGTTAGATAACAGTGTGGAGGATTTGAGAATCCATCCATCCTCATACACGGGCGCATACATATCCGTGTTGGAGTCAAGAAAGAACACTGAATCGTTTGAAGAACAGTGCGACATTCAACGTTACCCATTCCCACTCATTAGTATTTGCATGGGTATGTGACACTAACTCAAAGGCGTAGCGAGCTGGTTATATCGGGACTGGTAGTGATGGCGGCATGTTCAGGTTTGTAGTGCAAAGATGAAGCCATCTAGTCGACAGTTTATCTGGTTATTGAGCCTTAACCTACATTTTTCCCCAAGGAAGATGAGATCCCTGCGAGTCAGCACTGCGCCTGTCTCCTCATAATCATGAAATTCCCCCACAAACAGGGATTTAGGGCGCTGAGATCATGAACAGGGGCCGGCTTTCGAGTTTGTCAAGACTTGGCGATCGACATACCCCCTTCCTTACGTCGAATGTGTCAGGGTTGCACACAACCGCTCATTTCCTTTTCGTACCAGGAACACAGGCATTTCAATTTCAAGAGGGCACTCGTCAATTTGGTAAACTCTTTCTTCCTTCTTCTTATTTTCTTCTATCCACTATACACTATCGACTAATGTTCCGTCGTCCATCAATCTAATCATACTTGTGGAAGACCTTGGCAATGACCTGCCATTTGCCCTCAATCTTGATCATAGTTAGGAAGTCTGTGTAATCGGCGCCAGAGGCGTCGCCCTCCATATCGATGCGGACGACAGCAGTTGTCTGAGTGATAGCGAGGACGTCGTTACGGGTCTTGATGTTAGGAGCGCTGCCCTCCTTCTTCATGAAGGTCCAGAGGTTGCCGATAGGACCAGCGAGCATGTCAGGCTTAGGAGGGCTGATGAAGCCGTACATGATGGCGTCCTTGTGGAAGGCCTCGGCGGCTATGTCCGAGCTGCCAACACGGAGACCCTCGACGTACTTGTTGGCCGCGGCGATGACGGCATCGTAGTCGGCGGTGGGAACGGTCTTGATGTTATTGGCCATCGTCTATTATGAGCCCACGAGATCAGAGGCTTGTTGCTATAGCTTGGTCGAAGCTCGGCTTTTGTCAAAGACTTACAGCGAAAAGAGAAGTTGTATTGAAATGATATGGCTGAAATGGTGATTAAGGATAAATGATGAATGGAAATGTTTAAAGGTGGTGAAAAACGATCCTTGGCATACGGACATACTGCCGATATATTAATATAAATCCTCCTTGATTCCCTTTGCCTGACAAATCAATTGTGCCCCTCCTCGAGCAATAGCCAATCCAGAAGGTTAGTAGGGAGTAGAAAAGACTTATCTCTATTATTCATGGCGGTTGAGACTAAGGTAGCCAGGTGGCTTGGAATAATTACTCCAAAACACTGGGGCAAATGAGCCCATTCACTTTATAGCCCGAATCGACAGAACATAATGTGGGTCACTTCGCTACGCTCGCTCTGACTGGTCAACCTCCCCCATTCGTCCCTCATTCTCGTCGTTAGTAACACAACCCGCTCGTCCCTCTCTCCTGTTGCTTAATAGCCGCCTGAGGCGTCAGGCATTAACAACCTCCACCCCCTCGTTCCTCGCCCCGCTTCGTTTGGGTGTTGCTGTCCACGACTATCGTGAGTGGCCAATCCCATGGTTCCATGGTCACCCCTTATAACAATGTTAAGAATCTTCTATTCTCATAAGGGGTAACTTGACCTCTCACTATATTCGAGTGCGGTACTTCGTACCTTCTTAACGATTTTTTGATGCTGTTAAAAATAAAGTGCTGGGACTCTTTTAAAGTACTTGCTGTATAATATAATGTCACTGCTGTTCACTTACATCTTTTTTATTTGGACAGAATAACTGTTTTGCCGGTAGTAATTTATTACTGTAGCCTCATAACGTACTCCTTCGTCACCCTTTATTTGCATATTACTTCGTTCTATCTCTTTGAGCGGCACAAGCCTCCAACAGGTCACTCGACCCACTTGACCCCACGTACCAGAAGGCTACAGAGACTTTATATAGAAGCAGCTATATAAGGGCCTGTATTTCTTTGTAACTTAGCTACTTCTATAGTAGTATAGCCTCTTTTCCCCCTACTTTTAACTGGCTATTAATTTTCTATATCTCTTCTTACTGGCTGTTGGCCTCTTAGATACAAACTGGCCTGTATTGGCAGAATTACTTCTTTTAATTGGCCTGATATCCCTGTCTTGACCGCTTTGGAGGCTTGTGCCGCTTAAAGAGATAAGAGATTTTAGAATTCTGGCCATCTTTTCTAGGTTATTCCTAATAGTCTACAGCCTACGCACTGGTGTATTACCACTTCAATTGAGGTTTTAGTTTAAAGATGATATAAAAGATTTAGTATATATAATAAGTAAATGCACTAGGCAAGCAAGTGCACCTATTTTTAATTAGCTAAGAGATTATCTTAAATTTAATTTAACTTTAGTCAAATCATATTAAGTTTTTAGAGTTAATATAATTACTATATTAAGAAAAGTAATTACAAGGTTAAGTTAAATATATACAAGAGAGAATTAATAAATAGTAAAAAAGTAAACTCTTAATGGTAAGACTAAAATAAGGAAAATATTATAATATAATTTATATAATATAATAGTTATAGCAAGCATTTCAGGAAAAAAGGTCTCGTCTTATAAGTAGGGTTATATAGCTATTAATAGAGATAGATAGAAAGGAATAAAATCCCCTTAAGACTTTGGCTTTTTTATCCTTTTTTATACTTAACTTTATGCTCTTTTAGTCTAACTAATTCTTATATTATTAAACTAATTAGTTAATTTTTTATCTTATAAAGATAACTTTATTTTAATTAAACTTAACTTATAATTTAAACTTAGCATATAATTAAAAGTATAAAAAATTACTATTTTATATAATCTTTTTTCTTATTATTACTTTTTATCTTTTAAAACAAGTATATTATATATATTTTATTTTTTTATTAATTATATATAATTATTATAAGTTAAAGAATTATATTTATAATTATTAAGATATAATTATAATAAATATATTAAAATTGTTAATGTTTTCTAAAACTATTAAATAACTTTAATAATTACTTTATTATTATTTTAAGTCTTTTTTTATTAATATTTATATTATAATATTTTGTTAGGTATTATTAATTATAAGTTAGATGTATTTTATATAGTTAAGACCTGTAGCTAAGAGCTTATTATTATTATATAGAACTCAGAATATTAAGGAGTTTGCCCTAACTTCTTATGCAAAGTTCTGCTACCATAGTTCCCATCTCGGCTCTGAGGCCCCCTTAGTTAAATCCTCGGAGAATTAAGATAGAATAAGAAAAGATAAAGATAAATCATTTTATAAAGGCTGCATCAGAAGCCAGCTGACAATTATCGGAGTGCTTGATCATAAAGGAAGAAACCAGACAATGATAGGAAATATGACATGATACTTCACGTGCCATCCAACTTATTCTTTTGACTCTTCCAGACTGAATGTTGGGACAATGGTGTTGAGATACCCCGCAGTTCTCCGCGTTGATCTCCTGATATGAGCACTCGGGTGATAACTATTTGTATTTCCCGTTATAGCCGTTACTCTGGGGTAAGCCCCAGACCCGACCTGTCCGTCAATCGTCATAAAATTTACATATGGAGGTTTCCCTCCCTTCAAAATCATCAAAATTGGTGAGACTCTGTATTGATGCATTTCTACTGTCTTATCCCGCCACAGAGGCTTAACATATCAAGCATACTGAATTTGTATCAAACCTGTAGAACTGTTGGCTAGATTTGGGTCGCATTTCTCCTCGGCTTCACCCTCTTGTGATGCACCCGGTAACCTCCGGATAATGTTGGGTGACAATCGTAGAACTTTAGTCAGCCAAAACGCAATCCTGCATTGATCGTGTGATTAGGTACTGTTCTTGTATTAGCCAAAAGTCTACGGAATCGATGGAGAGCGAAAAACGTAGGTGGCTCCATAATTCGACGTAAGAACTTGTAATTGCGCATAAGTATCGAGTGATGGCCGGCAATCTTTCGGGAACATAATTTCTTTTATTCTCTGCACGTCACCAAATATACTCAGTGCTACATATTACCTTGTGAACAGAATCTACAGTTTTGTCGCTGCTACCTGAAGACCCTTTATCTACTATTTCCCCATATTAATCACCAACCTTATCATATAGCCTGCCAGCCTCAAGGTACCCCTCAGCTTCAATCATGGCATGGGACTTGGAGATCGGAACACCTTGCTGGGTAGCAACTGGCGACGTCGAGATGCACAGACAGAGCGTCACCCCTCGCCGAGCTACCCCCAAATACTTCCAAATTCCGGACAAAATCGAAATGCCAGGATCAATATACGACGACCTTCTTGAGGATGTTCGAGAAGGTCTGGAGGAGATCTTTGACCACCCAGGCTCCCGTGCACCCTTCATACCAGGGTACCAAGATCGTGCCGATGCGATCGCTCGTGCAAAGTTGTTGCGCGAACACGGCCAAAAGAGCTCGGATGTTATGATGGTACATCTCAGGCCTCCGTCTGGTGTGATTTCTCATAGAGAGTTGAATGTTTATGCCCGAAAGGTCGCATACAATGGAGAGGGATTGAGGGTAGCGAAGAAGAAGGTATATGTAATTTGTGAGCCTTTCACTAAGAGAAACATCGATCGAGTCGAACCAGTTCAGTTTGAGTGAGGGGGGAATGATTGGAAACCTGGTGTGTTATGGATGAAATCGGCATTTCCTTTTACTTGAGGTTGGTAGCAGGACACTCTTTCACATATCTTGTCGATAAGGAAATCATGACAGAATGAATTAAGATGCATCTAATAATATCTCTAAAGCAGGAACACAAGCAAAGAATGATCCAAATATCCTCGAGGTCTCAGGAGATGAATATACAATACGGAGTTAACTATCTCGATTGATGCCCTTCTCACTGATCCTAGTAGAATGGCCTTGCATAAAGCCCTCAATCAGGTGGCGAATGTAAGAAGCTCGACAATCCTCAAGTACGTCTTCGTACGACGCCGTGAGCTTCTCATACCCAATTTTGCTCATTAATATGGACTTGGCTACATGCGCTGTGAAGAAGTGGACTTTGAGACTGTGATACTGAATCAATAGCTACCTCATTTTCTTCTCGCTTCCTCGGGAATCCATTATACGGTATGTGGCACATTTGCGTTGAAGAAAGGGTTTCTGAAAAGTGGTAACCGGTTGTGTAGTCAGTATCCTACGCGTCAGGATTGATGACCTTCTCGAACCCATGACATCATAGGCAACTGATATGGCATGTTGCTGATTTATGCAAAGTGATGGTAAACGCTAAAGTGAACCGAAATATCCGAATTCAAATGTTATCGACTGCATTTTCCAAGTGACTGCCTAGCAGATGACATTTAGACTGTACCAAGACATTGCTATTGAGGATTTTCAGGATTATGCATCCTGAGCCGTCTCAAGCATCATACAAGTCACCAGAATCTCTGGGGAAGTCCGAAATCCCAGCCTTCAGAATCCTCTGCCAGGCCTGGAACTCCTCATCGCCCCGAGGTCCATAGATAACGGTATATCCCCAAGGAATGCGACAGCCAGTGAGTTTATGTCACTCAACCTACCCTTTTGCAACGACCGTTTGGGCATCATGCAAACTTATAAATAGAAGAAAGCTGTCCTCTCGATGCCTATACGCAAATCCATCATTTACTCGCTTGGTGATGGGCGGTATCTCCCTAGCCCGTGCAATGCAGGGGGATGTACTGAGCCTCTAATTTACAGAGAATTTGGCCGTGAAAGGAGATGAGTCTCGAGCTACGATCTCGTTGAGCAAGGCCAGTTGGAGGACATGGACTATGATGACGGAGAGATACGAATACGCATTGTATTATTTTGATACCAGATATTTGAGGGCTCTGGACCTTGTGAGACTCTTGAATCTCGGCCAAACATCTTCTAAGATCTTTATACCAGTTCATAGAAGTCCAGTTTTCATCAATGTATAGGACATATGGCCTTTTTCCAAGCATATCGAGAGTCAGACGCAATCTGTAACAAGAAAGAATCTCAAAAATCGTTGTTTTGTGAGGATTCTTGCCATCTGGCACTGTTAGCAGCCGTATTGACCTCTTTGTCTGTTTAAATCTGCTTAGACTTGGCACCGGGTCGACTTTGCAACTTGGGGTTGAAGCTATTGGGAGGCTCATCTTGTCGTTATACCGCATACTTTCATGAAATTCGGTAGCGCCTGTGGGGTTGTGTTAGGCCGAGCTAGTTCACTCATTTGATCAATAATGTTTTATTTATGAATTGGCCAATTAAATGCCCCAATTTAGTCCAAACTGACCTACAGTACCGAGCTTCATGAAAGTATGCAGTACAGTTAAGGTCAGAAGAGGACTGCATTTGTTAGTGACCATCGTTGTAATAAGTAAGTGCAGCGAATCGACTCACGATGAAGCTGGCCAGTTTGATAGGCAGTGGCATCTTTCTTTTTTTCTGGAGCCCTGATTGAGAAAAGCAGCGTAGAGCGCCCTGGAAATGTCATTCAATTCAGGAGGCCCATCTTTGTCGCTAGGGTCTGCAACAGCTACGAATTCGACACTCTCTTTGGCTGCGGTCACTATCTCACGAGCGATATTCATCGAGTTTTGAAGATATTCTTTTTCATAGCTCTTTTAAAAGTCTCAAATGCCTAGCTCTGCCGCTTGAGCCAATGCAGGTCGCGTGAGTCCGACGCGCAGTGGAGCATGACGACGACGGACCATCTCAACGAAGAAAGGAATTGAACGAATGAGTGACTATTTAACAATTAAATGAATGAACAAGGAAATGACTACCTATTGGAAAGAAACACGAGAAACGAGATCAATGTTTATCACTTGGTTCGGTATGTATAAACGGCTCAGTGTCAGAGCAGGGCGTTATAGCGAGGTTGATAGGGAGGTATGCCTGACTCAATCGTCGCCCCGTCCTTGAATATCCCCCTGCAAATCAGTCTGACATGCATTGAAGCCCTTGTAATATTTAGATCGGCCCTGTAGGATTGGCGAGGCAATCAAGTACACATCTGCCGATACCGACTTTGGGGTTGACTGAACCCGATGAATATGTGATGAGTTGGAATCGTCTTTACGTATTGTTACAATTCTTCTACCTTCGTCTCTTAGCAGATATTTCTCCTGCTTGTCGGGGCCCTCCAGGCTCTTGTCTCGTCAATCTTCAATGCTGTATGCATTAGGGTTTAATCTTGAGTCGTCCTGTCCAAAGTGTTGCGGATGTTCACAGCCGTTGAATGAGATGTAGCGTAGTGAACAGCTCCCTACGCGTACATCAAAGTTTCATTGGATGCCAGCTCCTCGATCCTTCCGTGTTCGCCCTCCTATCATAGGAACAAGCGACAGGGATGAACGTGCCATGAGCTCGGCTGTTCGTCGATTGTATTTCAAATCTCTTGGGTTTTATCTTGCCCGCATCTTTACCCCTGAACCTGTCATTGTTGATGACCTTTACTCTCTTGTGCTTTTCTTCGCTCTCTCCTCAAAATCGCTCATTGATTGTTTCGTTTGGTCTGTTTTGTTATTCCATCACTTTGCCATGGCGTTGTCGTGGAAGCCCAGTGCTCCGGCACTGTGTATTGCATCAGCTGTTCACTCACAGGAGTACGAGGTATTGATCACCTCCAGCCGTCATGGCACTGCATTGAAGTCAACCCTTGACATTTCCCTGCCAACAGCAACCAGACCGCCATCAGAGGTGCTCCCTAAAGATACAATCACCGACCGAGGCGTTATTGCCGGGCCGGATACCACGAGAGAAGCAATATTTCCTGCTCTTGGTACTACCTCAGAAGCAGACTTTTGTCCCCGCAACGGCTGACTGTATGTTGCCAGTGTACAAGGTGCCATCTCTGGAACTCCCAAGTTTCAAGTGAAACCCCGTCCAGGCGCCTGACACTCCAGACTCCACGAATGATTCCGATGTAACTGATTTACCACCAACAACTGGACCTGCCGCTGAGGGTCCTCAACCCACGAATACGCAGGCTCCCAGTGACGGTGCCATTGAGGCCGGCCCGGTCAAAGTCTCCCCGGACGTCCGCCCTAATAAGGAGTCTGCGCGGCCGCCCGTTGAGAAGACTACCTGCCAGCCTGTTCCGGACCCTACAACTAAGGCTGAGCGCCCCGAGCCCGGTGAGACAGAGAATAGCCCCGGTAAGTCCTTGGGGATAGCGGAAAGGGGGGAGGGGGTGGCAGACTGTGAAGATTCCCCTGTTGACGGACAATGCTTCCCCCTTCTGCACCACTGCCGTTGGAGGCGAACGTGTCACAGGCGCTGGTAGCCTTATCGTTACATACGCATGAGCAAGACCATGCTTGCACTCTACTCACTGGTAATACAACCACCGCTCATGATTAAGGAAATGCCATCGTTGTCTCTCCTTTTGGTTGGTTCTGAAAGCCCCGTGGGGGAGAAGGCGGCGGCGGTGGTGGTTTCACTACTCCCCGTCCCCCGACTGGAGATCCAAATGCTGAGCAGAAAGTCGATGACGACAGCGACGACGGTTAGTAAGCGAAAAGGTAAGTCATGCAGCTTGGTCAGCAGGAGCCTACTGCAGCGAAGCCAGCCCTTACTCAAGCCACCACGACAATTGAGGGTTGCAGACTCAGTGCTCAGATTCAGCCCGAATGCACCAGGACATTTTCGTAAATGGCCTCCGATGGAGCTAAGATCGCGTAAGCTTAAACCGCCTCTTCCGAGAGAAAACAACGCTAGATTTCTGTCAGAACTCAGATTCAAGGCTGTCCTACCATCGTCAGTTGTGCCCTGTAGACTCAGACCACTGCAACCCTCACCATCTCGCCAGAATCGGATCTGATCTGAGATGGAAAGGTTCCTGCGGATAGCGGAGATATGTATTTTGGATTTGGAAGTGCCGAGGTTGACGATGAGACAAAATCGCGATTGGATGCAGACTAAGGTATAGGGTGTTTTGGTCTTGACCTTGATACTGGAAGGGAGAGACTGTCGCAGAGCACTACCACCTGTAAGAGTTTTTGTCGAAACATCGTCTGGGATTCAGATTACGAATATTGTGACTAGTCATTGTGCGGTTATTTCATCGGCTATTGAATGAAGCAAAGCCGACGCCACCGTCTCTGCCTTCGATGCTGTGCTACCCACCTCAAACAACAAGCAGCGCTCTTATCACCACCACCCGAGCCTCATTTAACGCAATAACAACAATCGATGCTGCAACCATCGCTGAAGATGTACGCATCTACAAACCTTCTGTGGCCCTTGGTGGACTGCGAGCTGACAACCCTTACTGCCAATATCCAACCACCATCGACGGCGAGCAACCTGTTGCTAATGCTTCCCTTATTCACGACCAATATGAGACTTGTAGTGACTACCCCTCCTCAGTTACCTCCGATGCCCCAGTCAATGAGGCCCCTGTTCCAACTCTCTTCACAGCCACCAGCGATGGCACTGTCCGCGCTTACCCGACCTACGCTCGAATGAATGCCTGTCTACACGCTACTAGGTGATACGGCGAGTTTCCACCTCCACGCCTCTGCGTACACAAATTGTTGTTGAAATCAATGGCAGCGGTCGGCGCGTCACAAATTTCGTTGAAACAAGGCTTGAGAGAGACTTGTGACCGCGCCAACAACGAATTTGATGCGGTTATTGCCTTCAAGGGTTACACGGTAAGGTTTAGTTGATCAAACAAGGGATATCTTCATGGTTACCACGGTCGGCCAAGCTACTTGCACTGCCAAGTATGAGTGTGACGGCTATGGGATCGGTATGAAGGGCAGCAGCATCACTGAAGAGTAAGTGAAAGTGATCCAGGTTGCTGCTGGATTTCTCGCCCGAATGGATTGGTGTCAACGTACTCGGTAGCTGCGAGAATGCAAGCAGAATGACAGTGTCTGGATATGTGGACATGTTCACTCGTTAAACTCGTGCAGAGGTACGATGGGCTGTTGCATAAACTGTGATAGCAAGGACTAGCTCGAACTAAGCACACGGGCACTAAACTTGAGACATACTGAGGATGGGTGATTCTATCCCCAACCAGAGTGATTCGCCATACAATTTCATCAAGACTTCATGCTTTAAGGCCGAAGCTGTCATCTCTCTGTCCCAATCCCTCTATCTTGCGTCCATAAGAAAAGGTAGAAACCATAATCGGGGATGGTACATTTACTGCTGGAAGAGCTTAGCAGCATCCGAAAGGGTCAGCTCCGTTGCTTTTACTGGTGCTATGATCCCTGTTTTCTTTACAGCTTCTTGAAATCCAGTAAAGTCAAGGTTTCCATAAGATTTAATCCAGTATTGAATGCCTGGAAATACTTGCGCGGCATCAAAGTTCTTTCCAACTCCCTTAAAAACCAGGGGTTGCTGATCAGGATCGACGCTACATCGTTCACCCAAATCATCTCGCGGGTTTCGATCATAAATCAGCCAGACAGGATGTTCAGTCGCGACGGCATCAATGACAAGGACATAATCAGTGTCAAGGAAGACGTTGTTTGTCTTTGCATTGGATCTCTTCTGTAACTTCCCGACAGGCAATACTAGAGAAGGAAGAGGTTGGCCGGAAACTGAAGGTATGACAGTCGTGGGAGTTTCGAGGGCAGGATGAATCGCGTGCTGACCACCAATCTGGAGAGAAAGTAGTGAAGGATGGGGATCGTTGTCGTCAAAGCTGGTGTCGGGTGAGGAGGAATGCTGAGGGAGCGGCAGTTCCTCCGTGGAAAGTGCTCCAGGATATGGTGCAATAGCAAAGGTATTCATGTCATCGGTGACAAGATCGAATTTGCCGAAGAAATCAGTACCCAAGCCGAAACGATGATCAGATATGGCGACATGGTCTGAAAAGTCTACTATAGTGAGCTGCTCGAGCCATTTTTTTGGTGATAGACGTGGGGATTCTGTGTCCACCGTTGATGCCCTTTCCAAGAACTTTGTTAGACTGTTGTCTTTTTTTGTCTCTACCTCCAGATTCCGCATATATTCGCTTGGAGGTACTGGAGAGATGAGATCAGCCTCATGGCACTTGAGAGAGTGTACTAAAGGGGGAGCTTTTACCAGCAAAAGGAGGACCAACAGCCTTCCTAATCTCCGCGAATCTTTCGTCAGAAATTTTATGGGCGGCCATTTTTGTGCTTGGATTTGATAGAAAGCGTAGGACTTGGATAATTGCGAGAGTATGAGTATTTGCTGAGATGTTTCTGATGGCAACTAAGTTGAAAGGAGAAAAATGGCAAGCTGGGTGTCTGAAATTGGTTGTGGGGGTCAGTGGTGGAATATACGTTTGGAGCTGCGCGATAGTGCGAGACGTGTGGCAGGCGGGGGAGAGCGATTGTCACGGGGTAGGGGTGGGGTGTGATGCGGTGTGATGCGATGTGATAGATATGGTGTGATGAATATTGCTTCAGCTAGTCATCGATCTGTCCCGAATGGAGCCATGAATGAGAGGGTGGTGACACCGAGGAACCTCACTTCGCTGTCCACAAGTTTCCGAACGGGAGATCGAGGAGATGGAGGAAAGTTGAGGGCAGTTGCCTGGGAGCTGATCAAGGCCAAGTTATTCCTGGCGACACAAGGTTATCTCACATTGATTTTCAAAAGTTCCGTAGCCGAACGGAAGAGCAGGGGGGGTTGAGGGAAGTCAAGGGGCGTCGGGAAAAGTCGAGGTCGAGTTCCAGGTTATTACTGTGACACAAAGATACCCCGCCATCACTTTTCAAAAGTTCCGATGCCGAACGCAAGTCCAGCCAGTCAGAGAAGTCAAGAGAAGTGAAGGTCCAGGCGCCAAACAGAAGATCAAGCAGTTCGGAGGTGTTCAGGTGCTGGGGAGCTGAGCGAAAGCGAGAGTTGTGTTCACCCAAAAGCAACAAAGCTAGAAAACAGCCCACTATATAATCTTTACAAGGCACCTCATTCTACATTAACAACTTAGTACTCACAGTACACCGTTTCAACTTTTAATCACCGCTAAGGATTTTTTCCCCTACGCCTTACAATCCTGATTAGAGATGCCGATCTACCGCGAACCAAGTATCTTCTATCGTGAAGTGCCGTCCTGGCAATGGAAGAACCCAGATATCAGACAACGGATGACTATAGAGACATGTCTGCAAGGAGCATCAGTTCTTCGCTTGATAATGCTAGATCTTAAACTCGAACTTAAACGCTGTGCCAATATTCAGGCCGGAACAGTCGATGATGCTACTAATCTCATCACCCTCGTGGGGTATTTCCTCTTTGGGCCACTATGCAACATTTTGAGTGCTATGAATGAATCTAGGAAATCCCAACACTCGATCGATTTGAAAAACGAGTACAATGATGCTGTCTGGACTCTGTACTGCTCTGTTGTATTTGCTCAGTACGAACTAGACAAGCACTCGGCCACTCCAAGGGTGATGGACGAAGTGTACAGGCTCAATCTCTCCCAAAGTTCCTTCGACCATGCAACCTTCAAGCTCCCCTGCCTAAGCCCCATTGAGCTGCTTTTGAGAGTCGTAACGGCCCGCCAAAGTTGGGATAGCCTCGGTATGGACCCCTAAGCATGAACATGACGATGGAGCATGACTGATTGAAGCCAATGCTAGAGACCCTTTGTGCGGCATACGGGGAACTCAATATATCCGCAGAATCCTCTTCCGGGACAGGCCTGCCCTGTGTCGCTTTTATTTGCATGGGCATCTCGCCAAACGGCGATCCCACGTACGTCATAACAGTTTCAGTAGACCGTTGGGATGGCTACAGAGCACTCAATAAGTTTGTGAAAGAATCACGCGATCTCCGTTTTTCTGCCTTTTCGCATACAATTGAAACCATCGACCAGATTTCTAAAATTAAGTATTGGTCCTCCGAACTTTTCGGTCGGTACCACCGCAGCCGGTCCTCCCAAGGCGGAGAGACCCTGACAAGCCTCATCGAGAACCCTAAGGGTTATTTCACGCACGGAGGCGACGTTGCCGTACCTCTTAGGTGTCCCTCTTTACAGCCGAGAGACAGATGCACCCGATGTCAAGCACTCTTCAGATACGCAGTAATCCAGGATGTCGCACGTCAAGAGGTAGAAGGGAATCAGAGAACTGTCGGAAGAGTACCAAACCGAGGCTTGAGCTGTGCAGAGGCTCACGCCCACTTCCTTTGTCAAAACTTGGCTCAGAATGGGCACTCCAAGTGCGAGATGGTGGAAAAGTAGAGAGCTGAGATGGCTCTTCCAGGAAGCGTTCTAAGGAAAGTTAAAGACTTTATACTGTCAGGAAGACTGCGTTGTGTTATCACTTTTTGTAGCAATATTACTCACAGCTGTTTCGAGCATAGTTAGTTCAGTTTGTGGTGGAAGGTCTTATAGGCACAGAATCTTTCCCTTGTTATTGATAAAACCATTCATTAAGCCTTGTGGGATCTTAATTCGCCAAATCCCCTAAAGTTCAACAAGTGTATTGAAGAATTCTCAGAACCGGGCGAGTCCAGACTGCGAAGCCCTCCCACGACGAAGGGCCAGAGGTTGGGTTACAGCATTCATGTTCTTGCCAGGGTGATGACAACGGCGAAAGGCGTATGAAGAAGCTGAAAGGTGTGGCGTCCAGTGAGAACGCCTCACTGCAATGTGCCAATGATACCCTATGACGATCTGCTTCTGTGATTTGGTAAGCATATTTGCATCTCATACCACCATTTCCCGCAATTACCGGCAGGTTATAGTCATTAAGTTTGTTTATACACCTTGAACCCGGCTTGAACGTGTAACCCTCTTGCTTTAAATCACCATGTTAGTGTATGAATTTGCCGCCAAGGCCACCGGGTATGGATCCTTGCTTTGAGGTGGTTTACACTTTTAGGGAAGGGGTCTGAGGCATCGCTGGTTGGTGATTGAATGGATGTGACGGGGCGGTTATCGTGATTCGACTCCTAGGCGAAAGACGTACTCGTGTAGCAAGGAATGCTCTCCAAAGCGTATGAAGAGGCCATAGCATCGACAGTAGGCCCTACGATATCGGGAACGACGACGTCAACATAGGATACGAGATCAGCGACAGTATTGAAGGACAAATGCTTGGCCAAAGACGTACATTCCAACCAGTTCCTGTCGGGTTTGTAGTGGTAGGAGAAGATATTAAGGACCCGGATTTCCTTCGGATACGTTTCTTCGGAACGAACAGCTTCTCTTGATGCCATTTCGATGCCCCTTCAGAAAGATGAGGCTGAGGGTGCACAACCTCGTAGTCGGCGTGCGCATGCGATTTTGGAGGCTCAGTGCTTCGAAGGCGAAGGATTTTAATAAAGCCAAGGTCTTCTGCATCCTAGCATAATGTCATAATGGCTAAATTAGAGCTAGATGTGTTATTTGCAGTTGAGAGCTGAGGCTGAGAGCGTATAATCACCCCATAGAACTTAGTAACTATCATAATATCAGCAGTTCCTCAACTGTGATTCTAGAAACTTTGATCACTGACTTGTGAGTCCATCTCTGCGCACAAACGAATCAGTGGGTGATAAGAAAGGCGAGTTGTTGAAAAGAATGCTTCAGGCTTGCCTGTTATATGGTGAGTTAGTGCTTTTCATTCCATAATCCAATCTGGTTCAGGGATTTGGATAACTCACTTGGGATCAAAGCGTAAGGAACCGAGTCTCGCGACGCTGTGGTTACAAGGAAAGTCGAGGCGCTGCAGAGAGAGATCAATGGCGTTGTGGTAGAAGAAATGCATGCAATCTCGTGATTGTAGGATGAGCTCACGAGAGCGAGGTAAATTGTGATTTGGCGCTAGTGATTTATCGGGCTATAGCGAATATGCTTACATAAATTATTAATTAATTAAAAGAAATTTATAAGGTATATATAATACAACTACTAGGATTATAATAAATTCTAATATATATTAATAAAATTATAATTAATTATATAATAGCTTTAATTAAGAGATAAGTTATTATAAAGTATTATAATAATAGCTATTATTAATATTAATAAGTATAATTAATAGGAAAACTTAAGTTAGGTAATATACTCTATAATAAATAAATTAAATATAATATTCTTTTAAGTAAGTTAAAGAAAGAAAGTTAATTTAGCTATTAAAAGACTTATAACTAGTATTTATATTATTTAATTAAGGTAACAATTATATTATTAAGGCAAATAAACCTTACTTAATATTAACTTCTATTATAATAGCCTCTTATAAGGTTAAAAGTAAGAAAAAAAATGTTTACGGTTAATAAATATAATTCTTATTTAATATAATAGGTATATAAATCACTCGCCATTAATATTCGCTACCAGCCACCTCTGAAGTTCAAGGTGGATGAACAACAATCAGCCATGCTCAGACATCCCGTCCTCGGTGTTCTTCCCTGAACGTCTTATATTTGTTCACTTGTAGTCTTCTTTATGCACAGAAGGACCCAAAGAAAGCATCCCTTTCATTCTGCCCTCGTTCATCATAAAAGATAAGAGGTTGTCTGTCTAATCGATATCGGAGAGCGAATAGACTTAATAGTTAACCTTTAGAAGAACGATTGATCCTACTGCGAAGAAGTCTGTCAAATTCATCTGGCAATACAAAGTGGTTATGGGTGCGCCCGCTTGTTGTGCTCCCGTTTAACACGAGAGTTAGTTTGGATGATTTAAGGATTTCGAAACAACTTTGATACTGATTTGGAACATTATAATTCCCAATAATGATCTGTTACCTAGGTATTAACTCTCTTGTAGTTGCACTGAACCAAATAGCATAAAGATGCCTTTTTAGTGTTAGATATTGTTCGTCTGTTGAATAGTTTATGATCAGCAGCCCAGTCCAGTTGAGAATGAACTTGGGAGAACTGTTTAAATACACGCCTTTCCCGCCTAATGAATCAAAATATTCTTTGAATGAGGTAACGATCCATGAAGAGCCATTTCGATCCACGTCCTCAGTACTGGACTCCCTCTTCTGGTAAAACAGTTTCATTTCAGAATAGTTACCATCTGTTCGACCATAGAAGGAATTATAAACCCGGAAGTATATCATATATGCAGCTAACAATGGTAAGAAAATTGCGAAACTCTCCCCGTGATATACTCTTCAACCATTGTAAGTTCAACCGCCCTAGTGATGCTATGATCACAGAGAACCATCAAAGAAATCTTGGTGAACGGTAAGGTGACGCTGATCTCTGTTTTGAAGTTCTTGTGGGATCTCTATTGCGCAGTGTATTAGGATAGCCCGGTAGACTGGTTGTAACAGATGGCTAGCATTCTTTTACCATTTTAAACGCACCATTGGCAGTAGGAAAAACTAGTAGATGCCCCTCCACAGATGACGCTGGCGCTTCGCAAACTGTGGGGGACCTCTGGCAGTAGTTCTGGCTTAAGATACCAGTGGTGCTTCTCTTCTTGAACTTGTTCTCTGAACAAAAATGGTGTAGCCAGTGGCTAGTTTGATTCCTTCGGGCTCCTTGGGGGCTCTGGGGACGTCTTCGGCTAGGAGGTCGGTGTAATCCATGCTAACTCCAGTGGCACTGTAGTTGCCAGGGAGGCCATTGAAATGCTCAGACATCGTCATACGAACAGTTTAGGCATTCTCTTTTCAAAGCACTGGAGGGTTAGTAAGCGGCACTGTTGGAGAGCAAGGTCTGATTTATAGCGACTTATCAACTGCCACATGAAGCGAAACACGGCCAAGTGATCTGAACCCTGGGAGACCGTGACCGTCAGTAGAATATCACTGGCCACTGAATCTGACTCCACAACAAACAAGCACTCGCTGCATGTAGTTTTGCACTGTCTGGACTCTCTGTTGCTCATCCTCACATCCATCGCCCATCTCTCCTCCGTTTTACCTCCCCTCTGAGCCTCAATCTCCTCTTCCGTATTCTTCACCTCACAACCCCTCACCCTCACCCTCTCTTCTCTCCCTTCTTCCTTACTCTCATTTCATCTATCCCTTTTACCCTGCTGATAACGCATCTCGCAACCACTCAGCATTTTAACTCAACCACTGAGCCATCTCCTGTCTTCCACGCGTCGAGAGACATCCAAATCGGCATCTCTGAAGCATGCGATTATCGTAAGCTCTTATCAACGACCGGTACGAGCCTGCACCAATGTTGTAAGACGTGGAGAGACCGAAACTAACTGTTGATATCTCAGGACACTTGAGTCTCAACATAACCGTCACACGCACCGATATCCGCCCCTCCACTACGAAAACATCGACAGAATGGCGTCACAAGAAGTCGGATCTGACAGCCTCGATCCCCAGGATCAGGAGCTCGCTGAAACCCACCACATCGCCGACTATTCTATCGTGCATCCTGAAACCCGTACGGGCATCGCTGTCTTCGATTCTAAAAACGTGTGGTATCTTCCAAAAGCCCTTCGTGTTATAAATAGTTTCGACATCCCAGATATTTCGCGGTTGAAAATTTCCGCCAAACTCGCAACCAAGTATCTGTCGTTTGCCAGTGAGGCTGATTTCATCTCTTATGCCCATACCGTCCTACCAGGTATCGTGGGACCTGCCATCGACGTGATGGCATCAGACAACTACGTGGAAAAGATCCGACAGTTCGATAGCACTTCCTTTGCCTGGGGGGCAAATGGGGGCAATGAAGAACTGAATGAACATCTTTCAAAGCTTAACAGGTTGGCCCTGCATTGCGTCCTATTTAGTCCCGGCCGCGTTCAATGCCCAGCAGACCTTATGTATTTCTACATGGGACACTATCAGGTGCGAGATTGGCTCAATACTTTCGCTACCCTTATCACCGAACCGAAGCTGCTTCCGTCCATTCGAACGGGCTACCTAGGATTTTCGGCCGGACTTCGCATAGAAATATTTATCCTTGCTCATGCTGTGCAGATCATGCTCTTTGCCCCCATTCAGGGGCGTGAGGATGCGTCCTACAAATCCACGGACTCATACCCCCGTCGCTTTCCGCTTGGATATCCCGAGCCGGGTCCTGATGATGTGATGATCTGTGGCAAGTATAGCCTCGATGATCTGTACCGAGCTCTCCTTCTTATTTTCTTCATTCTTCAGCAGCGGCCCGGCAAAGATGAAGACCCTCATATCTCTCAAAGTTCAGAGGTTTGGTTAGGATATACCACGGTCCGTTCCCACTATCCCTGGAATGAAGCTATCAACCCTTCATCAGTGAAGCCCTTTCCATTTGAGAAGCTTCCTCGAGAACTACAACTTCGGATCGTCGACCTTGCAACTTCACCCAAGGTCACACCGACTATAGAAAGAAGGGAGCATCGAGGGAAACGAACGGCCCGTAAGATCCAGTGTACATCCGAAGACTCATTTCTAGCCCTCAAATTGTCGTCTCGAGGCATGTATCATTTGGTGAAGACTGCGAACCCAGTTGTAGCTATCTACGACTCTGTTATCATTCCTCCGCCCGGCCGAGTAATATTTCGAATGAATCTGAGGGTCGACACACTGAGATTATTCTACGATCACGATGGCCTTCCGAAGTTTTACGACGCACATGGCCGGCGTGCACCACTTCCCGTGCGCAAGCTTCTCTCGTTCTCGGAATATTACAATCGTGAATTTAATCAGAATCACCGTGAGCCTTGGTGGTGCCAAAGACCTCTCTGTCCTATATCTTTGAATCTCCATAATCTTCCAATGTTAGAGGAGTATTCCTTGATACTTCCTGACGCAGACAAGAAGTGGATGATCGAGGGGCTTCCGCGAGTCAGACCTCAAACCGACAATGAAACTACGGCGCATATTGGCACCAAGTGGCAATTCAACTATTATCGCTACTACGAAGCTGAGCGACTCCACACCGAAACACCAGAGGGATTCCCTATGGGGGTTCCGCCAAACTTCTGTGACGATACGCACCTTGACGGTCCTAACCCTTCCGACCGTCCTGGTAGTATCCCGTATATCGGAAGATACGGATATGAGAGAAGCAAAGGCATAGTTGGCGGGCATTGGGCTGGGTTCAAATACTTTCACGAAACTCAGGAAGTCTACTTCGCACCTCTCTCATGGGACGAAGTTAAGCCCCTAGCAATAGGTCCCTATGGAAAGAATGGAGCTGAAGCCTTTTTTCACAACCATACCCCGCAGTTTGTGGCAAAGGTCTGGATCATCCGACAGGGGACGACCGTTCCGAAAGGATGGGTCAAGGTGCGGGATGTAGGCCCATCTGACCCCACCTGGAGACACCAAGTACTGATGACATGGAAGCAATTGTGTTACACGTTCCATATCATTGAAAGTTCCCCTTCCGATTACTCTTACGACCTTCACCAGAGATAGATGTTGTCTGAGGAGGGATCACGAGCCGCACCGGAGAATCAAGCTCATATCCTTCCTAGGGTCGTGTCTTGAATGGACACCTTGCTTATGGAACTGATTGAGTGAGAACCGGACCTGCACGAGATTCTGTAGATATAAGCTTGGGAAGTTGACGTACTAAGAATAGACTAGATCTCAGCTAATAGGTTTTGTTACGGATAATTGTTACTATAGAAGGAATTAAAAAAAAGAATAAAAAAAAGGTTTGCTATTCTTCCTCCCTTATTAGAGTGATATAACCTAGGAAGGTTTGATACGTCGCTGGTTAAAAGCAGGTTGGACAGGTACTAGATATTTGAAACTTTTCCATTCGCTTCTCCTTGTGCTTAGATATCTTCAAAAACTTTTAACGCCCTCTCAACCCTTTCCCATACGCCTTGCACACGATTTGCGCAAAGACACGTATTTCCCTGCATGTATTTTCCGAAGATAATGAACCCCTCAGGAAACTTGAAAGGAACCTGACTATGAGCGATATACGATGCTGGAGTGGTGTAGCCCTCGGCGTTACAGCAGCCGCCGAGAAGTCAGCTTGGAATAAACCAGCTTATGTCCATTTCGAGTACGATATCTGTAAATACGGGTAGCTACACCATCTAGTCGAGAGCCATAGCTTGATACGCTTCTACCTGTTCTCGTGTCCTCTGCTCATTTAGAGCAGTCCTGATTTGTAGAGCAATATCGCTGGTTGGCTTTTACCTGAAGTCCTTGGCTGAGAGGAGTGCGTTGGCAAATCCAAAGCAGTTAGAGATATATGGCTTGCCTAGAGAAAGGAGATCCTTTTCGAGAGACATTCTGAGCGACATGGCAAATTGTATCGTGATGGGTTGATCTAAGTCGGATGGAAGATGTGACAGGGCGATTCGCGACCACCAGGCAATAAGGACATCGCTTTCTGTCAGGGAAGAGTTCTTATTCCCAGAATCGATGAGCTCCTGCAAGGCTTTGGTGTAGAGTTTCTTAAGAAAGCAACTGGGTATATAAACCATTCGTGTCTCCTTTGCCCATTACATTGAACCAGAAGTATTTTTACTAACCTTATAACTAACTAATAAACCTAATACTATTATTACCTTTTAATTGCCCTAAACCTTCTTTCTAACTCTCCCTTATAGCCTATATAATACTAATATATATATTACCTTAAAACCTTTATTAAATTAACCTTTTCTTATATATTAATATTTCTTAATAAATTTAATAATTATATACTTTATATTAAAGCTAAATATATATTATTTATATAACCTTTATTTATTAAAGTTTTTCTTATAGCCTTTATATTAATTATTTTATTAAAATTCTTTTTTTTTTTTAAGTTTATAAGTTAGCCTTACAAGGTATATTTAAGTATTTCTAAAGTCTAATATAGTTTAAATATTTATTACCTCTATAGCTAGTAAAGCTTTATTAAGTTAAATTATTATAGTTAGCTACCTTAATTATAGCCTAAACCTAGCTATATATATGCCAGCTAAAAAGCCCTGCTTATCAGCTGGCCCTAACCTTCTTCCTATAACCCACCTAAAAGGTCTTTCATCGACCTCTGCTACATACCACGCTTCAATCATCCATCACGCAGTAAGTCATCCGACCTGACCTAACTTTCCCTCTTCTAGCTGCAACCGCTAACAGCATCACAGCTGCCCCGTCACGATGCTCTGAAGAAGCCTGCAGGCACCTAGGCCTAACAAGCCTTATCTAACTAAAGGCTATAATATAATCCTTAAGATTAAAGAAGCTCTTAGGCGAAATAAGGGCAAGGGTAATATACTATATATAATAGCTATAGATATTAGAAAGGCCTAATTTAATAAGGATAATATTAGTTATATTAAGATAGTAATCTTTAGTTATAAGATCCTCTTACTTATATAATCTATCTATAAGAACCCTCTAATTAATAAAGACTTCCTTAAATATAAGAAGTAGAAGCTTAAGGATTTAAAAAGGAAGCTATATAGAGGGATATAGCCAAGCAGGAGAGAGAGGGGGTTCCTTAGGGCCCTTAACCTAGGCGGCTTATATAATAAGTAGCTTAAGGATATTTAGTAGTAGGCTAAGGAGGTATTAGAGAAGACTAAGAACCTGTAACGCGATATAGATAGAAGTAGGGTAATTGCAGGGTTTAGAGGAAAAATATATTAAGTTTTATATAAGTTTAGTTACCTAAAGTTAAAGACCTAAAGTTATAACTAAATTTGGCATTAGCGGCAAAAAGAGGATTAAATAAGTTATAAGATAGATTATATAACTAAATAAGCAAATTAGCTATAATATTAATATATTATTAAAATAAATAAGGCATTTTATTAATATATTTCTATTTATATATTAATTAAAAATATAATTTAAGCTTAATGTTTTCTTTTAATATACTTAAATTTCTTCTTTTTTATCTTTTAGCTAGCTTTTAAAAAGGTATTTAAGGTATTTCTTTCTTATTTAATAGCTTATTTAACCTTTTAAAAAAGGTCTTTAATAATATAAATAAAAGTATAAGTATTAAAAATAGCTAATTAGAAGATAAGGTAGTTAAAAAGCCTTTTATATTCTTTAATATTAATAATATATTATATTTAATAATTTATAGCTTAAAAAGTATTAAAGCTAGGTTTATATTAAAAAGATTCTTTATATTTTTTAATATCTTTTAAGTTAAAGGATAATTAATTAATATATTAATTTTAAAACTAATTAAGGTAATTTATATAAATAAGCTTTCTTTTTAATATTATTATCTTACTTTCTTATTATTTTATAAGATTTTTAATTTTTATAATATTAAGTTAAATTATTTTAATAAATATATTAAAGCTTTTTATATCTCTTAATATTAAATAAAAAAGTTATAATTTAGGTTTTCTTTTATTAGTATTTATATTATAATAATTAATTAGGCATTATAATATAATATCTAAATGTAAGCTAGATATATTATTTATAATTAAGACCTGTGGCTAAGAGCTTATAATCACCACACAGAACTTGGTATCTCCTTTACTATAATGGTAAGGGAATATCCATTCTCCAGGCCGTACGTGAGCAATGAAGCCGCCGTCATTCGTTGATCTACGGGTGTGTGTGATTCTTTCGGATGTCTCCCCAGTTCTGCGAGAGGATCATAATCGAAACCTTGTTGTTCGGGGATTCGACTACCCTCCAGTGCCCGAACCCAACCATCAACCAAGCCCTTCATACCCATAGCATCGCAGGCTATGTGAAGCCAATGGAGTGTAAAGAGGGTAGCATCCTTGAAGGATAGGACATGGAGCCCCAGCATCGGTCGATCTGAGTAGATGAAATTGTCAATTGATTTTGGACATCCCGTACCGCATGCTAAGCTCAATGTTTCATCAGTCGCTCCAATGATGGCCGGTCTCGGTGATGGTTTTGATAGTCGTGAAGCAATTGGATGGTCATTTTTGAGAAGATCAGAGTGTTAAACATGATTGAAGCCAACGGCTGGTCGATCTTTGCTGAATTCGACAGGGATATGGTATTCGAGATAGCCATTATCCTGATACAGTATAAGAAAAATGACAATAGTATGAGGTAGAAATACCTTTTTTCTCAGCCGGCCGCCTAGCTTTCGCCATGTTCTCTGCGAGACCAATGTCTCAATGTTACTGCGGAGCTTCTGTAGATCAAGAAAATCATCAAACACCTTCAGAATATACAAAGGGATCCTTCTGTAAAGTGGACTATGATCCCAGACATGAAGTGGGATGACCTGGTCCGTTGGGACGAGAGCAGGGACACAAGGCCTACCAAACAAGAAAGACATTGCAATGGTTCTAAGTGCTTGAGGAAAGACACTGTGACCGACAAAGTTGGGATGGGATGCGGAACAGTATAAGGGGCTTAAGGTCTCGGGTACAGCAAGTTCCGCAAGGGATGGCACTGCCCACCGGGGTTTTTCACTGTTTCACCTACTTATATCATTATCGAGAGGAATGTTGGTGGATACGACAATGATGGGATTTGTTCCCCGACCCCCCAAACCAACAAAGAGGCCCTGTAAGGCGACCAACACGCCAATTGCGGCGCGACGCTCGCAGATCCTATTAGGTTTACTCCGCAATCTGGGACAAAACCTCGTTATGCGAAGTATTTAAAGGATGGGGCAATTTTGAATACAGCATGAGCAACTTACAACCTCGTTCGCGGAGAACCATAACCTTGATAGTAGCGCGCATCTTTGACAAGATGGCCTTCCACTGTAAGGGATCAAATACTAGACCTAACGCTTGAAGAGAGGATCTACTATTTTCTGGACGAGATCCGATCTGGTGTCTCAAGGCCCAAAGCTTTCGCCTTAGTGCCGGATTGTAACCCTGTGATCCGTAGTATCCACTGAACCCATAGGGACATCCCATTGTGTTGCCTCTCTTTGGGTTTCCAAACGCCCCATAAGCGGCAGGCATTGCTCAAACTCATTAATAACTTGACATCAAAGCCATGCGCTTTACGGCTGTGATTTCTCGATAAATACATCATGTATGGAATAATGGGTATCATGGGCGCTACATGCGTCATATGCGTGGGTTGGCTATTTGTCAACTGTGTTCCATTCGCAGCGTACTGAAATCCTGGCCTCGGTCACTGCAAGTCTGGTACAGGGTTCATGTACCTCAGTTACGTGGGTACGTCGGTTCAGGTTGCTGCCGATTGGACGTGTACTATTACGCCTTTCTTCATCGTCTATTCACTACAGATGAACAGGCGTAGTAAGCTAGCGGTCGTCGCGGTTCTAGGGCTAGGCGTGCTGGCTAGTATAGCTGCCCTTATGCGCATTGTGTCCTACAAGTACATCGACATCAACAACTACCCCAAGGACGCCATGTGTATGGTGACTGGATAAACCCTCTATGGTTCTTCGACTAACGAGCGCAGTATCCCAAGGCCGGCTTCTTCTTTGGTCTACTCTAGAATCAAGCTTGGCCGTTATAGCCTGCTCTTTGCCATCACTTAAACTCTTCGGTAGCTGTTTGGCCAAGTTGATGAACCTCTCAGGAGGAAAAGTCACTCCAGGACCGGTAAGTTACCTCATAACCACTAAATTCCCTGTATATATGAATAATGCATCTCTACCAGAGGATGCCATACAGCGGCGACATGCCTCTCAAGTCACTCAATTCCCATGGGCAGATACGCACTACCGCGTCAGGAAAAGGGAACTGGGATAGACTACACGACGATGACTCAAATTCAAGACACATTATTATGGAAACTCGGGTTCAGATTGACAGTCAGAGCAATATTGCGCTAGCAGACTCCGATAATCCATCGAGAAACGCCTAGCATGGATGATCTCTTTACACGACACGGGAAGACGTGTGAGACAAAATCACAACTATATACCATAGAGAATAGATGATTCGAGTCATTGAGCATGGGTTTATGCGCAATAAAGATGTATTTATGTAAGATGATTATCGACTAACGATGATAGTGATGACTCGTAACAAAATATATCCGTTGAAGATGGTGATGCCAAAGCAAATCTTCCACCACTCAATCAGTGATTCTGAGGTTCAAAGCTCGTCTGAAACTGATGATAGTTTCTATTGGGACGTAGTTGTAGATCCATTCAGCAAAGACCTGCCTTTGTAGGCTCACAAGCGCCGTTGCCCTTGTCACAGCCATTATAGCCCTGGCATTGAACCTTGGGATAACAGTTATTGGAGTAAGTGGCCTATAATACATTAGCCACGTAGTCACTCTCATGATCACGATACATACCTTATCGCCCAAGTTGGTGTTGATGCCCATCAGCTCACCACCGTTAACAGCAGTTGTACCCTCCATATGAACCGAGCGTCTGCAGTTACCCTTGCAGTTACCGCAAGACCTGTACACCTTGCCGTAATCGTTGGCGTAGAAGTTGATGATGTTGACATGACCACAGCCGTTATGCTGAATGATTTTATCAGCAGCCTTGTAGGCGCCACCTCCGATGATATTGGCTGTGCCGCCGCCCTTGATCGAGATGGCATCCTCGCAGACGTCTTCAAACCAGACGAATTCAAGAGTGCAGGATCCGAGGCAGTAAACTCCTTCGCGTTGGTTAGCACCGATGACAACGTTTCGAAGTTTGGCTCCGTCTTCGAGGACGAAAACGGTATCCTTCTCGCCTGAAGAAAAAGCAGTCAGTGACCGTTGTTGGCATGATGATATTCTGGTGATTTACCTCCTTCAGCCTGGCCGGTACATTTTACGCCACGATCGTACTTGACCCAGCCAGCGTCAAAAGTCTGGCCTTTCTTAATATATTGAGGAGCACTGAGCGTCTTGGTTCCTGTGTGCTTGGGAAGGCCTCCAGTATAACCCTTACAGGCGAAGACCGATGGGAGGGCCGTAAGAAGAGCAATTGCGTTGGGAAAATACATTATAAATGTTGTTGAAGCTGGCTGTTAGGTATCAAGAGTGAATTGATATCCACAAGGCATAGCACGGTCCTTTATACTTTTCACTCGTCTGTCTCCAAATGCTCTCTCAGTGTTCCTTCATGCCAAGTCTACGTGCATGCATTATTCCCTGTAACGTCCAGCCATGCGAGCGGGGGTACCATCCAGGTGGTATCCTGGCGATCAGTGACAGTAATTCCTCCAGTCATATCCGATATCAATGAACAAGGGGACTGTTCCCAAGACCAGAGTGTGTCAGTATCGAACGGCCATTGGTTGAAGTCACTCCTCGATGGAAGTCGCTACGATCAAGCTTGTCTTTATGCTTGAAAAGGCTCCGAGGCTCCGAGAGATTCAATTTCTGCATTGGGCAGGTGTCGTCTCATTGGATGGTCGCTTTCCAGCAACTCAATATTCTTTGACAAAGATAGGTGCGCTTGGAATGAATAGTGTCTTGAAAGGAATAAAAATACACGAGTGAAGCCTCTTTTGAACCGGCGACCAATTTGCGCACTTACACCAGCTCCCGTGAGACCTCTGCATCCCATAAGACACTTTTCCGACCATACTTTAACCATGGCCATGCTGACAGAATCGGAAAAGCAGACTTACTAAACAATACATCCACTGGCTAAGTAAAAGTTGGGTGATCAAAGTTTAGTGCCTGTTAATGCTAGGACGGTGTTCGCTTCGATGTCAGAGTGAACGGCTGGACAGGCTCGCCAACTTAGCTAGATTTTCATGACCATATCGTATCTTTTGGCCAGATATCTGTATCAACGAGATGACCCTTGAATAGGTTATTGTGGAAGACTTGTACCTTTCACTTGGAAATGTGAATAGGCCTTTTAATGGTTGTTTTTATCGAGAGCTGTTGCAATTTGACAATTCAATATTACTATTACAAAGTGTATTGACAGAACCGTAACAAGAAATGCCCAATCCATTTACCAGGCACCACGTGAGACAACTGCCTCTTAAGAAACCGCTAGTTGCGTCTGTCCGGTGTATAGCTTGAAGGAGGACCAGGAGACCAACTCTGAGAAGACACTCCAGGCGAGACAGGTGTCTTTCTACCGACTGCATACTGAGGGAGCTCGTTCACACCATATCCATCCCCGTGTTGCTCAGCAGGAAGCTCTGTAGGTGGTGCTTGGTAAACAGAGATAGACTGGTGAGGACTCATGTGATGCGGGCTTACGGGCTCAGGTCCATGTCCCCAATATCCGGTCGATGTGAGCGGACTGACCGTGCTAGGAGGATGTATCAAGTTTCCCCCGTTAGATTGATACTGGCTTTGGGTCATTGAAGATTGACGCCTCTCCTCACGACGGCGATTGACTTTCTTGCCGATACAGAACCATGCAAGTAGCAGAAGACCCAGCCCTACAGCGCCGCCGATGGCGATACCAACAATAGCACCAGTAGAGAGCTTTGAATCAGGGCTGTTTGTCTCCGTTGGCTTTGGCGAGGCTGTTGATGTACCTGTCGTAGAGGGGATAGAGCGTGTTGGCGAACGCTCTGCTATTTCCGGCCTGCGTCCCAGTAAGTCTTGAAGCGGCTTATTTCCCTCATCAAACCCGTCCTTGGGGGCTTCGAGTTTCGCACCACCTTTCTTGTTTCCACCAGTAACGTTGTAGACATCAACAGGTACAACGTTCTCAGTGATGTTTGGGTTATAGATAGCCCAGTACGTCTCGTTGTTGCCAGCGTTGTTGTTCGTTCCAGTCCAGAAATTGTGCATTGACCAAGCATCATACGCTAGATCGCAGGCATCCGTGTCGGTGTAGGTGCCTCCGATGACGAAAAGTTGGGACATGTGTTTAACCATGTTGCACGATGCGCTGTAGTGGTCGTATTCTGGAGGGAGAGTAGCATTTCCGTGATGGTCTGGGTAAGCTTTCACCCAGATGAACGACGGGAGGGTTAGGATGTAGATGTCGTTGAATGAGGTTGCATTTACAACTGGTGGCTGCACGCTCAATCCTCCCCAGAGGTATCTTCGACGAGATTAATATACAATCCGAGTGATATCGCTAGAATTCAGCTGACTTACATATTGAAGGAAGACTTGTCTGGTGCCCACGCCACATCGACGCAGAATTGACGCCTATTCTGCGGTATTTCTCCAGTCGTTTTCTGAGTTGACCACGAGTTTCCCTTGGCATCAAAGACAAAGACTTCATCAAATGCCTGAGGAGCCTCCGTGTTGTTGCCATAAGGGTCGACAATACCTCCAAGGTATACAAGTAGACCGAGAGAATCGCCAGCCGGTATCCAGACCATACCACCTTCAGCTCTAGGTTGTTTGCTGAGACCAGCCGCCTGTGTGAACTTTCCCGAGTCGTAGGAATACGTATAGAAGTTGGAACTCATGGTCCGGTCGTCGGTCCATCCGCTCATTGAGGCGTTGCTTATCCATCCTCCCAGATAGTACCCCATGCCAGTCTCTGAGACACCGACACCAGCGCCGTACGAGGCGACCTTGGGCGGAGGGGTTATGTCGGGCGTCCCGAAGTCGTCCCACTTGTCGTAGATGATGTCGTAGCTGAGTAGGCTGTAGGGCTCTTGTGAGAAACCGTTGTTCCATTCGCCGCCGTAGAGGTAGAATCGCTTGTTCACGCCATCGCCCCAGAGGATACCACCGTGTACACTCGGGATACTGTTGTATCGGGATTAGCATATCTCAAAAGAGGAGGTCAAGAAGGGCAGGGTCATCGTACCTGTCATTCTTGCTTAGGCTGATATTCAGGTCTGGCCAAAGATCGCCGCCTCGTTCGACGAGGTTGTTGAGGTCGTGGTATGCGAGCCAGGTATCTTTAGTGGTAATCAGTGATCTAGGAACTTGTTCGCAAACTGCTAGGTCGGCATACTAGAGTAGTTCTCGTGAGTTTGCTGGAAGTCATCAAAGTTGACCCAGCCACCATCGATGTAAAGCTTGTCGTCAATGACGGTTGTTTGGTGTGCAAATCTTCGGCAAAAGTCATCTTTGGGGTTCTTGGCGGCAACCCAGCCGACGGTGAGAAGCAGGGCAAGTATAGCTCGAGTCCATATGAACCCGATGTGCTTCTGTATGAAAGTCTCCATGGCCTGTTGTAGTAGGGTTACAGATGGAATGGGGAGGCTTCACGGCATGGACACTTGACTCCGCACAACAGCGGGAGTCTCATCCTTTTGAGCCTCCTGCTCATACCTTGCTTCATTTAGGTACGGGCCAGGCTCTGCACATCTGAGAAGAAGTTGGCGCCACTGGGTGATCTAGATGAAGGGTGTCTTCCACCGAAGGCTATTGAAGGTGGCACTCGAATTGGCGCGAGCTGGACAGATTCGTCCTGGTTCCCGACACGATGCACGCTGATTGTAGGCTGGATGTGGCTGTCCGGGCGCTGATACGGTAAGGTCAGTGTGCCTTGTTGATCGCGATGTTGGTACCGAACAAGATTCCGTTCCCCCCATTGAGTTCTGCTTGATTTTTAGTATTCTTCGAAACTTTTATGTTCGTCATACTGGTGTTCTCCAGGCGAACAAGGTAATAGATCGTGAGATATTCCAATTCCCTGCTGTTCAGCTACCCCCATCCGACACCGTTCTGCGACGTCCTAGAACATGGAAGCTGTACGCCACCAGAGTAAGAATGACAAATGATGGATACCAAACGGTCTCGAGAACAAAGTGTGTACGCGGTGTTGGGATTTACCGCACCGGGAAATGCCGACAACTAAACGCTGTGATTTAAGCCCTCGTTTATTATGAAGAGGATGGAAAGTATTGCGCCAGCTCCTAGGACAGACACAACTTTACAAACAAGCAGAATGGGTTCAGCATGGCGTCGATTACAGAAAATGGTGGTAGAAAGTGTAACAGGATCACCAAATCACAAGAAGTGATCTGCAAAGAATATTGGTGGCGCGTGCAGGGAGGCGCCCTCACCGGAACGCCACACAGTTCAGCTTCTGCAGAGGCTTTATGCCGTGGCCGTCATCCTTGCAGAAACATGACCATCGGGCCTCAACCTCCGCTTTTTCACGGGGAACTTAAAGTCTCGATTCACATGCAATAAAGCTTCCTATTGAGCCCTCGCAAATTACACTGACAGGTAGCACGGAGGGAGCATAAGAGAAGCAGTACAATAGCAACAGCAGCACTCTCCATTGTCTTTCGGATCTGTTAATACAATTCGCAAATTCCAAGTCTCGGAAATATCTTGAAGTACTCATTTTTGCCCATTCATAAAAAGAGGAGAAAGCACGGCGCTGTACTTCAAATGCTCCAAACATTTACCGTCAAATATTTGCTGGATTAGCCTTCCTATATTCCACTCTGTCCCAGATTTTGCAAGCCAATTGTCAATTCCTCTATTAATATTTCAAGGGGGAACATGCATCGGTCTCTACACAGGTAAGGCTTGGTTCAATTCTCTTTCGTACATTCTCATATTTGCTTCCTCCTCTCTCTTCGTGACATACAAATTGACTTTGTGTATGAAGAGCGCTTGATAGTGCGTCCACCCGGCCATTGCTTAGAGGGAGCGGCAGTCAAGAGGCGCTGGACGTCATCTTGATGAGTTAAATGCCCCTTAGGGCCTTCTGGGTGTTTTTAGGGGCCGGGATATCACGGCGGCTATCGTGGGCTGTTTCGACAAATGTATTTGTTGTGTCAATAATGGTTTGCTGAAGTTGATATGGCATATTTCGGATTGTTCAGGCGCGTCTACAAACAAATATGACACCGGGGACGCGTTCCCAATTCCTTCCGGCACTGGGAACCACCAGCAGTTGTATTTTGCGTAGGCATGGGCTTAGCTAGTCCTATGCCTTGTCCATGCTCATGTTCAGAAATACAAGCCCAGGCTATCTCATCTTTGACGCGCCATTCAGCTCTTGAAAGTAGCTCAAAGTTGACCAGGGAGGGAGTTCCGCCCACTCTCTGGTCCAAGTAGTCCCTCGGTCTCAGGTGGTCCAACATTCACTCTATTGTTTTTGTACAGACGGGTTGTTTGGCATGTATCGAGCAAGCGCCATAGCATTAAATAGTACGCCGATGGCTCTTGTAGGTCGCCATGGATGTGCTGTACTAAAAGCTTGTAATACCCCTGAGCCCCAAGTACAGGTCAAAGACACTGAGCGGGTGTTCGATCTCGGTTCAGCCTTTCACGAACTCTTTGATAGTATATAATGGTCCATAGAAGAAATACGATCCAAGGGTGATGAGGTAAGTAGTATCGTTAACGGACACTTGGGGAAGGTCGGCGTAACGTGCGGTTTCGACTTGGAGATCTTGCATTATCAGGATCAGAGCCTTGACTTCACGTTCATGTGTTTCGACCAGCGTCAAGCTCGATCCTGTCATACCTCGGGCGAAACGTTTTCTCGATAGGCTTTACTGGAAGAAATAAACTGTCTTGCGGTAAGCGGATACCTTTGTTCAAGCTTGTGAGCAGAATATACCAATGTAGTTGTCGTTAGATAGGAAGATCAGGCGTAGTGTTGGGAAAAACGACGTGTAGCCGAGGGAATGAGAACTCTTACACCTTCGGATATCAAATGACAGAGTGGTGACTTCACTTCAGGATTACATCAAATGATTAAATGTCTGAATATTATTTATCTTATGACTCAGTTGCTTCAATATCTGGTACAAGAACAGGGCAAGGGAGTAGGCATTGTTCGTGGCCCATCACGATTGTGCGAGATCACAAGTGAACATCGGTACGCAGTGCGTAGAAGAACAATAAGAGGCGAATAACTCAGTATCGCTGCCTGCTGTTTGCTCACTTTCGTCTCTAGGCGATAGGGAATGCTATGGCACTGGCAAGTTCTGGCACCGGCAGTTGTAACACCGAAGCCAGTGACGGTGATTCACAGCAATCCACTAGCGCTAAACCAGATAATAAATTGCTCCTCTGCTTCTCTGTTTTAATCTTCTTTCTTTCTTCCTTCTTCATCCTCACCCCATCATCAAAGGATTCTCTTCCCTTCTACCACATCAGTCTTTGATCCTTCTCAAACACAACTCAACATTTCCATACTTCAAACACTACGAAACACAACCCATCGCCTTGGACTTTTGTCCCGAACCAATCATCTGATTCGATAAACAACATTCAGAACCTGCTCAGGTGCTCACATCATTCTCTGTACGAACCTGCATAAAGACAATAACATATCGGAGGACGCTACTAACCTACAAATTATCTATCAGGAAACACGCCTATCATTGCCATCGACGTTCTCGACGTTCTCGACACTCTTCTACCAAGCTCTATTGCAAGTGGCCACCGATACAATGGAGAACAACGAGATTTCTAAAGCTCGCTTCGCCGAGATCAAGGCAGCTGTTGGTAACCCTTTCGAAGGTAAGAGCTTTCCCCTCAAGATATTACCGAACCATGCTCACCCCGTCACTCCAGTTTCCCCAACAGTCTACATGCAGAGACTCGAGGAAGAAACCGCCCGCGATAACAGCTTGATTCCGTTCTTGAATATGGCATCCAGTGACTTCACCCCGCGTCAGTCACCCCTGCAGTGGCTCCAGAAGCTCACCACTACGGACTTTGCAAACGTCGAGGAGATCTGTCACGTTCGTTTTCAGTTGGTCAGTGATTTCATGGACAAATTTGATCTGGTCGCCAATGATGAAGGCACCTTTGCCGTTTCACCATGGCCTGGTTCTCTGAGCTATGAAGAAATCGACGGCGATGTTCATCCGGGACTCCTTCGGCTCGAGACTTCCGCCCTTCACGGAGCCGGCGACTCTCTTCCTGCCCTGATCCTCCCTGTTGGCCAGTTGTTGAAGAGGGTTAATTGCGACAGTGTGACCTCATACTGGCCCGAAACTGACTATGTCCTCGTCATCGATGCTGTTGCGCCTGGACATCCTGTCTGGCTGATCTATGATCGCAATCCACTTGATGACTTGGGTGACCGACACATCGTCGACCCGACTTACCAACCCCTGATCTTCAAAGGCATTGGGCACAATTTTGACGCTGCTCAAATCTTCCCAAGCGTCCACGACTGGATCCAGTCTTATGGAAACGTCGATTTTACCCAATTTGAGGAATCTATCAAGGCCACTTGTATCACCGGGGCTGTGAAGGTCAAGGAGTCTCCTGAGGCGGAGGCTGCTGAGCTTTTGCGCCACTAAATCATCGTCATGGACGACTACTTTGGACATTAGAGAGTGATGGGCCAGTGGAGGGATGAGTCAGGGGCTTGGGTTTTCTTTTTGGACGCAGAGGCAGTCTTTTGTGTGACATTGTCGTCTGCTGTGGGCAGGAATCATAAGGGATTAGCATGGTATCGACGAAATCGTATGATAGAATCATAGCTGTGAATAGAATGATCCGCCCTTAGTCTCAAGTCTCATCTATCTGAACCAAAGTTTAGTGTGTATTCCCCGATTGTTATATGGCTTTACTAAAATGGGCCAGTAGCTAACTTTAACTAAGTATTAAGTAACTTTACAATCATAAGTCTTTGGCATATCTGACCACGTTCAATTTGAGCTACCGTCTTCGGTGTACAAATGCGGCATGACGCGAGAAAGAAACCGATGCCATATGGAAAGACCGTACCAGACAGCTTTTGGTACTCCCCAATTCTCGACCTCGTGCTTTGTCGCCAGAAGTATGCGCACTCGGATGTGTCTTGGCTCTTTGACGAACGTGAATTTTAGCTATGCCGAGACTATCGACATACTTCGAGTAACATGCTTCGAATTAGAGGTCAAGCTCTACTGACATATCTGCGAAACTTGGTTCTCCAACAGCGACTTGAGATAATAACATCCTTCGAAATTGCTGGGCATATCAAGACACGTTTGACATCAAACCCAGACGATAGGATCAGTGAGGATGATCTGGATATTCTGTGAACCAACTCTCTTCATCGCACTTTCTAGCCTTCCGCAATTGGCAACATTTGAATCAGTTTCATCAAAGCATGAGGAGCCTAAATTTTGCTGGTCTACCGCCAACAAGCGAAGTGAGTTGGCTCGCAGTTACTCGACAGCGATTGGCTTGTTCGCTCTTGTTTCCCAATGCGGTTAGTGCTGACTTTGGGCCTAACCTTTGACGGATCACCAAGGCGAAAGCGACTCGATCCTTCGAACAATTCACCTCTTTAGCTGTTCATTCGTCTGTTCGGTATTTTTCCTCTTTCACACCTCGCAGATCTTCAGCTACATGACAATTTGCGCCATGACTGCCCCGAAACCAGCTTCTCGAGGCCGAACCAAGGTGAAGACGGGGTGCGCAACATGCCGGTCAGCCAAGACTCCACTATTTCATGCTCGCAATGTCTATACTTACCGAAAATAGAATCAGAAAGATCAAGTGTGACGAGGCTAAGCCTTTCTGTGAGAGATGTGTCAAGACTGGCCGGAAATGCGATGGTTATGAGTCTGTCTTTAGACCTTTCTCCAGCCAGACTGCCAGCACGACGCAGCCAAGCTTGGTTGATGCAAGTTCTGCGCATGATCCCGCTATCGAAGAACTTCCACTGAGTACCAGCGACCTTAATCGTTATTTCTCTACCAAAACAATTTTCGACGTTGACCTGAGCTGCAATGAAGAGGCAGAGCAGGTCCTCCAAGCTAGCTTGACTCACGATTCAATACGCCATGCTCTGCTGTCACTGAGGGCTCTTCGTGGAAATCTCGAGTCAAAGAAAGAAGGAGATGTATGTGAGGCTGACGAACAGCAGAAATTGAGTTACAACTATGGTCTTCAGCAATACAGCAAGGCTTTGACTAGCCTTGCATCCAATCTCGCATACCCCAGCCCCGGCAGCCTGAAATCTGCATTGCTTTGTTGCCAAGTCCTGATCAGCGTTGAGCAAGTCCGTGGTAACTTCTCGGCCATGGGACTGCACATAATTCGTGGGCTGAATATCCTGCGCAAGTACCGCGCCAGACCATACCTGACTGCAGATGGCATAATGCCCGCGCGTCATAATGGCCTACCCTCCTTAGACATCTTTATTATAAAGCTGTTTGCTGCCCCTTGCAGGTTCACAGAACAACACCCCTCAGCATATTCCAGCATAATGACGCCACCTACTGAGACGAATGATCGAAAACTGGCACCAAACATGCGAGCGGAACTCACGAAAGTCGCGACGTCAACTATCGTGCTTCTTGAAAAGACTGCGATGGTCCAGCCGGAGAATCAGGCTCATTCACTTCTTTCCGAAAGACGGGCCTTGCTTGATGGCTTGCACTCATGGCTTGGGTCTCTTGAGACTCTTCAGAAGGAGACACTGCCGGGAGAGCCCGAGTCTATCTCTGACAAATTCCTGCGCATCTTGTATCTAATACTGAAAATCATTCTTCTTGGAACTTTAGAAACTTCACCAGATCTTGATTCCAAGCTAAGGGAGGAAAACAATCAACTGCAAGAGTTGGCGAATATTGTTAACGAACGACTGAAGGACTATGATATGCGTCGGGGAATTGGTAGTAGCTTAGCAAAGCAATCTAGATAGACGAATGACTCATTACATGCCGCGATATTCCATTGCCAAGTCCGACACGAATTTGTAAGCCCGAGACGCGAGTCGGATCTGTGCGTAAGATTGCGGCTCATCCCATACCAGTATGCTGACCGAACCGACCAATGAGGGGCTGACTCCGCTGTTCAGCCCAAGATGCAGGTCCATGTATATAAACAAGTCATTGAGCCATTGATACTCTTCTCATCATTCAATTTCCATCAGAAGCTACCATCCTTCTTCAACTTTTCGCTGAGATATTATAAGCCTCCTCAGTCAAACCCTCCTCCTTCAAAGCCATGCATTTCCTCCTCCTTGGCGCAACAGGCAGAACTGGCAAATATGTCGTATCCGAACTTCTTTCCCAACATCACACCGCTGTAGCACTTGTACGCGATGCCAGCAAAGTCTCTTCTCAGCCTGGCCTCACTGTCGTTACCGGCTCGCCCCTCTCCAAAGACGATATCAGCCGTGCTCTTGCAGCTGCTCCAGGCTTGACGCCGTCTGCAGCAATCATGACTCTCAACACAGTCCGCAAATCAGACAGTCCCTTTGCAGCTCAAGTTTCACCTCCTCGTTTTCTCGCAGACTCATGCGTCAATGCTTGCGAGGTTCTGAAAGATGCGGGCATCAAGCGCATTGTCGTCATGTCAACGGCGGGCGTTGGGGACTCATGGGGGAAGCTACCTTGGCTGAGCAGAGGGTTCATGAGATGGACCAATATCAAGTACGCTCTGGAGGACCATAATCTGTTGGATAAGGAAATAAGGTCGACGGACATGGATTGGACACTCGTGCGAGCTGTGAGATTGGAGTTTGGGAAGGAGACGGACAAGGAAGTTGAAACACTGGGTAGTGCTGGTGAAGGGATGGGTATGTCTGATAGTGCGACGCCGAATAGCGTGGCGAGGTTCTTGGTGAAGGTTGCGGTTGAGGGATCATTTGTTAAGGAGGCTGTTGTTGTACGGAACTGAAGAGTATGACGAAGGTTTGATTTCTTAGGATCAAGAGCAAGCAGGGTTTAATACAGGATTTGCGATAATAATTACAAGATCGAGATTTATTTCACTGAGTTGCTGTGACTAGCGTGAACAAATGTTTCATATACACTATCTTCAAGTATCATGATCATGACCACTATATACAAAGAGGTTATGTACAATTTCGCGTATTATCCCAATTTGGACACTCGAGCAAACCAACCTTAGTACACCTTGGTGACAGGAGTCTTGATATAAGGCTTCAAGCTAGTCTTTCCATTCAACTCCTCATCAATAGCCTGAACGAACGCCTTAGCAATGAGGTCCGCAGCCTCAGGGCTAGTATGCGTATGATCCTTAGGATACAAAGAGTTAACCTTTGCATTACCCAGCTTCTGATACATCTTGGTAATAGCAGCAAAGTGATCAACGTAAGTAACGCTGGGACTGTTCACAGCCTTGGCAGCAGTAGGTACATATCCCACGAAGCGAGGAGCTCCAGGCTCGAACGTTCCAGTCTCCCATTGGTTGTTGGGAGTTTGAGAGCTAAGGATGACAGTAGCACCCTTGGCGACGAGGGCTTTGGCGGCTTGTGAGACGTAGAAGACGAATGTGTACACTTTTTCGCCGGTCTTGTCGGAGATGCAGACTTCTGTGCCGGCGCCGGGACAGTCAGAGCGGTTGTTGTCGTTCTTTTCGGGAGAGCCGCCGTCGTTGTGGCCGAATTCAATGACTACGATGTCGCCTTGCTTGACGAGGTTGACGATCTCGGTGAAGCGGCCCTCGTTGGTGTAGGAGCGGGCTGATCGACCGCCGATGGCTTTGTTGACGGCTGTGACCTTGAGATATTTGCCGATGTGGTTACCCCAGCCGTCAGTCACACCGTCGTTGGCTCCATTCTTTGCCATGGTGGAGTCACCTTTGATCTGATCAGCGTCTATTTTGAGACCATCGCCAATTTACTTACCAGCAAAGTACACTGTCTGTCCAGACACAACCTGGAAAGCTCCAGCGGCGAGCGCCGCAAGTGAAAGAGACAGCTTCATGATGAATTGAGTTTCAGATAACACTGACGAGTGTATGATGAAACCCAAGAAGTGCCCAGAGCCGTATATATCTACTTCAAGCAATTAAATTGCATAAATTAACCCCCAAACTGACATCCAGGTGATCATTCGTTTTACAAAACAGACTTCGCGATCTAGACTCCGCGTTTACCTATTCTGGTCCGTCTCCGTCTGTGCCAAGCCCGATGAAACAGGGATATGAAGCCTTTTCCCACCATTCAGAAAACATATTGACCCCAGACGCTCACTAGGATTGGGCCGGCACTTGAATGTAAGCCGATTGATGGAATCGAGATATTAAAGTTCCGCTTCTGGAAAAGATGCCATTTTGTTTGGGATTGATGCCACGAGGGACGGTGCACTCGGTGATCTCGGCATTGTTTCAGCGATTCTTTGTGTCAAAGCTTAAAATCATTCGTTGAGGTAGGGGAAGTTGGCTCGGTGGAATAGAGACCGAGCGCGGGGATAGTAGCATATCATTTCCCATTTTGATAGGGAGACATTGGGGGAGATTTAGACAGGAAGGTGACAATACGATGTTAATTATGACCTCGGCTCTTAAGTTACGCTACTCTTTGAGAAAATCTGATTGAAGATGCAAAATTCATGTCGAGCATCGTAAAAGCGATCGGCTGAACCGGATAAAAGAAAGTTCTGCTGAAGGGCGCCAGCATGGTTTCCTTGCCCATCATGGGGCTCACACCAAGCTTATTGTTTTCGTATTCATATGGGCATTAAAATCTTGCAGGCTTCAGTCAGGCACGACTAGATTTGAATGGTGCATCGCATACGGCGTATCCTCATCCGTGGATGACCACGAATTGATGGAGAGGGCGAAAGGGAAACCGAGAGATTCGAAGATCTCTTGTATAAAATAATACGAAAACCCCAATTTCAGCACATATGATAAAAACACAAACAGTAAGAAAGCTGAATTGATTTTGCAGGCTGTTGCAAAAGGCGTGGCTCTTTATACCGTATTCCCGTTACGAGCTCACCCTAGAGTCGTTCACTTTCTTGAACAGTCAGCCATCGATGAACAATCATGACGACCACGTCATTCCTTCCTTATCATCATGATACCGGTAATAAGTGATAAGAGGGCAACGATCGACAACGGTTTCAGGTACCGCGAGCAGCCCACTGTACCGTCAGATTTGTCCGAGCTCGCCATGGAAGGGGCCGTCATGATCAGGAGATAGCCTCCGGTCTAGAAAGCTTGTTTTCGTCTACTCTTGACCCACGTCGCTTGATGGTGATGGAGACTCCATGGGGACTTATCATCAAACGAAGCCACCATTCAATTTCATTTCACAGTAGGACTACGTTTACCATCAAACGCATTCGAATTAGTTAAGTTTAGTTACTCGCATGATAGAGTTGTCCTTTTCAGTAAATACTAATTGTAATGGGGTGCTGTATTTCGGATACAACAAGAGCTAATAAGACCCGAAAACTGGTTTATCATCCCAGTATGCAACCTCCCATCACAATCAATCCTAAACATGCTCTCCAATCCCATCCAATAAAACCCTTCCCATTTCAATCCTCTCAAGTCTCAATCGCAAGCATAAAAGAGCCTCTCCCGCCCAGACCCCTTAATAAACCTCTATGAAACGAAACGAGCACATTTCACAAGATTAAATACCCCGCCAATCGCAGCCTCGATATTTGAAACAAACCCACCAACGACCATCCTTTTCCGTTGGCGCGCTTGCTTCTACAGGGATAATTTGTAAAGCTCTTGATCCACTGAAGGAATGAATTACTTGACGTGCAGGTTTTGGAACGTACAAGGTCTGAGGTGAGAGTATCCTTGTAGGGGAATGCTGTGTTTGGAGGGATTTCTTCCGGTTGGTGTACGTATGTTTATGGTTGTCGGACATTAAGGCATACTGCATCGGATCCGCTGATCAGCGGAGGGTAAAAGATATATAGGATGTCGGTGTTTGTCGTGTAGAGTGAGGGTTTGTTCAAGCTACGCTCTCTCTGTCGCTGCCTTTCTTTCTTTTCCACCGCCAGTACGGTGTTTTTCTTTCTCTACCGCTCGCGGTATATTCCATTCTTTAGCAAGACCCTGGTGGTCTAAACTCACTCTCTTGAAACATACATTCATTCTTCACCATGCGCTTCACACTCTCCAGCATGGCAGCCCTTCTGGGTCTCGCCTCAGCCCAAGGTCTTCGATCTTCTGCTTACACCGATCCCAAGACTGGTATCGACTTCCAGCGCTTCGTCGACGATGGCTATAGTCTTGGTATCGCGGTCCCTGAAACCCTGGGTAAAGATCTCATCGCCCAGATGGTGTTTCCTCGTGAGAAGGAGGGTTGGGGTGGTATTTCGTTCAGAGGTGGTATGGTGAACGGTCTTCTCTTAGTGGCGTGGGCGAATGGCGATGATATCGTTACGAGCTTTCGTCTTGCGAACTCGTACGCCAATCCCGATGTTTACACCAACACTACCGTCAAGGCTACGCCTATTCCTGATGGTACTTTCGTCAACAGCACCCATGTCTCGTATACCTTCCTCTGTGAGGGGTGTGTTGTTGAGAAGACGACTTCGTTGACTGGCGAGTCTCCTGTTGTTGGATATGCTTGGTCGTCTATTGATGTCGATACTCCTTCGGACCCTGAGAGTGCTCTTACGTACCACGGTGCAGGCTTTGGACAGTTCGGTCTTGATATCAAGAAGGCTGCTTCTGCGAAGTTTGCTACCTGGGCTGATATGGCCAAGGAGACTACTCCTGCTCCTGGAACTGGTACCCCTGGTGTTCCTGGAAACTCTACCACTCTTCCTCCTACTACTTCCAACGTTACCTACGATGTCATCGTCGTCGGTGGTGGTCCTGCCGGTATCATCGCCGCTGAACGTCTCGCCGAGTCTGGCGCCAGTGTTCTTCTCATTGAGCGCGGCCCAGCTAACACCGTCGCTCTTGGTAACGCTGCCCAAGCCCTCCCTTGGAACGACACCCTCACTCCCTACGACATCCCCGCTCTCGGCAGCAGCATGACCAGCATGTCTGGAACCAAGTTCTGCAGTGACACCGCCTCTACCGCTGGTTGTCTCCTCGGTGGATCAAGCTCCATCAACGGTCTTAACTTCATTCATCCTCCTGAGCGTGACTTCCAGCGCTGGCCAAAGGGCTGGAGCTGGTCTGACCTCTCCAAGGCCGCTGATCGTCTATACGAGCGTAATCCTGGTACTACCTCTCCCTCTGACGATGGAAAGTACTACGATGATCGTACCTACACTATCCTCTCTGGATACTTGAGCGCCAAGGGTTGGAAGGAGGTTGACTCTATTGAGGAGCCTAACGAGAAACACCTTGTTTACTCTCGGCCTTCTTGGTCTATCAAGAACAACATGCGTGCTGGTCCTGCTCGCACTTACATGCCCTTCGCTAAGAACCTTCCTAACTTTACTCTTAAGCTCGAGACAAAGGTTATTCAGCCCATTCGATCCGGTAGCAAGATCACTGGTGTACTTACACAGGCTGCCAACGGAAGCAAGCAGATCATCAAGGTCAAGGCTGGCGGCAAGGTCGTCCTCGCTGCTGGTGCCATGTCTACTCCTCGTCTTCTCTGGAACGCTGGTATCGGCAAGGCTGATGCTCTCGCCATCGTCAAGCAGGGTGCTTCCAAGACTGGTGTAACTCTCCCCGCTGCTTCAGACTTCATCGACCTCCCTGTTGGTCATCATCTCCAGGATCACGCTCAGGTCATGCTTCAGTTCAAGACAAAGAGCAACTTCACCGCTTATAAGTTCAACAACATTGCTACTGATCCTGTCAAGTCTGACTTGGAGCTTTACTACCAGGGCTCTGGTCCCATCACCCAGGCTGCTCAGCGCATGCATCTTTGGACTTCTGCCAAGGGCGCTGACGGTCGTGTTCGTTACCTTCAGGGTACCGCTAGTGCCATGGCTGACGGCATCATCACTGTTCGCACATTCTTGACCCACGGTACTAGCACTGTCGGTGAGCTTGGTATTACCGCTGGTGGAAACACCGTTCTCAACACCAAGCCTTGGTTGATCGACCAGGAGGATCGCAAGGCCATGGCTGACTTTGTTCAGTACTGGCTTGATCTCACCAGCGGTAACAACTCTACCCTTTCCTACATCACCCCCGGTGCGACCGTTGACGATATCCTCGCTACCAAGATGATCAGCGGAGATCACTGGATGGGCAGCGCCAAGATGGGCGTCGACGACGGCCGAAAAGCCAACGGCAGCGCTGTCGTTGATCTCAACACCAAGGTCTACGGTACCGATAACCTCTTCGTTGTCGATGCTTCTATCCATCCAGATCTTCCTACCGGTAACACTCAGGCCATCATCATGGTCGCCGCTGAGCACGCTGCTGAGAAGATTGCCGCTTTAAAGGTCGGCGGTAGCAACTCTACTGTCCCTGATCCTGTCGCTTCTGCTCCTACGCCCGTTCCTACTCCTGGATCAAAGTGCAAGCGAGGTCTTGGTCGTCGTCGTGCTGCTCGTGTGCCCATGGACTTTCGACGACGATCGCTCTACTAAGTGATGGGAACAGACCGAGGTGAAATGGATGAAATTCAGTGAACATATTTCTTGTGTATATAGAAATTAAGGCAGTTGTGAATATATGAGTGCTTCATATAAATTACCGTGTTATCGCATGTGAAATCAAAATAGAAACAATAAATTGCCAATCATGACGTTCCCTGTCAGCATTTAAATACCCCAGTAATCCTTCCAGTTCACTAACCTCTATTGGCCAGGCCTACCTCGGCTTCGCGTTCGCGTTCGTCATAAGCTCGGGATCGGGCAGATTGAATTGTCCGATTTCCTCTGGTAATCAAACAAACTCCCCGTTCATCAGAACCACTCAATTTTCCCCAAATTCCACTCGGAACGAGTGCGAGATTTCCACTTCTTCCAGAATCACCCTCCACTGTTCTTTCGCTGCCTTGTGCGTTCAAGGTCGTCTTTTCTAATGGACGGGGAGACGGACCAGGTCAAATCCACTCGCGTGGGGTACAAAAAGTCCCGAAATGGCTGTATACGTTGCAAAAAGCGGCGAGTCAAGGTATGCGAATAGAGTCGGCTCTCATGACTAGTGACACAGATCTAATTGAGTAACAGTGTGACGAAGAAGTCCCTTGTTCCGCATGTGTCAGGCATAGAGTCCGATGTAGCTTGGAGCTGGTCAAATCGGATGACTACCAAGAACAAAAACCTCTGACCAATCGCTCTCTTCAACCACCCAGCCATAGCCTATCAGCTGGTAGTCCAGCATCTCTATTATCCGGCTCCTTATTCTCCAGTCCTCTCGATGAACCTGATTGTTGGGTTTCTACCGCGGAACTTATGCTTCACTACACCACCGTCACATACAAAACCATGGTCTTCAACGAGAGAACCATCCCAACCTTTCAACAACATGTACCCCAAGTTGCCTTAGCATATCCCTGGTTTCTTCGGCAAATATTGGCTTTCTCAGGTTATCACCTCGCTCATCTTCACCCCGAAAAGAAACAATTCTACCTCCTACAAGCGTCAAAACATCAGAATGCTTCTCTACGTGGACTCAGAGAAGCATTATCCGAACCAGTCAATTCATCAAACTGCCATGCCTTATACGCTAGCACTACGTTTATAGTAGTGAACAAATTCGCGGCATTTCCAAACTGCGATGACTTCCGTAGTCATGGATGTTCACAGCCTGTTCAGAGTTTGATGGAGATATTCTCTCTCGTGAACGGTATGGAGGCTGTTCTGCATTCACCTGGAGCTGCGGATCTCATGAACGGGCCTCTGAAAGAACTGTTCAGTGAGACACCGCATCAACATGTGAACAGCTACCTTCTTCGCGGTCTTCATGCACGGCTACCCGAGCTTGCTCGGCGGATATCATCAGACTCGATGGAAGATCAGTCCAGAACTACACTAACTTCTGCGGTTGTTTCCATCACCGACCGCGTCAATGACGCTTTCGCAAATCTGCATAAAGTATCACCGCCAGAGTTAAGGGTGTTGTTCTCCTGGCCTATGTCTGTATCCCGAGATTTCTTGGATCTGGCCGTGTCGAGCCATCCGTTGGCTCTTGTGATTCTGGCGTACTATGATATTCTACTGTACTGGGGCGAATCGGAGTACTGGTTCTTTGAGAATTGGGCAGAAACATTGATTACTGCCATTGTTGAAAAGGTCAAAGGCTCGCCGTGGGAAGATCTTCTCAATTGGCCTGTTGAAGTGATCTTACACCATTAGTATCCCCGAATTCCGGGATAGCGTATCACACTCGCAAATAGCTTGGCAAGATGGATTGTATTAACGTTCTTGGACACTTTATGAAGTATAAGTGTTATTGTAAGATTCTCCAGCAGCTGTTGAAAGATTACGCGTCATGCGTTGAAATACTGGTGACGGGTTGCACCGAGGCGCTCTGTATGCAGCTAACTTTTCAGCTGCTGCAGGACCCATGTCTAGGCCAGCACTATTGTCAAAAGATGGAGGAATACCTGCAGCTTTTCAGCCTCACTTGTGGCGACCTCGTAATCAGAAGTCTCTGCCTAATCGCAAATGAATATATTCTCAATTCCATCCGTATCGAATAAGGGCGTTAAATCAGCCTATCTATTCCAGGAAATTGTTCGCCATACAGAAACAATAATATCAGTAGCACGAATAATTCAAGATACACAATTCCAACTACTTGTGATTTTAAGCCGCAATGCACTGCCACTTTAGTCAGAATGCCTCGTTGCCTACTTTAGAAGTGGAAAAAGGAGCTTACTATTTAAAGGAAGCCGCCTGGCTGCATTCTGACCCTATCTTATATATCTCGTTTTCTAACTCACAGGCTGATATTACATACCTCGTCCTTTTCTGTATCCCCCAGCATTATAATTCTTTCAAGCGATGACATCTACAAAACCCACTCTTTCATCTACCGGCGGTGTCAAACCCTGGATACAAAAGTTCACCAACACTCCACGCGACGCTTTCTTTGATCAGTTCGTTGGGTCGCACAATGCAAGATTTGTCGAAATAAGTGAAGGATCTGTATGAGCAACCGATCATGTTCAACTGCTTGATTTTAACGTCTTGATTACAGCATGAGAATGAAGTTAAATATAGCGAGGTCCTCGAGCCAGATAACCTAAAATCAGTGCCAGACCTTTCTGAAGTATTTCAGGTACGATCTACAGTTTATCAAAACTATTGCCATGCTGACTTCGGGTAAGCTCCCACAGCAAGATGGGCCGAAGGGCATTCTCAGATTGATGTAAGTGCGCCGTCCTTCCAAATAGAAGATTCATTGATATCCTCTACGTTGGCTCACATACGTTATTCTAATCCTTACAGCATCTTGCCATTCAACACCGAAAACGGCAATGCTCCTCCTCTGTCGTGGAAAGGATTTAGGGAGCACCTCGACTTGCTCCACCTTGAGGACTCTTTCATTTGTACCGAGCAGATGCAGACGCCTCCCACTTGGTTTGAAGTTCCCTTGCAATCAGGCCTTAAAGGTAGAGTTCAAGATAAATCATTGGTCTCCCTTTCAGGGTGCCATAGGCTTACAAGCAGAACCATAGGCTTCGTTGTCAAACCAGAGAGATGGGATTCCAATCTTGCCAACTTCAGCATCTCCGTTGTCCACTCTCCAACATCAAGAGCCACACATATCGTAGCTCACATGCTGCATAAGACTGACGTCAAGCATCTGCTGCATCGACTACAGGCTCTCAAAGCAATTGCATGGCACCCTCTTCTTGTGCCACTCATCCTAATGGAACAGAGGATAGAAAGCACTGCTGGGAGGCTCACCCTCATGAGAGATTCTCTCTACTCGGTAGAGAAGAGAACAGGAACTCACAAGAACTATCACGATAACAAACGCCATCAAGAACTCAATCACCATGCTTACGGTGAAAAGGTTTGGGAGCGGCGCCACGAACAGGATGTTGACTTTGAAGCTGCTCCGGGAAAGCTGACTTCCATCGCTTCGGACTGCGCCATGATCGAGGCTAAATGTCATGTCAACGAGAACTTACTTGATTGGCTACAAGGGCTAAGTGACAGCCTTGGTGAGCTCAACACCGATGGCGATTCATGGAAGAGAGCAACGTCCTCAATTCGAATGAAGATCTCAGCCTTCAGAACGTGGTCTGGTAATAATCGAGCCAGAAGCGTCTATCTCGCAAAGCGAGCAGAGGCGCAGATGCAAGCGGTGAGTACCCGAATTCCGAAAACATCTATAGAAAGTAGCAGCTAATTAGACATAGTGTCTAAATCTCATGGCACAACGGGACAATGCTCTGAACCTCAAAAAGACCGAAGCAGCACTTCGAGACAGCTCTGATATGAGAGCAATAGCATGGGTTACACTCGCGTTCCTGCCTGCGACGTTTGTGGCGGTAAGACTTCAACAAACCTTGATCCTTTGACTCTTCTGACTCGTCTGATGAGACTTTCTTTAGTACTTCTTTCTTTAGCTTTGAGCAACAGGGTCGACATGTATCGAACTGGATTTGGCTCTATTGTGTTGTTACTGGAATATTCACAGTTGGTGTTCATGTGGGTTGGGCGCTGTGGATAAGGAAAGAGAGAAGGATTTGAAGGCTGAAGTAAAGTTGTTATCTACAAATACTTAGATTTCGATTACTTTGGAGGATAATTTTGACCATTGGGTACTTTATCGCTCGACATTGAGCTAAGCGGGCTGTTCCGTCCCTGGCGCTTCGTTACCACTGACACTCCCAACATTCTCATTGATCTTGGCCAAGTTCAGCTTCATCCACAATTATGAGCTGGCTAGCCTGGCTCGGTAGCTCTGCAGATTTCTCGTTTAGTGACCAATCAGAGAAGCCAACTACTACTAGTGTCGTAGATCCCGGGGCCTCTTCAGCTTGTGACGTTTCGTTTGCGGCTGATGCTAGGCTCATTCGTTGGCTTCGCTACAGCTTGTGTCTTGGTCTAATGCATGTGAATTCCCAAAAGATGGGTATTGTGAGACACTCAATTCCAAGAATGGTTGAGCATTGACCTCTGGACTTTGTGGTTACTCTTGTCCTTCGTCATTGGCTGAACTTTGGAGCTGATGTTTTGTCACTAGGGTAGCGAGCCGCGCAGCCGGGTTACCGGACTAGACATTGTGAGGATCTGTGGAGATCCAAGCCAGCAGATAAGGGTTTGGCTTCGATATGAACCTATGAAAGTTTCACTTTGCGTCATAACTGCACTTAAAAGTGTTTGTGAGACTGTGGATGGCTTCGAGCTATAAGAAGGCTTCTGCACCAGCAGCCCACTTTTATACCATCTATTTCCGGGTATCCTCATATTAGGACTTGATAGAGCAAGCCCCACCATGATGGGTGACGCCCTGCCTCTGGAAGACGGAACATACGGTATCAAAGGCCTTCCTCGGCCACCGAATGCCGTGAGATACCCTGGAGAGGTTCTCTACGTTGAGGGTCTTCCGGTCCGTAAGGAGATATCGTCTCTTGCCAACTCAGACGATCCAGGAGAGAAGAAGCAATGGACGCTATTTGTCTTAGCCTTGGAACGGTTCAAGTCAATGCCCATCGATGATAAGCTTTCCTACTTCCAGATTGCCGGAATCGTGAGTAAATATCTCCCCGTAGTTCGGTACCATACTGAGCGTTGGTTAGCATGGATATCCAGAGGTTGCCTGGGATGGAGCGCCTGAGCCCAAACACGCGCCGGACAAGAAGGCCAAAAAGGCTGGTGACCAGCCTTTCGGCGGGTATTGTAATCATAACAGCCTAAATTTCCCGGCCTGGCATAGACCTTATATGCTTCTCTTCGAGGTGCGATTTGATCTTACGAACTTCGGCTTCAAAACTCTAACAAAGTTAGCAACGGATCTGGGATAATATGAAGCTGATCATCAACGACTGGGTAAGCAAGCATGGGCTACCAATCTCAGAGGCAGATGAGTGGTACAAAGTAGCAAGGCACTGGCGGATGCCATACTGGGACTGAGCTAGGCGACAAAAGTATCATGAGGACTTGGTTTGCCCTCCAGTTCTCACGCAAGGAGCCATGCGCATCTACCCACCTACTGTGATAAAGAACCAGTTTCATCAAAGCGGTCTGTACTCCAATCCATTATTAGGCTTCGAGAATCCGGAAAAGGATCCAGAGACAGGGAAGCCGTTACCATTTGGCAGCATGCCAGAAGACAAGACCAAATGGAATATCCAAGACAACCCAATAATTCATGATGAACTTCCGCTCAAGAAAGTCTGCGACTGGGCTCCAGTGAGTCGACCAACAACGGGACAAGCTCGAGAGTTTCTGACAGGCACTTAGTGGAGTAAAACGTCTAGTACCAGTCGATATGGAATCTGCAGAGCGAAGAACATCTCCGAAGAAGAGAAAGATCCCGCCCATCATTTTACTGGTCTCCATGGAGTAAGGAACTGCTGGCAAGCGAACTCCAGCCTCGCAAAAGTTCACGAGAATGGTCCTGATGGTAAACCCAAGTGGAGCACAATGGACCAACATTCTAAGGACAATACATGGAATCCCGGTAGCCTCTCAGATGCAGTCAATCGCATGTTTTCCAAGGGCTATAACTCGAGCTGGGGACAGTTTGCTTCGACTAAATGGATAGCTGAAGGCAAAGGATGTCCAAAAACAGGTTACATCTCTCTGGAGTATATCCACAACAATATTCATGTAAGATGAGACAAGAAGCTGGAGGAACTAGCTGACATGAGTGCAAGAATCTCACCGGAGGAAGTGACTATGCAACTGGGATGGGACACATGAGCGACGTTCCAGTAGCAGCCTTTGATCCCATCTTTTGGCTTCACCATGTGTCGGTACCCTTCTCAACCAGGCTGTACAACTCGACTAACATGGAGCAGACAGATAGACCGTTTGTTGGCCATATGGCAATGCCTCAACCCGAAGCTATGGTTTGACAACGAAAAGCCAGGCGATTCTGGCACTACAGGTACGACAGCTTCTAGTGTCGCCGACGACAAGGAGACAGACCCTCTTGAACCGTTTCACAGAAAGGACAATGATCCGGAAAAGGAAGTTTGGACTGCACAAGCGTGCCGGGATTGGACAGAGTTGAACTATCAATATGATGACCTTACAGAAGTCACAGACAGGACAATACGAAAGCACGGGCGATTTATTCCGGGGGAGTTCCAGAAAGAGCTGAGTTCCCACATCGACACGATCTACCCAGGTACAAGACTTGTTATACAATCGATGGAGGAAGCCAATGAGACCCGCGGCAGCCTACAATCATGTCAGGGTCAGAGGGGGTCATGGAAAGATTACATCGTCAACGTGGTGTATGACAGATACGCCCTGAATGGCCTGTCCTACACAATCGAATTCTTTTTAGGTGGACCACCGGGCGAAGACACGACCAACTTCGAGAAGCACAATTACGTCGGCCACGTGTACTCCTTTGGGGGTAGGCAGAGTACATCAGAAAGCTCTTGCAGTAATTGTAGGAGACAAGCTGAAGCACAGGTCCTCTCGTGTGCTCAGGTCCCTCTGACGATCCATCTGCTTCACCATATCAGAGACAACGTTCCCGATCACTCAATCACAGACCCCGGGGAGGTTGAAGAGTATTTAAAACTTCATCTTCGATGGAAAATCATCAAATATGGTGGGGAAGTGGTGTCTGAAGAAGTATTCAAGAAGGATTTCTCAAAGCTCCGAATTACGGTGCTGCGTGGCGTTGGCCAGCCCAATTCAGGCAAATTCGAGCATACAAGCGATGTACAAATTGCCGCTTCGGTCTGTTGTTCGTACAGCGACTATGTGCCATTGCCAGAGGTCACTGATGGAAAACCCGGTGGCTTGCATATTGACAAAGCCTCCGAGAACAACCAGCCAATCATTCTGCAGGACAAAGGCGCTGTGCAACCACTGCTCCCTAAGACAGCGAAGTAAGATCTCTTTCCATCAAGATAGTTGCAGCTTCATTAACTAGTTCAGTAGATACGTGACAGGAAAGCTCCAAACTCGTGCAATGGCAGCGTGTGGACAAGAAGCCGGGGCATTAAAATTTTCTCCCGTCCAACCCAAAGCTCGGTAGTTGTTGCAAACATGGATTTAAGGTTACGCAGGATCCTGGGTATATGCCGACACTTCCGAGATCACTGACCAGGATCAATCGGAAGATTTAATCGGTACCTGAATGCCTTCTACAGAGGCCAGAGGAAGCGTTTTCGTTGTGTTGTAGAATGTTGCTAGACATTCTGGTCGACCATTCCGTTGTTGGCTTTCCTCTTAATAAATACCGCCCTTGCACCAGGGATGTCGGATGTCGGGTCAGCTTACACGTTAATCATGTCGGGCCCTCGGGATCCCGAATAACCTTTTTTCTTAATTTACAAGGGTCTTCTGCCACTTTACATAACCAGATCCTTGCCACAGCATCCCATCTACGAATACGATGGGGTCTGATCTACGCCCGCTAGAACAAGTGCTTACCGTCGGCGTATAGGAATTGACATTGAGTTTCAGCAGGCGCCATGTCTGACCTGGCAATTGGGCGAAATAATGATCATCCGTGCCGTCTGGGCCTAAGGTTTCCGTGTCTCAGACGAGCTCGGGAAATTAGCGTTACGCAAAATCTAATAAAGAGCGTGCTGGCCACTTTTTCCTGTCAGCTTACTGTGCTCATCCCTTAGAATCATTCGACTTACAATGGACAACCAAGAAAAGACTGTCGACTCGTCGTCGCAGAGCGAGAAGGACAAGGAGTCGACGACTTCACCAAAAGCGACGCCACGACCACCGCCGATTCTGTGTCTCGGCGCTCCCCGCACTGGTTCTGCATCGCTTATGAAAGCGCTGCAGATTCTCGGATATCCTAATGTGCACCATGGATGGGAGGCAGCTGAGCTTGAGGAACTTCAATGGCAGTGGCCTATTTTCGACAGAGCTTGCGACGCGACGTTTACCAATATACCAACATACCGCGGCAAACCATTCTCTCGAGCTGAATGGGACGAAGTTTTTGGAGAATACGATGCTGTATCGGATGTCGCTTCTTTCTTCGCTGAGTCGTTGATTCCAGCTTATCCCGACGCCAAAGTCATTCTTGTCGAACGCGATATCGAGAAGTGGTTTCCCAGCATGCATGCGGTGGTTAAAAGCTCAACAAGTCCCATCCGACGAGCACTCGGAGCCAAAATTGGCGACCTTTCAGGATATTTGAGTCCAAGGCCATGCAACAAGCTTCATCAAGGCTGGACGAGAGCGCCATCTCCCAACGACGTGATTGAATACCTAAAGCCAGCATATATCAGACATAATCAGTACATCAGAGATGCTGTACCTAAGGAGCAGCTATTAGACTTCAAGCTCTCGGATGGTTGGGAGCCGTTGTGCCAGTTTTTGGGAAAGGAAGTTCCTGATGTGCCGTTTCCGCATGTCAATGATTCAAAGGAGTATGCGGAGAGGGGTAAGAGGTTGGGAAATAAGATGATCAAACTTGCTCTGAGGAATCTCATCTTTCCTTGTTTGCGTCCTGAGCCTGTAAGCAGGACCTGAGAGTTGCTTGACGCCTAGACTGCGGCTTTGTGGAGGAAAACGATGAAGTGTATACCAGGGATACCATTTTGTTGGCCGCATGAGAGTGGGTTGATTCTGTATATCATCTGATATAAGATGCTGGCTAGATTTCTCTGTTTAGACAAGCGCGCTGTTTCTAATACCTAACTAGGATAGCGTGTTTTTCATCAATATCCGTATTTGGCAATATCGATAGTCCACGGTTGTATCTACGCAATCAAGACTCCACCAACACCCGAAGTCCTTCAATGAAATGTCAGCTTATTGGCTTCATAAAAGTAGCTCATGCATCTTGCATCACGACTCTCGGATCACTAAGTCGTTTAACCAGAGTTTTGCCTTGGTTTACCAGATGGACCAGTGAGTGTTGAGATGAACAGCCCGGAAGACGGACCGCGATCCCGAGAGTCAAACAGTCCCCTCCTTGACATCGACCTCGAGGGAACTACATATACTCTCATACTCCTTTTTCTTCTTGGACTTTCCGGAGCACATTTTCTATCCAAATACCGATTCAATAACCAAAGATTCTTCGATATCGTCTCGTTTTGGCGAACGAAATGACTACTACTCGGAACTATAACTGGCATCAAGTCAAACCTGGTGTTTGGCAACGCCATATCGATGAAATCGAACAATTCTACTCGACGATGGTTGTTCTCTACGAAGGCAGCGGTCGCATGTTCTTTGGAATGACAGGTCATGTCTCACTCTCCATCAAGAACACCAGGGGCTTGTCTCAAAAGGATGCTGAACTTGAGGTTGATAAAGCCTTGGGAAAAGCATGGCTTGCTTTGAGATATGCTCACCCTACACTTGCATCTCAAGCTACTCAGAACGTTGAGTCAGGAGAGTGGGTTAAAACCTACAGAGAAGTCCAGGGAGAAGCAGATAAGAATACCTGGCTGGAGAGGACTCTTGTCCATATGACCAACGGGCAGACTGGTAACCAGTGGGCTAACTCAGACCCTCCTGCTCCAAAACACCCGACAATGTTTGTTCTACATCTACCGGCTGAAAACAGCGATGATGGATCCGTGACCATCCGCCGAGACCTTGTCTTCCGCTCTCCTCACGACATCATCGATGGCATCGGGACTCTGATGATGCTCAACAACTTCATCTCATCCGCTGCAGAAGCATATGAGAAGGGTGATACCTATGAACCCCCCGCCCTCGACGGCAGCGAGGCTTCAAACCTGAGCCCATCTTACCGAGTCGCAGCTCAAATCCCTGAAACGCCGGACCAGGCGCAGCTGGATAGACTTAAGCAGATGGCCGCTCAAAAAGCCGCTGCCGCTTCTGATGCCAGCGTGGAGATTCTTGCACTTCCTTATAGACAGGGTGATCTACTACCAGGTCGTCATCAGCGCTTGGCACTCACCCTCTCCAAAGAGGAAACGCGACAGCTGTTGGCGGCGTGCAAAAAGGCTGGAGCTACGCCGACGCATGTCTTCCATGCTGCAGCTGCCATGGTCGTGCGAGACCTACAGGATGAACCGACGGAGACGAAGCGAGTTCGATACATCAACTACATCCTACGCAACGAACGGTCAAGTTGCGCGCAGCCATATAACACGGCTCAGCATCCGGCATCTGTTTACCATTCTGTGTCTGGTCAGAGTCTTGTTGTTGACATGGATCTCCACCCAGTGTCGACCAAACCAGACTTACAAACTCGCAAGAAGGAGTTTCTTTCCATTCTTGAAACCGTTAAAGACTTCTATCTCGCAGTCAAACAAGACGAGGAGTTCTACGTTCTCGCACCAACCATGTTCTCCCAAGCTACCCCGGGCCTCCCCTCTGCTCCTCGTCCCCTACCTGTGCCTGCTCCAAACGCTCATCCTTCTGTATCGATCTCGAGTATGGGGCGTACTGACGCTATCGTAGCACCGGAAACTGGGGCGTTCAGGGCGAGAGATCCGTGGGTGACGGGAGAGGAACTCGGAAATGGGTTGGGATTGTTTCTGGGTACGTTCCAGGGAGAGTTATGTTTGAGTGCTGCGTATAATGATGCTTGGCACACGGAGGCAGATGCTAAACAGTATCTGGAGCGATGTAAGGATGTGGCATTCTCAGGTCTTGGGATATGAGCCATGAGGATAGTTGGGGACCGTATCGGAGGAGGGGCAGATCTGAGTTTGAGTGAGGATATCAGAACGTTCAATGTTATCATCTTCCGTATAGGTTGCCGACAGGCTTCCATTCGCATCATGCCTTGGCTTGGCCAATATTCCTGATATCTTTGAGTTCAGTTCATCAGATCAATAGCTCGCGTACACTGGGTTGTCAGCCCGACAGCAATATCTGTTTGTAGCGACATGATTCGCAGCCGATATCTTATCTCGTCGTCGTTTTGATAAGCGTCATGTATCATGGTCATTCGAGATTGACTGCTGACATCTTCATCATGGTTCGTTCATGTTATCTGGTAGCTTATCCAAGCCATAGACAAACTTCGTCGTGAAACTTGTCAAGATATCGTGTAAACCATCTTCGATCAATGATTCTGACAAGTTACTGCACGAGGTTGTCCGATGATTGATCTAGTGAAGATGACAGAGTTACGCTTTGGGGCAGGTCCCTCAAAAAGGACCTTGATAGTCGTCTGTGCCGCAATTCATTATCAAACAAGAACGTCTCTACCCCTCGTATATCCCATCAACATCTGGAACTTCTGTGGCAATTCCTCCATCACGCGCTCACTCCAAACATCCCATTCCAAAATCAGCATAGTAGATATCGGTTTATCAAGGCCCAAGAGAACGGTTTTCAAAACCCGCCACAACCCGCCTGAAGGATCACCCGCTGGTAAGCAACAAAATCCCATACCTCTCGTCTCCTGCACATATGTAATCTATCCCGATTGTGGGGGTGATATTCACGGGGAAACGCACTGTGTGTCCCGAAGTGGAAGCTCCTTAGACCCCCAGGAACCTTTGACAGGCTGGGGTAAATCAGGATGACCCCGGCGAAAACCCGGATTGGGGCATTTTCCCTAACTGTTGGGTCGGAGCTGAATGATATGCTTGTTTGATAGTGGCCAATTGATATGGGGAAGGGGTTATCTAGGCGATTGATGGAGAGTTGAGGGTTGGTAGGTTGCATTAGCATGTGAAGTAGTACGGCGCCCGGGAGAAACAAGAAAATAGAGGTTTCAACCTTGAATTCACGATTGATGGTACTTACTAGGGTGACCAGCATGTTGGTTTGGTGGTGTTGAGTGGCAAGTGGCAATCGTGTAGGCATTCTACACTCTGCATCTTTGGTGTTCAATGCTCCCTTTTGATGCAAAACGACGCATTCAATGATACCGCGACAGGCAACGAAAATAACTGCTCGGGTTTTCAACATCATTTCCCTCGTAAAACTTGCTGCTACGACTTCAATCGCGTCTTCAAGATGGCGAGAAATGCTCAAATACGATTGAAGTGATAGATATTACCAAGACCTCACTAATGAAACCGTATCCGCCTGTAATCTGTTCGCGATCTGACGTGGAGTATAAAAAAAGCAGGGATTCCGATCCGTATCCGCCTGGAACACGAAAATAGATGCTCGCGTGGCGAGCGATTGATAACATCAAGGACGAGTTGGTGTTGAAGTTATCCATGGACGTCAAAAATTCTGGGCATCGGATCGTGCATGTCGCCGCATTCTTGGCTACGGGTATAACGGTCTTGGTATCTGTAGCCAAGACGATCTGCTACATTTTTGATCTTCCAGAACATTTTGTGCACACTGATCGACAATGGCAACGCCGATGATTTACTGGGATGAAGATGGTGCATGCAACAGTATTCAAACGTTGCAGATTAATTCAGTGGCAATAGGGTAGGCGTTTCTCAAACTGGAGGCGAGATAGCATCACGATTGTGTCGTCTGTTGGACTCTGTTGTTGGTTACTCAGTGGGTCGAATGATATGTAGAATTGGGTATAGTCGTCATGTCAAGCTAGACAAAAGTCCATTTTGTATGGCACCAGGTGATTCCTGCAGTACGAGTATGGGGGCCGAGATAGCACAGGGCAAGGGTAAATCATCCCAGAAATGCAAGCAGTGGTCCCTTTGGCCTTGGCAATCCTGGCCTCGGCACTCGATAGCGGAATACAGACGCTGTAGAGAATGCGGGGGAGGCGATACACTGTAGTGAGAGGCTGTTTCACTTACAGAGTGCAGTGTCAAGTAAATCACTGTACTATTATGGTGTCTTGTTAATATAGATGACGCTGTTCAGTTGTACAGTAGAACAAGACCGGCCCCTTGGTCCAACATCAGGTCTCCATTTAGGCTTATCTACATGGACGTTATTCCATTCCGCTGTCCGCCCATTGATGCCCTGTTGCCCTGTTGCATCTCCAACAAAAAGGCCCTTCTCCAACTAACAAAGGTCCCGCAAAATGCGCCAAGAGCAACAAAGGTTCCCCGAGCCATTGGCCAGCACACGGAGTACACCCACTTTTTGGGTTTAGCGCGTGCTGATAGCTGTTTGGAGTGTAATACCGATTTATTATTCATTGCGAGAATTGATGCGTTATCGGAGAACATGTCAGGAGATTATTGAGGTATGAGCAATTGAGGCGGGTTTTCGGATCATGGTCTCGAATTGAAGATGATGCGCCGAGGGCGGAGAGGATGATAAGAGTAAGTGAGTAACTAAGGTAAGTAAGTATCTGGTGATTTGGAGGGTGATTCAGTGATGGCCCTGTTAACTTAGTGAGGCAATGATATTGCGAGTGGCAGACTTTGACCATTCACAGTCTAATGCAGAGTAACCCTCCGATAACCATAACAACCATAAAACCTTTTATCCCCTGTAACATACAGTAACATGTGGCGCGTATCGCCCGTTTCCCTCCCTCGGTGCCACCCGCTCTCTTCTATCTGGGGGTGGAGCCATCCCCTACTCTCCCGACCTAGTCCCTCTAGATTTACCAGGGACTCATGCACAAAAGTTCAAGCACACGATAAAATACTCCTCCCATTGTGGCAGCTCCAAATACAACCGCTCCCCTCTAATTGGTTCCCTACCGAAGATAAGGTCCGCCAATCTGTGGATGCCAGACTCTTTATTTGGCAATCACCAAAAGATCGTTTGTCTCGCTTCCTCTTCTGGGGGTCATGCCTTGCAAAAAGTCCCATGCCCCCGATGTGCGGAATTGATTTGAAGATGCTGTGATTAAATGCCACTTACTCAATTGGGCGGGTATCAAAAGTGCCACCACCGAATATTGGTAGACCAGCTGCAGCTCTTGTACGACGTTGGGAGCAGCAGAGATAAATAGATCATTGTTCCCCCAGACCTCGAGGGTTTCATTCAGTCGTACCAGCCAGTTCAAGTCTTTGTCTCTTTTTTAATAGGGACTCTTCAACTGATCGCCCATCATGGTCGCCGAAACAGTCGTCCCCGATCGTGTCCCTGAGGATACCCTCCAGCCTCGCTACGATGAGAAGGAGCCTCATTTCGACATGGACCTCAAGTCTGAGGCTGACAGCGAGGATGATCGTATTATCGACCTGTTCTCCAGTTTTCCTCCCGCAAAGGGTGTTGAGCATGAGCCTAACCCTTTGACTGCTCGTGCTGTCATTGTCGGTATCATTCTCGGTTCTCTCGTCAACGCCTCCAACGTCTATCTCGGTATGCTCACCCAGCCCTCGATGGAGTTTAATATACTGACAATTGCAAAGGCCTCAAGACTGGTTTCACTTTCCCCGCTACCATGTTCGGCGCCATCTTCGGTTATGGCTTCATCCTCATGTTGACAAAGTCCCTCCCTCACGTCCCCATCCTCGGCGGTAAATTCGGTCCCCAAGAGAACTCCATCATCCAAGCCGCTGCCACAGGCGCAGGTGGTATGTCCGGTGTCTTTGTCGCCGGTCTCCCCGCCATGTACCGTCTCGACCTCCTCTCCGACGACCCCAAGAAGGACTTCGGTCGTATTCTCACCATCACCTTCGTCTGCGCTTTCTTCGGTCTCTTCGCTGCTGTTCCTCTTCGACGATTCTTCATCATCAATGTCGCGAGGGAGCTTAACCTCGTCTTCCCTACGCCTACTGCTACGGCTATGACTATTCGATCTATGCATGCTGTTGGATCGGGTGCGGCTGATGCGCTCCGAAAGATCAAGGCGCTTGGTATTGCTTTCATCATTGCTCTTCTCATCATCTGCGTTGGACAGTATGCCGATGGTATTCTTCACAACTGGCACATCTTCACCTGGTTCTACGTCTGGTCTGGATACACTGCCACTGGCCTGCTTGAGCCTGAGAACTGGGGTTGGTATATCCAGCTCACTCCCGCTTTCTTCGGCTCCGGTATCCTCGTCGGTCTCAACGCTGCTGTCTCTTGGTGGGGTGGTACCGTCGTCGCCTGGGGTCTCATCGGTCCTCTTCTCGTCCACTATGGCGAGTGTATTGGTATCGCTGTCGGTGAGGGTAAGTGGGAAGGCATCACTCGATTCAGCGTCATGACTGGTGTCGACAAGCCCGACTACGTTCCCTCTCCCCGATACTGGATGCTCTGGCCTGGTGTCATGGTCCTCATGGTCTACTCTCTCATCGAGTTCTTCCTCCACGGAAAGGTCGTCTGGGACGGTATCAAGTTTGCCGTCCACGAGTCCGCTCGCTCTATCAACAACAGACTCCAGGCTCGTGGCAAGAGCAACGCTTGGTTCGCTAAGCAGGCTGCCAAGGCTGATGCCGATGGTGGTGTTGAGGACTTTGCTTCTGCTCAGGAACAGGTCCCTACTTGGGTCTGGGTTACTGGCACCCTCGCTGCTCTCATCCTCGCCATGATCGTCAGTGAGGTTCAGTTCCACATGAACGCTGGCCTTGCTCTCCTCGCCTGTATCCTCGGTGTCATCTTCGCTTTCATGTCCATCTACGGTGGCGCTGTCACTGATTGTGCTCCTCTCACTGCTTCCGCCAAGGCTTCTCAGCTCGTCTACGGTGGTATCACCAAGAACCACTTCGCCATCAAGGATGCCCAGCGAATCAACCTTGTCGCCGGTAACATTGCTTCCGGTACCGCTGACGTTGCCAACTCTCTTGTCAGCGACTTCCGAGTTGGTTTCCTCCTCAAGACTCCCCCCAAGCTGCAGTTCTACGCTCAGGCCATTGGTACTGTCGTCTCCGTCTTCCTTGCCCCCGGTATCTTCGTCCTCTTCATGTCTGCCTACCCTTGTGTCTTCCGACCCAGCGACGATCCCGCTGATATCTGCCCTTTCGCCGCTCCCTCCGTCGCTGCTTGGCAAGCTGTCGCTACTGCTGTCACCATGCCCAGCATTCCTATCCCCAAGTCCTCCGCCTACTTCTCTATTGCCATGGGTATCCTTTGCGCTGTCCAGGCTATCGTCAAGCACTTCTGGCTCGTGGGTTCTCGCGAGAAGTACCGTGATTGGCTCCCCAACTGGATGTCCGTCGGTGTCGCCTGGGTTCTCGGCCCCGACTCTGGATATGCCAATGCCATCCTCTGTAAGTCATCTTGGTGTCATTTTACAAGTTTTTAACTAACAATTAACGCAGTCGGCTCTATTACCGCTTGGTGGTGGCGCAAGTGGTTCAACAACCACTTTGAAATGTATGCGTTCGCGATCGCCGCTGGTTTGATCGCCGGAGAAGGATTTGGTGGTGTCATCAACGCCGCCCTGGAGCTTGGAAAGGTCAGCGGTTCTTTCAAGGGAACCGAGATTGCTCTGCCCGGTGCTGAGTGGTAATTACTCGATTAGTTAATGCGTCATGAGTGTTTGTTGAAGCCATTGGCGGAGGATGGTACAATGATCAAATAGCTAGCTTTGCTATATGAATATACCCACTTGATCTTTAAAGCCCATAAGACTTCTTTTTCTGACAATGTTTCATGCAACCCAACAGTCTGTAGTTCGTTATGGTCTTTGAAAAAGCCATTCTGCTTCACTGGCACCTCGAACACGCTTTCGTGTTTCGTCAGGCACAACAAGTGAACAACTCTGGCTACAGTGTTCAATCAGGACAGTACATATCACAGAGGGGGAAACGACTTGTAAGAAATCTCTAAGAAGTAGACTACTGAGCCTCTGGCCCTTAGAGGAGGTAAGAATACTTATGATGTCTCTCCTAAATAACAGAAATGACTTTGGGCAATTTTAGTATAATTTAGTAGACCTTTAGACTATTCTTTTTAGCACTCTAGTTCAAGGTCAGACATTTTCTTACTCCACAAGGGATCCGTATTGAGTGCCTGGCTGACGGTGATACACCAGTTCCGATGGCTTAGAAAACCAATAACCACGCTGAAGGAGACGAGTTGGAGTTTCAAAACTTCATTGAGTCAATCTACGACGATTACAAAGTCCGCCAAGACGAAGATCAGACTGCAGCGATTACCAAGCCAACCCCAACCAAACTCTTGAGAGTTAACGATGAAAACGAAGGGATGAAGTCATTTTTCGACCAGGTCGTGAAGCTTTGCCCAAGACCAACCTTGATTCCGGTCCTGAATAAGCACGGGGATACCAGGAAATTGACCGACAGGAAGACGCAGATATCCGCCAAAGCTTTTGTTCTTGTCCATGCTGTTCAAATCCTTCTTTTCGCTCCGATGGACTGGGAGAGACACCGATCCTACTCTCGCGACAATCAACAGTATGCTCATCGTTTTCCAACCCCTGCGACATGTGGTGGTGATACTGGAACAGAGGTAGCGAACTTGTTTTCTATGGAAGACCTCCATCGCGCCATTTTGATGTTCTACTTCCTCGTCGGCCGTCGGTCTAAGCGTACAGCTTGGATCACGCGACCATATCCGAAAAAACAAAGACGAAATCGAGTTCGAAGGTTACGTGGATCCACTTGCAGCGGAGAAGGCGGCCGTCCCAGAGGTCGGTGACACAGTTCTGGACAGCTCTCGCACAGCGGATGCTATATTCAGAGACGCCGCCGAGTCGACACAGCAGGAGTGACGTAAATCCAACAAGAACTGGGAAAGGACTTTTCGAGAACAACAGAAGGAGAAAGTCGGGACTTCTGACTTGCTGGATGACGATCAGATACCTCCGAATCCTGATGCCTTGCCTGTCGTCACTGGAAACCACAATGTCGATGCCTGTACGGCACTGCTGGAGCCCGCCCAAGCAACACGACCAAAGCTCCAGATTGCCAGGAAACTCGCTGAAGCCAGGATCGACGGCATGGCGCCCATATCTAGAACAGCCTTTAAAGCGGTCATGCGCACTCTCAACCGTGTGCATGATCAACCAGACTTCGACGTCAACTTGGCTCGGCTTCAAGAAACAATTACCCATGTCGACAAGTTTATCCCTGAAGACCAGATAAACGATTTCATCCGTAGCCAACAAGAGTCCGAAGTCGTCACTGAGTTTCGACTCGCGAATCCGGACAAGGAGGCGGAATTGCAGCAGCTCAGTCGTCAACAGTACGCTCTCGACCATGTCTTGTCTTCACTTCCGCCAAAACAGTCTGAAGGGGGGCTACAGGTGTTGTAGAAGTATGGGACTGTGCCTTGACTTGACCTCAGGCTGTATCCTGACCGTGAGGATGGCGACGCATCTTCCTCTCAAACGACATGGGGACGGGCAAGACCAAGGCATACCACAACTCCATCGTTCTCCGCCAACGAGCCAAAGAGGAACGCTACAAGCACGACATGGAGACCGGGGGCGACACGGATGTTGAATTTTACCCAACACTCATTCTCATCCTAGTCAGTTCGAACGTGGAAGAAAGCTTAGGGCCTGAGCATATCCTAAACATATCCTAAGCGGCGAACAGATTTAGGCAAGTTTGGTGTAATTTAGTGGACCTTTAGATTAACTTATTTTCAATGTTCATAAAGTTTCCAAGATCTTGACATATTTGTCTTAAAAACAGTCGAGTATTGCTTGTCGCAAGCTTGCAAGTCATTGTTTGTCTCTCATCAGTGTTCGTAATAATGATCTGAGCATATGTCTTATTATAATAACTACCCTCTGAGTCGCAATAAACATCGTATTAAAAGTCAGGCTTTTGTTGACGTTTCAGATTTCTTGTGCACTGCTTCCAGCTCGTGCTCTCCTTTGATCTGCAAGGGCTGTCCAATGATGGCCTCGAAGTTCTGATAATCGCGTTAGAAGATGAACAAGACTCTTGTTGAGATTGTGGGCTTGACTTACAGGGCCTTCAAAGGTCTTACCATAGACCATCCAGTACAAGGCAAGGAGCAAGTAGAAAATACCGACGACTGCGGAAACATAGTCTTGATAAGTTAGCAAGCTGCTCGATGTTAGGGACAAGTGTACGTACTCATAGTATTAGCTGATACGGGGAGGCCAGTTGGAAAACAGAAGAACTGTAAGTAGTTAGCGAGGAGTTCAAGAAGTCAAGGTATCTTGTGCTTACGATGGTGATGACGATGACAAAGACGCTTGCAAGCACGTTGACGGCAGCACCAGTCCTCAAGCCCATCCTGGCTGGTGTCTTTCTTGTCTGGTATTCCTTAAGAATACTTCTACCCCTCACCAACAAGGCAATGACAGGGCCAGCATAAGAGACATTGAGGAAGATGGTGCATGAAGCAATGTAAGCACTGAAAGCCACCGCAGGACCAAGGTACAAGAGTCCAAAAAGGACATTGAAAATGAAACACAAGGTGATTGTGCGGACGGGGACATCGAGCTTGGGTTCAATGTGTGCAAAGTAGTTATGGCAGATGATACCCTTGTCTCTGGCCATGGCATAGAGCAGACGACTTGCGCTGGTGATACTAGCTGATGTGCCGTTGATGAAACAGACGCTTAGCATGAGGGCTAGAATGGTTGCTGCGGCGCGACTCTTTGTGCTTTGGAGGAAGAGTTCGACGATGGGCATGCCGGTGTTTGAGGCGAGGATTGTTGCGGGGTCGGTGAGGCAGAAGAGGATGACTAGAATGAAGAGGAAGCCACTGAACCAGGTTAGCAAGGGCAATACGATTGCATGAGATGGCTTACGTGACACCACCAATGACGATGGCCAGCACCATAGCTCGAGGTGCATCTCGTGAAGGGTTGGGCATCTCTTCAGTCAGATGAAGGACAACATCAAACCCAATAAGCGACAGGGCAGACTGGAGTAAGCCAAGGATCCAAGCGACACCATCTGACCAGCCAGTCTCATTTCTGAACTCTGTAAAGACTTGACGAGCATCTGTCTTTGGCGACATGGAAAGGAGGATGATGCTCATAATAACGACCGAGAGGACAGACCAATACACTATGAAGCTGTTAGTTGGATGGTCTCGACAAGCAAAGGTCCAACTCACGAGCCATGTCGTTCCAATGACCGAGGATTTTGTTTCCCCAGACGTTGCCGACCGTTCCGAAGGTGAGGATGGCGAGGAAAAAGAGATATGTCTTCCATTGTGTTGCCTCGTATGCGTTGTCGGAGGCGACGACGGCTGCGGCGGAGACCAGCTGGGCTGCGTCAGTTAGTATGCGAGGATACTCATTGGGGGCGGGGCGAATGGCTGACCTGCAAAAAAAGCTTGAGTTGTAACAACAGTCAACCAACCAGCGATATTGGTCCATCCGATAAAGAAGCTCTGTTAAGTATTAGTCTTCGTTCTCGAGGTAGCTAGGTCGGCATACCATAGGGCGTTTCCATCGTGGTGTGCAAAGGGCGTACATGAAGTGATACTGTCCACCTAAAAGCAATTAGACATCATCTTTGTAATATTCCCGAGTCTTGACAGGCAGCCTTACCTGCAGTTGGCCAAATTGCAGCCATTTCTCCAAGACTGGCAGCAAGAGCCAGGTTACAAAGAACGCAGACTACGAATCCATAGATAAACGAGACTGAGCCCCCAGAAGGGAGAATGTAAGCCATAGTACCGGCGAGTGCGATCCATGTGCTGACGAGGGGTTAGCCAATGCCAAGAACAAACAGGGTATGACAAACTTGAGAATGGCAAAGGCCATAGCAACCATGGTCAAAGTCGAGAGACGCTGCTGCAAAGCGCCCTCCTGCGTTGAAGATGTCATCTTGGCCGTTGTCGTGTTCTGTTATGATGAAGTGTTCTTGTTGGAGTATCAGAGGAGAAAACGCTTGACTCATATACTCGTTTCCAAGGTCACACGGCCGAGCCACTTACGTTGATAAGACCTACCAGGGAAAGGGGGCCACCGTTGTACAAATCTCCAACACACGTCAATCTACACTGCCTTCATTGGCATCTTATCATACAAACACTCCAATCTGCCGAGATATCCTGATAAGTTGGTCTTTTACCCCAGGTTTTGCGATATCAGGCATCCCCACTGAATATACCGCATTGAGTAAGATTTCGAGAAGAATGACATATTTTATTGGTTTCAGGGATGGCCAAGGAACTAACGTGCAAATGTTTGTTAGTGCTAACCTTGATGCTGGGTCTTAGCGGATTGCGGGGGAGATCTAGATTGTTGGGGTTCTCGCAGAATTACCGGATGCGGTAATTCGCGTCAAGATAGCTGCTATCGCGATGGGTCGAGGTCTTCGTATCGTGAGTTTTTGGACTAGATAGAGGATCATCGTTATCTTCTCGCGAAATTGCCGTTTGAGGAAATGGGGACTGGGGCGAAGATGAGAACACGGACCGAGGATAAAATGAGTAGCCGTCCTCGACGATACTTCTGGTTGATTCTGTCTATCATTCTTGTCTTGTTTGCGTCAGTGTCTTCTTGAGCTTGATCAATTGAGTTGCCCTAACTCGAGCGACGCGTAACTCAGAGTCTTTGATATTGATACACAAAACTTCACTAAACAACCTCACAATGTCTTCTCGAGACGGCTTCTCGTGGACTGAGTCCCAAGGACTCAAGGCTGGTGTTCCATGCATCGGAGCTATTAATCCTCCTACCAATTTATCAGACAAGAACACAAAGTTTGATGTCATTGTTGTTGGGGCAGGTTATTGTGGCCTGACTGCGGCTCGAGACGCAGCCGTTGCTGGTGAGTACGGCAAGTTTCAAAACTCATGATACACAACTAACAAGACCATACAGGTCTCAAGGTCCTTCTCATTGAGGCTCGTGATCGGATTGGAGGCCGGTCATGGAGCTCAAACATTGAGGGTTATCCATATGAAATGGGTGGAACCTGGGTATACTGGGGACAACCTAATGTATGGCGTGAGATCTCCAGATATGGTATGCAAGATGAACTTGAGATTTCATATGACTTTTCAAGAGGCGTCAACAAGTATCTTTTGGTTACACCTGAGGGAACTCAGAAGTTCACTCACGAGGACGAGGTGAGTCCCAGTGTCTACCTCATAAGTCAAGAACCTAGACTAACGAGCCCAGGATCAACTAATGCAAAGTGGCCTTGAAAAGCTCGTCAACATTGACGGCCAAGGCGGTCGAGAAGCATTAGTCTTCCCCCACAGCGCCAATCTCGGCCCAACAGCAACCAAATACGACCGCATGTCCATCGCAGACCGTCTCGCCGAGATTCAAAATGACCTCACCCCCAACGAGCGTATATGCCTAGAAGCCTTCGTTCTTCTCTGCAGCGGCGGTACTCTTGAAACCACTAGCTTCTATGAGTTCTTGCACTGGTGGGCTCTAAGCGGCTATACATACCAAGGTTGCATTGAGTATCTCGTCAAGTACAAGTTCAAGGGAGGCCAGTCGAGCTTTTCCATTCGTTTCTTCAAGGAGGCTTTGGCCAGTGGAAACTTGACGTACTCTTTCAGCACGCCTGTTGCTTCGGTGAAGAGTGGTCCTGCTGGCGTTGAGGTAACTGCTCGAAGTGGCCAGAAGTTCAGAGCGTTGAAGATGATTAGTGCTATGCCGCTTAACATTCTCAACGACGTGCATTTTGATCCTCCTCTGATGCCTGGGAAGAAGGCGGCGGCGGACATTGGGCATGTTAACCAGTGCACCAAGGTTCATGCTGAGGTTTCTGATCGGGATCTTCGGTCGATGACTAGTATCAGCTATCCTCACAACAAGCTTTCTTATGGTTTTGGAGACGGTACTACTCCTGCTGGTAATACTCATATTGTGGCCTTTGGTGGTCAGCATAACCACTTCCATCCTGAGGAGGATATTGAAAAGACCAAGGCTGCTTTCCAGGGCTTTGCTTCGATGGATATCAAGCGCTTGGTCTTTCATAACTGGTCCAAGGATGAATTTGCAAAGGGAGCTTGGTAAGTTTATCCTATTTTCTTGATATGACAAAGCTAACAGTTTCAGGTTCTTCTCTCGACCTGGTCTACTGACCGATCATCTTGGCGACATGCGAGCCACACAGGGTAACATCATCTTTGCCTGTTCGGATTGGGCTCTTGGATGGCGCAGTTTCATCGATGGTGCCATTGAAGAAGGAACACGAGCTGCCATGGCTGTCCGTTCGAGCCTTTCCGAGCGAAGCCACCTGTAGTTGGAGCTAAGGATCATCATGATTCGTGTAGATTGCATGTATAAAAGTTGAGGCGGGAGTTCTATTCTTCTATTATGTCATTAGATGTACTATGCATAAATTCACATTTATCTGAATATTGAAGTGTTATTCTCGGAGCTTCTCATACTTAGTGTTGTTGAAAGGGCAGATCGACACTGGGAAATGTCTAGTACAAAAGCAGAAAACCTTTTGACAAATATTGCCACTATACGGGTCTTGCACTAGTTCCGAGTCGAAAAACACTATAGCCAATGATATATCAGTATCGTAACACTTGATGTCAGTCGATGTTCAGGTCTGAACAAATTTGTGGCTCACAGGCAGCATTTATGCTGTAGCAATTGGTCAGGCATTGTGATATAATGTCTCAATTGTGAGCTAGATGTGTTATTTGCAGATGAGACCTGTGGCTGAGAGCTTCTAATCACCACACAGAACCTGGTGGGCTCACAGGAGCCGCCCGAAGCCGTTATAAATCACCATTTGCCCATTCTCAACCTTCTTATCCTCCTCCTCCCAGGCCATTTTTCGCATATCTCTCCAATTTTGTATCTCAGCCTTCCTTTCTTCTAACATCCGCTGTCTTTCCACTGGATCACCAGCCATAGAAACCCTATGTTGAAGGGTGGTAGCACCGAGCTGACCTAAAGCCACATGTGCGTCTACCATATCAGCTGTATATCCTAATAAATGTTAGCCTAACACAAGTCAATAAGGTATTAGATTTGACCTACTATCAGGTAGCTTGCTCCCAGCATAGTTGTCAGCGAACAAGAACACGTCCAGTTCATGGCTAAGAGTGTCTTGGTACGGAAATAGGAGTTTGGTAGAAGAATCTCGCATGGCGGCGCTGATCTTTGAACGCAGATAGGTTTCCACGAATCGGTGGTGCCACGGTTTAGATAGAAGGGGCTTGGCATATGCTGCTGATGCACTGTAGCATACCCTCGGACAAATCTCTTGAATCTCTGTGCAGATATTGACGAGATCTTGGATCTGGAACAGGCTCTCCTGCCAGTAGTGAAACTTCCGCTCAAACACTTCATATCTCTTTCCATGGACAAATTGTTCCAGGAGCTCCACCAGACCATGCATGTCACTGTGCTTCGTCAAGCGACGTCGCATCATCGCAACCATCAAGGCCAAAGGGATGAGGGCATCATCGTAGAATATCTCTCGGATATAAGAAATGTGATGTTGAAGGAGATTATCTCGGTTTTCTTGGAAGCAAACTCGTACTGACGGAGAAGCCGCGATGAGTGATGCTACATCGTTCAGTGAGTCGCACTGCTTGAAGATTTCGACTTTTATTTCCACTGGTAGCTTGGCAAAGCCATGGGTTTTGTCAGATTTGAGCCCCTTTCCTTTTAAGAGGCAGAGCGTTAGAAAACCCAAGACCATAGGTGTAGCGACACCAACAAGAAAGGGGGCGAAATTGCTCACATTGCGAGACATTGCCAGAAAGCCGAATAATGATGGGAATGTGTTGAATAAAGAAGGGAATGCAGGGTGTTAAATATATAGAACTATTTATATCATGGCATTTGTATTACGCTTTTTGAATTAGAGATTAAACTGAGGATATTCACGACTGGAAAGTAATAGAAAGTAGACCTTTGCCTCATGTGGACAGCCTGTTTGGCCATAAAATAACAGTCCATAAAGAACTTTTGCTGACGAAAATACAGTTCGGCGTTCACATCAACGTGTTTGTATTTTTATAGATTGAGCGTTCACAATCAGATGCTTGCAGTTTTTCGGTTTATTAATATGCATTTGCGCATTTACTTAGTATTTCTAAGTTCTCAAGTTTATGTAAACCTTGTCGATATCACAGCAAGATTATCTTCTTATCAGCATTTATGCTGTAGCAATTGGTCAGGCATTGTGGTATGATGTCTAAGTTGTGAGCTAGATGTGTTATTTGCAGATGAGACCTGTGGCTGAGAGCTTATATTCACGATGCAGAACTTAGTAACTCAGCAAGATAAATAAATCAAGGCGACGGATCAAAAATAACGCCTTTTTTAGTTTACATTTTCAGGCCCCATAAACACTTAGCATTTAGAATCATTTATAGGGTTTCTGGTTTTTTATGCAGATATGGCAATATTAGAGACAACTTATTCTATCATTCAGGTACTTTTCGAATTCCTCAATACTTGAAAATTCTTCTTGCTAGCCCCCTTCATACCATGCTCTGAAGGTTTTATTTCAAATAAGTTTTGTTGTCTGTTGTAGTGTATCTATATCGTGCAAATCCACAGGCAATCTGGCCTCCTGTGCTTCTCAATCTCGCCAGCTCTAAACTCACCTCCCATCCTCAACTCATAGCATAAGCCTGGTAGATATTTGCTCGCTTCGCAGCAGATCGAGTAGTCACCCGTATCCCAGCCAGCTCTCGTAATCTTTCCGTGGTTATTTTGAAAAAGATATCGAGGACGCATGCTTTCTGAGCATGTGGTTCAAGTTGTTCCAAGTAGTGGAGAAAAGGATATCCCTGCAGAGACACGTAATCGAGGTATGCCTTGATATCATCCCGTTGTCTCTTCATAAACCGGCATTCTTGAAGGCGTTGCAAGACGAAGGGGCGTGGTCCTCCACGGCGTAAAATATCCTTCACTTGGTTACGCTCGCTTCGTTCGCTCCTTGACATGCCGATTGTAAGGTCAACGCAGAATAGAATGTCGGTGTGTCGCTGTCTAATTAAACATAGAATGTTGACGGGGGTCCGGGGGCGAGCTTGGTATGGTTGTGGCAAATGCTTATGGAGATAAGATTCAAGTTCTTTGACCTGTTCTCTTTCTGCGAAAAGTTTTTCTTCACCGTTACAGGCTAGTTGGCAGTAGAGATCGTAACGGAGATATGCATTGACGACTTGGCCCCGATCTGCATATGAGTGTATGTAAGATCTTGCTGTCCTTGGCATCTGGTCTCGGAATTTGTTCACCGAGCCTGCCGTAATGGGGCCAATTTCCCGAATCATGTGTATTATGGCTGCAATACAGCCCAAGTTCGTTTTCCACTCCTCCGAGGATTCTGATATATCGAAGCGAGTTACAGCGTCGAGGTAGGGTCTGATGCGTTGCTCGATCTGGAGTGACGTTAAGCCGCGAGTCTGGGCACGTACCTTTCTCACTTGCAGGAGAATCAATGCTAGCGGTACAAGTGCTTCATCCCCAAAATTCGCATGTATCTCTAGGATGTAAGGCCATAGAAAAGAAGTGCGTTGGTTGGCATGGAAATAGCGTCTTGCAACAGGGGAAGCCGACGTAAAAGATCGAATGTCCTGAAGTGACTGGAGATTTGCCACGACGTTGATGTGAAGCTCAGGCGGGAGCCAGTTGAAAATGTCAGAAGTCATGGTTGGGTAGACGGGTTTTGCGCAGAATGTGTCCAAGAATGAAGTAGGGGGGTTACTGGGGGTTTTTATAGATGGATGAGAAATCAAAATTTTCCATGATATCATAAAAGAGGAAGAAAAAAAACGCCAAAAAGCCTTCTGAATAAGGTTTCGGTTCGTGATTGGATCCCGAGATGAGAGAAGGTGAAAGTCGGGAGACATGATGGCTGCCTGGACTCGTTGCCTAAACCAGCAAAACTCTAGACAGCTGCAAAGTTCAAGTGTCCTTCGCAGCTCACGGTCGTTTGAACGGAATCGTCTTGAAGGCGTGTGCCATAAAGACGCAAAAGGAGGAAAACATATTTACTCCTTGTGTAACAGAGGCAATGATTTACAGGTGAATGGTCTAAAGAGACTTGATCACGAGGTTAAGGAGAATATCTTGGGGCCTTTAAACCCAGCTAATATGGGCGCATTACAATTCAAGCACAGGAATTTATATTTCCATCAAATCATGATTTCAATACGCTACAGGATTTAAACTACAAAAGATTCCTCAACACATCTAGCTTGAACTCTTGGTCAACCCATCCTGAGCAGCTTTCTCCAAACCCTCAACCGTCTCCTTAGGTAGCGAGAGGAATGGTGAGTGAGAGCTCTTGACGTGGAAGGTTCCAGCATCAGGTCCCAGCATGGAAGCGAGATTCTCTTGAATACCCAAAGGAATAGCACGGTCTTCGTCGCAGAATATAAAGAAGCAGGGAATGTCGTGCCATGGCTCGTACTCGACATTGTCGGTGTACACACGACGAGATTGATGCTTCAAAGCAGCAATGGCCTTGGTTTGAGTTTCAGGATCAACATCATGGTAGAAGACATTGTCGGGGTTGTCAGCATAGACATAGTCTCCCTGTTCCTTGTTAGGAAATCATTTCTCTATGAGGGAAATTCGACTTACCTCGACACGCATCCAAGGAAGATACTGTCCTCCAAGGAGCCCTAGGATACTGTTTCCCTTTGGCATGACGAAAGCACTCAGGTAAACAAGCTGAATCACACCACCTGCCTTGCCCTCCTGTGCCCGCTGCTTCAAGCCCAAGCCTTGAACAGCCTCAGCGCCAACAAGTCCACCGTATGAGTGAACGACAACCATGACCTTCTTGCCCTCCTCGACCAACTTCTCAACAGCAGCTCGCACAGCGGCGACATCATCGCTCAATCCCTTGCTAGGAGGCTCCGCGCCAACAGAGGGGTAATCAACGGCCTCAGTCTCCCAACCCCTGGCATTGAGTTCTTTTCGCACGACATCGTAGCAATCAGCAGTGTGCCACGCACCAGGAGCAAAGACGATAGTAGGGTTAGACATTCTGACGTTCCAATAGGCTTGAAAATAGTAAACTTGAGAGAATCTGGAGGGAGGACACGATAGAATAAGTAATGACTTAGCCTACAAGCTAGCAACGCCTCGTTGAGGGGTCCAGTTTCAGTTGAATCCACTCAATTGCAGGGTCCGCCATATCTCATTGCGACGCACAGGGTTTACGCGGCAGAGCGCGAGTCAATTTTGATAAAGCTGTGGGTTTGGACTAGATTTGAATAGGGCGTAGTTGAAAATGAGATGCGTCAAACGCGGCTAACACTTCGTCGATCAGGGTTCTCCTGGTCAAAAGCCAGCACAAACTCCAAAGAACTCGATAAAGTTCAACTTGGATCTTGGTTAGCCTGGCCTAGCAAAGTCGAATGCAGCTTGACATACCAACCGGGACTAACCTTCTCGAAGGACGACAGCCTCATTGTGATAATTGTAAGCAGAGATTGTTGACACTGCGTAAATCTTCCGCGAGAGGTTGTCCTTTATGTAGATGCCAATGCCAAGAGGAACGACCCTGGAGAATTCGAGATTGATATTAAGACCATGGTGCTTCTTTAAGAAGTGTGGCCAGCCGCTATAAATTTGACATAAACTTACATATCAACAGACTTGACCTCATCCTCATCACTTAAGCTGACATCTTCTGGCGTGCTGATATGTTCCGGAGCAGAATAACCTTCCCTCGTTTCCCCTGACGCTTTATATCAAAGAGCTCTTGCCGGAAAGTGATACTATATGTATATAGTCACTGCAGCAAGTCGGAGCTCCTCAACGTGAAGATAGTCCTGTAGATATCTTGGCCTGCATATAATTCTGTCTATTTCAGGCAACATGCTGCGCTGACCATCGTTCTGGCCTATCATCACACAGGCTCAGTATGACAAATATCAGTAAGCGACGTTGTAAGCTTTGAATAATATCAACATTCAGTCATCTTACTTTCAATCCAACATATAAATTGCTAGTATCCTCGTTGAGCCCCTGATGTTCATCCAGCTGTTCCACTCTCGTTGGCCTCGTATATCCCTTGCAAGCTCCCCGTCAACGGATCATCACTATCTTTTTCCAAACAAGCTAGTTACCCTGGTTGTACGAACACAATGGCCAGCCAAAAGGCGCCTAACCAATCCAAATCAATTGACGAGTATCGAGCGTTATACAAAACATATCTGGAGCACTGCAACGCTCACGACTTTGAAGCCATGAGATCGTTCTACGCGTCCCCTATCGTCGTCAACGACAAACCAATAACCCCAGAAGATGCAACAGCTTCGTTCCAACCTATGATCGACGCATTTCCCGACTGGCACTGGGAACTGCGAAACCTCACCATCGAAGGCGACTATCTTTCGCTTCTTTTCAAAGTCACAGGAACTCATAAGGGTGACTTTCGAGGCTACAAAGCCACCGGCCGCAAAATGGAGACGAATCAATTCACCCTGTACTATGTCGTGGAGGGAAAATTCGCACAAGTTTGGGACCTTGTTGATTTCGATACCTTGATTGAGCAGATCAAATAGAGGAATATTTATGGCAGATCACGTTAGTCAAGATTGAACAATGACATTCTTTGTTTCAGTTTTCCTGGGAATTTGGTGAATTAAGGAGGTGAAGCCAAACCAGGCTTAGAAAGAACATCGAACCTTGTTCGCCTAGCTGGAGAGTAGCATGGGCAAGGATTGCGTGTTCCAGTGACGATACCACGCTGCTGGGTACCAGGTGCCGAAATGCCGGGTGAATTGTTTCATCTGATTCAATATCAGTACTCAACTGAGCGTCGAGCTCAGACTCGGATGATTGTGAAAGTCATTGTTGGGTTATGTGACTACTCGTAATAAGGTCAAAGAGCATAGGGGACCAGTCAAAACCGTTTATTTCCGAAAGAAGAGTGAGAACCAAGATGGGGGCCAACTGAGACTGATCAGCACGCGGGGCACTGGTTCCGCCCGCACTAGACAGGGACCGTTAGTTGCAGGCTTTTAAGATGATAAGGCTGTGAGCCGAGTTGGCTAAGGCCTCTGTTTGTCTTTCACAGTGCCGCGTTTCAATGGATCCAAAAACAGCCACGTTCCTTGTCTAGTCCAGACTTCTAAATAGGTATCGATCCATATTAGAGCCGAGTTGGTACGAGTGCAACGCTGCAATTTTTTCGAGAATCGATTGCGCTGACTCGTTCCGTATTTTTGCTTCTTTTTTTGCTTCTGCGAACGAAAAGATCTTCATACTCGCAGGTTTAGATTGGGCAACAATACCGTTACAATAAAGGAGACTCGTTAGGCTTGACTCGACGGAAACTGACATCTGACAAACGCTAAAACGAAGCCGTCAGTGTTTTACTGGTTGTTGGGATGATCAGGGAGTCTTCCCCGGTGGCGCCGTAAAGCCACCCGGTGATCCAAAACCCCTACACTCGTCCAACGCCCAGCTAGCGTTTGCGTTAGCCAGCCCGTCTGCCCGTTTAGTTAACATGGGAGGTTTATCTTGTGAGAAATATCCGGGGCAGGTTCGAGATGCGAGCTAACTTTAAAGCCCACCCGTGCTGGAATGCTTTTTCTCCTAACTGTGGTGCTGGTTACTTCATCCCTACGACATCCCCTGATGTGAAGTCCTCTCCCTTTCGTTTCCCCATCATTGTTTCTTCAGTATGGCCTTGCTACATGGCCGTGACTTGAACGCCGATCGGAGCAGTGAGCTCAATGCCACGACGACAATTGTTCTTGTGCTGTCTGTTGTGTTTGTTGCCTTGCGATTCTGGGCGCGATATGTGAGGATTGGATATGGAACTGATGACTGGTTGACTCTGGTAGCGCTGGTGGGTTTGATTGGGTGCCAAGACTTGTACAATTCTGACAATGGGTTAGGTCTTTGTTTTCATCACGGGTGGACTCAATTATGGGAGTAAGTAACACCAATGGATCTTATCATCGTCGCTAATAATTGGATAGTGATTGCGCATGGTCTCGGAAAACATGCGAAGCGCGTGTCGACGGCAGATCAAATCATCTTCTTCAAACTCCTCCTGGTCTTCGAAAACATTTACGTTACGGCGGTGATGCTCATCAAACTCGCCCTTTTATCGATGTACCTGCGCATCTTCCCATCTCGACGCTTCCGATTGATCTCTACCCTCATCGCTGCTGTCGTAATCAGTTGGTGGATTGCGATTTGCGCCGTGTGCATCTTCCAGTGTCATCCAATCAAAAAGGCTTGGTTGCCGTGGATTGATGGGACTTGCATCAACCTCAAGGCTTCGTTTATTGGGAATGCGATTCCGAATATTGCAACGGATGTTGCGATTCTGTGTCTGCCGGTCGGGCAGATTATGAAGTTGCAGGTCAACATGGCGCAAAAGTTATCGCTGTTGGTCATCTTTTTGCTCGGCAGCTTGTAAGTCCTCATCTACCACGCTCTGAGTTCTTGGTATTGACCCATTTAGTGTCTTGTTCGCCAGTATATACCGATTCACAACCATTATGCAATTCGATCCCGTCGATACAACATGTAAGAAACCCCGGCGACACTCGCATCATTAAACTAATCTTCATAGGGACCCTCGCTACAGCTTGCACCTGGTGTGTCGTCGAAGTAGCCTGCGGAACCATTGCCCTCTGTCTCCCAACCCTCAGACCACTCATGCTCATGGTCTCATCCAAGTTCGAAAGCGTCGGATCAAGAAAAGATACAGCTGCTCGTACCGGAATGCCAACAGAACTCGTCACGATTGGAGGAACAGGCGGAAAGACGGGGCAGTTTCATCGGATAAATGATGAATATGAGCTCAACTCAAGCCAAAGAGGGCTTGCGACAAGCGATGGAAGTATACCGCATGTTGATCTGAGTGATCGAGGATCGGGTGATGAGGTATCGTTACACCAAGGGAAGATTATTCTTGGGCCCAGATAACGTACGCTCGAGTTGGGTATTTGTAACATATGGAAAGATTAGCAAGCCTCGTCGGTTTAATCCCATTTGGATATTCAAGCATCATCGCCATTTGAGCACTGATTAATCATCAGGGATTGATGGCTGATGGAACGTTTGGTAGCATTGTTGGTGACGACGTTCCAGCCCATGAGAACTTTGGCGGACGTGAGAGAATTCCAGCAATGAGCCGCCTTCAGCCATAGAATGTTTGAGAGCGCTATCCTACATCTCAAGAGTTCAGTGTAACCGTACTGTCGTCTGTCATGTAGTAAAGATTCATTGGCAGCCGGTACCAGGGAAGGTGAACAATTTCTTATCGATAAGCCCCTCTCACCGAAGCTCACCATGAAATTCGATGTCAATCGGCCCACCATCCTCCCTCAAACAATGCCTCAATTGACGCAACAATAGCCATGGCGCTTCCTCTCTCTCGCTGTCGCGCCTCTTTGCGCCTCAGCACATGCACCCGATCTTTAATCCCCCTGCGCACACGACAATTCCTCCCCCGAAACTTCAGCCAAACCTCCATCGCCTACTCAAAAACTCACCCCACGAAAGATGATGTACTCAACCTTTGGGATCAGTGTACGACGACTTCAATGCCCGCTATGTCCGGTGCTAACGTGCGCCAGATAGCAATGCGGGTATACCGACTACGCCTGGACTCAACGGCCAGTATGCGGGATTCATGAATAAGAGGAGGAACATGTCTTCGAAGCTTTCGTTCGCCGATCTCGTTCTACCATCGGGCGAGGTCATTCAGCTATGCGCCGACTCAACGAAATACCCTGAAGCGTCTGCGCTCTTTCGAAGTATTCGCGCCACGAGCCCCGTCGTCGTTAGCACCGAGAGCGAAGCGAGTACAAGCCCAGACGCCGAGAAGCAAACCTCGAAGCGAACCTTTTACGTCAAAGATATCCGACCATTGAACGATGTACAACAAAACCTCATCGTAACACCCGACGTAATATTCCCCGACACGAAGCGCCATTACCAACTCCGCCATCATCCAGAGTTACTAGCAAGACTGCAATTCCGATCATGGCTCAAGGGACAATTGACAGCTGGTCTGCAAGAGAAGGGCTTTACAGATATTGAGACACCGACACTGTTCAAGTCAACGCCCGAAGGCGCACGAGAATTCCTCGTACCGACTCGTCGTCCTGGTTTCGCATACGCTCTTACACAAAGTCCCCAGCAGTACAAACAGGTTCTTATGGCGAGTGGTGTTTCGCGATACATGCAGTGGGCACGCTGCTACCGTGATGAGGATGCTCGTACGGATCGGCAGCCGGAGTTTACGCAGCTTGATATGGAGTGGGCGTTTGCGAATGCTGAGGTGGTCAGGAAGGATGTTACGGATATCGTGCTGCGGTCGCTCGAGGCTTTGCGACCTGCGCATAGCTACAAGACCATCCGGGGAAGTCGTGTACCCGTGGTTTCAGACATTCCTGAAGGATCTCGTCCTGCCGATGAACCGGTTCAGCACAAGTTCACGACGCTTACGTTCCAAGAGTGCATTTCGATGTACGGAACCGACAAGCCAGACTTGCGCCTCCCGGGAAGGGTACGTCTCATACTCCCCTTCTCGATCTCAACTAACACTTCCAGATCCACGCGATACCGAATGAAATGTGTGAACAGTTCGCCAGCATGATGACATATCTCCAAGACCCCCTCATCGAAGCCTTCCACATCCCGGTTAAAGATCTCGACGACGACATCCCAAGACCAAAGCGCTTTACCGAGCAATTCATCGAAACATTGCCGAAACACCTTCGCGAGAATAAAGACGGTATGCCAGTGATACTAGTCTGCGACTCGAGACAGCCCCGTGGCGGTTTCTCTTCACTCGGTGTGGAGTGCGATGAGATTGTCAATATCGCGACTGGTGGAAAAGGTGTTCTTGAGGGTGATATTCTCGTTTTCCAAGCGCGTGAGAAGCCGAAGGGTCAATATTACCGCGCCTCCACAGCAATTGGTGAAATTCGGAATGAGTTGTACAAGAAACTTCTCAGCAACGACCTGGTAGAAGACCTACCTGCGCCTGGTACTCCCGAGTCAATGCAATTCGTCTGGGTAACCGACTTTCCCATGTTCAAACCCACCGGCGAGGACAACGATCCAGGCCAAGAAGGTTCCGCCGGCATCGCAGCAGCGCACCACCCCTTCACAGCGCCCAAATCGAAACATGATCTCGAACTCCTCTTCACAGACCCATTACAGGCTAAGAGCGCAGCATACGATCTCGTCCTCAACGGCGTAGAAGTCGGCGGCGGCAGTGAGCGTATCCACATACCCACCGTGCAGGAATTCATCATGCGGGATATTCTCAAGATGAAGGATAGTAGGATTGAGGACTTTGCTCATTTGTTTGATGCGCTTAGGGCGGGGTGTCCGCCGCATGCGGGATTTGCGCTGGGCTTTGATCGATTGGTTGCGCTGTTGACAGATACGACTACTGTGAGGGATGTTATTGCGTTTCCGAAGACGATGAAGGGTGATGATCCGTTTGTTAAGGCGCCGACGAGGGTTACGGCGGAGCAGCTCGCGCCGTATGGGTTGCAGTTGAGGGGTAAGCAGTGACGATCGTGTCGCTGATGATGTACAAAAGTGATGATGGGTGATAGAATCGCGACTCATTGTTTGGGAACTAGGGTTATAGAGTTGTATATTATTGTAGACGAGCATGTATCATAGAACAAATGCATCAGGTCACAGGCGTGATTGCCAATTTGGACATATCACTCGATGTCAGATGTTCATTCACAATCATCATAATGTCAAAAGCGATTGAAGGTTCGTATGTGTTGATTGTTCCTAAGTAGGTCTTTGCCGCTCTCATGATTCAGCGTCAATCCATCCATTCCCATTCCCTAATCGAGCCATTTCCGACCACACATTCTAGATGCTGCCATGCTCTATGCCTCAATGTTCCGTAAACTCCATTGCAATTTAAAGTCAAGTCCATGTCGCGTAAGGTATCTCATCTCCAGGTGAAAGTCAAAGTCATTTAAGCCATGAAGCCGAAAACAGCAGCGCCAACAGCAGCCATCATAGCAACAACACCAGCCTGTGTACCCCCAACACTAGCAGCAGCATTGTCGTTATTCGCAGCAGCAGAGGCACTAGCACTGGCCTCATCAATAGCAGTGCGAACCCGCGAGCTCACGCCGTCGAAAGCAGTGCTGGCGCGAGAAGCAATCTCGGAGCCCTTGTCGCGTGCTTCAGAGGCTTGACCCTCGACCCAGGTCTTGGCGTCGCCGCCCTTGTCGGAGGCCCATTGCTCGGCTTCGGAGTAGTGGCTCTTTACCCAGTCGTCGACGTCTTGGCCGGCGGCGGACGCTTTGCCTTCGGCCCAGGACTTGACGTCGTCGGGGATGATGTCGCGGGGGAGGACGGCAGGTTGGGTGATTTCGGGTTGGGGAGCTGCGGCTGCGTCGGCGGCGACGAGGGTTGCTGCTGCGAGGAGGGCGACTTGTGTGAAGAGCATTGTGAGTGTTGTTTGTAGATGTGTAGGTGTAGTTATGTGATAGATGTGTTGTTGGATTGGTTGAGTGTTAAAAAGAAGAGATATAGTTATTGAGGTGAATGGCTGATGAATGATGAAAAGAGGGAAACGAGAGCAGAACCTCTCCTTGATATAGCTTTCACGTCCCCTACCCCCTCAGCTTGATTGCTTGATTTCTCTCCTGTCATTTCAGGCCCTGCATGAAGAATCATAGCGCACTGCGTCATGTCCCACCGCCTGAGCCCCTGCACCGCCCAACCACAAACCGCTATTCTCCTCATCCCTGCGCTGATCTTAGGCCCTTCCAAGGTCTGCGCCATCTTTTACATGTCATCACCAGCCGCAATTCCATCATTGACCTCTCAGGTGTAACCCTCAGATCCACCCCCTCTTGTTTCACTGATTCTTTGTGGCAATGTCATTCCTGTGCTGTACCTGGGACTTAAGCTTGTTTCAGTGTGGTGTGCTGCTATTTTGGAATACATGTATAGCAAAGGTTTGCAGCCACGCGGCAACTGTCGTGTGCTTGACCAAGCCTCAATTCCATCTGCTCTCGGTACGTAACTCTCCACGGTTAGTGATTTTAGTTGTTTTTATTGGCGTTTGTGCTTATTCAGATTCTTAATCTTAAACGGCTGTACCCCAGCATTCGCTAAGTCTCTTGTAAATAAACTCAAATTACCTACCGAGGCCTCCCGGCGAGACCCAGTCGGTAGTTGATCACCACAAAATTTGGTCGTGCTTGCATTCTCATGACGATTAAAAAGAGGCAAATATGGCGATATCGATCGCTTGCGGTCGGGAATTTCGGTGAGTTTGCGACGCGTGTTTGCGTGACACTGCCATGGTGTTACGCAGCTCACAGATCACACCGCCGTTGCTGCCGTAGAGTTGGGGAGGGACATTGTCACAGACTATGAAATGAACCTGAAACCCCCTCAATTACTATTGATATAATTCCCATTGAGTATGGCGATATAGAGATTGCGACGACAAACCGGTGTCAGTCACCAATTAAGCATCAGATGAGTCTCAAACAACAGGGGGACTTCATCACCATCAGGCTATCCTGGCGCAGCCCATTATGCTCCAACAGCTGCACTACTTCACTAAAATCATTTTACGCGTAAAACGTTTCCGCGTAAATGACAACTTGCGCTATAAAACAGAAAACCCGAGGTAGTTGTCCTCCTTCGCGCCGTTCGCCGACCTAAGCTGTCATTCGCACGCTACCCTGTAACAACACATCGGTGTGTGGACTGGGTTGGAACCAGGGATGTTTGGTCTCAATATGTCGGTTCTTGTTGTACTTCCTCGAAAATAATTGACCGCATACGTCACACGAGATTTCTCTGGTCAAGCAAAATCTTAGTAAACCTAGCGATCACAAAGATAAATAAGAGAGTCAACTTACCGACCCGGGATCAATCTGAGTCCTGGTCCCCTGCGTCGGCCTCCACCTGGCGGTGTTGGAGATCTCATAACAGTGGCTGTTGATTCACAGACCAATTGACAAAACTCTGCAAAAGCTCCGTCTTCGAGTATAACCCTCTTATAAATCGTTAGTTTAATCGCACCCTTGATTTCTGTGTTGTTTGATCACTCACTCGTCCGACACAGAGCATGTATTTTCGCAGCTCTTCTGGGGTCTGAAGGTACCCCAGCGCAACGAATCTCTCCACGATAGATACGGTCCCCACAGTAGACGGGTTCTGGGATGCAATATCGCTCCTTAAACGTTGTACACAAGAGTTTACTAGCCTTTTAGCCTCCGATCCTCCTTGGGTGAAGGCGATACAGGAGTACAAGTCCTTGGTTGTTACCCCACGCCCGGAGAAAACATGGAGCAGCTCCCCACATTCTGTCAGGAAGCAGATAAGGTTAGACATGATCACTGATTCTTGTAAGTCTTGAAGACTGCTTGAAGTTCGCAGCGAGTTCTCGATGCCAATTGTAACCGGCGAATCAGGCATCGCATCAAGCTCCCAAAACGTATTAGACAAATCATCAAACAGCGATTCGTCTTGCACAAAGTCGAATCCAAGTGCTGAGCTTTGTGTGGGTGGGTTTTGGTGACCAGAAGCGCTTAGCCTGATGACTGTCGGCATCTGGGCCTTGAGGGTATCATCAGTTGAGATTGGGGATACTTGCGGCCAAACAACGCCAGCCAAATCACTGAAGATTTGGCGATCTTGGGGATCACGAATCGCATTTCGCCAGACGTCAATGTCCCAGAGAATATCGTGATTTCGTAGGCAGCATGAAGCTATGTAGGACAAACTGCAGAGCGAGAAAATGGCATTCAAGGAATCTGGTTTGGCGCCAACTAGGACATTGCGAAAAGTGAAGATAGCTACCTCGTAGAATTGTGTAGATGAATTAAAAGAATTGAAGAGAGTAGTGAGGCTCGGTGTAGTCTGGGTGGGCGCAAATTGTCTAAGGCGCTCCCAGTAGTGGTTGATTTGTTGGCAGAAATTACGGACAAATGGGTTCGCCATCTCAGAACTTGTCTTGTCGAAGTACATTAGGCATGCGAGCAAACCATCGACCGCTGAGATGGCTTCCTTGTTTGGGCTGTCTGATTCCATGGTAAAGATGGTCAGAGAAGTTGGGTGAAATTGAAGTAGCTTGCAGTCTCAACATATAGAGAAGTTTTTTACTTTTTCAGTATTTATAAAATAACGAGAAGACGACTGAAGGGGGCTTGAGGATCCTGCATGGATATGTCTGATGCGACAAGGGCTACTACAATAAGTGCCAATAGAGCGGCGATGGATCCTCTTTAAGGCGGGTCTCGGCCATTGTTAGGCCTCAGCCAGTGTTGGGGGGCTGGATGCCTCGTTAAATGGCCGCCATGATGGTTCGCAGAGATTGAAGGCCACCGCTGACTAAGTTTTATTTACATTTTAAACACCCTACTTCATCTCAGAATGATTGGATGGAAGAAAATCTCAACCATATATGTAGCCCCTCTAAAATTGGGGAAAATCTCTGTGTTGGGTATGAGGTATGCTCCAACCAGGGCGTGTGGGCGAGCAAGGCGTCCATCCATACAGACGCCGGGGCTCTGTTCCAGGAGATCAGAGAAGTCAAGGGATCCCTGAGGTGCACTGCAACAGCGGGCTTCAGTGGGCCTCAACCAACGAGTGAAGTACCACGTTCTTGCTGAGACTTTACAATGCCGGGGCGTCAACTGCATGTCGATTCAGTGAGTCTCAGAGTCACTTGATCGAAATCGATGAGTCAATCGTATCTTCAAGACACTAGAACACACAAGAGCTCCTACGCAGTGAGAGCTGACACCTCTACAACCAACCACGATGGCGAATAAGTTATAGCTTATTAAGACTTTTATTTATTACAAAGACCTATTTTTTCCACTAGTTATTTAAATATTAGCTCTTTTTTAAGTAGGACCATGTAGTTAGGTTATTAGTGTTGCTAAGACTTGTCATGATAGTCTCGAGTTCAAATCCTTACTTATGCGATCTGGGGATGTCTTCCCCGTTGAGCCGTGCATGTGCAATTACTCCACGGTAACGTTTACCACGCTCAAGGGCACTTCCAGGCTTCCAGCGTTCTTTATTCAAGAGCTGCATCAAGTTTCTGACACGATATAAAGCTATTGGTGTCCAGAATCTTCATATAGAACCTATCGGCATTGGGGTAAGCATGTTCACAGTCTTCTTCCCAGTGATTGAGTTAAGTCGCATAGCGCTAACTGATGGTGAATTCTGCAATGCGATATGTCGCGGGAGGTTGAGTAACTACCAGCTTCCCGTGCCTGTATCGATCGTCTGTAGGCGAGCTCTTCTGGACCCGCAGTGAGGAAACGCTCAAGATTTGATGGGTGAACCCCAAGGCATCATGACTATTGATACGCAACCATATGGGCTGACTCTTGACAAGCACATGGAACATACTGCAAGGAAAAACCTTAGTTGCATTGATCGAGAAAGCATTGAAGACACATAGTCCCAATGTAATAACTTTACGTTCTCTTTGGATCCTAGGTTCGGTCTTACGTAGGTCTGAGAAAATACAGCCAGTCACTACCTCTGAGTTGTAAGTTAATGTATAATGTCTAGCAGGGAGGTCCCATATGGTACAAGTATCTCATTTTACTTCTTCTTATAGACCGAACTTCAATTGTAAACCTCAAACACCTTGCCCCATGTACAGTCATCCTCACTCTCCAACGTACTCACAGACACTATCGGCGCATCGCATGCACTGGAGTTTGCATGTTTTCTGGCAATGTGCCGTCTCATGTTGGTCTTCCTAGTGAACTGTTCTCCGCAGTGGCGACATGGTATCTTTTTTCTGAAGTTGGTTGCCTGTCAGTACGGTATGCATACAATCATATTCTTGACAGACTTACGGCTTTCGCTCTGTAGGGCGTTCTGTGTGGTGACGTCGCCTAGCCGGGAGGACTTTTGTCATGTTGGTTGATGAGTAGACTGACTTGCAGACTTTTGCAAAAGATTTACCACTAGGCAATATCTCCTGTGCATTATATTAGTGCTCTTCTCTGCTCTGAACAAGGTTCAATAGCATACTTTTGCGACGATTATTATGTAGTCTCGGATTTCATCAATACTCTGAAAATAGTCCAGATCGACGAATCTATCCACAATGGCAAGAATTCCACGAGCAGATGGGTCCTCAAAGGAGTCATGTCTTCGCAATGCCCAAGTGAAGTTCTTGACCTCCACGGAAACATTCGAATGCGGACCTTTCTTGGTCGCTCCATGTCCACTGAGAATGTCCATTAATTCTCCGCAATTAGTGAGGAAGCTAATCATGATGTTCATGACTGCCGATTGGCGCAAATCTTCAGCTGACGGCTGGAGATCTGGGGTGTCATATACAGTGGGGTGTGGCATGTCGAAGAGACCGCCCCAGAACGGGTCGGAAAAATTGCCGAATAATGAGATGCCTTGCATGGTTGCGCTCTGAGGTGCTATGTAATCCGGACCATTGAAAAGCTGAGAGGCTGAATGCAAGGATTGTTCTGTTTGGAATGGGGATATTGACATGCTTGGCCAAAGCCGCTCAATGAGGTCGCTGAATAGTTGGCGATGTGGAAGGTCGCCAATTGAGTCCCGCCAGATATTGATGTCGCGAAATATGTTGTCAATACCTGGCTTCCCCATTCTCCGGGAACATATCGAAGCGATATAAGCCAAGCTACAAAGCGCAAATGCGTTGCCTAGAGAATCAGGCTCTGAACCTGTCAAGATGTTGCGAAAAGTAAATATAGCAGCCTCGTATAAGTGGGCGAGAGTAGGGAAGGATTCGAAGAGAGTGTCAAGGCCTGGTAGATCTTGCGTTCGTGTAATGCCGACCAGACTTTCCCAGTAACGTTTGATCTCAGTGCGGAAGACAAGAACAGCTTCCCAGCGCACCATGCCCTGTAGTTCAGTGTTCAAGACATGGGTTGTACTGGGTTTTGTCTCATCGAGATACATCAGGCTTGCATGTAAACCATCAATTGCCGTGGCGGCATTGGTAGATGATGGGATTGCTATATTCATAGACGATAAAAAGACTCTGATGTGGAACTCGAGTGATAGAAAACGGCAAGGAGAATAATCCTTCATATTTATAAGGAGGGTATTTTCAGTTGGGGACCTGTGGTGAAGTCAGGTAGAATTGTGGACCATGCATCTTCCTCATTTCCTCATTACCTCATGCCTCATTGCCTCATTGCCTCATGCCTCATGCCTCATGCCTCATGCCTCATGCCTCATGCCTCATGACCCCTCCTTGTTATCTGGAGCCCTTGATTTCATGCACAAAGGGAGCGTTTTGGCCAGGGACCATGTCGACCTTGAAAGCTTTAGCGAATCAGAGTCTACAGCATGCTTTGGGCGGATTTGCGGTGTGCGTGTTCGCTCATTGGAGTCAAATGCTCCAATGCACGAGCAGTCCCGCCAGAAGGTTCAGGGACCGGGAACAACGTGTCGCGGCCGGTTGGGGATCTGTGCCGTACCAGATCATAGGTACCATTGCAGACCTTGTACAGTGCAGTAGGAGCAACGACATCCAAGCCCGGAACGACGATAGGCTCCATATGATGAGTCTCCAATGTCGCGAAATGTGGAGCATCTGCAGGATCTCATGGGGACACGGCGCCGCCAGGAGATCTGGAGGCATGGTTGGAGCATTATATAGTATCAATAACGTAGTACTGAAGCGGTGTTTTACCATCCTTCATATGTGGTTGGATGACCCTGAAGTCCATATCCGAAATGGTCATCCGAACGAACCACCACTCGGCCGAGACGCCAACCGCTACTAATAAACCTCACCAGCGCAAAGATAAGAATTGAGATGCAACGTAAGCCGCGTAACAGGATGGGGTTGTTCAAGTCGAAACGAATCGCAATTGAGATATGAATACAGCCTTTTATATACACGCGCTTATGTAGGAATTGAGTTTGCCATTGGGCACCAGGCAATATTCTTAATTGGCACGTTTCGTCAGACAATCGCTGCCATATCCATCATGTCTGTGTACGCTGTTCCTGTGTCGTTGCATATTGCTTCTCCTTGTGAACCTTTTCCGACATACGGAACACGAGAACCTCCTTCTGGTATGTTGTGTTAGTTCTCATAAATGTTAACGGCTCGTTATATGACACGTACGGCTCTGGCCCTGTAATGGGCTGCGCAGAGGGGCTTCTTGAGCCAGAGAGTGAAATCATCCCGAGAGCATTCACTACCAATGGACAATATTTCACAAATTCTCTGTCGGGAATTATTTCCTAGGTCGGGTGTCAATTGCGCTATAATCGCCTTCAACTTTGCGTCTCCATACCTTGCCGACGATGATCATGTACTCTTGGACATCTTCGAGGGTTTGCAGGTACCCGAGCTGGGTGAATGTATCGACAATAGAGAGAATGCCCAATGAGAATGGATCTTGAAAATATTCATCTTGTCGCATGCGTTGTATGCATGGCTTGACATCATTGCTCTGGGGCCTTGCCTGATTGAGAGCGGACGAAGGTGAGTACTGGTGCTTTGCCGTCACCCAACGCCCGGAAAGGATCTGGAACAGGTCTCCGCATTGTTCGAGAAAAAGTGTTAAATTAGTGACAAGGGCCGATCCGCGTGGGCCTAGCGGAGCTGAAGTCTGGAGCCCTGTAAGCTGGGTCTCCCCACTAAAGTAACAGCCGTTCTGTGCTGCTTCATCCGCATGTCTGGACTCTGGTTTACTGAGTAAGCAAGGTGTCGCATCGCTGTAATCTAAACGATAGCCCAAGAGGAAGTCATCTTGGTGTGGTGGTAGTTCAAGTGGTACATTCTGGTGCATGAAGTGAAGGGGGTCGATGTAGTCTGCGGTTACAAGTTCAGCAGGTTGTAAGAACCCTGAAGCCGGGGACGGGGTCGTTATTTCCGGGAATAATGCCCGAATCAGATTGGCGAATGCTTGCCGATGATCATATCTGCTGATGGCATTTTCCCATTGATCAATGTAAAAGTGAGTATCACTGATCTCCGAATTGTGGCTGCTTCTTAGTTGACATGACACCACGTGCGACAAACAGAAGAGAGCAACAACGTCCCCTAAAGTGCTTGGGGGTTGGCCAATTAAAGTGTTTCGAAGCGACAAAACAGCGGCCTGGAAGAACAGTACGGGGTTGATGAAAGAGTCGAGGGTATTGTTGATACCTCTGAGACCCAATCTGGGAACCAGCTCTAATGTGCGATTCTGGATACTTTCGAGATTGATCCAAATATTTTCAAGGCATTTCCACGATTGGCTTGTGTGGGTAAAAGAATCAGTGGCCCGGCCTTGGGTAGTGGCTTGTTTCGTTGCAGTAAGGTAGATGAGCCCAGCGAGGAACCCGTCAGCTGCCGACAGCGTCTGCAAAGAGACATCTGGATTCCGTGACTTCATGGTTATCAAATGCTCAGATGGCAAAAAAGAATGTGTGAAAAGAAAAGATATGCGTTGGGATTTGGGCAGTGAAAGATGTTGAGTACAGGATCAAATTGTGTAATGCTGGGTGGTATCTCTTTATAACCAGTTAGGAATAGTGATTTGGCGATAACCCAACCTAGCCTCTGACGTGGGCCTCTCATTGGCAGATCCAGCAGAATGGAACGAGCTCAAATGTCGAGGCTAAGGAATCAAATTAAACTCTGCGATTGGCCATGTGCTAACTTATATGGGTACAAGAAATAACTACACGGTGCGAATCAACTAGCGGGCCGTCCGTTATGCCCGACTAGCCGACTTCCTCAGGGGCCCCACCCACCTTACTTCCTCAAGCACCTCTACCTTGAACAAGATGTACGGTCAAACGGTAACGTGATGGTGGGACTTGGATCTTCCATGAACCTGTAGCCTTCCTTTTAACCTACCATAACACCCCAGGGATCTTGACATTCTTAGTGGGATCGGGAGCGTATTCGTAACCCTGCAAGCCCAAGGCTTTGGCATTGTCAGTTGTCCACGGCAGCCATCTTTCTTGGGAAAATAAAGTTAAACAAAATGAAAAACCAACGATTGAGTGCTTCTCTTAATTGACAGCCACTAACGCGCCGTGTAGGTATTCAATAGTATAAAGCTGGTTCGACGCAATGCAAGATTGAAGACTCATTAGCTAAGGTTATACACCCTGTCGTACAGTCAAGATCGTTGACCTGGGTTCGTCTGGGTCAAAGATGGTTCTGTAGCCAGCACGACATTACGACTCAGTCGGCTGATGCGAAGGCCGGCACTGGCTGGTAGATAGGCCAACAATGGCAGTTATCTCACTTGTTGAAAGTTACCTATCTCACCCTGGGAAAACTCACCTACTAATGTTTCATGCGGCTTGCCTCTATTACCATGCCGAAACTGGGTTGACGTTGTGCCTTTAGTGCATGTTCGGCATGGTACTACAGCGTCGAAGATCTCAGCGAGCTTTTATAGGCGCATGATCCCGTGTCACGACGAAACACCCAGGGACGAGCCAATCAAGGTGTGCGACCAACAAACTCCCGTGAACCCCGGCCGGTCAGGGCCTTCGGTTTTGAATGACCAGGATATCCTTCTCGAGGCCCATTGGCACAGGAAACAAAGATCTCATTGGCCACTCACAATAGAATCTACTTCAACCAGCGCAATTGCTTGAATGTGTAAGGCGTATGTTGACATGGGTAGTGCGCCCATATGATAATCCTGGAAAGCTGGCTTTGGTATTTGGTGTGGTAAGCTGTACAGCTCTCACTTGCTCCGAGTGATTGAGCACTCAAGGAGCTGTCTGGAGCAATGACAGGGGCCCATGCGAACTGCAGCTGAGAGAGTATAAAACATGTAGAAAGATTCGACGGAGAAAGCGCTGTGTCGAGGCAAAAAGGATCACTTTACTCCTTGTGTAAGTGGTTGATCAGAGCCAGTCATGTCGACACCAGACCGACAGATGAAGCAAAAACAAGAGGAGAATCCTCGAGGTAAGGCATTACTTATCATTCGCTTCGAATCTTGACTTAACAGTCATAGGCTCGGCTATGCTCCAAATTTGGCTGAATGAACCGGAAGACGTCGTCTCTGCGACCGATACATGGTCTAGTCAACGGGCCCTTGCCAAACCGAGACGCCATCTCGACTTCACCCAATCCTACCGACCGAAGAATAAAGACACAAAAATAGCACCGGCTGCCTAGAGCGAAACGAATGGCCCAATTCCGAAGGGGGTAGCTTTCCAATTGAGGACCCAGCGGGCTTGCTTCAAAATCGTGGTAATAACACTCTTGGGCTGGCTTGCGAGGTGGAGATGCTTGAGCTGCTATGCATCTCGCTGTAATCATTATTTCATCTGGCAATCGATATATCTCTATTACACAAGTTCTATCCTCAAATTTGGTTCAAAGATTTAGGTGTCATAGACGTTGACAAGTGAAGCTATTCCCATGTAATGTCATCAATTGAGTATCCAACTATTCATACAATTTGCCAGTTCACCGCAAGGTACACCAGCGCTACGCTACTTTATCATAATGAGAGAAATAAATAAATAAGCAATCGCGTTTGCAACCATACTGCCGAGTTCTTATGTCGCAACCTGTCTTCGCCCTTCGCTTTTCTTCGTTTGCCTGTTGAGTCTGTCATTCGCCCTCCAGGCTCTCACGTCAATCTCGAAACAGCGTTGCGCTAGATACTCTTGATCTTGAATTCTCTGTCCCTTTTGATCGACCACTTGTACCCTTCTTGTGACATGCCTTTCGATGTCGATTCATATTAAACGTGCGTTTGCTGGTGTAGGAGCGACACTCCGGACACAAAGTTCGCCTGTCAACCAGCGGCGTTGTCAAAAATTGACATGAAGACAGTGTTTTAGTTCACATACCTAATGTCCTGATCATGAGCTGGCTGGAAGTCCTCAGGAGCCGCATTTGCGAGTCGAGAGTCGATGGTTCCGGGCATTATTGGCGAGACAGAGCTATGCTGGCTGTTGTCTTCATTTGGTGATTGAGGCTGCCGGGGGTGCGACGAAGGACTAGAGTCTGTGGCAGATGGAGAAGAGGCGTATGAGCCCAAATACGCAACAAAAGGTGTTGGAGTGTCATTATGGGTAGCAGTAGCTGACTGATAAGAAATTTCCCATACATATATGTCCACATCATGAAGATGCGTAGGCTCTGCCTCATTGAAGGACGCCGGGCTAAGTCCCGCTGTCGCGGCACGATGATCGCCGCTAGCGAACAGGCTCGAGTGAGGAAGCATGCCTTTCATCTTCGTGCGTGGCAATACTGAAGAGAAGCCTTGAGGAAAAGATAAAACTTGATGGAAAACTAAGCATGATGGTGGCCAAGTGTATTTACTTATTTATTTTCGTAACTGCTGGCATTGCTATACAATGATTGCCGTCTGATAGAAGGACGGGAAAGTACTAACTTAGGTACCTAGGATATCGTGCCGAGCCGCACTGCCAGGCTCCCGTCCATGGGATGTGATACCTTTTGGGTCGGGTTGGTTTAGGTAAAGGGCAGTTGGTCGAGTGCACCCCTGTCTCCGATCTATATGATGCTCCGGGTCTCCGTCTAAGTGTGTCCCTTGCACGACACACACCGCACTAGTCATGCCGGCTCCTAGCTTACTACTGTACTTTCGTCGTTATGTTGCTAAATGCAAGAAGCGAATAAGTTTACTAGCTCTAGTAGCTACAGGACGGGGGGCAAGGGGGTCGCTGAGCACGGGAGAAGATCGCTCTGTCATTGTTCAGCTGGTCCTTGCCAGGGATTGAATATCAGCCCAAAAAGTTGATATGACAGGCCGGGGGGCAGGGGGCAGGGATTACAGTAGGCTGCTTCTGGGGTGGATCCAACGCTCGCAACAATTCAAGTTTAACCCCCTGACTTGCAAGTCAGGAAAGAAGGCCACAAGTTAAGTCTACCTAGGTCCTAACTTGTAAGTCGGTATGTTAGTATAGTATAATTAGTAATATATAGGTATCTTTTTCCTTTTTCTCTAAGGAATTCCTTAAGACCTAGGTAAGTCTTTTTATTTTATCTCAGCCTATTAGTTAGCTAGAAAAATCAGCCCTGCAGGGCCTACCTTTACCTTACCTATTTAGGTTAAGCCCACTTAGTTCCTCAAGTCAAGCCCAAAAAAACCGTGGCTTGAATTGAGTTATTGCGAGCGTTGGGTGGATCTTTGTGATCTTTGCGCTTGAATCGCCCTGAGCTCCAAGATAGTTTCCGATTAAGTTCGGGGTAACTCGATGGACTATATACCGCGTTGCTACCCAGATTCCCGGCTGAGCCATCAGCACACCTTGCCTCCGAAGAGGTAGCAGAGTTACACTGGCTCATTGCTCCTTTTTCACAAAAGAAGAGCTGCATTGTTTGCTGCCTTTTTGTATGAGGCAGTTCCACATGATAGCGTCTGGCAAATTTGAGACACTGCATTGGTTTCTTGATGGTTAATGAGGCAAACAGACTCAGTGGGCATCGTATGTGTGAACATTCTAAGAGACTCACGTCAAATCGAAGTTGTGCGGTTATGAGAATATTGAGTAGGTTAAGAACTAGAAGTCCATTTAACGGCAATTTCGGTTTGCGATTCACTAAGCCAAATGGATGAAATGGCAGACCATAAAGTTATTTATTGTAATTACAATCTGCTTCATAACTTAACTTACATGTGATAGCTTCGGCCATGCTCTAGAACTTGGCTCAACGAGTCGGCTGCGACTGATCCGTAGTCGTCTCAAGGAGCTATCACCAAACCGAGAAACACCATTAATGTAAGAACAACATCGGAGATACAGAACACTCAGCCAAGATTATTGACTGTAGCTAGATATCAGAGGAAATAATCTATGGCGGGGGAACAAATTGACCTACTTCGAAGTCTTGGGGAATCTCCCTGAATTGCAGGAGAGTTGAAGATGTTATAAGCGACGTTTCCAGGTACAGAGATCACTCCTGTCTTTAAATGATGGATATTAGATAATATTGATCTAGTATAATGTCACAGAATCTCATTCTGTTGGTGTTTAGACTCTAATCTCTGCGATCAAAAGTCATATCATCAATTGAGTACTTGTTCTATACATCTATTTACATGTTTCGCTGGCCATTCTGATAGACATACGTCAATAAAACTAATGCGACGAAAGAAAAACGATCAAAAGAAATGGTAATGAATTTTCCCGTCGTTGTATCAAGTTCCTCCTCCAAGGCTCGCTTGTGCACTTTGCTCCTCCCGTTGTGCCTGTTAAGTCTGTCGTTCGCTGTCCATCACGGTAAACAACGTGTAGGGTTTTGATCTTGAGGTTCCACGTGCCCTTAATTGTTGTTTTTTACATTTTCCGTGGCGCGCCTCTCGGTGTCATTTCAAGTTGTATTTACGATCGGTGGTGTAAGTGTGACAATCAGGACAGGAGAAATGTCTGCTACCGCATCGTCTGGTCTAAGTCAGAAACAATCTTTAAAGCAGCGAATCAATCCACATACCGAGGGCTCTGGACTGGGGCTGGTGTGGCGTCCTGGATGGGTGAGCTTTGGAACTCAGTGCCTGTAGTTGCGGGTTCTGGTGGTGATGCAGAGCTATAGTGGCTGGCGGTGTCTTGACAGGGGAATACATGAGCCAGCAGGGGCTGAGGCAAAGATCCAGAGTTAAATGTAGGTAGGGAATAGTCATGCAGACTAAAAGATAGATTGAGCGTCGGTGAGTGGCCATGTGCGCTTGCCATAGATGACTGAAATGACTGCTGCCACAAGTTTTTGTTGACGTTGTGAAGACGCTGAGGCTCTGTGTCATTGAGGGATGCAAGGTGGGATCCCTCGGTGACACCACCACGATGGCCGCTAACAGAAGAGCTAGAAAGAGAAGACTTGCCCTGCATCTTGATGTTAATAATTGAGAGGGACCTCTTAGGAAAAGGAAAACTTATCGGGGAACTCAAGATAATTGTGGCCAAACGTCTGTATTTATTTTCGCTTCCAAGTGCTGCCGTTGCTCTCTGCCATAATATTGCCCTGTCTCATGAGGTGAACAGGGTGGACGCCTTATGGACCTGCAGGGACGTGCAAGGATGTGTAAGCGTGTAAGACTGGGTTTTATGCGGTTTTCCATGTCTTACATCTTGAACCGATCGATTGCGCACTCTGTACAGTTTCCGACCTAGCTAGCCCCAGCATGTGGGAATCCCTACAGTACCTACATATAAGCCTTGCACTCGCTGGATGGCGCCGTCCGTATAGCCGTAGTGCCGCTACCTAAGCTAATTCAACGTGAACATCTTAAGTTTGCTTCTGAGCTGGGTCTTGCTTCCCCTGGAGGGGAGTTGAATATACATAACATCTCATGACATGCTAATTAAGAGAATCGGATCCTATCTTGGCTTATTTTGCCAAATATTGATGCCCCAATAGACTCAGCGTACATCGATGTCTCTTCGAATTGAGGCTCTCTACGAAGTCCTGCTCGTAATGGTTCAGATTGCCGCAAGTATAGCAGAGGTGGCACAAAAGAGGTGATGTAGTGTTTGCATGGCCAGATACTTGACTGGACGTAAATACTTTTATTGTGAGACCAACTGTCTGAACGCCGATGTTCCTCGCAACCTCTAAATCTTATTATTCTAAAAAGTCGGACGGAAAGTCCAGCAGCTGCCCCTACAATCCGCTGCAGTCTTCAGTCGACGTCTGCACAATCTTAAGACTAACGACTGTGAAGCTTATATCTTCTCTCATGCCTCGATCCAAGCAGCTTTACTAAATACGCATCATAGTGACCACCTAGCATTCTTCTTGTTGTTCTCGTCGTTCCTTTTGTGCAGATTTGTAAGGTAACTCTCTATGTTGTTCGCTCTATGCTGGTTCAAGCGAGGACGCCCACTAGAACATCTTAGTAGCAGCAGTAGCAATAATTGACGATGAAGCTGGTGAACGGACTCCTGACGCACTTAGTACCTGATCGCTTACAACTGCTGTAATAGACCCTGTTGGTACCAACAACAAGGGCCTTCCAGGTTCATGTAGCTGTTGATGGCTTCGATGCTTTGCAACAGAAACGGCTCCAAGAATGCATTCGCCACTAAGAATATTCCAAGAGAGAAGATTAATTGTAGACGTACCAAAATATTCTTGGTATACGCGAAGCTGAGTAGTCGTTCCATACTCTCACACCAAGCAAGACAGATCCCAACGTCTTTCGGCGCCAGTCCGCAGCCTGTAGGTTTTAACCTACAAGACGGCGCCTTTGCTTATAGACTCTAGTACGCCCGTAGACAATCAACGTCTTGTCGAAGCATTTTGATATCCGCACCTGTAGGTGTACTCGATAACGGTCGGGAATCTGGCAAGTGACTGAGGTCGATGGAAGATGGCTTGTTGTCGCTGGACTGCTGCATTGCCCTTTAGGGGGTGATGTTCATGCTGAGGTTGCAGTAGAATCGCTTCTAGCGAGCTTGGTGCGATTATCGATTGGGAGTTGGCGGCGCAGACAGTGCGAAAGAGGAATCCATCCCCTTATGTGTCTGATCGTTGGGTTCATGAACGCAGGTCGTTGAAATGCCCGTTTTGAAATGCCCGGTGCAAGCATGTTCAGCGACAAAAGAGCCCCCCAGGCTTGAACACTGGAGCCCGAAAAATGATCACACGGTTTGTCGTTGCATGGTAATGAGATATCGTTGGGAAGTTGCTCATCTACCGTATCTTGGTTCGTTCATTGGTCGCCAGGTGAGGCATGATGCAGAGAGCAAACTCCTGCTCTTTTGCACCATTCTATCTTACGTGGATATTGCTGATCGCAGTCACGGGAGAATCTTGGAGAATATTAGAGAAATGTTCACAGAGTATCTCTTCGGGTAAACGCCCAGTCCTTCTCCCGAGCCTGATTTCTGGGGCGAGGGAAATCAGGCTGTGCGGCTGATGCGTGGTTGTCGGGGGCTGTAACCCTCGACGAGTTCACCCGAGAGTGAGAAGTGTCTTGAATGACAGTGAGGTTTTCAGCCCCCCTGACTCAGGCTCCGTACATTGAGTTGTAATGAGCTTGCTAAGTTGCTGTTCACTTCTGTGATTGGTGAAGCATTGAGCCACGCAGGTGAAAGTGCAAGAGGCAATAGAGTGAGAAGAGTGTTGCGATGTTTCACCTTATGTAAGAACCCATTCCCATTTTACAGCCCCCAGGCCCTTGGTTCTTTGTTCGGTGAGCAGCGTAAACGCCCAGCACCGGGGATCTGCGCTCAGCTATGGGCCAGAATGCCTTGCTAAGCGCCGGCTTTGAGCAATTGGCTTACTCGGTGCATTGCTCAGTTGCATCTAGAAGACACGCCATTGCTCATGACCTGGCAGTTCTTTTGCCCTGTACCTAGTTAGCTCTTAAGCATAGTTCTTGAGCACGGTAAATGAGCAACTCGCGATAATAGGGAGCAAGCCATGAGTCAGTCCTAGTCGTCCGCCGGCGACAGAACGTACATGGACAGGCATAATTACTCTTTACTCTTCGCATGCTCAAAATTTGTTTCAAGTTTGCTCGCGAGCATGAGGGAGCTTGGTGATGTGTTGGATTGAAGGCCATGTAATTGATGTCGTAGAAATGAGCAACTCGTTGAAGCTCATATAAGTAGCCCATAAACATCCACAGAATGAAGCTCTATTGCCAATTCAGAAACCCGAAAGCAGAAGCTCATCCCCAAGCGAAATATCGTCACCCAGAAGTGAACCGACCCATCGTTTGTCACGATGCCTCAAGAAACGACTCAAGCTGAGAAGATCGGTTCAAAGCAACCTCAATACCAGCGCGACGGTAAGCACCTACGGCAGGTCAGGCGTACTTTACTTACAGTTGCCAAGGGGTTTCTCCAGCCATGCAGAACTGGTTGAACCAGTCAAAACAAGCGGAGCCTTGGTCGCCTGTGCATGTGCAGACACAACCAACAAGAACTCGAGCGGCTGAACCCCCCAAGCTGTGACGAAGAAAACCTGCTGCAAAGGCCACAACAAGATTTGTTGGGGGCGAAGGTCATTGCTCCACCATTAGGGAAAATTTCACATTGACAACTGGTTATGTTGTTTGGATCAATCGACAGAAGCGCAGATTGACAGAGCTTGGATGCTGGACCCCAACAAGGCTCCGTAGTTGATCTCGACTTTTTATATACCAGCTTTCTCGGTTCATTCCCAACCGCCTCTTCCACTTTCGTATCTTCTAACCTTCAATCCCTCAAGCTACGTATTCATACTCGTTACTCTGATTTCTTGGGCCGCTGTTCGCCCGCTCCTGTAGACATTTGGTCTCCCTAATTCTACTCCATCCAGTGTCTATTACTCCCTTAGTATCACGACGCTATCTCCATAATTCTACAATCCCGGGACCTTGTTATCTTCTTTACTTGTTAGTTGCCTCCTTTCTCATGGAAGAGTGTGCAATGTCTTGTGGTGTTGTGTTTCCACGTCCTGTGCATGTGCAGTCGTGTCCTGCTGCATTTTTCTAGAACCAGCAGTACACCACTGGTTGCGTGGCTCAGATTCATCGAAGTACTCGTTCTCGCTCTCGCAAGAGCCTCGATTCCAGTTACAGAACTCTCAGCAAGCTGTCTTGTCGTGGAAGATTAGCTGGCCGACCAAGTCAAGCCAGCGTCCTCAAACTGATCCATGGTCGTCTCGGCGGGGTCGTCTCGGCGGGTCATCGCCAAACCAAGACTGAAACCCGACAGCACCAACCCTCAGCGACCGAAGAGACCCGTAGACACAGTGCCGACGGCTCAGCTGGGACTAACAACTCACTAATGGGGGGAGGTATGGCAATTGAGGAAGTAGCTGTCTTGCTTCAAAGTCCCGGTGAGACTCTCGTCGTAACTGGGTGAGAGTTAAAGATGCCATGAACCGCTTAGAAAAAGTACTTTTTTATCTTGCACGTTGAAAGAGAATCTTCTTTACTTTAAAACTACAGTAGAACATCTTTTAAGGTCTTAAAATTAGTGTTTACAGGTCGAGGTCTCAATATAATGTCATTCATTGAGTACCTGCCTCTTATCTATATTATACTTAAGCATTGCCGGCTCTCCCACCGTAACCAGTCGAACTCCATTTGGTTTACAACTATGTTACAATCCATATTTAGTCATCCGACAATCGTCTTTTCGTCTTGTGCTTTACCCTTTATTTTCACATTTCCTTCCTGCTTGTCCCCAAGTCAATAGTTCAGGCTTCAACCACTCGCTGTCCTTCCACCACAATGTCAATTTAAGCATCTGTGATCTTTCTTCTTTCTTTCTCCTTTGCGGCGCCACTTTAGTTTTTTTCTTTCTTTCTTTCGGCATGCTTTTTGGTGCCGTTTCACATTGTAGGAACGATTGCTGGTGTAGGAGCGGCAGTTAGGGCATAAGAAGCCCCTGTCAGTCCAATATTAGAAACTGGCCTCGAGGTAGAGCTCCAATGACATACCTTGGGCTGTTGACGCGATCGCCCGAGAACTCTTGCCTTGGGAGTCTTAAGAGCTGAGAGACAGTGGCTTCAGCCTCTGATACTGAGGCAAAGTCATACAGGTTGGTGTGTTCATTTAGCGTTTCAGTAATACTGGTAGTCTGCTGGGCGAATGACTTTGGCGAAGCGATAGGTTGAGATGGGGAGCATAAGTGAGAAATGGGAATGGTCAGCGAGGCCTGACCAATTTGGACAGCAGTAGCTGATTGATATGATAACTCCCATAGTTGTATATTAACATTGTGAAGATGCCTGGGCTCCGTCCCATTCAACATTGTCAAGCTAGGATCCACTAATAACGTTGAGGCATTAAGATGGCCGCTAGCGGGTGAACTGGAGTGAGGGTGCATGTCTTGCATATGCGTGGTAATAGTAGGTAATAGGCACTTAAGAGAACCCTCAGGAAAAAACAAAAGTGATTTGAAAACACAAAACAACAGTGTCTAAGTATATATATGTGTTTCTTTCTATTATCACTCCGTCTCGTTGCTCTTCTCATAGCATACTTCTGCAGTGAGATCCTTGTGGACATACTCATTGAGGCTCATCCGTTAACGATTGTGGAAGGCCTTACTTACACGTGTGTAAGTTATGTTCAGGCTTCAGGTTTTCCCCATTGTAATTGGTTAAGAGATCAAGTATATCTTACAGACTTGAGATTTTGAGCCGCATCCTACACAGCCGCCTCCTACAGAGCCTCATGTTTGAATTGAGGGAACGGTTCCTCTGTAGGGTCTGTAAATACGAGGCGAGTTAGGATGATAGAATGAATTAAATGCCGTATTATTCCCTATAATTTTGCCTAGCCGTAACTACATGCTGTTAAGGCACAGTCTAGTTTCCAGCATCGCCTCATATATGAGATAAGACTCGATGCTAAATAAGACTCCTGGCTGATTCATAGTAGCTGATCAAACAAACAAACCAAGCGTTTCGAATTTACTCGCCCTGGTCCAAGATTTGCCTCCGCCGCCCACTCCGCCCGTCCCTGTAGGCATGGCTAGAGTGGATACTACTGTAGGTAGTTGGGTGGTTTTTTTTCTTTTTCTTTTTTTTCTTTTTTTTTTCTTCTGGAAAATGCTCCCCACATTGCCAAGTCATTGCTGAATGGTTCAGTGACGCAAACAGGCTCAACGGGCGCTGTAGATGCCGCAGATTGGCGACCCTTTAAAGGCTGTACAATTCGAAGTTCTAGAGCAATTGAAACGTTGGGGTGACACAACGAGATAATAGTTCGAACGGGGAAGACGGTTTTGCGCTTCGTTTACTCAGGCGAATAAATTGACTCGTAATAACGCTCTTTATTGTAATATAATAAGTAATATTCTAAAAACTAATAATCTTCAAGACTCATTGATCTCGTCATTAGGAAACCTGAGGCCTTCAATGTGCAACGATCCGCAGTCGTTGTTGCACAATCTCGGGGTTACCTTTCAAGAAACTGACAATTCTACCGCTTCTTTCTCCTCTCGCGCTTCTAACCATAAGGTCATAACATAAAATATCTTCAAGATTTCCTGCTCTTCTTCTTGTTATGCTCTTCATTCCGTTTATGCATATTCGCTTGATGTCTCTCCATGTTAAACGTTCGATCGCTGGTGTATTCGCATTTAGGGCAAGATAGACGTTTTCTGGTCCGAAGTCAGCATATACTGCGATTAAAGGGCAAAATGATATTCGGGAGACCTACAACTTAGTAGTTGGCTTTGGAGTTGATGTCGAAGGCTGTGGACTTTCTTGAACGCCGTGAACCCAGTCACGAAATTCCTGGCAGGCGACTCGGTCGCTGAATAGCAGCTATAGTGGACGGATTAGTTCAATAAACAGAGATCTCAATTGCAGCAAGAATGGACTTACATTTGCAACACGCTCCATGTAGCTTTTGATGTCCTCGATGCTTTGCAACAGACCTTGATCGAAGAATGCTTCCACAACGGAGACTATTCCGCGAGTAGGCAGATCTTTTGTATACTTCTCTGACGATAAAGGCTGCATATAGCAAGCTTCTATCTGTTTCTTCTTTCTTGATCTCTCTTGACTCCAGGCAAGACATGACCGGAGGTCTTTCGATACCAGTCCGCAGCCAGCAAGTTTGAACCAGAAGGCTCCGTGTTCTCGTATGTATTTCAACACAGCTGTGAACACAGTAGTCCCCTGAAGGGACGCTAGAAGATCATCAGATGTCGGTGTACTCGATAACGACTGATTGTGCGAGTCGTGGCTCGAGTTACTGGCGATTGGGCTGCCAGCGTTGGACTGCGGCATCGCGCTCCAAGGCGTAATGCCTCCCATTACATTGATGTCGAGGTCGAGGGGTTGTACTGGGCCTGGGTCAAACCCCTGCCAGAGACTTGTCTCTGGTTCAGGAACTTGAGCATGCGTTCCAGAGAGTGCAAGTGAGAAATTGAACTCCTCATATGTCCGATCCGTCAGGTTTAGCACGTGGGCTGGCGAAATGTTCGTCGCGAGGATGTTCAAGAGTGAATGATCTATGGTCCCAAGATCTGGTGCAATGGCCAAGTCATGGGAGTTTCCCAACTCGTAGGAATAAGCCGGTGCCGGTTGTTCGTACACCGACGATGTCTGAGGCCCAAGATTGGCAAGTGGTAATACTGGGTATGTCTGAGGTGACGGTACTGAGAATGGCGTTTCGCCTCGTCGTAGAGAAGCTGCTAGTTTCTGCGACTGTTCTCCCATGTTCAAGTCCATGAAGTGGAGATGGTTTCGGGCTTCAGGCCAAAGTCGTCTTGCGAGGACCTCGAAGGCCTTTCGCTCTTCTTCATCCTCAAGGGCATTAAGCCACAGGCGGATGCCGGCGAGGATGTCGCCTTCTGCCAGCCGCCCTCTTGAGTAAAGAAGTCGGGAGACTACATACGACAGGCTGCAGAAGGCGAATATTTTGACAAGGTCATTGGGCGCTGGTCCCGTCAACGTGTTGCGGAAAGCAAAGACTCCAGCTTGACGAAGTCCTTTGGCATCGTGGTATTCGGCACGGATGTTGTTGATAGCGGGAATGTTGACATCTTGAGAAACATCAACGAAATGTTCCCAGAGGATTTGCATTCCCTCGCGAACTGTTCGGATGGAGGCCCAGGCATTTTCCCGAGCCTGAATGCTGGGATCGGTGAAATCAGGCTGTGAGTTTGGGGTACTGTTGGCCGGGGCTGTATTGCACAATGAGTCCAACTCAAGTGCAAGATCGTCTGGACGATGACTTGAACGACTGGGCCTCGATTCAGGTTCTGTTTCATCGAGGTGGGTGAAGCCAGCAAAAAGACCGTCCACTTCTGCGAGGGCTCTTCCGAGGTGTTCAGCTGCTCTTAAGCCCCCGACGCCTGTGCGCGTGCTGCCGCCAGCGTACGAATATAAGTGGCTGTACTGATCGAGATAAGGCATCTGTACTTGGCTTCTCTTGGTGAGAACTGGTGAGTTATTGGGCCAAGCTGGAGAAAATGCAAAAGGCAACTGACTTGAAGAAGAAAGGTGAAATGGTTCGCCCGACCCTCTGAATTTATGTGAGGCCCGGTGCTCCTCTCTCCAGGCCTCTGGGACCATGCGGCTCTCTGGGACGGGGAGCACGGCCCGGATGGCTTGCTATGCTCAATATGGGAGATCGGCGGGCTAGATTGCCTTGGCAAGTGTCGATTCTAACCATATTGAGCAGAGGAGGCTTGCTCACTGCACTGCTCAAAAGCAATTATGAGCCACGTCAGTTGCTCACGAGCTGCTCGTTCTGCTCACCAGCTATCCAAGAGCAGAACGAGCAGTTCGCGAGCATGACAAGGTGTCACTGGGCTTGATGTTTACTCGGTCGCGCAATAAAGTATATGAGCAGGAGGAGTTGCTCATGGGTTTTCTGAACTTGCTCGTTGTTGGTTTGTGAGCAGCTGGTAAACTAAGGGGGGGCGAAACGAGCGGCTCGCGAGCACAATGAGTAGTAACAACCACGACAGGCTTTTGTGAGCGCAATTAACATTTTAGCAGGGTTTCTCATGAGTTGCTCCAGTTCTGCTCGTGAGCTGCTCATGAGTGTTGAGGATGGCGAGGGCGACTGAGCAGCATACGATCGATCTTTTAGTCAATTGAGTTTCTTGAAGCCCATATAAAATATCCCACGTACAGCACAGGACCTGAGATTGTTTCCCAATGTAAGAAACTCATCGAACCATACATTGTCATTCGGAAGTAATCCCCACGTACGTTCAACGATGCCTCAAGAAACGGCCCAATCCGTGAAGATGACTTCTCAACTTCAAACTCACCATAACGGTAAGCAAATGCAGCCAATTGGGTGCTCTCTAGATGGCCCGCTTATAGTATCTGAAGGGAATTCGTCAGTTGTTCTTCAAAATTGGCTGGCTGAGTCAAGACGGGTCGAGCCTTGGTCATCCGTGCGTGCGACAACACAACCAACGGGGACTCGGCCTAGCAACTCAGCTGAAACCCCCAAATTATGATACCCAATGGCCAACTTGAGCGCCACAACACAATTGTGTTGAGGCATCGACCTTGAGAAATAAAGGTCTGATGCTCACTCATAAAAGTCTAGTCCGAGCAGGTGTTCGTGATGCAAAGGCTGGTCGAAGATGGCTCCATCAATTGTTATTTGAACCAATTCACAAAATTTTATTTACAACTTGCTTATCTGGGATGTCGATAGAGAATTGTCGGGCACTTGGGCCTAGATGTAATATTATTGCTGGCTGTTTTATATGTCATCTCAATGCCTTCTTAGTTCGACATGCGTCTCAATGGATGAGCCTCGGTGTTAAACACCCACTCATCCAGACTAATAACCTCCTCATCCTCAAAGATCAGATAAAAATACTTCAACGTCTCCGCCATCCAGAAACTCTCCATGTAATCTTTATGCTTCATCTCTTCAGCACCAACATCCTCCACCGCCGCAAACGCGTCATCCGTTTCAGCAGCAGCGCTAATCGCAGTCCACATGTTCCACGCAATGTCCCGGAGGTCTTCTTTGCCAGTGATACGGTAGAGATAAAAGATACTCTCAATGGTCTCTGGTCGAAGTAGGTATGATGCCTCTCTTGCGCGGAAACCGAGAGGCTCTTTGTTGTACTTTGGTTCGAAGGCGCAAGGCTCGAGTGTTGGGCAACGTTCAACTTGGACGATTTCTGGCATGAGACCACTGGGATATGCGGCGTAGGCTTTTGCGCAACCACGGGCGAGTTTCTCGCCAATAACGACGTGGTCATCTCGCCCAAGAGCTTTGCCGCCAAGGGCGTACATGCCTCCCGCGAAGCAGGTCAAATGCTCGACGCCCGTACTCAACCGCGATTCTTTGACTCGAGGAGGGAACGATGCTTCTCCAAGCATGAGAACGTCATCTTGATCTGGCAGCATCGGTCGAAACATCAAGTGCTTAATTCCAGCGTCGGCGGCGGTGAGGTACATCTTGCCGTACTTTGGCTCAAGGCCCTGCAAGAGGACGTATTCCTTGATGAGATACTCATACAGCGAGTCGCCATTAGCGCCCATGCCAAAAGTATCGTCGGTAACCTTGAACCCGTCCTCGGCGTTGATCTGAAGAGGCCATAGTCCTGGAATGGCGGTTTCGTTTTGTGTTCGCTCAAATGCTTTGGTGATGTGATCGATGGCGTCGTAGTACTTGGGGTTGCCAGTCTGTTGCGACAAACGGGTGAACTCCATGCTCATACTACCTAAACTGGCAGCGCTCTGTCGTGGTTCTGGATGACCCAATCCTTCCTTAAGGGTCTTGAACTTTATCGTATGCGGTGGCATATGTTCGGAATTGTCGAAAGTGCCGTATAATAGATCTCCCAGCTCAATTGCCTTGGCCAGCAAGGCGCTCTCTCCGCTGAGCTCGTATGCTGAGAGTAAACCACCAAGATGTCGAATGGTGGTCTCGAAAACATTGAATCCATCGGCTGTCGGAATATCCCAATCCATGCGAGTCACAAAGTCAACAGCTCTGTAAAACTCTCGCTTCATGCCCATGATCCACAAAGTGTCGAGGTTATCACAAATGGTCGCAGCCCACCCACCAAAAGTATCACGACCCTTCAAACTCAATGGCTTCAACTCATCACTTCCCCAAGCATACTTCTCATAAGACTTCCAAGTCTTTTTGAAAGCTTGCTCAATGTCTTTTCGTCTTTGATCTGCGGTCGCAAGCTCACGTTTCCTCAATTCCGGATTGGAGAAGTCGTGTTGGATACGTGGTAAATTGACTGGTGATCCTCGTGGGGGTTTGGCCATGCTGCTGATGGTCGATGGATACCGGAGAGTGTGTTTGCTCCAGTCATAGCTGCTGGGGATGAATTGAATGCTGGGGCCTGATATTTCGCTGAAAAGGCAGTAGAATACGAAGAATGCGACCAAGAGTGATAATAAGGCCCTGGACGGGGTGAATGGCAAACCTACGCCCATTTTTAATGAAGAATAACAATCAACAAAATACAGAATAAGAAAGAATAAGGAATGATACTGTGTCAATTCAGGTCACCATTGGGACAGCAGAGAGCGTTGAGAATACTACCTGAACTCAATGCCGACCGTAAGAAAGATGAACAGGTAAAGAACATTGGGGTCAAGTAAGATCTTATAACAACTAAAGGGATCGAGAACAAGGATTCGAGACAAGGAATAAAACACTCGTTCCCCCACATGCTGACCCTCCGACACGCAAGCTTAGGTTCTAAGAATAAACATAATCCGCAGACGCGAGATGTGCAGTCACTTTTACTCTGTTAGTGCAGGTATGACATATCAGGTGGAGGAAGGGATATGCACGGCCTGCTCTCGTATCACTCACTGAGAAAAGGGCGTTTTTCAGGGGTGCATTAGCTGTTTTCTGCCAAAGTCAAAGCTGCTGACGGGCTGAAACCCCCTGATTAGCCTCCAGCCAAGGAACAGTTCATGATGCTACGGATAATTAGGATGAAAAAAGCTTGGTATTGCATCGCCAAGATTAGACCAAACGTTTTTCAGTTTGGAGCTATTTTACCGGATGTGAATCTAGCTTCCGACGATGTTAAGGTTAACTGAACATCAGGTGTGGCGGTGCTGCCGAGTGTTAAGCCACATTTTATGGCTTTGCCTCACCGCCAAAAATCTCAAAAATTCTGCCACTTTTCCAGCTCTGACAAGCGCCAACGATTAATTCTTTTGCATTTCGTCGTATACACAACACAATACGCCAAAATGTCTTCTATGCGAAATGCCGTCGCGCGACGCCCTCACAGAGAGCGTGCGCAGCCTTTGGAACGTCGAAGACTCGGTCTTCTCGAGAAGCACAAGGTTTGTTGACCTCCCAATACCCCCACCGGAGTAGCTTTTGACAATTGCAGGATTACTCGCTTCGAGCCAAGGACTTCAACAAGAAGAAGGCGCAGCTCAAGAATCTCAAGGAAAAGGCGGCCGAGCGAAATGAGGATGAGTTTTACTTTGGTATGATGTCCCGAAAGGGACCGGGGTCGAAGATCCAGGATGGCAAGCGATGGAGTGGAACGGTTGAGGGTGATCGAGGAAATAAGGCGATGGACGTTGAGACCGTGCGGCTTTTGAAGACTCAGGATATTGGATACATTCGAACGATGCGACAGGTTGTTGCGAAAGAGGTCGCGAGACTGGAAGAGCAGGTTGTTCTCACACGAGGTTTCGACAAGCTTGACGAAGATGAGGACGATGAAGACGAGGGAAGCGATTCCGAATTCGACTTTGCAACCGCCCCCTCAAAACCCAAAGCACCCCGAAAGATTGTATTCATGGACGACGAAGAGCAGCGCGACGAGACAATACTGGATCTCGAGGACGAAGATGACGCCGACAAGACATTTGAAGGATTCGACGATGATAAGAAGAAAGACGCTGACTTCGAGCGCGCAAAGGCCCTCCGCCGCCTTCGCCGCCAACTCGAAAATGCGCGCAAGAAGCTCAAGGCTCTTGCAGATGCAGAGGGCGAATTGGAGATTCAGCGCGCAAAGATGGCAAAGACGGCGACGTCGGGAGGAACTACACGCAAAGGAAAGAAGATCATGGTGCGGACACGGAAGCGATAAACATCACATCAAAATTCAATGTGAATTATGGAGCTTTTTTCTCGTCATTTCGTGTTCAGTTCGTTACGGCTCGCTAGCTAATAGATACCCTTCAAAACGCCATGGGTTTATGATACAGAAAAGAACTGGCCGCGCTCGAATTAAAAATGTCCGTCATTAATACTTTGATCCTACACACTTGTAACATCCCTTGAATGCGAAACCAACGCATTTGAAGCTTATCGTCAATATCCAGATAAAGCACGCAAACAGGCCCTTTACGATCTTGACGATGACTCGGATTAGGAAGGGAAGTTTATCTTCCTTTTCTCGCGGTTTGCTTTTACCCAAACTCTCATCTTGACTCTCAACGTCAATCTCGAACGACTCCATCTTGCGCTTCTTCTTTTCCTCGCGTTTGCCAATTTTGCTCAGGCGCTTTTCTTGCTGGGCTGTGAGGATGAGAGGAGGTGGTGGTTCGAAAACTTCCATTGCGGGAGTGTTCTTCTCATCGGCTGATGCGACGAGGAGGAGAGCTGTTACGGCGACGTCGACGATGAAGTAGGATTCTATCTTTGCAGCGATTCCTGTGTCGATTTCTAACCAGCCACCGCCTGTGCCGTCGCGGGTTAGTTTCGCGAGATGTTGCGGTGATTCGTTGTGTTCGAGGGTATATTCTACCCTTGACCAAGATGGTGAGCGCTCGATCGTTACGCAGAATGGTGTTGCGAGGGATGGATGCACGAGGAAGTGGTGGGAGCTGTCTTCGTCCCAGACGAGACGGGCGCATTCGCGCTCTGCTAGCATGACGGATTGGGGGTCTTGGGCGCGCTCGATGGCCATTTTTGTAGCGGGTGTTGGCATGAGAAGAGCGACGAGACCATCATTTGGAGGATGGCGACGGGATTCTTCTTCGAGGGTGGTGGTGAGAGCTTCTTGCCAGTGTTTTGTGTCGGTTACTTTTGTCCCGGAGGAATTGCTGTTGTGGCCGACGACGCCGCTGATGATACTGCTTGCCGAAGAACTAGCTTCGGGCTTGGGCGCTTTGTATGGTTTGTTGGGATCATGTCTTGTGAGAGTGACGTATGCTGAAGCAGACGTTGGGTCTATACGGAGATTGTAGAATGGTTGTGAAGCTGATGAGAGGCTGTACACGGGGGCATCTTTCTCTTGAGCTAGCTTCATACAGTAGACTCGACCCTCTGACGCTGAAGCTTGCCAGCCATTTGCGACCTTCCAATAGTTCTTGAGCTGTTCATTCGAACTAACCGTTGGAATCAGTGGTGGTTCTTGTTGTTGGACATTTCGATGCGGCCATGAAGATTGTGCTGATTGAACGCTCATGGGACTTATGACCGGACTCCGAACGGGGTTTCGAGAAGTCGATCCGGCGGGTGTTTCGTGGTATGTTTGACGACTTATAACAGCTCTCGGCATTTGAGTTGGTTGGATCTCGGTGGGAACATAGTTCTGTTGACCGAGTGGTACCTCTGGGTTATAAGCTGGAAAGATAGATCGTAATGGCTGCGCAGTAGTTTCACCGCCCAAGGGTGGTTTAGCGATTGAACTTCGTGATCGATCACTGCTACTTCTAACAAGGGTATTACCCTGCGCAAAGCCAGTATCGGAACGTCCAGGGATTTGAACCGTCGGTCTAGGTCGTTGAACCTTTACGGGCTTGGGCTCATTCTGCACCGGCTCGAATTCAATGGGTGTGTGAGCTCTATTCTGGGGAGTCTGTCGTCCATTTCTTGGCGATGCCGGTCTTGGTTCTGGAGACATGGCCTGTGGTGTCACAGCCCGTCGATCGCTGGGTGTGGGCGCTCGTCTGTCACTGGGTGTTGGAGCTCTTCTCTCGCGAGATTCAGAACGACGAGGTTTTGGTGTTTGATTCCGTGAGACAGGCGGTGGTTTTGATGAGTTGGGACTCGGGAATAGAGAGAACCCTCCTGGGGTTGGAGTCGACATTTCTGTATCAAACAGTATATACTTCTTCCCAGAAGAGTAGGGGTATCAAATGCAAGGGTCTAAGCTAGCAAGACGTTGAAATGTCAATTATGCTGCTACCGCTTCATGATCATCAAAACAAATTGTCATGTAAAATGTTTCCACTTAAACAAAAAGACAATAGCAAGCATGAGATTCCCCAGAATGGAAAGCATGTTGGTTGATATTATATTCTCATCCATCGCATTTTTAAGCGCTCGCATCTTGAGACTAACACGGTTAAAAATAGCATCATCTAGATGGGCCAATTAGCGGGGATGTCACACTGCAGCAGGGACCTAAGCGCCCTGGAGACGCGCCTTTCAAGAGGGGAAACTGCAGCGTTATTGGACAGACGAGAATCATTTGGGTTGGACGGGGAGTGTTTTTACTGGTCTTTGGGCGGGTGATTTGTGTGATTGTGTGCGGGGAGTGTAAGTCGGTAATGAGCTGAGGAAGAATTGAGCCTATGAACGACTACCAGAGAGAGTTGAAGGATATCCTTGTACGTTGATTTAGTAGGAGAGAAATAGAGGGGCCTCGAACATGGGCTCTTGTTCCCGTTTGACCGTCGAGTGAGCCTTGAAACGTCGAGGTTCACCGCTTGATGCACGTAACCCTTTGTTACATACATGAACTGCCGATTCCACCACTGAAGGCTCTGTCTGTGCTTGAGGGAGAAACAGATGCTGATGAATGTTTGATAAGCAGAACGGGCGGCAATTGTCACAGTTTGGTGGCTGGGTTGAGTAGTCTTTATGACGATCTTGGGCATGAGGCTGTTTGGGTATCAGTTGACAAGCATTGGATGCATGCTCTTAAACAATCTGGGCGTTGGTTCTCGCCCTGTTGGATTCCAGCCGTTGCATATGCTTATCGAGTTGAACTGACTCTTTCGGAATGCCGTCTCGGCATTGATCCTGATCATAGTGGTACACTGTCTTGTCTTATCCTCACATCACCTTTTATTCTTACATTCCATCCCCTGTACAATCCCCCAGCGTAGATGTTCAATATCCCAAAACGCCACAGATGCAACAGTTCATTATCATTGTCCCTCCCCCCTCGGCCTATCCTTCGCCGTAAGTCCATGTATCCTCTCCCCCCTCTTCTCCATCTCCTTCTGTCTCGACAACCGCACGTGCTCGGGTAACCCCCACCACTCCCTCATAAACTCCTCCTGGGCCTGTGCGACTCTGGCTTTTCGCTCGCGTTCTCGCTGGCGCTCTATTCGTAGGGCGAACCATTCCTCGCGTGCTTCGTCGTGCGCGGATTGTGTGGCGTGCAGCTTCATGCAGCTGTTCATGGAGCGGTGTTCGGCGCGGCAGGCGAAGGAGACGGTGAATGTGCGGCCGAGGGCGCATGCGGCGAATGCTGGGGTTTTTGTTAGTGGTGTTCATGGCCTGATGTGGAGGTTGAAGTGGTGATGTTGGTGGTGGAGGTGGGGGACGTGCCTTTGATCTCATCGGCGCACTCTTTTCGAACTTTTTGGTAAAAGATATCTCGGACTTGTGCTTCTTGTGATGCGGAGAGAGGTAGAGGGTTGCGAGAGGGTACTCCGAGCTTCTCCTCTGGCACCGGGGGGTTCTGGACGGCCATTGCGGCCATGGGACGAGCGCGCGGGGCTCGGAGTCGTAATTATCGTAGATAGAATGCCCGGAGGAGTATGGGTAGAGGTGGATGTGTCGTCGGGGGGTTCGTGGTGGATCGTTGATGGCGATTGAAGCTATATCGGACGAGAAGCTTGCGGGATGTCAAGAGGTGAGCCCATGAGGAAATGGCAGAACTTGACCGCCTTCCACTTTGGGGATTTATGGGAAGATGAATTGCACCATGGTCCACGGCTTCAACAGAATACATCACCAACTTCATAGTGTTTGTGTGGTTTGTATCATTGAGCGATGTCGTCTTTTCCTGAATACCACAGAGCTCATCGGCGGGGACGATACTTCGCTGTGTCGGTACCGCTATGGCCGGCCAACCACCATATCTCCAATATGAAGCACAAAGTGCCACCGTGAACGCCCTCACATCCTCAGGCGACACAATAAATTGCATTTGATAAGATTTGACCATTCAGGTCCTCTTTTCTGATATTGTGTTGGAAACTTACCAGGCATCCTTAGGCAGCATCGCTGTCTTATTGGTGCTGTCTCAGGGCTTGGTTAAATCATCAGTGTTGTTGCACAAACATCGAGACTTTGCGTAGGTATCACCGTGAATTTTAACAATGCTTATATATGTTTCCCAACTCTGGTTTGTAGACAATTTTGCTGTTTGGATGTCATGGTATGAGTTGATCAGTGGTGTATAAAAGACGATCCACCGCTCCTCAGGCATCACCACTTCCTTCACAAGTTCATCGCATTAGGTTTTCGCATTCAATCGTAACCCAGCTTAAATTCTAATATCAACATGGAATCTCCCGCTCCTACCTCTCAGCCCCCTTCGGACTCTTCTCCCCTCGAGGGTCTCCTCTCTGCCGTCTCCTCCGCACTAGACAAGCGCGCTGGCAAGGACATCTTTGCCATCGGAGGTAGCGTTGGCGACGATGGCGACTCCTCTAGTGCAAGTGGTAACTCTATTACAATCCGATGGGATAATAAGGAACAGGGACATAGTCGCACTCTCAAATTGCCCCTCAATGATGATCCTGTCGCCCAAGATGCCTTCAACACCATGTTGGCTGATTGCCAACCTGCAACCTTCGGCGTCGGCAGCCAAGAGGTTCTAGATGAAGAGTACAGAAAAGCCGGTAAAATGAACACTGAAGACTTTTGTACCAACTTCAATCCTTACGAACATGGTATCATCGATACCATCAATCAGGTTCTGGCCCAAGCCAGTGTAACTGATGCAAGAGGTCTTGGTGTGAAGGCTGAGCTTTACAAACTCAATGCAAGTTCAATGCGACTGATATTGTGTGCTCTTACTGAGATTCTCCAGGTGTATTCAGGGCCTTCTGGCAAGTTCAAGCCCCATGTTGATACGCCACGATCTGATCGCCAGATGGGCTCGCTCGTCGTGAGTCTTCCTGTCAAGCACAAAGGTATGATGCACAGTCCGGCAGCATTTCCATTGTTGAAATTAACAGACATGAGGTGGCCAACTCGCAGTAAGGCACGGTGGTCGTGAGATTATTTTTGACTGGGCACCGAAAAGCGTCGACACCATTCAGTGGGCGGCCTTCTTCTCCGATTGTGAGCATGAAGTTCTGCAAGTCACAGAAGGTCATCGGGTAACATTGACTTACAATCTCTTTTGGACTGATTACGGCCCTGCTTCGATGTCAGATCATCTTCGGGCTCTGGATCAGGAATCTCTTCATTTCTTCACCGCGCTTGAGAAACTACTCGAGAACAAGCATCTCATGAAAGATGGTGAGCTCGCTTTTGGACGTTCTTCTCATCAACAGGCTGCTGACAGCAAACTGTAGGTCTCGTCGGATTCTCTTGCACTCACGCGTATCCTCACACGTCCAAATCTTCCACCAACAACTTGCACCACATGCTCAAAGGCATCGACATGGTGGTCTACCAAGCCCTCAAACGCATCCTAGGCACAGCCGAAGTCGCCGCACTAGTCGATGACGAGGAGTACCGACTTGACCAGCAAGAGTCAATACCAGAGATGATTGAATGGAGGAAAGAGCGCATTCAGTACAACCCAGATCTACCAAAACCCAAGGTCACTCAGGCCGAGCAAGACATCTTAGACGATAAGCTGGCTATCGGTTCCGCTCCGAGACCTGCCATTACCTTCTGGTATGGCCATCACGATAAACAACTCGATGCTGCTGATGTTGGAGCGCAATATGGACCTGGCTGGGAAACGGATAGGACTAAGTTTTATCCTCGGAAAGATGTCACTTGGTTGAATGGCCCGCCTAACTCGGAAGTCTCCAAGGAACTTGCTGTTGCTTTTATCACGGTGAGTATCCAAGCTTGTAACACAGCAAACAGAGGCACTGACATGAGTTTGCAGTACGGTAATGAGCCTGAAATCAATGGCTACTATACTTCGGCTGTCATTGTTGGAAAGGTGGGCAAGTCGTCGCCGGCGGACGTAAACACCAAGGGTGGAAGCGCTGGTGGTGAGAAAGAGGATTAATATTAGGAATATTAGCTTTATTCGATCTCCTATTAGACAGAACTCACACATTATTGAAATACAAGGCTTATTGTATAGTTTTCTTGATCTGTTGTACACCATGTAATTAGTTTTTTACGTTCCGTCTAGCTTTTAAACATTGGGCTTCGTGACTCAACGTGTGCCAACCTTATCCTTCATCCCCATTTTCTATTCGGTATAACGAGAGGTTGATGAGTTCAATTTTATCTTATCTTATGTTGAGATCCACGGTGTTTTAATGGGATGTCAATAATGAGAACGATGCGCGTGCAGTTTACTTTAGCACAACTTCGCGTGACGACTGACCCAGCGATTATTATGCATTGTCAAGAGAAGGCATATTTCTTTCCTCCACATGGCATACTCCATCGTCTGAACACTTCTTTGTAATTGGAACTCGAACTCTTGTTCGTCTCATCCCAACATCATGATACTTTAGAGCGTTCGGTGTTCACCCAGAAACAGTCGCCTCAACTCTGTATGTGCCTTTGACTGCGAAGGCAGGCAGTCCTCCCGTTGATACCCCTACACAAAATCTCTTGTGTCCATGTGTGATTTCATGTTTGAAGGAAGTTGGCATCGGGAAGTTTCTGGGCAAGTTGTCAAGGTCAAGCTCCTCAAGAAGGAGCACCTCCTCCAGACAGACTGCACAACTTTCATGAATTGGGTTTCTTTCAGTCAAAGGTTTGTCTTCGCACGAAAGCATCGCACATTCACAGCCAAAGAGAGTTTTTTTTTCTTGGTATATCTATTCTCGCAGTGTCTATTCAATACTCATACCAACTTCTTTACCTTCTACCCATCCCGATTCATACTCTTCGGTCCGACCCCCCCAGCCTGCGAACGATCATCACGCTGCTCCAAACTAAGGTCGACAATGGTGTATACTAGGAAGTCTGATCACCCCTGGTTTAAGCGCCCAGAACTCTTTGTACCTCAGTGGGTGATGGGATACGCCATAGAGACCCAACGTGTATCGCGCTGGTCTTGGAAGCAGCATGAACACCTCCGAACATGGCACGACACAGGGGAACCACCGTTCCAGATCATTTCTATTGACGTCGATCACATCCTAGTGGAGGATGATGAGGTGCAGAGCTTCCAAATTGGTATCTCTATCCTTGATACAGAGCCTCTTGGGGATGTGTTGACCCAGCCGCCTGAGCCTGATGCCAACCTGGCTGCTCGAGTTGTGCAGTCTCATCATTGGGTCGTTGGGGATGAAGGCTACCCTTCTGAGTATGAGAGTCAGTTCATTTTTGGAAGAATGAGGTATGTTCCGATGGATGAGTTCGAAACGAATATCATGGATGTCATCCAGGCCTCGAATTTCTTCCTCATCACCCACGGAGAAAACAAAGCCCTCCCATTCTTGAAAAGTCGTGGCATACATCTCCAGCCTCTCAATATCATCGACACTGCCCAGGCCGCACAGGAAGTCCTCCGCCTCCTCACCAGTCAAACAATGAGCAAGGACGAGGTGGCCAGAGAAATTGGAGTTCCATGTGAAGCTCCTGACTTGGCTGGAAACGATGCCCACTTATCTCTTCGCATTCTTCTCATGCTTATTGCCGAAGACGTCGATCGACATCTTCATCGTAAGGATGTCCCGATGGATCAGTGGGCTCTGATTTTGAAGAGGATTGTTAATTCACCACCCAAGAAGCGAAAGTTGAGAAGGATGAGGAGGTCTCCTTCCACAGATTCTACACAACAAAGTAGCGGACAAGGCGATAACGAGGCCTCCTCCACGACTTGTATTCAGGCGTCGTCTCCGCCTTCTACAGAACAAAGTGGCGGGCAAAGCGATAACGAGGTCTCCCCCGCGAATCGTACTCCGGCGTCGCCTCCATCGAGTATTGGATAGGTTCCAGATGAGAGCGATTGTGAGAGCGATTGTGAGAGCGATTGTCACTGAGCAGTGTTTTATGGGAAGAGGCATGGGAAGAGCATTATCCTTCAAGCGATATGATTATTGAAAGGAATTGCTATAAATACTTTGTGTTAAACTGCTACACTTATGAGCGTTACGAGAAACTACTGCGGTTATCGACGTTATGAGAACGAAGTTTATATGTGCTACTGCAATAAATTGTCATCAATCGCTGCATCGTGTATTCTAACTGTGACTATTGGTATAAAACAAGTGTCAAAAAGCCACCACTGTTATTGGATATATAAAATACTGGCAAAACAGAAACGTAACTCCACGCGCCGAGAGGTGCAATCATTAAACCCTCCTCTTCACTTCATTTACTGCTGGGGATATGCTTGAGGAGGGTAAGGCTGAGGCTGAGGGGGCGGCGACATTGAAGCAGGAGGATGGGTGTAGTTCGTCTGACTGTCGAGCTCACTTCCGTAATGCTGGGGAGGAGGAGACATTGAAGCTGGAGGAGGTGTAGAGTAGTTTGTCTGACCATCAAGCTCACTTCCCTGAGGTTGAGCAGGCTGTTGATACTGCTGGGGAGGATACTGTCCGTAGTTCTGCTGGCCCTGGTACTGCTGGTCTTGGGGAGAGTAGGGTGCGGCAGGGGGAGGATAAGCACCCTGTTGTTGGTATGGGCTCTGGGTAGGTTGGTAAGGAGAGGGAGTGCCCTGAGGAGGATACTGCTGCTGCTGTTGTTGAGGAACGAATTGGCCTTGAGTAGGTTGTTGTTGGTACTGTTGGGGGACACCCTGAGGTTGAACAGGCTGAACCATGGGCTGGGCTTCGTTGACCTTGGTCTCCATTTGGTAGTTGTTGTTGGGTGAAGGGGATGCTGCGAGGTTGACGGCGAAGCGGCCTTCCCTGCGACCACGGAGGAACATGACAAGAGTCCAGACGAAAGTGACGATGAAGAGAATCCTGAAAGCGTAGCGTTAGTCAACATTGTCTGTGACTCAAGAACTGAGACAACTTACCAAACAAGAGCGCCGAGACCTGCGACGGCAGCAAGCATAGCCAGCCCAGACTTGAACAGAATAACATTCTCCCCATCACGCTTAAAAATATTGCAAGTCTTACTATCTGTAAGACTTCCATCATCAACACAGCCATAAGCATTAACAGGAACGACGTATTTAGCACGTCTCGCAGCAGTAGCAGCCCAAGCTGCAAGCCAAAGAACCATCATTAGTCCATCGAGGCATAGAACGGCGATGATGTGGTATGCGCTTTGAAGACTGGGGATTTTCTCTGTCAAGACGACGTATGCGATGACGATCCATGATATGATCGCCTAGACATGTTAGTGTTGAGATGGAGGGGTAGGATGGGGGTTTTTACAATGGCGAGAGATAGAGCTTCTTCGTCGAGGGTGGCATCGTGCATCAGACGGCCGCAGAGACCGACGATGATGAGGGAGATGAGGAATTGGAAGCCACGGAGTATAATGATCCAGAGTGGTGTTTGGAGAACATGGTTGCCCTCAGGCTTTTCTTGCTGTTGTTCCATAGTAACTTGTTAATAAATAGTATAAGTGATAGTGTCAAGCCACGAGAAATAATAACGGAAAGCCAAGAAAAGTGTTCGTCTCGGGAAGCTGGGAGAATGATTTATGGCGCACCCTTTTTCCTGGGGGGAAACACAACAGCCTTATAGCTTGGCGCAAGCAAGACCAGCTCCGTTCACTTACAGCTTAGACGAGAAGCCCAAGGCAGATTTCGAGGGACGACGACCCTTGCGGATGGCGTTCGTTAGCGTACTTCAGCCGCACCTCAGCTGGCCCATTCGGGATGCCTTGTTGGCGCCGTTGGGCTCTCTAGAGAGTGCAGCGGGACAGGCCATGATTTCCGGTCTTTTGAAAGAATTATCCGAATTTCAAGGCAATTTACAGTCGTTATTATACCATTATGTCAGTTCATCTTATTTTTACATCTTGTTGTCAAGAGTTGAGTTATCGTCGGCAGTTTCGTGAGTGTGAGTGTCCAGAGCCTTGTTTGGTGTTTAGTCTAATCGACAACAAACGAAAACAGGGTCACTACGGTACCACCCTACTTTAATAAACCCCTGCAGAATACGGGCAGGAAAGTAAAAAAGACAAATGCCGTTAAAGGCGAAGTGGCTTGTGGAAATTGAACTTGGGCAGTGCGACAAGCCACTTGAAGCTATTGCTCTTAAAATATTCACCGAAGCGTTTCACTAGAAGGAACAGTGTTTCTAGCTCGTTTGCTAGATGAAAATGGATTTATTAACGAGTGATAAGGCTTGAGTTAAGAGAGGGTAGGTTTGAAGAGGAGTGTTCCCAGTTGAGCATGCTTCGCGAGATTTGGCTCGAGGTGCAGATGCCTGCATGAAGGATTTCGCTAAGCAGCCCATGCCGGCGTCGATCACATGGATAAGATATCCCGACAGATTCTCATTCTCACTTTACCAGGGCGCTCACGTCTTCTGTCAAACAGGCTAGCTGATCGTAAAGTGTTCAATAAAAGGTGAGATTTGTCGTGGAATGTCCTCTTTTGGTAGATGTAAGACGGGTGAGACTTGTCTTATTGGAGAGTTGTGATGGGAAAACAGCTGAAAGCGGAGAGTGGAGATGCCATGGGCTGTGCTTGTTCAGCCGTTGGAGCTAATTTGTGGAGGGGCGGAATGAAGAGGCTTGCAGGGAGAGTGCGGAATTGGAAGATTGGGGAGATTGGAGAGGATACGGAGGAGCCACTGGAAGGGCGTATTAAACAAGATTCAATTGTTAATCCAGTCATCGTACCAGTGTTTCATGAGACTGAGGTTACCTCATAAGATAAAGCTAAGTCTCTGACAAATACGCCGCCATGAATTGGTATCTCGTTGCGCCAAGAGGCCTGTGTTTATGCTTGTATCTCAGCCTATGACACCCGCGTACTACCCGTGGACAATCTACAGGGTTCATGTGAAACAAACCACGTCTATTAAGTGCCTTATTAGACACAATGATGCTATACTAAAAAGACTCATGTACCGAGTCCACTCATGACAAAACGCCTTCACCCGCCGCCCTGCTTCATATGATCTAAGCCATCCTATGCCGGATATCTTTTTCGCTTTTAGTTCTCGTTCATATTCATTCATATCGTCATCACCCTCTCTCATTTACTGCTCGTTAGGTCCCTTGATCAAAACCTTGATCGCCTCTCCCTCCTTGACCTTCTTGAAAGCCTCCTCGGCCTGCTTGAACTCAACAACTCCAGTGATGAGCTTCTTGACATCGACCTTGCCGGTAGCCACAAGCTCAACGGCGAGAGTGTAATCACCAGCACCGTAGCGGAATGAGCCGCTGGCTGTGGCCTCCTTGATGCAGAATGCCATGATGGGGAAGGTAATGTCCGCCTTGCCCATGCCGCCCTGCACGTAGCTACCGCCGTTCTTGAGGACGTGGATAGATGCTTGGATTGAGGGCTCAGCACCGCTGGCGTCAATGACGACGTCGGCGCCTTCGGGGAGACCAGCGAGCTCGCAGATGTTCTTGGCGTTCTCCTCGGGTGCAATGCGCTGAGATGCGTAGACGTGGGTGGAGGCGAAGTCCTTGGCGAAGTCGAGCTTGCTCTGGACGATATCGACACTGACGATCTTGGAAGCTCCGTAGGCCTTTGCGACGGCGGCGCAGAGAAGACCAACGGGTCCAGCGCCCATAACAACGACGGAGTCACCGGGCTTGACGCGGGCTTGCTTGACGATGTGAACAGCGACAGCGAGAGGCTCAATAAGAGCACCCTCCTGCTGCGAAACATTATCAGGAAGCTTGTAGCAGAAATCCGCAGGCGCAGTCCAATAACCAGTCAAAGTTCCATGGTAAGGTGGTGTAGCAGCAAACACCATATCCGGGCAAAGGTTATACTTTCCAGCGAGACAGTTCTGGCATCGACGGCAGGGATAGCCTGGCTCGAGAGCGACGCGGTCACCGACCTTGAGGGTCTTGACTTTGGAGCCGACTTCGACGATTGTGCCAGCGGACTCGTGGCCTAGAACCATGGGGTCTTCGACGACGAACTTGCCGATGGAGCCGTGGACCCAGTAGTGCACGTCGGAACCGCAGATGCCGGTGTAGTTGACGGCGACGAGGACATCGTGGGGGCTCGAGAGGGTGGGCTTGGGACGTTCCTCGAAGGAGACGTCGCCGGGCTTGTTGAGGACGAAGGAGAGGTTCTGGGAGGGGATGTTAGTGAGACGTCATGAGGGGCCATGATGGCGGGGTATGATGTGAGGTAGTCGATGAGCTGGGAAAAGACGTACGCTGGCCATTGTTGCTATTATCTAGTGAATAATTATGAGAAGATGAAAGATGAGAGTAGAGATGAAGAGGAAGTGAATTGAGTCGCGGGTCGTGGGATGATGAAGTAGGTTCGTCACTCGTAACTCGAAGTGGGATGTCCTGTCTTATATGGATCACAGTGGAGTTCAACAACACTCTCAATCTATCACCAAAAGCAACTGTAAGAATAGGCTGAACAGCAATTCTCAGTGAAAATAAAAATTCAGATCATGGCGAAAATCTGCTGATGAGGGCAGCGGCTCATATACCCCAACCTCATCACATGGTCCTCAACATGACAGATCCCGTACTACTGGCAAATACCCGTAGAGTTGACATGATGGTTACACCCCCACGGTTTTTACCCTCGCCAATCAAGAAGCCATGATATCGAGAGACCAAGGCCACAAGACCAACAAGATTCTCCAAATATGGGGGGCAGAATGGCTGTCATGACGGGAGCGCTTGAGATTCTGTTCTGAGGATGATGGCACTTTAGCCAGAGCATTTAACCGCGCGAATGAGAGCGTGGCGAGCGGTGGAGTGGGATCCGTCGGTGAGAATTAGACCGGGAAAGCTCCAAGGCTATTTTATAGCTGTGAAGCTAGAGATCTCTGGCTCAGTGGATATGAACAGCTAAGGTATGGCATTGTTGGATGATCAGTCAAGAAAGAAGGGCTGTGGTTCTCAGATCATTGACTCACATCATGATAGCAGTGTTGGAGGCCTTGTCTACCGCTTGGAGACAATACAGGCTTCTGGCTTTACATCCGGAGCTTGGGGCAGTCACTTGACCAGATTTCTCACCTCCAAAATAATTCACTAGCGTAGTAAGTCTTTAGCATGATATTCCGGCGTAATCTGTGTTCCTGCGTCAGCTCTCAATCAGAATTCCGCTGCCGGCGCGGAGCTGCAGCATTGGGAATAGCGCCCGGGTGGGTGGATCCGGGCCGGAGCGGGGAGTCTCGGCGATGTGCGATGGGCAAGATTAGCCGGTCTCCATTGAGAACATGAAGATGGAAGAGTCTCCAGGAATGATTGACTGGAGGGACTTGACATGTAGCACTTGGGTTGTTTGCATTTACCGTGCGGATTCTTACCTTCTTTAGCCCAGGGCGTCAACGGTCGCGCAAGCTTGTCTTCTACTACGCAAGACGGACGTGAACCCGAAGAGGGCTTGTGTGGAAGCTGTAGCACTTGCCGTTGGCTCAAAATTACACAGCACGACGTGATATTCCACCTATGCAATTCAGGGCATAAAAGATGAATTTCAATAAATTTATTACCACCGCTCTCGTGCTATTATACAACAGTCTTATCCCTTACATGCTCTCCAGCGTTAAATATGCCTCTTCTCCATCCGTTTAGTTGAGGTTATAGTGCTCCTCCTGGTGGCTAACAGAAGAGTGTCGCTTAGTCGAGCTCTCATGAGGATATTCATGCTCAATGATAGGCTCTCCAAGGTGCTCCTTAAGAGCAGAAGGAGGAGCACGGGCAGCGTCAAGGGTAGCCCCAGGGGACTTGTGCATGTCATTCTGATAGCCAAGTGTGTTTCTTCAGTCGAAGTCAGCCATTAACTGTACTTTCTGCGCAAGGAGGGAACCTACGAAGGCTTGGATTGAGATGACGGAACGCCAGGAACGTTCTCTACCAGCGAATCAATCCTGTCTCCTGTGCGTACACCCTCGGTCTGCTGGTTTTGGTTGCTTGTTGCATCAAGGGGCGAAATGTGGGAGTTTGAACCCAACTCTCGCTGATTGTTCTGGTTGGTGTTGTTGAAGGTGTTGTTGAAAGACTCAGTGTTATGGGAGCCGGTGTTGTACGTCTCTCGAAGAGAACCAGTGTTGTGAGACTCTTGTTGAGAGCCAGTGTTGCTATTCTCAGTGCTGGAGGGGACCAGTGTCTCCTTAATCTTGTTCATAAGGTCTGCCATTTTGTTTGAGTGTTGAGTGTTAAATAAAGTGGTGTTGTAAGTCAAGTGAAGTAATGTCTGGATGTAAAGTGATGGTTCTACTGGTAAGATAGCCATCGCGGACATGTCTGTTATATAGTTGTCGCCTTCGCCTCTTAGACTCATATCCTCACCACTTCCATCATTCTTCTCTAATCAATCATCACCATGAAACCCTCTCATTCGACAGGTCGCCTGATGCGTCATGTCCAAATCGTCATGACGTCGAATGATCGGCAGAGGCTCCATACCACAGCGATAAGCATATTCTAAACCTAAAATTAGTGCTCCATTCCCTTGGTTTTGTTCCTGGGGCTATGTAAATGATAACCCGATTCTCTTCGGGTGACATTGGCCAAGCTTTTTGGTTGTGCTAAAAACCCTGGTTCAGAAGACATCATGCGTGGGGCTAGAAACTTCCGCGGATGCATCGCCAAGATGAGCGACCATTCATGAGGGCAACGAGAGGGATTTGAGGTTGTTTATTACGTAGAGGGGATAATTGTTCCTCGGGAGTGAGAAGCTTATTCGGATGTCAAAGCGTACCACGTAAGCTCAGGTACGGATCACGGATCGAACTGAATGGTTGCACAGCAGAGTCACATGTGATGGCGCAATCATTCAAGGCGACTAATCCGTAATCCCAGTTCAACGACATCGCTTACATACTCCATCAACAAGATAATCACCTCTTGTACACCATCCAGTATCCAGCTCCCAAAGCAGCAGCCGCTCCAGCCCAGGGCATAACAACCATCGCAGCATCAGCAATATTCCTCTTAACCTTCTCCTTTACAATTCTCCGTAGTTCTGCTGCCTCGTTTACCCAAGGAAACTCCTTCTCCGGCACAGGTTTATCCAAAAAGTCACAAATGGGCTCCCATCCTTGACCCATACGATACTCTAGCAGCTGCTCCTTGGGCACCATCTCTCGAATAACACGATGATGGCGGTCATATGTTTCTCGGCCATTCTTTCGAGCTTCTTCGACTGAATCTGCTTGGAAAAGACCTAGCATTTGCTTTCGCGCCGCTGGACCTGCTCTAGAACCGAGGAGTGGTTCAACAAACGAGATGGAGAACTCGGCGATCGGGTTCCAGAGTTGTTTGAGAACACCCTCATTGACACTCTTGAACCAACTGTCGAATTCCCGAATTACAAGAATGACCTTAGCATCGGGGTACGTCTCAATGAGCTGCGGTGCGTAAATGGACGCTACATCGGTGGTGGCTTCACATTCTCCCCAGATCTCATCCCACTGTTCACGGGTGAACGGTTTCCCAGTGTATGTCGGAAGATTCGGGAATGAAGCGTCTGTTGCGCGCTCAAGATTCGCCCAGGCTTCTTTGTCGTCGATGATTTTGAGACCGTGGAATACGTCTTTGTAGCCAAGGATGGTGAGGGCTTCGGCCATGGATGCTGTGCCTGTGCGGGGGAGGCCGAGACAGAGGACTTTCATGTCTCGTTTTGGTTTGGGAGCTGTTGTGTTTGACATTTTGAAGAGACGAAGGATGTGGAGAGTTTGGTGAGGAAAGGTTTGTGTTCTTTGGGCTTGAAGATATTGATCTTCAGACCGCAAGATGAGCCACGCTGAAGTGCTTACCACGCGTCACGCTAACGCGACAGCGTGGTATTTCATAGTTGAAGGTTCAGGTAGGAAGTGACTCAAATACGACTTTAACGGCCAGTTTTAATAGAACAGCATCTCTTCAGTTCAGTCTACGCTGATTGACACATATTTGCCATTATTTCACGCGATGGTATGTGGCTGAGAAGTTCATCACTCTTATGCCGTCTCCAATCATCCGGAACGGAATCCCGTTCCACTTCACTAACACTCGCCTTGAGCAAAACTAACAATGCAGTAGAATGTGAGTCACTTGGGAAAGCAATTGATTCATGATTTAACATTTGACTTCATTAAAGAACTATTTCCGCTTATGCATAGGTAATCTCAAGAGATCTGGAATATCCGTCCATGATCCTCTTCTTCCTCCTCTCATTACAGCCAACGGCGTCCTCTGTGGTTCATCTTAGGGTTTCCTCCGGTAGAGAGCTCATATCTCATGTCTACGGCTTAGTCATTTTCTCCTCGTCCACCTTTTTCTTGAACCCTTCCACTTTTTAAACTCCGTTGTTTGCACCGTTTTGAGTTTGGGCTATCTACCTGTTCATTGGCAGAATTATAGCTAAGAACCTTTTCCCTTTACTGAGAATTCGTTCACGCCTTCTTCTCGGCGTTGTTGCGTTGAGCGGCAGCTTGCGCATCGACCTTCTCAGAGTCGTGGCGGACGCTGGCTTCGCTAGAATCCGGGGTAAGATACTCGCCGAAAGTGCGCTGCTCAAGATCCATGTCCTTCCACTCAACGCCCTGGTTCTTGCGGGCTTGTCGGCGGAAGTACACGCGCTTGGCGAACTTCCAGGCCTCGATACCACCGAAGAAGAGACCGGCGGCGATGAAGACGATGGCCCACTCCCAGGTGATGCCCTTGTGCTTGAACACGGTGTCGCTGATGACGGGGATGTACTGGATGGGGAAGAGGGTGACGAAGCCGAGCATGATGGCCCAGAAGAGGAACTGGTTGCGCCAGACATCGTGCATCCACTGGGTGAAGTAGAGCTTGGAGCCGGGCTGCATGCGGAAGAAAGATCGGCGCTTGTCAATCATCTCCCAGGCGAGGAAGAGGGAGAACCAGGTGAGACAAGCAAAGGTGGTAGCACGGGCCTTGAAGACGGTCTCACAGCTTTCGCTGTAGTTATCGTTACAGTCCTCACCGAGCTCACCGTTACCGAAAGCATACAGACGAAGGACGAAGGCGCTAAGGCAGAGAGCAGCGATCCAGAGACCGTAGACACACATATCGATGATGAACTCGAGGGAGAAGACACCAGTCTTGAGAGAAATCGGGGGTCGGCGAAGAATACCAGCGACAGCACGCTCGAAACCGAGACCCATGTCGGGAAGACCAGATGTCATCATGATGATCCACATGATCTGGACGGGAGCGATAGGGAAGACGGAGAGACCTGTCTTGTCCTTGAAGACGAGACCGACAAGAAGGACGACGGCTTGAGCGACGTTGGTGGCGAGCACGTGGAGGATGAACTTCTGGATGTTGTCGAAGATACGGCGACCTTCCTCGATGGCGGCGACGATGGAGGCGAAGTTGTCGTCGCTGAGAACGATGTCGGATGCATCCTTTGCGACGTCGGAACCGGCTTGACCCATGGCAATACCAACATCGGCACGGCGGAGAGAGGGGGAGTCGTTAACACCATCACCAGTCTGTTGAAGTTAGTATACGTCGTTGCGAGAACATGGAGGTGTGGGGACATACCATAGCGCAGAATTTGTCTCGGCGGTGCAGAGCTTCAATCATGCGGACCTTGGTCTGAGGAGCACATCGAGCAATAACAAGAGGTAGGAAAGGAAGTTGATCGACTTCATCATCGGTAAGACCATCGAAGGTAGTAGCAGTCATGACCATAGTGGCAGCAGTGTCCTCGGCAACGAGATCCATACGGGTAGGCAGGATACCGACCTCAATGGCAATAGCCTTAGCGGTCTCGGGGTGGTCACCAGTAAGCATGTGCACGGAAATACCAGCCTCGTGGCACTCTCGGACAGCGGGAGCAGACTCGGGACGGGGAGGATCATAAAGACCAACGAGACCGCGGAAGACAAGATCACACTCAACAGTGGTGCGGTCAATCTCATCGCCCTTCTTCATGTCGACGTTGTAGGGCTTGGAAGCGAGAGCGAGAACACGAAGACCCATGCCAGCGAAAGATTCCATGTTACGGAGGATCTGCTCACGGAACTCATCGGTGATGGGGACTTGCTCCTCATTATCCTCAGGGCAGTATGTAGCGCAGGCACCAATGACACGCTCGACAGCACCCTTTGTGTAAGCGAAGAGTTGGCTGGTTCGGTTGTCCTTCATGATGACGGACATGCGCTTGACATCAGAGTCGAAAGGAAGCTCGGCGATCTCACTGTACTGGTTGACAGAGTCGTGGCTAGTAAGACGAAGACGGTTCCAGTCGAAACGAGAGGCGAGGACCTGAATGGCGATCTCGGTAGGGTCACCACGGGCGTGCCATTCACCGTTCTTCTCGTTGACGGTAGCAAGGTTGGCGAGAGATGCGACTTCGAGGAACTTGACAAGAGCAGACTTGCTCGAGTTGAGGAGCTCGCTGATGGGAGAAACGGCACCGCAGTCATCACCGCCCTGCTTAAGAGGAAGCTCATGAGGCTGGCTGCGAGACCAGCGGATATCACCAACGGTAGGGTTAACTGGCTCAGTGGTGTTCTCGATGAGATATGTTCCCTTTCCAGGAGTCCAGGCTCCACGGGCAACCATCTTACCTTGGGTGAGAGTACCAGTCTTGTCAGAGCAAATATCGGTAACAGCACCAAGAGCCTCAAGAGACTTGAGGTTACGAACAATAACGTTTCGCTCAACCATGCGCTTAGTACCAGCGGCCATGGTGATAGTCAAGACGACGACCAAACTAGCGGGAATCATGGACAGACCAGTAGCGACGGCGTAGATAATAACCTGTTGGGAGGCATCGAAGTCGTTGGCAGCAAGGACGATGATAGCGCAGATGACAGCAGTACCGAAGAGGTAGATTGCCAGACGGGAGAGCTTCTTCTGGAGAGGTGTGCCGACGTTGACACCGAGGAAACGACCAACAGCGTCGGTGAGGGTGAGGGTGTAGGCTTCGAGATATCGGTGAGGCTTGGCGGAACCATCGGCCTTGCGCTTCACGGGACGGACCTTGCTGTCCTTCTTTCGGAGGGCAGCAGCGATAGCACCGATTTCGGTGCTGACGCCGGTAGCGAAGACGATACCCTTGGCACGACCCTTTGTGACGGTGGAAGAGCTGTAGGCGACGTTGATACGGTCGCCGGGTCCGGTGTTGTCTTCGAAGACTTCATCCTCGTTCTTTCGAACGGGGAGAGACTCACCAGTCAACATGGCCTCATCAGTCTCGAAGTTAACAGCCTCAATCAGTCTGTACTAATTAGCCAGTGTCCTTATTAAGCTGAAAGGGAACAGGGCTACTCACCGAATATCAGCAGGGATCGTATCTCCGGTCTTGATTTCCACAAGATCACCGGGAACGACCTCAACAGAGGGAACCACCTTGGAGTCTCCATCGCGCACAACACTAGCAGTGGGAGAAGACATGGACCGCAGAGAGTCCATAGTCTTCTCGGCAGAGTACTCCTGGAAGAAACCAACGGTGACGTTGAGACCAATGATGAAGGCGACGACACCACCCTCAATCCATGACTTGATACCGAAAGAAACAGCCATTGCAAGAATAAGCACCTTGGCAGACGTCAGTAATCATCAACATAGCGTGGGCAGGGATGTTCATGTGGTGTGTGAAGGTGGGTTAGGGAAAAAACGACGGGCTGCCTAATCAGGTAATATGCAGTCGAGAGGCGAAAAAAATAGTTCAGCCATCGAGATATGCTTAAACCATAAACTTTGAGAGTGTGTGGGGGCTTGGGGCTGTTTTTAGGAGGGGGAACTGGACTCACCAGTGTCATTGCGTTAGCGACCTGAGCGATGATGATCTTGAGGGGCTGAACGCCATCAGCTTCGCCGAGATCGTTGTTGCCAAACTTCTCATGTCGTTGTTTGGCCTCGGCCTCGGTGAGACCGCTGAGAGTATCAGTCTTGAGCTCCTCGACAACCTGGTTGAAAGTCAAGGCGTGAGCAGGACGGCTCATGGGCTCGTTGCTCTGGCCAGAGACATGGTTGTCGACGGAGTCGTCCTTCTTAGCCATGGTGTAAGTCGAAGCTAGCGGGTCGCCAGCTTGAATAATTGCTTGTTGTTATATGTCTCGACTCGATGGTGACTTAAAATGTATACATGAGTGAAAGACCCTTAAGCCTATGTCTGGGGATTCCTGTAAGATGATTTGCAGGAAGCCTTTCGTCTGGCGTCGGAGGGTGTTGGAGATCTAAGTGAAGAGATCCTTGGGGAGAAGGGAAAGAGGAATAGGAACACCATCGTGCGGGGAGATGGGGAAGTCTTATAGACGTTTGTCCATCTCGACGACAGAGCCAGAGCCAGAGCAGTCAATGCTTATCTCGCCAGAGTCTTGGCTCAAGTCACTATCTGGGTTGAGAGTTGATTTCACTTCTCCAGCGGACCCCACATCGCCAAGAGCATTACCCAATTTTTCCTTCTCTGCGTTACTGTTTCTCTATTCCAAAGGCGGGGAGGGATTGGGATTGGGCATTTTGAACAAGTCTTGGCGATGATACGAAACCTTGGTTTGTTGTTGTGTTGTGTTGAGAGTAGTAGGAGACTCTTGGAGTATACGCCCCCCAGACCGGCCTTGTCCGAGTCCACTCCGCCCCGGGGGTCCACTGCTGAGGTTCTCTGGGGTTGATTGGTGAGACGCGCACACGGCGCCGTTCTGTACGGTGGTTCAGAGGCTGTTCGCCTTCGGCACGTCATTTGGAGACTTTGCAGCACTGCTACCAAGCATCCTGTGACGCGGCGTGGCGGGCTCGGCATCAATTGGCCTTCCTGAGTGGGCGACCTGAGGCTTGGTATTCTTGGGAGACAAGGGTTAAAAAGAACCATACCAGAGCCATTGCACCTTGACTAATACTAGGTTCAGAATAAACCCGAATTCGAATTGCCTTGGAAGAGGGGACCAAATAGCGGTAATGGCAGAACAGGATATCGTCAGTGCTGTCTGGGGTTGCAAGTCAGAGCCTTGTTTGAAGCCTTGCTCCGTGTCACCTGGTGAGGCTCTTGTGAGGCTTTCAGGGACCTTTCCAGTGCCGTCACCGATGGTGGATACGCTCTGCAACCGAGTTCAGTTCACTGCATCTTCAGTGCATATGGCCCCTAGAACCGACGTTAGACGATTGCGCTCTCAGAACCTAAGTATACCCCCCTCCCCCTCTTTTTTTTTCCGCCCATGACACACACCATTGATTCAACTCTGTAATGTGGTCTGCTTCGGTGGTATTTTCTTCTCGACGAGGAAGGATCAGTATTGGCATTTTCTGGGCATACATAATTTCTGCTCGCCAAGTCGTCACGTCATTGGGTCGTGGGCAATCATCACCGTCAACTTGGACTCCGTTTTGTCGCTTTGTTCTTCTGGCCTGTTTTTTTAATCTGCACGTTGGGTGATGTCGTAGTTGTAATATTTGCCTCTGAAATGACTTGACTTGATTGATGCCTACGAGATATGACAATCTCACTCTGCGACAGAAAAGAAACGGGGCCGGGTATGAGCCGATTGTTGTTCTTTCAGCTCGCATTGTTACGGCCCGGATTTACATCCAAAACATCACGGAGGTCCGAGACTGCACGGCACGGAGTTGTTAATCCACTTGCTGAAGCTGCCCGTTGTTACTGGTCAGTCTCGTGACTTGGAACCGTGGAGATCTTGGGGTTCAAGATCAGATCTTGAGATATGTCTGGCTGGCTGCTCAACGCGTTACGCAACTTTGCTTAGCTTATCCCCTTTCAGAAAACTCCCTCGCAAATCTTCGCCAAGGATGAGGTGCAGGCACTGCCACCCTTGGCAAAGGACTTGATGGTGTTAGTCACAGACTCTTATCTTTGCCCAGAGTCTGGAGGACGCCTTAGCTAGCTCAAGTACCTTGATGCTTAGCGTTTCCAGATAAACAGGGGTTGGAGGTGCGTAGTGCTAGTGCACTAACGGCACCGACATCGTCTTGGTGACATTTGCCACTGCGCTTATCTCTCAGCTGTCAAGACAGTATTTGTCCCTTGACCAGCTTCCACTGCTTCTAGAAGCCATCCCGGCATGTGAGTACATGGTACGTAATCAGTCCTCCACCAGATCAACCAGGATTCTCCTCCAACGTGACAATAAGCTTAAATCATCGGCATCTTATTGAACCCAGGTCCACTAATCTTGGTACACAGTCTCCTTCAGAAATCTCTGCGCTATTCCTTTTAGCCTCATTCCAACAGCGCGTCGAGCGACGAATAAGATCTTGTAGAGTCTGCGCGTTGCATTGCGATTACATACAATTTCTCGAACGGATACAATGCCAATTCTCTGCGACTCACGCGCATATATACACTAGCCTCCCTTGTCTCCGTTTAGTTACTAATGGATCCATCCAAGTAGAGCCGTAAAATAGACGGTAAAGAACACAGCCGTCGATCACTGCCTCTCGCAGGCCAAAAGAGACGCCGGACGCGGAGACGCTGACGCCTGACTATGGTGAACTACCAAGGCGGGAACGAGAGAAGCGCCGTATGCCGCAGCAAGACGGGGAATTAGGATTCCCTCGATCCACTCTAGACGACACTTTGTCCTCACAGAAACGGGGCGCTTATGCCTAGCACAGCCATGCGCGTCTCTAACAGGCCACTGCGAGGCTCCCACGGGAAGAAAAATAAACGGGGTCACTCACTCTTCTCCTGCCATTGGATCCGTTGCCTCCGGATGTTGTCTCGGGGCGGACACAGCGGGGTCTCAACCTCCCCACGGAGGTGCCCCGGTCTCCAGATGGAAGCCTCTCTGTGGCGGAGATGTTGTCTTCTTCTTTTCTCCTGAGGGGGGATTTAGCCCGGATGTGTCGGTCTCGCAACACTTCGCTGCGGATGCGAGACAATGCGTGGGGGGTTTGCTTTGCTGAGGAATCGCAGCACCATTGAGTTCCGTCATGGGGAGCAATATACCCGGACTTGTCTATCTCCGTTCGGAAGGGAAAAGTAATTCTGCTGCAGGTCCCAGGACGTGCAGCTTTTAACTTGCTCGCCAACCATTGAGTGGCTTGTATAGTTGCCGTTATTGCCGTACAACAACAGAGTGCAGCTGTTATAAGCCATGATCTATTAATGGGATCATCTTGGGCAGCCATGAACGGACTTCGGCATAAGATTGTGATGCTCGGTGTTCTTTGTCGCGGGAACGGCGGCCAAAGTGCCCAAAAACCTGAGGACCCGGCGCCGGAGGTCTTTGAGCAGGAATTGGCAGGGTCTTTAGGCACGGACATGAACATCGGCCGGGGAGTTTGTGAATGCCTTGATACTCGGCAGATGGATACGCTTGGGCTTCGGCGATCATCTCAACAAATATCGGAGCACCATTCTGACATTGCGGCTCATCCTCAGAAGCAGTAAGCCGAGCCTCTTTTGACGCGAGCCATTCAGAACCGCCTCTTCGACAACCTTCTCTTTGAAACAATAAGATTCATTGTTATCAGCCGCAGGGACTTGGGTCTCACTGTGTCTACCAAGAACTTGGCGATATGGAACTTGGCCGAAAAGCTCTCAAATCCACCGGGTGAAATGCCATCGTACCATAATTCGAAGGACTTTGTCTTGGCTTTCAAGAGCCCTGGCATAAGCGCCAGATTTCCCCAGGCTTCCATGATGGCTTGCAAAAACTCTGGGGTGAACCATTCAAGCCATGAGGGCTTCAGTTATGTTGACGCAGCCAAGCTTTCAGGCAATGGATGTGGTCTAGGCCTCTAAAATTGAAGGCCTCAAGATGTGCGGCGCTCTCGAGCCTCTTTTTTTTTTTTATTCTCCATGGACGATCCTTGTGGGGGTTGCAGATAGTCTTTGGTGACGAAAACTGAGCGGATACGAACTGAGATATTGGTCGGGCCTTTTCGGTTGTTTATCTCGCTGGTGCTGCAGGTTGAGATTTAGATCTATCTGTTACATGTAGGCAGATCTATACTATCTACCGTATAATGTCTTTATTCGTTACGCGTATCATGGCGAGTTACAGAGTCGAGGCAGACGTTTAAGAAACAGCTACAGGGTACGAAAGGTTCAAGGGTTTCCACCCACCATCTTGAACCTGAGATGGATGTTTGAAGCCAAGTCAATACAAGGCGCCAAGTTGATCACCAAAAAGCTTCTCAACACGTGTAGCCACGATACAAGATGTACTCACAACCATCCACGATTCCTCTGTGACAATATTTCGCTGCAAGAGGATCAAAACGTGCATGCTGCAGGAAGAACAAAAAGGAAAGGGAACACAAGAACAAACGGCAGCGGAAAAACGGACACACGCCCCCCTTCAGTAAATGGAGCGGAACGGTCAGCGGCCCCACAAGCGTCTCATTGCCAAGACGAGCGGTGTTTGGGTCAGGCAGGGTTATCGTGGGGCGGCGGAGTGGGGAGTGGGCTTGAGCGGAGCCACTCGTAGCGAAGAGGTTGACAGAGGAGGACACGTGCCCTCCGCTGAAGGACCCCGGAGCGGAGGGCGTTGCATCAGGAGAATTTTGAACAAGTCTGGTCTGGGGGAAGAGGTTGGGACAATTTCAGTTCAAGAGGACATGTCACTCCTGCTTCATTCCATTACTTAACTCCCCGCGTCGTGCTTCTCGCCAAGTCTATCGAGGAGTGAAGAAGCATTTGACAAGAGCCTTGGCTTGAGACAGGTCGTAATACGACAGCCATCCGCGGACCAAGTAGTCGGTTATAACGCAGACAAAAAGCAAAGACCAAGCCGACTGTCCGGTTCAAGCCGAAGAAAGTGAGCAGATACTCGAGTCTCGATTGCAATATCTGTTCATTGTGAAGAGGCGAGATTATTTTGGACTTTGGGTGAGCTTGGCGACGGCACGACGTCTCAGTCTTACAGCCCGTAACTAAATGTCCAAAGACTCAGTAAAGCACTCAGTCAGAATCCTGCTAAGCGATCAATGATGACCTCGGATCACAGAATCATCGACCGGATAGAAGGGACATGCAGGTTTGCAACCAGGGCCTCAATAAACGCTCATTATGACAAGAAAGCCAAGAACGACAAGACATTTCTGTGGCACCCCTTATGCTTTGCTTGAGTCGATGAACATCGTTGGAGGCGAAAACGCCCAGGCCGCCAAGAGAAGGCAATCAGACTCAACTAAACGACCCAAACGAGAGACCCAAGGTTCAATATTTTTGTTAATCCTTGCCCGAGGAAGTGTCAACGTGCAGGATTTCTCGTTCAGCCTGATCGACAGCCACCATCTTAACTCTGCTCGCCAATGGTCTTTCGAGAGAGATACAGAATAAACGCACGCGACCATATTCAGAAAAGAGAACATCTCTTGGATGCACGAGGGGGAGATAAAGGGCCCCTCCCCCGCCTGAGGGATCCCTTGGCGCTGAGAGACTCAACTTGACTCTGTCTCCCCAACCGTCGAGTTAATGCATCCGGGAGGCGGTCCCGGTTGATTGTTACTATCACCTATCGTACAAGGGTGAGTGAGCTAATCTTGACAATTAGAAACTCTGTTTATTAGTTATCGCTGTTAAGTTGAAGTTGGGAAAGCTTGGCGTGAACTTCGCTTGACTAAGTGATGCATGGTTGAGAAAGTATGTAGGTTGATAACGTTAACGTCGTAATTAACACAGCTTAGAAACACTCTCCAAAAACCCAATTCGCCAATCCCCAACACCTTAAACAGTTCAGGTCTTCTTAGACCTTGGCCATATGATGAAGACAACACTTCCAATCCCCTCCAGGTCCTTGTCTAAAGACACTATGACACCAAGCCTCCGTCGCCTTCATCTCCCCATTCTGAAGCTTCCATGCAGTGACGCGGTAATTCAGCGCCGAGGCCATGAGGTCGATCTCTACGAACTCGGGCTCATCGTGAATCTTGTATGCCGTCCATGGCTCGTAGCCCTCCTCCATGTACTCGTCGAGAGAGGGCTCGGTGCGGGGTGAGTACACCTTTTGGTCTGGTTCGCAGAGGACGGCGTCCTTGGTGATGTATTTGCGCATGACTTCTGGCTTTTCGGATGTGAGGGCGCGCCAGAGAAGGGCTGAGGCGTCGAGGGTGCCTTCTTTGTTGCGGTACTTGATTGTTCCTTTCTTTGGTTCGCCCATTTTGATGGTTTGTAGTGGTGTTTTGGTGAGAGGTGGTAGTTTTGGTGAGAAATTATGTGAGTTGATTGAGATAAGATTCACAATTGATGAAGATGACGAGAGTGAGTGATATGAGGATTCCCCTCTTGAATTGACGTAGATATTGGGATTTCTTGAATCTGCATCTTCAAAACCTGGCATCGTCAGATCCCTGCTTATCCTGACGTCAGAGCCGCGCAAACTCTCAAAGCAGGATATTCCCGACATCCAATTGCAAGAAACTCTGCAATTCAACAACAGGTTATTCAATTATTTTTCACATGCTCTATTCTTGCTTTTTTGTCGTTTCTAGAAGACTGTCTCACTTCATGTCCATCATTGCTCTGCAATCTTGGCGTTGAGAACAGACACCACCACGTTTGTCCGCCATTCGATATCGTGATTTACGGTCTATTCTTGGACGGGAAGGTGTTTGCTTTAACAGACTTTAGTTGAACGATAGACTCTTTGCCAAGAAGACCTCAAAGGCTAGAGGAGAAAAGTGGATGTGACGTCAAACAAGGGGTCCAGACAAAACCCTGTGAGTTGTTGAATAATAGTTTCTTAGATTCATCATGTCGTGAGTCGTTATAACTTTCGTCAAAAACTAAATACAATAATTCCCAATGGTTCTTGTGGTAGCCAAGCAACCTGTACACTATTCAGACTAACCATGTCTTTTTTCCATCTACGCCAATTCTGTAGAAAAAAAAGAAAACAAATTGCGTCGTGCAAGATTTGTCTATAGACAAACGTAAGAAAACAATGTTCGTCGAGAACATACATTCAGTGAAATCTCTCCTTGATGTACACCATGGCTGCGAATCCAGCGCAGCACTTTGTGCTCATCTCATGCTTGCACCAAGGACACTTGACCGTCATGCTAACACTCCCCGCAAAATCTGTTGAGCCAGCGCTCAGCACACCATCAGGGTTAGACATGGCTTCGTAGAGTCTGCTTGGCATATCGTGGTAGCGCATGCAAGCGCAGCACTCTACAAACATTTTGGCGCTTGGTTCGCCATGGTTCTGATGCTCTAGGTTCGATTGCCGACGGAGCGTCTTGATTGTTGCTTCCGGGTCCGAGACGGTCGATCTATGGCCGCTCTGGACGGAGCGGAGACGTCCTTTGCTTCGGGGTTTGTGTTTGAGAGGTGGATAGGTTGGTGTTGAGGCGAAGCTTGTTTCGTCGGAGGAGACGGGTGTCCGTCGGGGTGTTGAGCTGCGGAGGTTGGCGTTTGAGAAGGCTTCCATTACTCTGTTGGCTGCTTCTTGGATGGGGTCGATTTCTGCGTCGGAGGCTGTGTTGTCAAAACGATCGATGGGCGCCATTTGGGGGGAGTTTGTGTAGGACCAGTAGGGACTGACGGGGCTGGCGTTTGCGTGCATTGAGGGCTTGATTGACGCGATATTGGGGGAGTGACCCATTTCGGATTGGGGAGGAGATGTGTGTGGTGTGCTCATTGGGGAAACAGACTGGATCGCATCGGAGTATGAAGACTCTGATGAGCTTGTTGTAGGGCGACGGCCAATTGGTGAGCGTGTGGTTCCTGGGGTGAGATGCTTCACTGGAGCGTGAACATGCTGCGTACGAATTGGAGCATCGTTGGCGGTATTCAAACCCTTCACCGGCAAATCCGTCTTTGGTGGCACAGGCGGTCCAACAGAAGATGCAGTACTCATCTTGGAAGAAGTACTCTCCTTACTCATCGTCGACGAAACCGAATTCTGCGCAGAATGGCCTCTGCTGAACGCACTCTTGGCAGCATCCTTAAGCTTCCATTTCGTGGGCACAGCGGGTTCTGAATCAGCAGTTATCGGTTTCGGTCGCACACCCGGCGAAGTCTGTTCATAACGGATGCTCGGGGGGTTATGTCTGAACAATTTCTCCTTCGACTTTGATGACTCTACCGGAGCGCTCTTGGCTTCATCGGAAGCTGGTTGCGAGTGGTTGAGTCGTGTGAGGAGTGTGAGAGATCCTCGCTTTGAGCTTCTTCGGGGTGGTGTTGGTGGGATTGAGAGTCCTGATGCTGTTGATGAGCGCCGGGGTTGGGGTTGTGTTGAAGTTGTTATTGGGGGGCGGGAGACGGTGATGGTATCTTGCTGAGGAGGTTTCTCGGTGTCTTTGGGCTTGGCGACTTGTTTCATGCTCTGATTTGAAGAGCGAGGTGTAATGCCTTGTTCGCCGTCTTTGATCGAGCCCTCATCTTTCTTGATGTAAAGGCCGCCACGTCTGTTCAGACCCTGGGCCTTGTTGTATAGGATTTCACTGTCGGGTGTATGCGCGGTGTTCTGATCGCCCTCATCGTCCGTGTCTGCAACTGCGCAATCATCACTAACGGAACCATGTCGAGCACGAGCGCTCCACAGGTAGATGTTGACTGATCCCCTTCGATGGGGCGATTTGGGCGATTTCATCGATTGACCTCTTGCTCCAGATGTGTTGATCGAGATAGGCGGGTATGCTCTCCGTTTAGCATCTTCCTCTTTCTGCTGGGGATTGATCTTGAGGGGTGTGAACGAGCCATGGCCGAGGAACGACTTTCGCATAGCTGGATGAACCTTGCTGTCACCCCTGGCCTGGTCCTCGAGGACCTTCTGGTGAAAATCCTCCTTCTTCTTCTCAAGCTTCTTCCCACCCAAGAAACCAGTAGCGCTGGTCTCATCGAATGAAGCTCGCTTGATCTCGAATGACTTGCGGAAGATGGAAGTGAGAGAACTGGAGCGGCTGCGTCTGGGCTCTTCAGGATCGTCGTTGTTTCTACCAATCGAAAATCTTAGTAAGCTCGACGAGCGAGATCGTCGCTTTTGTGTGGATTGAGGCGGCTCAGTTGTGCTGCGTCCCTGGTTTCCAAGAGATGGAGGTGGCGGTTGAGGTTTACTCAACTTTCGACCGCGAGGCTTGGGGGCATTCTTCCAAGCTTCTTCAAGGGCTTGGTTCATGGCTAACTCTTGTTCCTTCTCCTTCGCCTTTCGTTTCTCCTCCTCTTTTTGCTGGAGCTCCTTTCGCTTCTCTTCTTTCTTCTCCTTCTTCTGACGCTCGTATGCTTCCCAAGTGGGCGATTGACACACAGAGCGCTGCTCTTCCACATCGGGAGGAAACATGAAAGCTACGGTCTTGTGAGCGGGTTTGTCGTCTTTGAGCTTCTCTGATGAGGATGATTGAGAAAGATTCTTTCCAACGGGCTTTCGGGGGATCATGTTTGGTGACTCTGAGCGCTCAGGGGCTGAGAAGAGTGGAGGAGGAACAGCGGAGTAGTTTCGAACAGGTGTAGGACCTTTCTTATCCTTCGGCACCAGTTCAAAACGACGAGGAGGGTGGCCTGGGCTGGGTGGGACTGAGCCACTGCTATCAGTGCATGCCGGAGATGGAGGCACAGAGCCTTGATGTGTTCGCTGAAACTGTGCGAGTACGTCAGCCAAACCCTCCAGAATCTCGCCTGTTACTGTGCTTACATTGAGCTTCTTCTCCAGGTCCAGCATTTGCTGCAAGCTATTTGAGCGAGAGCGCCCTTGAGGCGCTTGAGCAGCGAGGAGCATTATGAAAGCCTTTCTGCTTTTTTTGTCGTTCTTTCTACACGCTCAAGAGAACCATTGACCTGAAATTGGCAGGGGAGCGCTGCAAGGTTCTGTAAGACAAGAAATATCGGGAGAAATTGCGCGTGAGTTGGGTTGGACAGGGTGGGGTGAGGATGATTGCTGCAGGTAAGCGCAATAATAAATCTGAGGACAGTTTCTCTCTTCTTTCGCGCGGGTGTTTGCGTTTGTGCAAATTTGACCGAATGCGCCCAGAAATTGTTCTGTTGCCCGCGTTCGGAGCAAGATGTTATCGGGAGCTAAGGTCAAAAGCGGGTGATGATGTCTCGGTTGGTGTTTTATTGGTAAATTGCTTGGAATTTTCTCATTCCGATTCGTCTTTTCTCCTTCTCTTCCTTCTCAATAAATTGAGAAAACCTAACGAATGCGGGAGATTTTGAGTAAGAAATGCAACGGATGCGGTCGTGAGTCGTTGCAAAGGCGGTGGACAAAAGATGCGGGTATCTCGTGATGCGGTGGGATTGACTCAAGACGAGATGAGACGAGCTAGAAATCCCCCCGACTTTTTTCTTACTGTTGCACAAGCGGGAAATAAGGAGGGCGGGATGAGTGAGAGGAAATTGCTGTGTAATATGGTGACACAAGAGCGGAAGCGTTATCGGTGAGGTAGAGTAAGGTACAGGAGGATGCAACGTTGGTTGGGCTCAACAACATGTATCCATTTACATGGATATGTAAGAAATAAATTAGAAGGGGAGAAACAGGGATAGATATGAAGACGGGCAAGGGAGGTTAAGTGTTGGAGGAAGAGTCAGTGGAAATAGAAAATTCCAGACAATTCCGCTCCCCGTGTTGAGGTTTGGGTTTGTATTTGGACTGGCCCGGCCAAGCAGTGTCAGGCAATCAATCAATCAAGCTTAGAATCAAGCCAGCAAAAGATGCCGATATACCAGCTGCAGGTTGCCAGTTCTTTTCCTGGGCTTACAGTAGTTTTGACTAGCTGCAGACGGCCAGTCCCAAACCAGCTGAGTAGCGGGACGGTCTGGGCCAAGGATCATGATATCTTCCTAGCGAAATGGATCAGGCCTGTTTGTGTGCGTGATTGTCATTGTGGGATGGCGGCATCGATTTCTGGAGTATCAACATGACATGGTCCATTGAGAGCTTGACTGGGGTAAATCACTGCAAGACAACCCAACAATGTCTCCATTCATCATAATTCTCAATTGTTACTGGTTATTCTGTTTCTACTGTCCCTCAATAACACCATTGATGCTTCCCAATTCCTCCCCTCACTCTTCCATCTCTTCAGCTAGACTCAAACCCTCAGCTGCAAGATGCTCGTAAGAATCAAGCAGTGGGCTTGGAATACGAACTGATGAGGTGGGCACTAAAGACGTGCGTGGCTGAAGTGTCATGGCCCGAATCGCGGGGCCATTGGTTCGGCACCTGCGGGAGTGATCCACGATGGCCCTACAGAGCGAATCCTTTTTTAGAGTGACAGGGGACACCAAAAATAGTACTTCAATGGAACCATCCCGCAATATAAGGCAATTACACGAATAGAAACACGGTTAACTTTTTGAGCTCATGTCTCAGTATGGAAGGATACGAACTCATCGACTGAGGCAATTGACGTTCTGGGGTTTAGCCGTTCTGCATGGAAGCTCGTTTAGGTCTTTTCTACCTGCTTTTCGGGTAGAAGCGTGCGGTTAGAGCTGGGAGGAGGGGCTGGCCGGTAACATGAACCGCTTATGCGCGATGGAGGCTGGATGATAACGATAAAACTCAGTATCAAGTGCAGTGTGCTGTAGCACAACGTGGCAGGCCTGTTTTCTGCATTTATTCCCCTGATCCTTTAAGCCAAATCGTGTATCCCAGCCTTCTGCCCATTAAATGGGTGGCAGCGGGAAGCAATCAGAAGGCTCATGGCATGATCCAACCACCCCGCTATCATAGATAGCTAAAGTATCGTGGAGGCTAACCAACAGACTTTAGCTGCGCGATGATGTGATCTACCAACCAGTGTCTTGACAGTCTTGTTTCTCATCACCTATGGGTAGAGTTTCTGCGTAATTGATCTGGGACGGTTGGGCCCATGCATCTGTGGCTGGAAGGTTAGACGGTGGAACGGATATAGCCCAACGATGAGCTTGACCTGATACGATTGAGGCAACGTGGAACAACAGTCTCAGAGACTGTATTCTAACTCATAGCTGACATACATAGTAAGATTATTAAGTTCAACCAACCACCAACGTCACATAGTGGTTGAGTCAATTGCCAACCTCAGACAGTACAGTTCGGTATCGATCAGCTCCCCGACACGATCCATCTAAAACATTGACAAGGTCTCAGTTCCTTTCTGGAAAGATTTCCGTCAAGTTCAGGTCTCAGTGGCCATGGCCTCATGTCCCTCTCGTATTCTCGCATCGCATGCCCGCGGCTGGACCCTGCAAGAATCTGGGGCTCTGTGTAAATATAGCAAAAACATCCACTCTTGTGCTTTTTGTCGACGGCCAACGCGATGCAAGACATTATGGATATACCATGGTTGAAGCGCCCAAATTAGATATGTAAGTCAACGATATCCTTGATTGAGATTTTAATAGATGCCTGCATTGGCTTTGGTAATGAGGACAAGATGGTGGGGTCAATCTGGTGGATGGAGCGATTTTAACGGGAGGCTTACCCTATGGTGATGTCGAGAGACGAGAATAATCAATTGTTGCACCATTCTGACGCGCATTGGAGTACTTCAAAAGCTCATGTCTAGATTCAGGCTTTCCTTTATTTTGGTTGCGTACGGTCTCGGAATCGGAAGAGTATATAACCGGATATCGGTACGAAACATGAATGAACTTTCAGACAACTCACTTCTAAGTAGGCTTTCTCACGAAAGATGTGGCATTTCTCGCACACCTATTGTAGATATACTTCAACAAAGCCCAGGTATCTACTACATAGTAAATAACTTCGATATTCAATACACACGACATGAATACTGCAGCCAAGAAGCAGATGTAAGCCCTTATCAAGCCCAAAGTTCATTGACCAGCAGGATGGCCACGAATACGATGCCGAGCCACACAACATCTTGTACCTGCGTGCCCGAAAGAACGATGTAACCTTTACACAATTCCTAACTGCTGTGCTATTTCATGAAACAACAATATCCGATATTATAATGGGAAGCCTCTCACTTCAGTTGAATTGGCACTTTCACTGCATCATCAAGAGCTGCTTGAACTGAAGCTCTCTAATGAGCAATGACGTCACACGACGAACTCCCAACCTCGACAGGGACACTGAAATCACGAGAAATCACCACTGCGTGATCACCGAGATCAGCTGAAAGTCATCAGAAGTAAGCAGTAAAATCCCAGACACTTGCATGGTGATTGTAGGTCTCCCGCCCACCTGCGGACGATTCTTTCCAAGCTCATTACATAAGCAACTTGATCCGCCACTCGGACCCAGTTCTTCCGAGAGGGCATCTTATCCCCGCTCACGTGAGGGCAACGCCTTCCGCCCACACACTTGCCAAATTGACCCAAAAATCTTACCGCGCTTTCAGCCAGCCGTTCGACTCTACCATCCACATCACCACCAAGCACATCATTCATCATGGGTAAAGTTCACGGATCTCTTGCCCGTGCCGGTACGTTGCGCCCGCCCTCACGACATTCCTCTCTTTCGTTGTCGCTAACATTCTCGCAGGCAAGGTCAAGTCTCAGACTCCCAAGGTACGACGACGCTCCGACATCGAAAATCCGACGAAACTCGATCACTAACCATCACGATCCAATAGGTTGAGAAGCAGGAGAAGACCAAGACCCCCAAGGGTCGTGCTCTCAAGCGCCTCAAGTACACCCGACGATTTGTCAACGTTACCCTCACTGGTGGCAAGAGAAAGGTGAGCAGACTCGAACGTGACAGAGAAGGAAGATGACAGGCGCTGACGACTCGGATACAGATGAACCCCAACCCCGGCTCGTAAACGACTGGTTAAATCGACAGGAATTGCGGTATCGGGAAAGTTGGCTTACGGACACGGTTCAACACAACAATGGTTGGCTTCACTCAGTAATGGGATGATGTGATGGATTGGGTCAGGGTCGCAAGATAGGCTGAGCCCCCTTACGAAAAAATAAAAAGGAAATGGCGAAGAAGCACTACGACTCTACTCGGCGTCCGGTGTCAGTTGTCACAATACAACAAACATTTGTTCGCGCAAGACATTTCTGCTGCAACTGTGACTGTGGGTATTTTCTGGTAAAAGGGCGACTGGGCCAAACAGGCGACTCTGGAACGCATCGTAGACGCTGCAAATTCTTTGGGGTTCTCGGCGAGTGACTCATGCTGATGGATGACATCCTTGACTTATGCATGCCTGAGGATCGATGTCAAATCCGACGGAAATGCCAAACAACAAGATTCCACGTATAACAGCTCAAATTCAGCACAACATGTCCAAAAACTGCAGATAGCTCGAGACCAAGATCTCCAATAGAATATTGATGATTCGAATATGAAATGCTTTCGGTCTCATTGTTTGCGTCACGTGATATCAATTCCACCTTGAACTATGCACTCTGGCAGGTAGCTGCCGTTACTCAAGCTAACAACACCACCCTCGCCATCCATACCGAATAACCCTCCCTTAAATCACAATCCGTCAAAATGGCCGACGTGGAAATGGACGTTGATGTTGAGGCGGGCTCTCCCCCTCCCCCCGCGCGAAACGAATCCGACATGCAAACACACACCAAAGCCACAGCCGTCCGCTCCATCGAAGGCTGGATCATCGTCGTAACAAACGTCCACGAAGAAGCAGACGAAGAAGCCCTACAAGATCTTTTCGGAGAGTACGGCGAGATAAAGAACATGCACCTGAATCTCGACCGAAGAAGCGGTTACGTGAAGGTAAGCGCAGCACGCGAAACATGGGCGGATTAGATTGGATCGCTGATACAGTGGTGTTTAGGGATACGCGCTGATTGAGTACACGACACTGGAGGAGGCTCGCGCTGCTATCGATGGTGCGCATAACCAGAAGTTGCTTGATCAGACGATCTCGGTGGACTTTGCCTTCGTGCGACCTCCGCCTGGCAAACCTGGGCGTGGACGAGGCGCTGGTGGACGGAACAGAGGGCGAAGCAGGAGTCGTAGCCCTGAGGGCAAGGATCGTGAGGAGCGCGATTGAACGGGACGAGTCAAAAACCATGGGATGGGCGAGAGTACTGGATGAGAAGACGCAGGGACTTGATACATGCGGAATCGCCGACGTGCATGGCCAGAGCACGTTGGCAGTATAATTTTGATACATGAGGTATGTCCATTTTGTCGTCTGTGCCGGGGATCCTGACCTAACACGCAAACAAGAACAGAATGAGAATAACACTGGGACACAACCCTTGGCATTGGACTTGTCAAGGATCCAATGGCGTCTTTGAACGAAAGCCAGCAGTTTATGAACCTATGCTCAATGTGACATGCAAATACAACTTCTCCAATGGGCGCTATGACTTGGTAGGGTTCGTTTGGACAGTTATCTGATGCGGGTTTAGGGACAGTTCACACTCGGGCGACAGAAGCTTCACAAATGCGCGACAATATCTTCTTAAAAATCTGCTCACGGTATGCCGATGCGCCTCGACCGGAAGTATAGTTGATACCATCTCGATTCTCTTCCATCGTCGAATTCCTTATGAACAGTCCTCTCATGTTATTCCTTCAGAACACCCAGGTAAACGACTCCTTCACATTGAACTTCGTCGATTGTCTACACGATTAGCGCACATCTCCAACTGCGTCGAAGAAACTTACCTGATATCCGTACTCGACGCTCCGATCAACACTTTGAAAGCGCCCTCCTCAGCAATCCATCCCGGAACAGTCTCGTCATAATACCCAACAGCGTATTTATCCAACCTGATGGTGATATGTCTCGTCTCTTCAGCTTCAAGGAATACCTTCTCAAACGCCACAAGCTCCTTCTCAGGTCTTGGCAATCGACTCTTTTCGTCGTGGACGTAGAGTTGCGCGATTTCTGCGCCGGCGCGGGTTCCGATGTTGGAGATGGCGAGGGTGATCTTGATCTCGCCATTAGGCGTAAGAGTCCTCGTTGAGACCTCGGGACGGCCATACTCGAAGGTTGTGTAGGAGAGGCCGTGGCCGAAGGGGAAGAGAGGCTCGATCTTGGCGTGGTCGTAGTGTCGGTAGCCGATGTAGAGACCTTCGCCGTACAGCACTTTGTGGTTCTCGCCGGGCCAGGTGTGCCATGCTGGGGTATGCTCGATGCGCTTGGGGAACGTACTCTGTTTGGTGTCAGCGAAGGATTGCACAGGGCAGGTCAGATCACTTACGGGGAGCTTGCCACTTGGGTTCTCAATGCCGAAGAGGACATCTGCCAAGGCATTACCGGCTTCTTGTCCTTGGTACCAGCCCTGGAGAATGACAGGTACTCGATCGACCCACGGCATATGGACCGGGCTACCAGATTGATTAACGACAACAGTCTTGGGGTTAGCTTTGACAACGGCTTCGATGAGTCTGTCCTGGTTTCCATCGGCAGGAAGATCCATTGTTTGGCGATCATACCCCTCCGACTCCCACTCAGCATCGACTCCAACAATAACAACAGCGACGTCAGCATCACGAGCCGTCTGGACCGCCTGCTGGATATAATCCACCTGGTCTTGCTCCTTATATCCAATACGGCAACCACCGTATTTGTGGGTAATACCAAATTGCTTCTGCTTCGAAATGGGACGAAGTTCATTCGTCATCTCCACGCGGAGCTCAACAGCTTTGTCGGCTTCCATATCGACATCCACGAGGTAGTCAATCGAGCCGTCAAACATCGCCTCGCCTTCTTCGGTCCAGTCCCACAGATCGAGAACCAACTTACCATTGATGAAGAGCTTTCCGGGTCCAACGCTCATGAAACTGATGGTGTGTTTACCTGTTGTCCGGGGCATGAGATACGTCGTGGCCACGGCAGACCATTCGGGGCCGACTTCGCTCAAGGGCGCTGAGTCCCAGAGGAAGAGATCCGTGTTTGTTCGGCGCTGCTTCACTACTGGATTGCCCTCGAACTTATCACCCGCATACCAATCGATGTGAACACCTGGCTTGCCGGATTGTTCGGTGCAGTACTCAGATGCGACGGGGAGCCACTTGTGAATATGGCAGCCTTGAGCGAATGAGACTTTCTGCTTAGACACTTTGCGAATGCTGTCAAGCGGAATGGTGTTGTAATACGGGTTCAAACTGGCGCTACCTCCACCGCCTGCAATATGTCGATTGGCGTTCGGTCCAATAACAGCGACCTTGGTAGACTTGGGACAAAGCGGGAGGATGCCACCGTCATTCTTGAGAAGCGTGAGACCTTCGTGACCAGCAGTTCGGATGAGTTCCCTCGTCTCCTCACGGTCATCTTCCCGCTCAGGTGCCTCAGGCGACATGTCACCTCCCTTGAGTCGTTCTACCAACGTGAGTACATTCTCTGCTGCTTGGTCAATATCCTCAATCGAAATACGACCCTCGTTGACTGCTGTGACGAGCTTGTCCAGACGCCATTTTGAGGAGTAGGGGAATTCGATGTCGCAGCCTGCTTCTACGGATTCGATTGATGAGTTGATCCCTCCCCAGTCGGACACTACAGTTCTGCAACAAGTTAGATCTTCGGTCATGCTCTTGAGGTGGGTTGGTTACCCCTCATATCCCCATTCTCCACGGAGGATGTCTTTCAATGTGTGCTTGTTCATATCAGCGTGAACACCGTTGATGAGGTTGTACGAAGTCATGACAGCCCAGGGGTTAGCCTCTCGAATAGCAATCTCAAACGGTTTCAGGTAGATCTCCCGAAGAGGACGCTCAGTGATGAGCGAGTCTATCGTGAGTCTGTTAGTCTCTTGCTCATTTCCAACGAAATCTATCGCCATGTCAGCACACTCCCCCCAAATTATGTCATTGATGGTGTTTACGCTTGATAGTCGCTGCAACGCCTCTGTCTTGAAGACCCTTGATATACTGCGCTGCCAATTTTCCAGTGAGAAGGGGGTCTTCGGAGAAGGACTCAAAGTTACGACCGCCAAGAGGATGGCGGTGCATGCAGACTGTTGGGGCGAGAAGCATTTCTGCTGATCGAGCACGAACTTCAAGCGCTAGATGCTGTCCGACCTGGTAGAGAAGATCTTTGTTCCATGTTGCTGCCAGAGAGATACCACAGGGGAACAGTGCGGCCTGCATGTTCTGTTTCAGTCATGCTTGTGATGTCAAGGCAATATCACTGACCTTGGTGCCGCCAACAAAGATACCACCGCGTGCGCCATTGGGACCATCAGTTGTCTTGATCGAAGGGATGCCCTTCTCAGGAATAGCTTTTGTTCTCCAAAAGTCTGCGGCTGTGAGGAGTGAGACCTAGAAGGGTTAGTGTATGACCACTCAAAGAACCAGCAAGTCATGCCTTTTCCACCAGCGTCAGCCTTGTCAGTTTCTCCCGTGCTGCAGAGCGAGTATCTCTCAGATGCTGAATCTTCTGCTGTGGACTACATGGAGGAGAGTACTCCGTATCAGGAGTTGAAGGGGTGTTTGAGTCGTTCATTGTGCTATCACGAATGTCAAAGTCGTCCTGTATGATGTCGTCTTGCTACGCCGTGCTTCACGTGTGTATATACCAAGTTGAACAAAAGACAGCACAGGCAAGTTGAACCGAGGTACGAAAAGAAGAAGTGTGTATCAACGAAACCCAAAATGTGATAACAGCCCCCCTTATACCATCCCGTCCTGCAAGCAACGTACGCGAGCGGCACATAGGGGTCATCTGCAGCTAAGTAACATGAGGCGAACGGGATAAGCAAAAAGCACAATCGGTTGACTTAAGCTCGCGATCGCAGGGAACAAGGATTCAATGTGCATCCGTCGAGATAGGCATCCGCTCACTAATAAGCAGTAGCAGAGATGGCCCCGCAGCAGGGTTGACCTGTGTATTTAGACGGACCGGCTGAACAGGCCGGTGAAAGACCCCAATAGGGAACTTTGGTTTCAGAGATGAAGGGACGGGGGAGACTGGACGCCGGTATATACGGACCGTGAGAGCGGAAGACGACACCGGTGCTTCCGGGAGAAGAGAGATAAGAAAAGAAAACACGTGGTGCGATGTATAATATATTAGAAGTGAAGAAAGTTCACATGTTTTATGCAAAATGATATGATGTTGTGAATCGTCTTATCTTTATAATCTCAGCTGAGTGGACATTTCTCCTTACGATTCTCACGTATGATGATGGCTTAGAGAGAGTCCCGACAGCCTGGGACATAACACTTCTGGACGAATCGGGAAATACGGGTCTGCGGCCCGTTATTCCCAACGTCGGTCGGAGCGCACCGCCGGGGAACTCGGAAAGCCCGCTAAGTCTTCCGTTAAAAGTAGTTAAAGAAAAAAACTATGACTTTTATTAATACAAGGTTTGTGTAGTAATGGAAGCCAAGGGTGCTTTTTTCGTTGCAGTTGCCATATGTGGCAGTTTCGGCACTTGGGGAGGATATCGGGCCTTGGCTTAAAAGAGGATGATGATAGATTTAAGAGAGAATTCTGGCTGCTGAATGGGGTATTTGGATACAAGAGCCGGTAAAAGTGCCGATGCATGCGGAAGTAGATCATTGAGTTTAGATTATCATAGTGCGTAGTTTGTTTATTGACGTTGAAGTTATTGGAATGCTTGCGTGCCATATGAAGGTGAACTAACTTCTACTGTCAATAACACCAACTGCCTACATATCAGTGAACTGCCTTTCAGATGAAATGTTTCACTTATATGTTTACACTCATGTTTACGTCCAAATGAAGTAATGTTTCAGATATTCCGGCTCGTTTAATGGATCCCCATGCTCCGTGGTCCTCCGGCTAAGAGGGGCCGGCTCGGCGCCCAAGGCTATCGGAAGCATCCGCTTACACGCGCCGACATCCGCACATGTTGGACAACAATTGACACTCGCAAACTAAACCAATCTCACAACATCAAAGAATCCAATTCAGATCTCATATTTGGCCCATTGACTCTATATCCGCGCATATCACAGCATGCTTCGCTCAAGGTCAAACTCAGAATACTCCCTGCAAGACCTATCTAATCGTCCACCATCACAACATGCATCCCATCGCCCTTCTCAGACATCGGATGGAAACAACACAGATACAAGGCCCCGAAACAGCAACACCTCCGCGCGTGGAGATACTCCCGCTGCGCCGCAGAAGGAGGAGAAGAGGACAAGGCTGGGGAGGTTCTGGAAGGAGTATGTGAGCTGTGAGGTTGACTTTTCGGCGTCGAGGGATCATCTAGGTATGTGCACCGAAGAAACTGGCTTGAGATTGGAGGAAGATCTTTGACGGGCATGAGGAAAAGGGGTCTCGTGATGTGGGTTTGAAGATGGGAATGCATACAGGTGTGGTTCGGCTCGTGGGGTTGAGTGGCATGTGTTGTGTTTCCGATATGCACTGGCAGAAGGGATGGGATATAGTTGAGGGTGTTACATTACTGACGTGGGGTTATAGCCAACGAAAGAACGTTTCTGGGTTATCTTCGTACATCAGTCGCCATGTCAATGGTTGGAACGTTGGTTGCGCAACTGTTTTCACTGCAGCATGAGGGTCAGCACCAGGAATTTGGATACTTCGTCACGGGGAAACCTTTAGCGATGACTTGTTATTCCTTCTCGATTGGGACGATAATTCTCGGTGCTGTTCGGACTTGGAGACATCAACGGACTATGATGAGTGGGAAGGCATTGGTTGGAGGGTTTGAGCTTCACCTTTTGGGGGTATGCACCATGTTGGTATGTATCATTGAGGGATTGCGTGATGGGTGACTAACCTGTTTAGCTACTGCTGGTGTTCTTTTCTTTTCTTCTTACCATTGATGTTGTTAAGGACACGGAACCTAAGCCTACTGCAACTCCTTAATTGACGACGTCGTGCCCATCGACGCAGTGCAGGAGAAGCTCGAGAAAACAATGCAACATTCAGAAACTGCTTCCATTAGAGTCTAGGTAGACACAAGCAAGACTACAGGTAAGTCCTTCCCATCTCATCCTCATACACTCCCGCTCTTGGCTTCTCTCTTCTTGTGAGATCGCTTCTTGAGGTCCTTATGAATGCGAGCCCTGTCCTTACGCCTACATAGTGTCAGCCCAATACTAATGGAAGAATAGATAACGCATACCTGGATCGTTTGGCGGCATTTCGGTACTCAATAACTGCTTCTTTATAGTCCTCTGTGCTATCACTGGCTGTCTGCGAAGCTCCGGACAGAAGGAGGTCAGACACGGACTTTGAGTCAACGGATATTCTGCCTATGACTTCGATGTCTGGGTCCGTCGTTGTTGGTTGAAGGTCTGTAGTCTTGGGACCTTGGGTAGGCTGAAGCAAAGGAGTGCTTGGTACCTTTTGGTCGAGTGTTTGTGGGGTGTTGACGACATCCCAGCTTGAAGCTTCTGGTGACAGAGATATGTTCTCAGGCTCAGATGTCTGTCTATCTTGAGACAGGATTGCACCAAGCCTTATCAACCTAGCTTCGAGGCTTTCGCCGCACCTAAGATAGGCATCCATTGGTGCCACGACGGAAGGTGAAGATGGCAGGCTGGGTGTAGGAAGGGTACATCCATGTTCGGAACTGGGTTCATGGCGGTCTTCGATCTTTTGACTCTCAAGAGGAACGAGGGTATTCCTTGACGGATCGGGATTGTCCCTGTTCATGACCATTAGCTTCCGTCGACAAACAAGGCTGCCAACATACCGCTTATAAGCACTCTCCTCAAGGGAAATACTGCTGTCTCTCCTCGGAACATTGTTGACTCTATCAGTCGGCTCACAAGAGCCACCGACACCAGACAAGAGATGCATAGTTACTGATACAACAGAGTAAGAAAACCGTTTCCAGAGAACACATATCCTGGGGACCAGCTGACTAGTTATAGGGCTTCCAATAACAGCCAAGCACAAAGGCTCCTCCCGTTACCGACAGAGGGGAACCAGACCCGACCATCTGGGGCTCAAGTGCAGCCACATTTCGAACGGTCCCAACAGAATGGGACCCGTCTATGCACCGGAATCACATCCGCGACCGGGGAGACATGGCAGCCGAGCTAGAAGCGAACCCGCGAGGTTGGTTCACAGGGGGGCCTAACGCTACTGTAGGCGAGGAGAGGCTTGAAACTCCAATTCTTGGCTGATGATCTTACGAATTCATCTAATCTTGGACATTCTGGTATTTAATCCGAAATAACTGTATAATGCGAAGCGGTGAGACGGAGGAATTGACCTTGTTAAGCAGCTTCAATAGAAACGGTCTGCATCGTGAGAGAGAAATCGGGGGCCGAGTTCATGTATCACCTTCCTCGTACAGCCTGCAGAACCGACCTGTCGGTAAAAGGGGTTCTCTACCACCAGCCTGGTAGGGCGCAACCACACCAATTGAGAGATATGTGACGTTATTGGTTGGTGAAGGCTGTGCTGCGTGGTTGACAACACCGCTGTTTCAGCGTCACACGTGGAGAGAAAGTCTGTGTGCAAAAGGACCTTGAAATGACAATTTATGTTTGCTTTTTGGAAGTTGGAGTCATGTGTTGATGTGATGGCGTTATTCATGATTCATGTTAAGAGCAGCTGTGTGATTGACGTGCAGCTTGGTCTCTCTCGGTCTTGGCTTATACGGCTTGACGAGACATGATGATACAATTCACAATGAACGGACTCTTCACTCTTTTTCTTTGACAGTAAACTCATGCAACTGACATCAATTTACATTCCAACTCGTTCTCAACTGATAATCTCTCTTCTCCCCAGCTGTATCATCCCTGCTCCTCGGTTGGGGGCCTCAAAGTTAATCAACCATCCCCAGTTTCACAGCCCTCGACAGCTGAAAGGGCCCCTGACGTTCATTAACCTACGCCACAACCGAAGGTGTCTCTAACCCTTTGGACTTGCAGTACTCCTCAATGTTCATATAAGCCTTAGCAGTCTTCATAAGATGCTCACGCATGAACTCGACCTTTGGCAGGGGAGGAGCTTCTATTCTTGTATCATTCTGACATCTCTTGCTGAAGTTGTATTCATATACCTGCGAAAACGTTACATCACATGATGAAGAAGCTGGGGGAGAATTCGAACCGTACCGTGAATAAATATCTGAGCATCCTCAAATTAGTACCGAGGTTGCATTTTCCCGCTCCAGTGAGCGCGTCCGAACAAGCAAGCTCTGGGGAACGAAGACAATCCAATGCTTTATGGCATTTTGCAGCAACCTAACACCATACATATTATTATCCCCACTGTCATCTCTAGCAAAAGCGGTATTGTCACCTTGGGAAAATGCTCCATGAGGTCATAACAAGTATTCCTGTCCTGCGATTTTTAAGAATCGACTCCAAACCTGTGAAGGAGGCATTGCCTTACCATAGGATCCCTGTCCGCAAGAAATCTATTTGCTGCTTTCGCTGTAGCCTTTTGCACGCCCACTACGTGAAGGTTGAGCTGTTCGTCGAATTGAGCCTCTGGTCGTCGACTTTCTACCACGACTTTTTCACATGCTGCAGTGATGTTTCGTAGGGTGTCGAGCCATGCTTCCCTCGATATTATTTCTTCCTTTGTTGGCCGGACTACTTCCTTGGGAGGCCATAGATATTTTTTGTCGCATGCGATGGGTCCGATGAGGGCGAGGAGAGATAGAACATGGGCAAGCTTCATAGTGAGGTAGTGTGAGAATGCGTAGCTGGAGATGTAACTTCTACCTTTGGGACTGGCTGCATATTTATAGCAGGCAAGACTGGCTTCTGAGATTCACAATGGCGAGATAAAGTCACTTGGGAAGTGGTAAAACCAAGCCACAGAATATGCGGCTTTCTGTTGATTGATCACCCCTCTCATTGACGCATCTTACGCCTCAAAGAGTCCCGTGGAGGAAGCCGTCACCAAACCATGGGATAAAACACCGGATAGACTTCAGCCCTCGACCAAAAGCAACGCCACGGGCAACATCTCGAACGAAGTGATAGGTCTTGGAGGCTGACAAGCCAATCAAACAGTTGGACATCAAGAAACAGGCGAGACTTGAAGGAGTATTGGTCTGACTTTGACTGGATGCATCAAAAGCAAAGAACAAAGACAACAACACAGCGTTCACGCAAACTCAATCACAAACCATATAAGAATATAATCTCTTCGCTATTTGTAGCTAAACCCCCGATCAACGCCAACCGAAATGCCTTGAGCAAAGCAAACGCCAAATACCAACAACTGCAATCTGGTTTTATATATGCAAGAAAAAAACAACCGCTAGTATAACACTATCTCATAGCTCGTCCTGAAACACGTCAAGGTTAGGTAGCCGGAACGACCACCACCTACGACCAACCGGAAGACCGACCCAAACTCTGTAAAGACGCTGAACTTCCGACGTAAACACATGCCATCTGCTATTGTTAGTCTTTTTCGCACATAGTTTGGTGGGAGAGGGGTATAAACTTACAGTGCCTTGGGCGTGCGCACCCATCCCTTAAGGATGATCTTGATAGCAGCCTTGAATTGGGCGAGTTCGAATGCAATGTGAGCCATCGTGCTATCATCTTTAGGGCCCCTCTGTCGCAGCTCGATAAACTCCCTAACAGCGTCGTCCATCTGAGGGTTCTCCTCAGCCTCCTCCTCAAACTTCTTGTTGAACTTATCATTCTTGCTGAGATCCTCAAGACCCTCCTGCTCCTTCTCCGCGAGGACCTTCTCCTCCATCATCTGGCGGAATTGTCCAATGTTATGGAGAGAACTGCTGATACGAGCGTAGGTGTTGAAAAGAGCGACAAGCTCGGTGCGCTGGAGGTAAGGAACGTCGTCACTGTTGTTATCGAGCTCGAAAAGAATCTTCAGAGCGGTGCCGTAGCCAGCTGTTTGGAGCTTGCCCCAGAGACGGCACTTGTCACAGCCAACACAGTCCATAAGACGGCTGACATTGCGGAAACGGTTGCGGAAGTCCTCCTTCAGAGATGGGCCTTCACCGTTGACAAACATCAGACTCTCGTCGAATATTTGAGGAACACTGGCAGCTTTCTCGGTGACCTCAAGGACCTTAGCGCGAGTGGCAGCATCCTCAGAAGCATCTCCCATACAGAACTTGTAATCCTTCTTCTGGAGATAGGGGCCAACCTTGGCGATAGCGCGGGTCATGAGTGCATAGTTGAAGTAGACGTTTCCAATGCGCTCGGGGAATTTATGCAGACGGTGTTCGTAGCAGGACAGGTTAGGGCTCCACTCGCCAGTAGTCTGGTTCAGAAAGTTCCAGCAGAGATGAGTGCTGATACTGGCGTGCATACCGGACATCACACGGTAGAACACACGCTTCTCAAGACACTCATCGTCAACCTCGAAGCCAGTGTTTGCGACAAACGGAGTGTTGGGGTTCTCCTGACGGCGCTCCTCAAGCTGAGCTTGGCGACCCGCTGCATCAAGGATCTGCTTGAAATCTTGAGCAGCAGGACCGCGGTTCCATCCAGACTGGCCGAGATCGGCAGACTTGGGGAAGGAGCTCTTCTGGAAACAGTTCTCTCTGTAAATGGCGTCCCAGACCTGCTTGGCCCCATCGCCTGCATATCCAGTGAATCGTTCCGGGTTTCGAACCAAGCTCACATAATCGCCCTTTGAGCTAGCGCTCTCGTCCTCAGGAACACAGTAATCTCGCTCGTCGCACTCATCATCGTACTCGAAGACACAGCTCTCGCCCACATTCTCGCCAAGACTACCTCCAAGAGGTCGCTGAGGATGCTGGCGCTGTGCCTTCTTCCCAGGATGTTTAGCACGGGGACCCTCGAGTTTACCGAGTTCATGTGCACGCCAGATCTCCGGGATATCCTCCTCGTTGTCCAGCGTTTCGACCGCGCATCCAATGTTTCCGCACATGCCATTTTCGTCATTCCAGAATGGGCATTTCTTGTGAAAGAGGTTTACTCGGTAGTGCGAGAAGAAGTCGGTGTTGTGGGTGAGGTCGTCGACGGCGGGTTTGGTCAGAGTGTTGAGTTTATCGAGAGTCGCATACGAAGCGCAGGCATCGCCAACGATTGACTTGGGCGAGATCTAGAGACGTGTTAACGGTGACTTGTGTAGTGGCGTGGGTGGCGATAACATACATGGCATTCATCACTAGAGCTCTCGCAAGAACCAGGTGCAGCCCAGAGGGCAAACACAGAAAGATAGAATAGTCTGCTCGCAGACTTCATTGTCGCTGATGAGCTCAAGCGACGAGCCGGTGCGTAGATGTCAAGATCGTGTGTAAGGAAAGATAAAGTATGACAAAGACTTGATGCTACAATCGCCAACGAGTGAAAGGCGAATGAATAAAATAAAAGTGATGTAAAAAGAAGAAAGAAAAATGTCCCGTCTTCAAAGCCGTCGTTTTGTTGTAAAGAAGAAGCGACGTATGAAGTAAGTCAGCGGCGGGTAAAGTAGACTAAAGTGGGTTGACGGCTTCGGCGGGCAGCGATGGACACTTTTCCTAAAGTGGGATGGTGCGATTGAGTCGAACGGTACCTGTAATTCAATGGAATAAGAGACGTTGCAAAGATACTCCGAGTAAACTCAGACAGAGGGTGAATTCATGGGCTGAGAAGCAATTTGAAGTACTTGAGACGGAGTAGTTATAAATAACTTGCTCGTGTGCTACATGCGGACATATTGAAAGATGCCACGCTGGCTGTTGTAGGTACCAACCTGCATACAGAAATGCTCCGACTTCCGTCAGGCGAAGGAGTAGAATTGATCTAGAACTCTACCGAATTGTCTCTTCTAACAGAACCTCTTAAGTCTACAAACGCAGAGAGTTTTAATACCCTTCTGCATTTACTACTAACGAAGGAGGATTATCTTGACAAGAATTAAAACAGGATTAGCAACAGCAACAAAGACGCAATACCCTCTCTCACCCGGACAGCAATTGTATGCATAATCTTAGTCTTAGTGTAACGGTGTAAGTGAAATCTGTCCAAAACCACCAATTACCAAGCATGTCCGCGATCTGAGCTGATTTGAAAGCATCCTAGCGGATTTAGGAAAGCTTCGGACCAAAACATCAGACGATCTGCCGGGCGGTGGCTTCTGATCAGCTCACCTTACGGAGGATACGTGAGGATTATCGTATTCCAGTAAATATATCCGAATAGCATAATTAAAGACGCTGACTGAGTCCCTCAACATTCCCATCCAACCAAGACCCTCGTATGACAGACATCCTCCCTTATTTTCCCACTTGCTGTTTCACAATTGTGGCGCATTCACATCCAAGGCTCTGGAAATCAGCCATGATTCACGGATCAGCGACCGAAACGCCACACTTCAACAATGAGGCCATCCCCACGGACGTGCATATGTAAATCGATCATTTTGTTTACCTATTATTATGCGATGCTGTATCATCCATCTCCATGTACTTCTGCACCCAACCTCCATCACAAAGCCCATTTTTGCCCCATCATGCGCTTGTAGAAGGGGTATCACTGAGCAAATCCTTCCCCTCCTCCTCCGAAAAAAAAAAAGGTAGCCCCAAATCAGAGACATTCAACAAATAAAACATGTTTAGAAACCACCAACCACTTGTCGAAATGTCCAACCCAAACCCAAACACCGACGCGCGACGCGTTTCCGGATCGTTCCCAGATCCAACTCCGTATTATCACGTTCCCCCCATGTCTTGGTCGTTAGGGTATGGCGGATCCAATTCTCGACTCCCATCATCCGTAGCCCATCCACTCTGTCATGCAAATCCCCTCACTGCCCTGCTGCTCGGACAACAACTCAGTGTCCATGCGTCATACACAGACATCGAACCCAGGAGACTGGTAAATCGCCCCCCTTTACATCTCGACAGGGAATCGCGTATCATAGCATGGGTACAGCAAGGCCAAAGCCTGCTACCGAGCACTGAATGGGACGGGGACGTTGCGAACGTGTTGAACCAATTAAGTCTCTTTTTGCTTCTCTCTCTCTTTATATCTCAACGTGAACGTGCAGACCGTAAAATCGTGAGCCGACGTGGAAACCTCCGTCTTAGCTTGAGTATGGCACCGACAAGAGGGCGCTGTGCAGTAAATATGTATGGGACATTGGGGGAAATCTTGAGTCGTGCGTCTAGCCGATTACTGAGGGGGTTGGAAGTTGAGTGGTCGCCTAAATTCACGTTAGCCATCGGGAGGCATGGAAGGTTGATCCCAATATTGGGATTGCCAATGACAACATACTTAAACAGGAGGATGTGCGGTTCTGGCTCGTGGACCTCGTAGTGTTCCCATCCTAGACTCTTCATGATTGTTAGTCCTGATTGCTTCCAATCATGTCACCTCCGCCAACGATGGAGGCACACGTTGGCAAGGGCGTGAAGTCGTACCTGAGTAATTCCAAGAGCTCGCCATTCCTCCTCCCACAATAGCTTGAGGGTGCCCTTGGAGGTATCGTGGTAGTCTTTGGGAATAGCCTTGAGCATGGCTTTGGGGAGTTGAACATGACGGTATTCATATTCGCTGTCCGAGTATCGCGCAGAGTAGTGGATCGAGTCGATGAACTCTTCCACGCGAGCGCGCTCCGAGTCTGATAGAGGTCGGGGCGTCTTATTTCGGCGAGCGGTATCGATGTCGAAAGGCATTTTGGCGGTTGTTTTGTTGGTTGATGAGGGGGGAGAGAGCTCGAGGGTGCGGGGAGGGGCACAAGAGCTTCGGCCGATCGATTGAGTGCGGGTCAAAAAACAGAGATCCGCGATTTTCCCCAATGGTTTACGAGGCGAATACTGGGTCGCTGTGTTTGTTGAGCCTTGAACGAGACCGAGTGAATCTAGACCTCTGCGAAATGTTTTGAGAACGGATGTCACGCGAGATCGGCGGGAAGGTAGAATCTTGCAGCGCGAGGCTGGGTTTCTCGGAGGCGGTCAAAGATCTTCCGGGGTAGAAACTTGGATGGAGACGGGGGGAGGGTCCTCTTGTAGAAACCCGGTTTGGGGAGCCTTGGTCGCTTGAGAAAAACACAGAACGAAGCCGCGCTTTGGAGGCACGAAAAGTTTTGGTGAACGTGAAAAGAACCGTTGAAGAAAATCAGAATTGACTCTTTGACGAAGAGTCAATTGAGATGGTAGAGAATCAGTAAATCCTTGCGGGTAGAAGTGAAAGAGGAAGAAGGTGCAGATGGGAAGAAAAAGGGTGAAGAGGAGAGAAAATAAAGAAAGATTTTGGTGATGGTGTTGAGAGGGTGAACCTGAAATAGAAGGCAATGGATGGCATGGGATAGGATAGCACCAGCGGCGTTCACTTTCAGAGGCGGGAAGGAACCTTGCTTTGATTTGATTTGGTGGGTGCAGGTGGTACGCTTCAGTGGCATTCAGTGGTCAGTGTGTGGTGAAGAGGGGTGCATTGGCTTTGTGTGGCTTGAAGAAAGTAAACAAACCATTCACCTCCCAAGCAACACCAAATAAATCCCCTCCTTTTTTGCTTCCCTTCACGAATAAAGAACCCTCAAATTAGGCCTCAACTTGAAGCATGATACCTATTCAGGAAATCAGTGGCTTCTGTCTAATCATGTTGTTTTTCCTAGTCCAAGCATAGCCTCCACAATGTCTCTCAAGTTTCTTCCCTTCCCTTGAATCTTCTGTGTGTTTTCAAGTTGGAGATAATCAACCAGTCATGGCTTTTGTTTACATGAAACCTCGTGCTTTTACATCAAATCTACCCCTCCAATTCAAATGATCGACAACGTTTATTACTCAATCTCACTGACAAGGATTCTCTATCCAGGGGGCCTAGCTACGACCGTTGAACTTGGGGGTCATGAAAAACAAGCCCACGCGTTTCCGGGACTTTTCCATTGCCGTTGCCAGCCTCAATCACATCGAAGGGGTCCGTGCGTTAGCTGCTGCATATTGTGAAGCTATTCACATTTAGCAGTGATAACTACGACACGCTAATGCAGACAGCCAACGATAACAGTATAATAGTTTCAATTGGCATTTTTTCCTCTCCCTAACGAGCTGAAAACCCATTAAACTCCCGCACATGGCACCAACATATGTCTTATTCTCATCCCTCAAGTCCTCTGTTGTCCAGTGTGAAAGCTAGCACTCATATCAAACTGCAATAATGGCCTTATCTCACATTCCACCATGCTCAGTTAGTTGGTGTATCCTCTTCTCAGCTCGAGACCCTCCCTTGCTTTCCTATTCAAAAGCCGAATGTCACGTCATGTCAATATGCACGATGTCACATTGTGCTGCGACTTCTCCGGACATCCGGTGTCGTTTTGCGTCGCTTGCTTAGAATCCGCAGACACCCGATTCGCATCTCCCCTATCGTTGCTTTTTCTCGATAGGGCCAGTAAGACTTAATGTCTCGATTTGATACTCGGTAGCCTGGAGCAACCCGAAACTTCACGACCCCAATATTCTGGAATGATAACCGAGTTCAAGGCAACCCGAGACAATCCGTCCGTTCCACCCGGGCATGCGATTCGACAGCTTTGCATGACTCCGTTTGTTCTGACGTCGGTCTCTGTTGGTTCCCCCAATATAAATAACGTATGACTTTTGTAAACTACAATCGATGATGACATGGAACCAGCTATGTCATGACTTGAGAAAAGAAGAGCGCTTCGAAGATCCTCCGCCCCGGCCAGTCTCCTGCAGTGCAGTGTGATTCACGGTATTTCCAATCTTGACCTTGATTCCCGTAACACTAATCTCCCATTTCCGAATGTCATCAAACTTGGGTTGTCTGAACAATCGCAGTGTCTTGAAGGACATCTCATCCGCTGGCAGGTGAAATGTCCAGCCAATGGATATATGGAACGCACTTCCCACTGGCTCGTTGGCTTTTCCTTGGTACAGCGGTGGCTGTCCGTAGTGTGTTGCAATCGCATTGCTCTTCGTCAACAGTGAAGTAAGTTCTGGGTTCAAAGGCCTTACTCCATCCTTACTGTCTATAGAAGGCTTGGGGCCACTGGCGACACGAAGAATGAGAAACGTGCGATCAGAATCTGGTGATCTGTACCATGCAAGCCCTTGTATTCGAACAACAAAGGGAGCGATACCACTGTTGTCGAGTGTTTCTGTGATCCTGTCCAAGAACTCGTCCTTGTTCCCTGTAGTAAGCGATAGCGGCCGAGACAGACTAATGTGAAGGGGTAGAGGTGATCCCAGGTCGCTTGTCAAGAAGTTATGAAGCTTAATCTCACTTGACACTTCCTTCTCGATGTCAGCCATGAGGGTTGTCAACAAGCCATGATGTTTTGTTGAGGGATGCCCTGAAGCAAGTCAGCTATGCGTGGATTGAAGTTGAGGTAGCATCTAAACTCACATTCGGTGTAAACATGACTGGGCCAGTTACCAACTACATGAGGAACTTGGCGCTTCCGCCCATGGTGCAGACTCGGATCATCAACGACACTCTGTCGAACAGTAGAGGCATACAGATCATGAAAGGTGTCGGGCAAAGGTGGCATAGACGAAGCATCTGCAACTTTGGTCACGGCTCCGTCTCTTTGCCGGGATGAGTGAGCCGCGATGCCGTCAACTCCTTTGCGGCGCTTGACATGGTGGGAATCGGAACCGGAGCTCTCGTCGTCGGACTCTGAGGAGGAATAGTCGACGAGGGCCATTGATTCAAACCCGATAGTCCGTGTCGGAGGTTTATCTACGTCATACAGACGTAATCTTTTGATGTTGTCTTTTATCTCCAGATGAGAGCGGATAATCGCCCTTTCGTGGGTTGTCTAAATTGTGTTTGGTCTTTTCACGCGGCAATTATTCCCGGCGAGTGGGGCGAGATGAACGGGTGACGACGATGGGGTTTGATGGCATCGTTCACGTTAACTTCAGACCCGTTCAACGATGGTGACCCAATTTCCGTGATATTTGCTGGCGCAGGTATTCGTCTGCCGTGCCTGAGTCATTTTGATAATGATGCAACGGAAAGATCCGATGTCCGGGATGCCGGGTATCTACATTTACTGCTGATCCAAGTATCGACGTAGGGTAACAATGGGACGTCATGGCTGATAAGATGCGTCAGTTCCGGAGCCAAGCCAGCAGAGTTTCTTGGCCGAGATATCCAGACATCGGACGATCTGGTAAGGTGTCATTGAAAAGGTACAAACCTTGAGGCTAAAAATATGAAGCTGAGGGTGTAAAGCAGATGCCACTCTCTTGTCGTGGAACTGGTGAGGCCTGTTGAACTCACAAGGATCAATTCATTGTCTATATAAGCTCTGCGATAGGAATGTCAAAGCTTCGACCATTAATAATATTTCGGATGATACTTATGGATCTTTTATAAGGCACAACTCAATTGTAGATGTCGGCATTGAAGTGATCAATGCAAATGCTGCAAAGAGGTAGCGGTCTGTGATATCTTCCATTGTTGGACTGGGTTCGTCGTCTCCACCGGGCCTGATCGAGGTGGCCTAGGCGTTGAATTGGGGTCCGCCAGCTGTCATCCGTCACTTTAGCCTTTGAAACACCAACGGGAAGCCATTCCATTGGAGAGGGGAACATTAATCACCTGTCGGGCTAAAAAGTCCCTACAAGCAGTAGCGAGTTCGTTAGGCGAAGACCCTTTTAGACAAGGTTTGCCTGCAGTGACCAAGATGCTGGTTACGGTTTTTGATGCATCAGGTGACTGATCAAATGGCGAGGTTCCCTTGTAGTGACTGTCCGACAGCTGGCATTCCATCATTTCGACTTCTTCATGCTATACCTACGTCCACTCCACTACTAAGCCCTTTAGTCTATCTTTTGTTCTTGATGGGGACGCGCGTTGAGGCTTCAAAACCTCGTGTAGCTGACGTCGTCTCAAACCATTACTTCCGAGTGTGCCGTGATTGGGAGAATAAAGTTGAGGAAAGCCGATCGACCGAGCCTTGTGTGAGAGACACTGAGTGATTGACATTTGACAATGACATTGACGTGCGGGACCGAATTGAGTGTGACCCCTCCTCCATGTTTTCTAGTTTACTCTGCCCAAGACGGGAAATAGAATATGAACGGTTTTGCCTGGAAAGTCCCTGATCCGTTTGAAGAGGCGTCAATAGCGTTGAGCCAGAAAGCGGATGGAGCGGCTGAAGTTTGAATGGCGTGGACAAGTTCATGTTTAAGGTGCTATTTGGATCACGAGGGGGACGGGAAGTGCCCCTCCCCGCTAGGATGAGACTGTGAATGCGCGCATGATGAGTTGGAGGGGACGAGACCGCTCTGAGATCTACAACCCTACCTCACTTTCTTTGCCTTGTACCTGCCGTACCTGTCCTGTACCTTACGTAGCTAAGGAAAAAAAACAAAGCTCTTTTCTCCTTGTCTTTAAAGGATTAGGCTGTGCGTGCTGTGCGTTCCGTTGATAAATGAGCTGCATCTCCTCCCACCTTGTCTGTCCCGGTCCCTTGTCTCTTCTCCCCCAAACTTTGTCTCTTACACCGAAACACAATCAATCAGTCACTTTGATACGTCGCATTTACAACCGAATCGATCCCGCCAACGATCAAGCGAATTTGCATTAGACTATTGAGTTCGCAATCATCATCTTCTTCGAATACGATTTGCTTGTAGGCTCCATCGCATCGCTTCTTTCACTCGATCACCATTGTCATTGCGCCTCGACTCAACAGAACCCGACGAGTCTTTCGCGGGGGCCTAAACAATTCCCCAGAACCCATCTCTTCCTTCCAGAGCAGTGCAGTCGCCACAATGAAGGATTCAAGCGACAAGCAATGGGTAAGTTTTTGGACCCTTACCTAGCTCGTGGGTGTCAATGTCCATGCCCATCATGACCCAGTCTTTTCCTCTTCTGTTTCTTGGTCAGGGCCGATATCACTTTCTGTCCGCTTCTCCCCAACGTCATCCCAAGCCTGTCAATGATGGAACAACGTCAGGGCCCCAGCGAGACCCTTTATCGCTGTATTTGTTGCGTCAATGCAGATCCCTGTATCGGGCTCCAATCTTGACGTTGCTTGGCTGTTTTCTTGGTGTTTGCCAAGTAGAGGACCAAGCAACTTTATTCCTACGTAGCTGTACCACAGCCCACTGTCCACGCAAGCCTGATGACGTTCTAAAAGGCAGACCACTTACAAAGACACAATATCTTCACGCAATCACTCTTCTGCACTTTGTTTTACATTTTTCTTTATCGCAAACATTCTAACTCAATTGCATAGGCCAAGGCTTACATTCTTGACCCATTAAACGACATCGAACCAAACCAAGACACCGGTATCGGCGCATCTCACAACCTTGCTGCTCAACTTCGAGGCATTTCTCTTGAGGGCTCGAGTTCAAACTCAAACAGAAACCGCTCTCCCGAGAGAAAGCACAAGCACAAATCAAGCCATTCAAGTCATAGACATCGCCAAGGCAACTATCCTACTCCGCCAACATCTGCCAGCCCAACCCGCGACAGCTTTCATTCCTCGAACCCTTTCTCCGACGCTGCAGCTGCGCGCCGTCAATCTTCAGCTCCATCAGTGACCGTATCCCCCCCGGATTCTCCCCCAGGTCCATCCGATACTCGTCGTGTCCCATTCAGCTCCTCTGTCAATCGGTCGGCCAGTGCTAGAGTTCCGCCCCCACGTAATAGACCCCAAGTTCAACACAACCGCAGCTTCAGTACCAGCAATTGCGGAGTTTCACGCCAACGCTCACTGATCCAACGATACCCAGGCGACATGTCTCACCGTCCTCTCGACATCCTTAGAAAGGAGGCTCGCGCGGCCGATCGGGCCCCCCATCTTCGTCGCAAGCAAATGCCCATGACAGACACAATTGATGCTCTGGATACCATTGGCGGGATGTATCATCATGGCGGTCCCTATGACGCCACTCTGGCTAGCCGCAACCGCAACAAGATGTATTCACCCGTTGCCGCTGTTGAAGACTCGAACCGAGAAGCTCTTCGAGCTACTCCCAGAGAAAATATCCAAGATTCTCTACTCAAGAAGATGCCCCTTCAAGGCACTGCTGATATTCCCAGCGGCGAGCGGGACATCAGTGGCAACACCATCGATTACGAGGAGGGTGCTGATCTCATGAGAGAGCCTGACGCTGTCGGTGGCGCATACAAGCGTTGGGATGGCATTGTAAGTGACATTTCTATGATGCGACCATTAAACAGTTACTGACCTGAACAGCAATACCATCCCGATGACCTCAAGGGCAAGGGCGAGCCCTCTTACACCTATGAGAAGGACCTCAAAGAGCAAAAACGCATTCGCCGGGGTGAACCCGTCGAGTACGAGCTCTCATCAAACATGCGAGGCAGCAGACGTCCACCATTCAGCCACAACCGAAGCTTCAGCGAGAATCCACGAACAACCCCTGAATTCTCAAACGACACTGACATTCGCCGCAACAACTCAACAGGCCGACACCGCCTCAGTGATGGTATCCGACGACGTTTCGGTAGCATGCGACGCAAGAAGGCTGAGGTCGAGTAAATGCCTTGAACTTTGTGATACTCCTTTGTGATTTTAACTTGGATTGGTACTGGCGTTTTCTTCTGGGATACATATATATGGGAAAAGGTTTCTTGGGCGAGCAATGACGTTTAAAGATCAGTCAAGGATTGATGAGACGGGCGCTTTAGGATGTATGTTTGGTTATGGCCAGTTCCGATTTATGGAAGAAACAGACTTGGGAAAACAAAAGTCGTTTACTATTCATTTGCTTTGTTCTTTTCTTTACTTGTAAATGGGTCTCAGCATGCATATATACAGCTGTGTTTGTACTGTCACCCCTTGAAAAGACACAATCATTTGACATTCATGTACGAGGTTCCAGAATGGCCACGAGGCAATGTAGAAATAAACTATGGTATTCAGCGTTCAAAGATTCAACACTAAGATTGCATTGCAATACTATGCATGTCTTCCCAAACCACATTATCAACAAACACCACTTATGACTCTTGTCCAAGACATCTAGAAATACGATACCCCACTCCAACCCAAAACACCCTCAAGCTCCTCCCTCAACTCCCCAACACCATCATATCCTCCCTTACCCGCAATCTCCGCCCTCTTCGCAGCACTAAGCTCAGCCCACCTCGCCAAAACAGCACCGTCAACAATCGCTCTCCCACCAGCTGCCTCTACGCCAACAGGTCGTATACCATCGGGTAATCTATGCGCTTTGGCGTTCAATCCGCCGTGCGGTGTGAGTGCGGGGAGGAGTTGATTTGTTACGGAGAGGAGACGACGGTATGTTGTTTCGGGGAGGGGGATGAGTGTTGATAAGTGGCCGGATGAAGAGGCGAGGAGGAGGATGTGTGGAGGGTCTTGGGGAGGTGGGTGAGAGGGTGGTAGGGTACGCGGGAGGAGGAGTGTTGTTGAGGGGGGATTGGGGGATACAGAGAATGAGGTTCGATGGAGGAGGAGATGGCCCTGAAGAGATTTAGGATCTGTAGTTTGTTAGTATTATATTATAAGAGTTAGCGTAGAGGAGAACTCACGCTCGGGATTAAAGTCGAGAATATGTAAATCACCATCCGCATCCGCAGCAACAATAGCCAGATCTTCACCATCCGGAAGAAAATCCGCCACCAAAACGGGTAACCGGCCATGGCTCTTACCCAAGACCTTGAAAGTATACGGCTCCTCAGTATATCCCGCAAACCAAACCCCCTTGAACGCATCAGCCATAAGACACAGCCCCGTACGCGGCAGTTCTCTCGCAGTAGATACGTGACAGCTCATGTCGAGGAACGCTACAGGTAAAAGGGATCCGTCTTCTTTAAGACCGCGTACCATGCATTTTTGCCCTTGCGCGACGAGCATGAGGCCTTGGGTTCCGATCTCTGATATGGCTGTTACGCCGCCGCGAGGAATGTCTTCGCGCGCGATGGCCTTGAGACGTTTGTTGGTTTCGGGTCTGCCGGGCTCGGGGATAACGGTTACGATGTCGAAGACGTGGACGCGGCCGCGGATGGGGAGGTCTTCACCCTTTGAGACGGCTGTGCCGACTGTGACGAGGAAGCGACGCTCTTTTGTGTCTTCTGAGACCTCGAGGTGTAGTGTTTTCATGCACTCGATAGATTCGCACGACTCAAGCTCGACTTCGTGGACGACGGTCCAACTAACCGGGCTGATGAGCTTGAGAACACCGCGGGGCATGGTTGGTGGGAAAGTAAGTGTTTCCTTGGTCCATTCTTTGTGATAGTCATCGTCTCTGGGGAGTTCGAAGGGTTCGCTTATCATACAACCGGCGATGTAAGCACCTGTTGGTGGATGATACGCAATACCGCGAACATCAGCGCCCAGTGGAACTTTCTTGACTGAGATACCGAGCTCGGTGAAGTTGGTATCCGGCGGGAGCTGAGTAACACGCGCGATGCCTTCGTCGTCTGCGTAGATGAAGCCGCGATCACACCCTTCGGTATGGAATGTGCTCATACCGCGGACACCGAGGCCTTGAAGACCGATGACGCGGGGGATACTCTTGCTAGACTTTATGACGAAGCTTGGTGAAGGCCCGGGAAGGAAGACGGTGCTGTAGCCGTTGATGTTTGCACATGGTCGGAGAGGGACGAAGCGTGGTTGTTCGACTTCGTCTTGTTCTGTCTCGACGGGGATTGTGGCTAATGTTGTGTTGGAAGTCTTTTTGAAGGTGAGGGTGGCGGAGAGACTGGTTTCGCCGCCTTCTCTTGTATGGCGAAGAGGTTCGTAGATTGTGAGGTCGTCGGTTTGGTTGCGGAGCTGGTCATGTTAGAAAATCTCAGCAAGGGTGAAGAAGAACTCACGATGAGGTATGGAGATTGAGATGTGGTATCGCCAAGGTCAGCGACAAGGATCTCGCGGAGGTTCTCTTTTGCTAGACCACGTCGTAGTGTGTAGTCTGCTGAAAGGTGAGGAGGGACGTAACAGAGACCTTCAGCAACATAGACGGGCTTGGAGAGGTCGGGAAGCGCGTAAACCTGTTCAGTCAGTAGGTGATCTCCAAGGAGGAAGACTGGCACTTACATGTAGTGCACCCGTTGAGCTGAGTAAGAACATCATGAGCTTCTCAGTCTCTACACCCTTGTCGCTGGCATTCGGTTGGAAAGCACCCTTTGTATCCGCATACAGACATCCAGAGTGCCACTTGGTATTTTGCAGAGTAGCATCCATCTTTTCCACTTCCTCAAGCTCATTGTTGCTATCGATCTGTGCCAACATAAGACTGCTGTCGTCGCGGATGAGTAGGAGGTAAGGATCGGCAATGCTGGCGCTGGTGACTCGAGGTTCGGCACCGGTTTCTTCATCGAGCATCGGCAAGATCTGAGTGAGGCCGAGATCTAGACTTGTCAGTATGTGCGAATGTAATCCAAGCAAGCGACTCACCTCCATCGTAGGATCGAACCTCAGACTTGAGGACTTGGATGATCCTCATCTGCTTGCCCATCGTTCCAGCTTCAACAGTGAATCCAGCTGCAGGGTCAAACTCAGTGTCCTTGAGAGTCTCGAAGCCTGCGCCGGTAAGCGCATACACATCTGATGTCTCATAACCATCAAGATCGACCTTAGCGACTATCATGTACTTGTCGTGCTGTCCAAATGTCTCATACTCGTTACCTACGCCGACATTTCCACCCAGAGCCTTTGGCATTGGCTTCTTGACGGACATGGTCCAGAAACCCCTTGCCTCTGGGAACTCGAACCTGCCGATGATCTTGGGCTGGATGTTGCGATTGAGAATAGCCAGTGAACCGGCTTTTCCACGTCCGACGACGCAGGCAAGATGAAGATCCGAAACGACGCCTTGTGAAAGAGTTGCCTCTTCACTATCAGGATGGAACGATATCTTGCCAGGTGTCAAGTCCTTGATCGGGGCGATGCTGAGCAGGGTATCGTGAATGCGGAAGCTCAATTCGCCCGCTTTACCTCCACCATTGAGAGCCTGAGCTGGTTTGGCGGCTGCAGATTCGGTGCCGTAAAGATCGTCGTCCTCATCGTCTTCATCCTCGAGATCCAGATCATCCATTTCCAGACCGATTTCCGTATCGATAAGCCGAGGTTTTCGTCTCTTCTCTTGTCCCAGCTTTCTCGTCCAGCCCAATACAACAGAATCACCAAGTTCACTGCCCACAAAGTACGCATTCTTGCCAAGTTTCGACGCTGTTGATGCGCGGCTCTTGATTAGGTTGCCTCCGTTGTCATCTGCGACCATCCTGACGGTAAGACCAGAGACAGTCCTGCCATCAATCTGGAACGAAACTATTCCAATGCGACCATCATTGAGAACGAGCAAAAGTTCGCCATTCTCAATGGACAGTGTCTCGATGACACAATGCTCCAGTCGTATGTTAAGATCTGCCTGATCTGTCAAGCTGAACGAGGTAATCTGTCTAGCCATTGAGTTCACCGCCACACCGTTGGACTTGCCAGACTGATCAACATGAATCAGCTCATTTTCTCCAATCAACAACGCACCGCCAACAGGCGCAGGCAACGGAATAATCTTGAACAAATCTCGAGGGAGATCGGTAACCGAAAGAATAGTCGTCGAAGCTCGCTGCTGCAAATCTAAGGTAAAGACCTTGTATGTAAGGTGATCTTTCTGACCCAGAGAATGCGCTCGCTCTTGGCTAGATGACAGAATACCAAAAGTCGGTTCTCTATACTCATGCAGGAAAGCGAAGTGCACGGGATGAAGCAGACTGGGGTCAAGGAGCGGAAGACGGAGGACAAAAGATGGTGTATACGCTGGTTCTAATGTGTCGCTATCTCCATTGGCGGCTGTAGTAGACTCCTTGACGGGTCGCGGCCCATCAAGATCCTCATCCCAATCATCCATCTCCAAGTCTTCTTCCGCTTGCCTGAATGGTAAGATGGCAAGGTTGCGCGAGCCGAATTGGAAGGCGGCGCATCGACTACCGGGATCGGCTTCGAGGTAATTGGTATATTCGTCGAAAGAAACCTCCCAAGGCGCGCCGTGTAGCTCTTCTTTCTCATAATAGTGGATGGAGATGGTCTCTAGGGTGCTCTTCTCGGGATCCCATACTGCCATACATAATTTGGCGGCTTTGTAGGCTATCAAGAGAGCTTCACCTCCACATTTTGAATGCTTCGTCTTGACCTTGGCCAAACCCGTCACGGTACCGGATAGTGGAAGCTCCGTGACAAGGACTAGCTTCGTGAGGTTCGTGCGATCGGTTCGAACAAGCATTGACTCGCCGCCAAGAAAAGAAGACTCGAGACCATCATCGTCGTTCGCGCGGTGATCAAATTCGGCTTCAGGTTTTGTGGTCTGGGCAGGTTGGTTCTCGGGATCGAATTCGGCGGAGATGGCCTTTGTTGTAAAGATTTGGAGTAGTGAACCCTTTGCGACAACGAGATTGGTAGCTGTAACTGAAGTAAGAGAAACAGTCAAGGAGTGTGTGACGGCTGAGGGAGCCGCAAGCTCGGTGTAGGCCTGCATTTCAGCGAGACCATTCTTTAGTAACCGAGAAATTGGTTGCTTTGTTGGGCTCGTTCAAGTCGTTCGCGATGTTGCTTTATTGAATGTTTGGCCCAAAAGAGTAGAGCTCAAAGCTCCAACGGATAATTGACCTCCGTCTTCCGGATCACCCCGGCCAATCGATAACGGTTAGTGGAAATTCCAGGGGTGAGGCAGAGCATCTCCACTTAGCACAAACGCTAGCGTATACATTGCGTCACGAAAACATCGGCAGCTTCAAGCTCGAGCTTGACCATTTCTGATTGAAGCCAGTGAATCTTGTTTTTCTACGAAACTTCCCTTTCTCTGATTGATCGAAGTTTATCACGTTGCTACACAGATCGACTCGTTAGCGACGTCATCCTGGGCTAGGGATCGATTGATCTCCCTTTAAATTCCCCGAGATCTGCTATATTAAAGACCAGCCTCAAAACAACCCCAAGCCACGTCGCGACCTGGTCTAGCGGACTCACTTCGACTTGCTTGTTGATCATCATTTACAACAACGGTCTTTCAATATAATCCAAAATGGCTCACGCAGGCCTCGTCCAGACCAGTTTGATCTGGGTCGCTTATGCTGTCGCTGTCGTCCTCTGTTTCGCAGCAGCAATCATCACAACATTTACATGGCAAACACCCCGCGAACGTTCCGCAGTCGTTAGCATTGTCGCCATTATCAGCTTGACTTCTCTACTCGCTACAGTCCTACTACTCCCTGTCGATATTGCTCTCGTCTCCGCGACTGCCTCTGCAACACTTGGCGCGAAGAAAGACTGGGCTACTCCCGAACGCATCGACAGTATCCTCTACACCCTCAAGGTCGTTTACTACAGCTTGTACAGCTTCGATGCTCTCCTCTGTTTGATCGTTATTCCTTTCGCCTACTTCTGGCACGAGGAATATGATGAGATCGAGGTTGAGGAGGAGGGCCGAACCTTGAGCAGCCGTTTCTTGGCCGCTGCCAAGTACACACTCTTCTTCGTCGCATTCGTTGTCGTTCTGTTCTTACTCGGTTTCTTCGTCCCTGCCGCCGGCGACAGCTCACAGTCTCATTGGGATCTCGACTACTTCAAGAAACTCGTTGCTCAAAACCATGGCGAAAAGGCACTGACCTTTGCACTGGGTCTTCTGCTCACCCTCGGCACACTGCTCTACGTTGTATACACCGGCGCTGGCCTTGCCCTCCTTCCCATCTCGTTCATCAAGGCGGCACCTTCAATCTCGGCTCCTCAGCTCCATCAGACAACTGCTTCTCAGCTTGAACAGAACCGCGAACGCCAGCGACAGATCGAGATGCGCAATGCCGGTCGACAAGAGGGCATGTCTCGAAAGGATCAGCGTGAACTCGATGCTCTTGTCAGAGAGGAACAAACTCTTGTCAGACGCGAGAGACTCGCCGCCGAAGCTCAGGGTGAAGGCCGTAGCAGGATTTACCAGGCTTGGCTCAAGGTCTGCGCTGTCTTCCGCCCTATCAAGCTCCTTGGTGGAATCTTTCTCCTCCTTCTGTCTCTCGTCATCTTCGTATCGATGCTCATCACTGGCATTGACAAGGCCAAGAACTCGGTCTGCAAGCAAAAGTGCGGTTACATCCTTGGTCAGATCCATGTCTTCCAGCCCATGAACTTCATCTTCGTCAAGTCGGCCAAGGCTTTCCCCGTCGACTACATTCTCATGGCTCTTCTGGTTCTTTTCTTCTTCAGCAGCTCCATCTCTGGTATTGCCACCGTGGGAATTCGCTTCCTCTGGGTTCGCATCTTCCAGATCCGCAAGGGTCGAACAGCTCCACAGGCCCTTCTCATTGCGACTGTCATGTTGGGTCTGATAATCTTGGCCACCAACTACGGTATCGCTATGTTGGTTGCTCCTCAGTATTCGACCTACGGCACCCAAACATTCTGCGCCAACGAGCCCAAACATCCTGGAGATCAGCCAGACTGCAGAAACCACAAGGACATGATTCATGCTTGCTCCGAAGCGCTCAAATATAAGCACGCTAAGGATGTCTGCACACCATCAGTCATGTCGACGTTCCTCAACCGCATCACCATCACATGGCCCTTCTTCGGTCTCATTGACTTCTGGGCCCAATTCGCCTTCCTCGGTGTTTTCCTCATCGTCTTCGTCACATCTCTCTTCCGCACCCCCAAGCTCAACCTTTCCCAGATCGACGAAGAAGCCGAGGCCGACGAGGAAGAAAGTCTCCTCGCATCAACTGGCCGCCGATTCGGCGCGACATGGCAGGATGTACGAGGAAAGCCCAGCAGCTCAGGAAACGAGTCTGCCAACAACGGCAACGGCTCACAATCCGCTGCTTGAAGTTCACGTATAAAATAGTACAAGTTAGTTCAGATTGATGCAGGCATCTTTGATTTGGCATGGCAACAAGGTGGTGGCTCGGAGTTTAGTTTCGCAATATTTGGGTATCTGTTTTTAACACGCAAGGAACGGCAAATGGTAGTGAGGTCTAGCTTGAAATTGAAATCGTTTATGCTCCCAGCGCTACCTTCTTCTTCTCTTTCTTCTCCGTCTTCTTATCCTTGGTGAATTGCACAGCCTTGTGACTCCTCTCGTCGAAGCCAGCTTGTGGTCCTCGGTGCATCTCGTACCAACATCGTGTACAGTAGACGTCATCGTCGCACCCTGGACAACGAAGCGTCGCATCTTCTAAACAAACGGTGCACCAGCTTTCCACGTCGTCGTCGGTGTAGTTGGTCCGCGAAGTTAAACGGTTTACCGGCTGGCCGGATGGTTTAGACGTAGGTACCGACGGAAGAGCGAGAGAATCCTCATCGGGAGATGGTGCGCGTAGAGCGGCGAGACGGGCGGTTATGTCATCTATATCCGCGCTGCCAGCGCGCTTTGAAGAAGGAATGTCGACGAGGTCTGAAGGCACATCTGGAAGAGCGATATCTTCTGTCTTGGAAGTAGTTTGTTCAGGTTCGGATTCAGACTCTCGGTCGGGTGTTTTGGTCTTTGCGAGGGCTGCTTCGACTTCTGCTTCGTCGCGGAAGCGGGCGATGACTTCATCGACATCTTTGTTCATAGTTTCACCATCTGAATCGTCTGAGTCATCGTCATTTCTATCTTTGTCGTCTTTTGTATCTTTTGGTATTGAGTCTGCGAGTTGTTCGAGAAGTGCTTTGACTTGTGCGTCGTCTGGTTCGGGCTGAAATCCCTCCTCTGGTTGTACATCGCTTAACAGTTCCTCCAGGGTTTGGTCGTCTGTCTGGAAGATGGAATCATCTTCTTCATCTTCAAATTTGGGAGAGTCCTTCCGTGGTGTACTTTCTGGCTGGCGTGTTGGCTTTGATGGTTCTTGGGGTTTCTGTGCTGGTGCAGGTGAAGATTCATCGCCACGATCTCGTAGAGACTTGAGACGAGCGGCTAGTGTGTCATCTCGAGTAGGCGCCCTTTTGCGCTCAATGAGATCAACTTTGATCCTAAAATGACATTAGCTGATAGACCTTACTGAAGTTGTGGATGATGTACTCTGTTGATATTGGTTTATCCTGGCCTGCGCTGTTACCTCTAAGGGCGTTTAGGCGATCAAGCAGGGACTTATCGAGATCTTTGGACATTGTGCGTAAGTTCGGAGGAGCTGTGAAGTGAGGTTGTTGATGAGATGTGGATGCTATGATGAAGTGAAGTGAGCTTCAGATGAGGATGGCGGGGCGGGGTTGTTTGCGCCCAGGCTTGGCTGAGGAGTCAATTTGAGGCTCAACTCCGGGCGTTATACAGGGAAAAGCATAGCAATACACGTAGCGATCTTGATTAAGCGAAGAGAGCGGATTTCATCAAACATTCAGCCCTATGGCCTACCTTAGGTGTGATTGCCTCAGAAATGGATAGCATTCACGTTAATGTGGCGCATTGCGCGACTAGGCGACAAACATCCCTGCCCTGCAAACATCCAGGCACCGCAGTTCCCTTGTTGAAGAGCCTCAGTGACGCAAGTGAATACAGATTCGGTTCTGTTCTCTGTCGCATCAATTGCGAGGCCATGGATCTCGCACTGGGTTTCAGTCACTTCAGGAATGGAGTTCATCCTGAAGGATTGTGATGCTTCAAATACGAAATGGCTTAGAGGAAGATCACCCACCAAATGACGACATACAGCCATTGAATCGAATAGTGAGTCCTTCCTACAGGATGGTTCAATATATCGTCATCAAAGATCATGGCATTGATGATGTTCAACTGCCGATACCTCTCTAATCTAATCGCTATCTAAACGCACGCACACGCGTCGCAGCCAAGACTTACGCATGCTCGGAACGTGGGCGGCGCCATAGTTCAAGCCTTTGCCGTGCATCCGCTATTTTTGCCCATCAGTACCTTGATTAGCGGCTTGTATGGGTCCATGCAGCTGAAAATGGAAAATCCATGTCTCTGATCCCTTGAAATCAATAAGCGCTAGAGAATGTGATTCCAAGGTGATGTGGAAACAAACCTAAGATAAATCAACATTTCTTGCTCTTTTCTTTTGCTGCAATGTTGCTCTTCATTTCTTCACAATGCTTACAATGCCGTCACTGCGTCTGAGCGCAAAGTCGATACAAATCACAGCAGCTATTGCGTCGATATGGCTCTTTGTCGTCGTTTTTTATCACTATCGCGATGTTTCTTTTTACACACCGAATAATTTCCAGAGCACTTCGAAATCGAGTTCGAATTCGCGCAATTTTGAATCGATAAGGCTTGGCGCACGATGTTTTCTCGATTATCCTTTAAAAGACGAACCGAAAGCGATTTTTGGAGAACTTGGACAACGAACGGCATTGTTGCGATCTTGGATTGAGGAACTGGAAGGGCGAGACGACAGTCACGAGACAGCGGAACTTGTTGGACAAATTTTGGAAAAGCAGTTTCCTTGGCTAAATTCGAAACAGGGTGTTTCGCCGCCTCTCGTCGATGTCTACGATCGTCTTGGTCTTTCATACAACAGTACAAGTCTAAAGTCCGATAAAGCACCAGCTGGAATTGTTATCCCCACGGGCGAAAAAACACTCCGATTCGCATGCCATCTCATCGCAGCCTTGACGCGCGTCCACAAGACTACCCTCCCAATCCAAGTTGTATACGCCGGAGACGATGATTTATCCGCCGCTGGCCGAAAGAAGATACAACAAGCTGCCAATGGAGTCAAGATCGAAATGCTCGATGTTCTTACTGTTTTCGACGACAGCACATTGAAACTCGCTGATGGAGGCTGGGCGATAAAACCGTTCGCTGCATTGGCGAGTCGCTTTGAGCAGGTCATTCTTCTCGATGCAGACGCTGTGTTCTTTCAAGATCCTCGACATCTCCTTCGGCAAGATCGGTTTAAAGAAACTGGTGTACTACTCTTCCATGACAGATTGCTCTGGAAGAATGGGTTCGCGGATCGTCAGGATTGGTGGCATGACCAGATTAAACATCCCAGTCCGGAGACGGAAAAGTCGCTTGTTTGGACAGAACGATACTCTGAAGAGGGAGATTCTGGTATTGTTGTGGTTGACAAGTCTAGACTTGATGTTCTGCTTGGTCTTCTTCATATTGGATGGCAGAATTCGGAGCGGGTGCGGAATGAGGTTACGTACAAGATCACGTATGGCGATAAAGAGAGTTGGTGGATTGGTTTCGAAGCCACAGGATCCAAGTACGCTTTCTCACCTCATTACGGCGGTATCGTCGGATGGTTAGGTCCCACGAAAGCAGAACTCGACGCCGCAAAAAAGGCAGAAGAAGAGAAGAAACAAGAGGACAACAAACGCGACCAAGAAGTCCGCGTCTGCAGCTTCGTCATCGCACACGTTGACCAAAACGACAGACTCCTCTGGTACAACGGCGGTTTACTTAAGAACAAAGCCGTCAACCAAACAGAATTCGAAGTACCAACGCATTGGATGATTGATCAGAAGTGGCACAAAGGTGGAAGCAAGAAAGACATGAGTTGCATGGTTGGTACAAAAGCGAGTGCCTTGACAAACGGGGAGAAGGATGTTTTAGCAAAGTCGATACAAGTTGCGAGGGAGATGGATGAAAAGTTACATTTTGTCTGATCTGAAAAGACTTTGTATTATGTGTATTATTTGAGTGATATAGAACGTTGAACAAGGATGCGAATCGCTACTAGACGAGTTACCGGGTTGAGAACATCGGAGGCCGGAACCGCGAGATGATCGACATGAAGGATCAGAATACCATGCATTTGACAACGGATAATTTATGAAACGCGTGTTCACGGTAAAAGACCGTTAAAGATTCCGGACCCGGTTCATGTCTTCGGCGCCGTTTCATGGAGTTCGGGACCGTCTCACGCCATACCGCGCGCCGGACAACTACGAATGTCCGTATAGAAGACCGTAAGACCGTTGTAAGATAACCGAGTATAAAAGGGCAAAACACGTCACGCAAACACATTAGCTTTGTTGTAATACAATCCAATCAATTAATTTGTTCACCTTCAAACTAATCGCTTGTTTTACTCAAATTAATTCGAGAACCGTCTTATACAATGGCACTGCGCTTACCCCTTCGAACTCGACCTGCACCACTCATTGCAGGACTTACGGTCGGAGCAGTTGGCGTTGCAGTCTGTTCGAAAATGCTGTTTGGAACAGCTTCGGCGGAATCTCGTGAAGCGCAGAAGATTTTCAAGGGAGGTTTTGCGTCGGTTAAATTGCCGTTGCATAGTTCGGAGGACGAGACGCATGACACCAAGAGGTTGAGGTTCAAGCTACCCACAGACACTGCTATTTCTGGACTTCCCTTGACTTGTGAGCTTACTGTGCAAGGTATATAGACCACTGCTGACTGAGTATAGCTGCTCTGTTGACGTTCACATGGCCTGAGGGGTCTTGGCTTCCTACGCCGAGACCTTATTCTCCAATCTCACCCTCTGGTAAGTCATCCAACTACAAACTCGAAGCGATTACTAACTTGCGCAGATGAACCCGGCTATGTGGAACTCATGGTCAAGAAGTATCCCAACGGCAAAGGAAGCGGCTACCTTCACTCCCTCAAACCAGGCGACCAACTCTTCATCCTCACAACCCTCCCCGGCTACAGATGGAAGCCCAACACCTTCTCCCACATAACCCTCATCGCCGGCGGGTGCGGCATAACACCGGTCTATCAACTCGCACAAGGCATCCTGCGTAACCCAGAGGATAAAACTCGCATGACGCTTGTGTTTGGCGCCAACACAGACGAAGACGTTCTATTGAAGAAGGAGCTTGATGGGTTTGCGAAAGAGTTCCCGGAGAGGTTTAGTGTAAAGTATACGGTTAGTAGACCGAAGGAGGGATCGGTTATGAGGAAGGGAAGGCTTGATAGGGAGTTTTTGGAGGAGGTTGTGCCAAAGGGGACGGAGAAGGTTTTTGTTTGTGGACCGCCGGCTATGGAGGAGGCGCTTGTTGGAAAGAGGGGAAGTGGTGTTTTGGGGGAGCTGGGTATTGAGAAAGGCAAGATTCACAAGTTCTAAGAAGAGGTGGTGTAGAAAAGAGAGAGTTAGACTCGGGGACTGATGAAGATTGCCTGGGTTTAGGGAGATGAACAGTTATCCTACCCTGATCAAGGTGTGTATATTAGGAGTTAGAACGGATTGTACAAGCATTTCTCATCTTTACATTCGGACTTGCAAGATCGATTCTTGGAGTGATATGAGATAGAAGTCTAAAAGTTAACGAGTAGCCCGTGATGGTTCAAGTTCAACCCAATACAACAGTACAGCATGGTTAAATACAATTGCTAACTCCAGTTCTACAAAGCAACTACCTAGTTTCCAGTAGCAATACTATGCCTCACTCCCAAACTACCATTCGTCAAAAGCGATCTCGAATCCCTTTCGGGCACATCAACTTCATCCTTCATCTCCAAAGCCGATCCATAGCCTCCGCCACCTGGCGTCAAGATAATAATCCGATCTCCCTTTGCAAAATGCGACGTCTTTCTTGGTCCCAATGAAACCTGTCTCATCGCACCAGTAACTGGGTCTTTCCTCACCCAAATATTCTGCCCCCTCTGTCCCTCCTCACCACCTTCAAGACCATAAGGCGCAGTGACTCTTCGATCCGTAAGAACAGATACCTGAAGAGGCATACGGAACTCCATCTCTCGAACACAACCATCACCACCCCTCCACTTTCCATCACCTCCACTGCCCTTCCTAATAGAGAACTCATGCAGAATAACAGGATATCTCTTCTCCAAAATCTCCGGATCCGTAATCCTCGTATTCGTCATGTGCGTATGAACAGCACTAGCACCATGCCAACCAAGCCCAGCACCTGCACCTCCACATATGGTCTCATAGTATCCGAAACCCTTTGTAACTTCACCGGTAACGGGATCTGTACCACCACAGCCGAAGCTGAGGTTGTTCATGGTTCCTTGGGAGGCGGCTGCGGCGTTAAAGGCGCGGAGGACGAGATCGGCGATCTTTTGGGATGTTTCGGTTGTGCAGCCGACGGTGGCGGCGGTAGGGGAGGGGGAGAGGATGGTGTTTTGGGGACAGATTACTTTGATAGGCTTGAGGCAGCCTTGGTTGAGGGGGATGTCACCTTTGGAGATCATGGAGCGGAGGCAGTACTGTTGAAGGTTAGCAAGGATTAGGACTTGTCGGGGGGAAACTTACCATGATGACGGAGTATGAACATGTTGGAGGTGCGTTGAGATTACCAGAGTGTTCAGGCCCAGTTCCAGTAAAGTCGAAAACAGCATCGCCAGTCTCTTTGTCGATGGTCACCTTGAGCTTGAACGGGATACCATCGTCATTATACTCTGTCGCCTCGAGAACACCGCCCTCATGCTTTGCGGCAAACTGCTTAAGAAGATCCCGCACAGACTGAGCAGCGTTGTCCTGAATAGCGTGCATGTACAGCTGAACAACAGGCCAGGTAAACTCCTTGATAAGAGCTCTGATCAACTCAATACCCTTCTGGTTAGAAGCGACAGCAGCCTTGAGATCAGCGATGTTCTCCGTAAGAGTGCGAGTACCGCTGCAGCCGGGATACGAAGCGGGTTCGTCGTAGAGATGCTTGATGAGACCGGCTTCATCAAAGACACCTTCGTCGATCATCTTGAACGACTCAATAGCAGCACCTTCTTGCCATAGTTCAGTGGAGTTGGGAGGCATGGAGCCAGGAACGATACCGCCAATGTCTGCATGATGACCACGGTTGGCTACGAAGAAGATGATCTCCTTGGGATTCTCTTCATCATCAAACACGGGTGTGATAGTGGTGATGTCGGGGAGGTGGGTACCGCCAGCTTGAGGATGGTTGCTAATGATGACATCGCCGGGCTTCAATTCACCAGCCTTGTATCGTTGAGCTTGGTATGCGATGGCTGTGCTCATGGAACCGAGGTGACTGGGAACGTGAGGGGCGTTGGCGACAAGACCACCATCAGCGGAAAAGATGGCACATGAGTAATCCAGTCTCTCCTTGATGTTAACAGAGATAGAGGTCTTCTCCATGGTATGACCCATCTGTTCAGCAACAGTCATGAAACGATGTCCGAAAACACTCAGTGTAACAGGATCCACAGTTTCAGTCGCAACATTCTGCTTCTCAGCCTTGTCGACCTCAAGAATGACATGCTCGGGAAGGATAACACCCTTGCTGAGATGATCAACAACAATAGTCTGGGTCTTGTCGATGATCATCGCAGGACCGGTGATGTGAACACCAGGAGACATGGACCTGAGCTCATAAACCGGAGTTTCGGTCCAGCCGTGATTCTCAAAGAAGATCTTTCGAGAGAAGATCGGTGTTGGAACGGGAGTTAGACCATCGGATTGGTACTTCTTGAGCTCTTCGAAGGGACTGGAGATGTTGAGAACGCGAGACTTTCCTACGCTTCGAACTCTCACGTCGTCGATGAGAATGTTGCGCGATTGAGAGAAGCCGAACTCTTGGGTATGTCTGGCAGTAAAAGCGACGCCTGCCTCGCCGACGTTCTCTGATACAGGAATCATGAGGGAGGTATCGCTTCCCTGGTAGCGCATGTTGAGGAAGTACTCATGCTCAGTAGTCTTCGAATCGAAACCTTGAGACTCAAGACCCTGGGCACCCTTGGAAGAGAGAGACTCAAGACGGGCTTTGATCTCGGGGACGACTTCTTCGGAGAAAGTGATGGCGGAGGGTTCTTGGTTCTCGACAACAACATCGGCGAGAGCCATTCCGTAAGCGGATAAGATACTGGAGTAGCAAGGGATGATGGCTCGCTTGATACCGAGATCTCGAGCGATGAAGACAGCGTGTTGACCACCAGCACCGCCGAAAGAGCCCAGGTTGTGGCTTGAAGCACCGTACCCACGGCCTTCACTCAGTGTTCGAATGGGTCGCGTCATTGTCGCATTCGCAATGGCAAGGAAACCCAGTGCCAGAGTCTCAGGTGTGAATGGCTCGCCGCCCTCTTTTTCCTTGTTTACGATATCTGTGAGGGCAGCGAACTTCTCTCTGACCACATCGCGATCGAGTCGGCGAGGGAAGAAGTCGGGGATAATTCGGCCGAGGAGGAAATTGGCGTCTGTGACAGTCAAGGGACCGCCCCGACCGTAACATGCAGGACCTGGATTGGCACCAGCGCTGCTGGGACCGACCTTTAGAAGCCCGTTCTCCCAGGATAGGATTGAGCCACCGCCTGCAGCGACTGTGTTGATGTCGAGTTGGGGAGTCTGGATGGTCACTTCGGCCAGAGTGTTCTCAAAGATATGTTCCAGAGCACCGGAGTATCTCGCGACGTCTGTACTGGTACCGCCCATATCGAAGCCCAACACAGGAGTGCCATCAGCATCGTCGTAACATGTCCTCGATAGACCGACAACACCTCCAGCAGGGCCACTTAGAACACCCCTCAAGCCAGTGAACTTGGACCAGCTTGTCAGCCCACCATCAGACTGGCAGATGAGGAGCTTGTTTGCACTCTCATCCTCCAACTGGCCCTTGAAGTTCTTGCGGAAGCCGTCTAAATAGGCAAAAGTCATTGGTGTAAGGTAAGCGTCTGCAACGGCCGATTGACTTCGCGGCACGTATTTGGCCATGGACTGGCGGACGGAAGAAGCGGAGACCTTGAAGCCCATTTCTTCAGCGAGCTTTGTGACCTGTAACTCGTGGTCGGGGTATGTGTATGAGTGCATGAGGCCGATAGCGAGGTTCTTGAATCCTTGAGCTTTGAGTTCTTCAAGATCGGCGCGGACAGCATCAAGATCTGGTTTCTTCATGATCCTGACGACTTCTCCTGTTTGGCCAACGACGAGCGCTGGATCTGAGGAAACGTCAATTGGGCCATCTGATGGAGCTTCGCTTGCGCCCTCGATAGTGACTCGTTCATCAATCTCCACGACAGTCTCGTAAAGTTGCTTCAAGCGACGAACCGAAAGATCAAAAAGATCTGGTCTAGCCTGGTTTCCGATGAGAAGAACATCTCGGAAACCCTTTGTCGCAAGGAACGCCACACGGTCACCCTTTCTTTCAAGGAGAGCATTGGTAGCGACTGTAGTTCCCATACGAATAGACTCAATCGGCTCAAGGTCTAGTAATGAGCCTTTGGGTATTGTGGTGTCTAGGGCAGTCTCCAGAATCTGTCTGATGCATTCTGTGGGAGCGTCATCGTACTCATCAGGACATACTGAGAGGATCTTGAAGACGATGTGCTCTTGTCGACCGGGGACTTCGGCCCATGCATCTGTGAATGTGCCACCACGGTCGATGGCGATGCGGATGCCTTGAGATGACATTGTGAGGATGAGGATGAGGTTTAAGGGGGGAATAGAGTGTGAATGGTAGGAGAGAGGTTGAGATGAGGATGATTTGATGGCATGGTTAAGCTTGGACGAGTTGAAGCTGTATTATATTAAACAATCCGGGGTAGATCTCGCCCACGCACTCAATGTGTAAGTGGAGTGGATTTGCTATCATCGCCTTCATGAACGGCATTGGTCAGAATCTGCTTAATCATCGGCATCTCCAGAAAAGCCGATCAATCTGACCGGCAACTCTCAACTTACCGATCCATCTCCACCATCCATCCTCGGTATCATCAACGGCAAATACAGACGATTACCCCAGACTCGGACCCGCATTGTCAAAGAGTTTGAGATTATTCCATTACTCAACCATTTGCAAGGGTAGCCCGAAATGAGTACGCGACGCCCGAGAAGACTGCTTGCTGCGTGAGATACCTTGATGATGTGAACGTGATTTGGTCTGATTGTCAAGTAGTTGCCATCGGTGTCATTCGCAGAAGATTAAGTGCTCGGGTGAGAAACCTTGCCAGTCTTGTAAGTCGACGGCCAGGGCGGATGAATGTGAGTTCCCTGCGAACAAGGAGCGAAAGATACCAATTGCTGAGAGGTAAATACCATTCAAATGTTCTTAAGCCATTCTGACATGGTCTTCAATCATCTTGAAGTTTTTGTGATACACTAACATCATGTTTAGTTACCTCAAGAAGCTCGAAGAAGATAGCAGACGACTCCAGGCTATCACAACCCATAATCAGACTCCCGAAACCAATCCGACATTCACTCCCTTCGAGGATCAAGAAACCCGAGACGATGCGCCTCCATCTCTTTCAAAAGAAGAAAGCAATCTATTCAACCCTCTCTTCGATAGACAACCGGAAAAGCCGATCCAAGAACGATCCTCAGAACCAGGCTTCATCGGCGAAGCCTCATGCGCTGCTTTCAGCAACAGACTTTTATCATGTCTCGACGATACATACACCCCCTCGACAGCTGGCCTGTCCAACTATCATCGAATGAACACATATGGTAGACTGGCAGTAGATCAAGGACCCGAGTTTCCTGAGCGGATGCACGTCAAGTTACTCCTCAACGTGGCCCGAAGATTCATAGGGAACTACCATCCATTGTTTCTGAAAGTTACGTTCATGAAGGAGATTGATGCTGTTTATCGAAGGGAAGTGGTGCCATCAGCACTGTGGCTGTGTAAATTTTATGCACTCATGGCCTTGGGAGAGATATATACACATAGAAGGGGAGTGGGTGACAATAACAGAGTGCCGGGAACGAACTACTACGTTAGGTCGGTCAATCTGTTGCAAGAGAACCAAGATCTATATGAGGAGCCTTCTTTGATGCAGGTTGAAGTTCTCACTCTACTAGTAAGCCTCACTCCTTGCCATTCTACAGCCGACGTCGGCTAACTATATACCACCAACAGGCCTGGGCATCAAACATACTGGGCCGGATACGAACAGCGTACTGCTATAGTGGGATAGCCATGCGCCTGGCTCAAAGTCTAGGTATGCACAGATCTGCGTCGAGGCATACCACTCTCTCGCCTGTCGAACGAGAGAGTCGAAGGAGAACATGGTGGGTGCTTTACTTCTTCGACCGGTTCTCAGCATCAAAGCTTGGCCAGCCTATCACCGTCCGAGATGAGGATATTGATGTTGAGATGCCGAGTATGGATGGTTTGACAAAGGATGAGACGGCGGAGTTTCTCGACCCGCAGAATCTTATTATCAATATCAAGCTAGCTAAGATCATTGGAAATATCTGTAAGTTGCTCTTTTGCCTCTGTCTTCCGTCGTGTTACTAATATCGGCGTGTAGTGACACATATTTATGGTATACCCAAAGCTACGAACGGTCTTTACATACATCAAGTCCACGGCATTCTTAAACAACTTCGAGAATGGCATGATGAATTACAATCCGACATGCGCGTCAAAGAACGAGGTACTCCTCGACCCGTTGCAAGTCTTCATCTTGCATACAATCAATGCATCATACAAACAACTCGACCTGTTCTACTTCACCTCTTCAAGACTCAGTTCCAACTAGGCACCAAAGTGAGAGAAGATGCGTTGCCACGACAGAACGTCTCATCTATCACTCTTGCTTTGGCAGAGAGTTGCGTCAACGCTGCTCAAGCATCAAGCCGTATCGTGGAAGGCCTGTTTTTAGATGGTAGCATCGCGACCTTTGGATACTGGGATGCACATCATATATTCTCAGCAGCCATGGTTCTCATCATGTCAGCAGTAATGAAACCTACAGCCGTCAACTCAGATCATCTCGAGACCTTACTAAGTGTCTTACGATCTCTGAAGAACGACGGCAACATCCCAGCAGTCGACTTTTGCGAGAGACTATCAGACATTCAAGCCCGTGTGTTAACATTGCGGGCAACAGGTAGATTAGATGGGATGAGCTTCGATAGACCCCCAATGATCACACAAACTCCCAATTCCCTGCCAAAGGAAGTCCCACAAGCTCAGGAACAAGCTTTCCAAACACCAATGAGTATGGATAATGGCTCTGGGGTATGTGAATCTGGAATTATCGGTTACGAAAATGTTGATATCCTGGGTAATCCTCTTATTGGTAGCTTCTTGGATGGAAATCAAGTACAGTGGTTAGATGTGTTATTCACGGAGGATGGAACGTTAAGGGAATTTGCTTCTGAGATTGAAGAACCATTTCTATTCAGATAGAACACAAAGAATATAATGTCCTCGGTGACATTGGGCCAGTAACCATCAGTGTACTGATTGCCGTATCAACACTTTGGGATGCAGAAAGTCTCCCGCTATTTTGTAACTTCGTACATGATATATTGGTTTCACTATGTAGCCGTCCTCGAGCTTGGCGATCATCCGCCATCTGAGTAGATAAACCAGACATTTCCTCTCCACTACTCCATCCAGGCATCTGAATAGTATTTCCAGTGGACACATAGAAAGGCTTTCTAACGTCCTCTCTTGCGAGCACAGCCATCGCCATATCTTCGTCACCTACGTGTCAAGAGTTAGTCGGCATCTTATGTCTCTAAAGTGTCACAAGTCTATACGTTTCTGTAGGCTAGCATCGTCGACGTGACCCTCGGCACCTGGAATTCGTGTTAGTTAGGCCTAAACGAAAGTGAGTTCTTCGGGCCTATACGTTTAATATCAAGCGTGTTTTCTTCAACAGGAATAGGAATAGCGGCACCCATGACTGAGGCTACGAGAGTCATAGCAGACAAGATGGAAAAGAAACGCATGTTGATTGTAAGTTGAATATCAGAATAGAGTTAGAGCTTGGAAGTTGGTTACTGAGATTCCAAGACTCATTACCACTATTTATGTTTCTCTTGTATGTGATTAGACCCGGTTGCTTTGACAGAAAGCGGCAGATATACGGAATGTGTTACGAAATGGAGAGTACTGACCATGCAGCGATGAAAGGATGTCGTAACTTACCCCTTGTGAAGATTTTCTTGTAGATCTTCTGAAACGGAATACGAGACCGTGGTGGTGTAGTTGAATATCAAATCCTGGGGATGCATGGAGTTGGGGGCAGGATTTGAATCCATGCTGGGTGTGTGCATGCACTTGCTGGAGGATAACCCAGGTATATATCTCGGCAATCCGGCATCTTCGATAGGCAATCGTCTGACGTGTTCTTTTCCCCAGTAACTACCGATCATGGGTCTTGGGCAGGGAGTTGATCTCAGTTATTTACAAGTTTTAGAAGCACTCCTATAAGCTTGCATGTAAGATAGGCTGAGCTTCCCATCCCGTAGCGTTTAACGGGTTAAGTGTTGCCGTCGGCCGAGAAGGGAACAGGAAGCCAACCCCTCAGTTATCCAAGAGATGCGTGTATCGATTTGGGAGCTGGCCGACGTAGCTCAGTTTACAGTGTGATCCCGCTGCTTGTAAATCCTTTGTGCTATTAACGTCTATCTAGGCGCCATTTCATCGTCAGAAGCTGCATATCCCCTTGACACATGATGCTCTGTCTGAGCATATCTAAGCAATGATCTGGATATGCAATCAGTGAGAAGATGCGATCAAAATTGGCCAGGAAACTCACGATTGTGGTGCTCATTTGCTCTCTTTTGTTCTTGAGTGATATTGGGCAAGTAGTAATCTGGATACATGTAATGATGAAGGCGTTTCTATATGTTGCTTGGTATTAGGAACGACAAACTGTTAGAGATCGCTTTAGATAGAAAGACTTACTATACAATGAAGATTATGATAAACGTTGAGAGTCGCAAAATAGCCGCCATCGGGTAGCTCGATGGCCTGCTCCTTTCTGCCAGGTATATGGTTTATTTCCTCCTCGGTGATACGAATATTGGAGTCTCATAACATGTTAGCTAATAAGTAGGTTGAAAGGAGCAGGAATAAGTTAATCTTGAGCATTTTCTTCCCAGCTTTATCTAGCTCAGATGATGGTTTCCCAACGTAAATGGAATGTCCATGCTGGAAGATCTGGGCATGTGGCCCGGGATTGTAGGGAACTAACAAGTAAACACGTGAGCTCGAAAGTGGGAAGAGGAGTTGGGAACTTACTATATGCAACTTCAGATCCCGTTTCATGAGATGTCAAAATAGGGACCACGACGAATAGTAACAATACGGTATAGACAATGAAAATAAAAGTGTGTATGAGGATGGCTTTCCGCGGAAACAAATTTAGACGAGATGCCCCTCTGGATGCTTGCTGAAAAGAAAAAGTCTCAGTCTGCGACTCGGCATTGGCATCAGAAAATGAAGACCTTCCTGCTTCTTCAGATAGCAGGGCATCTTGCTCCATCTCTTTGTTGAATGTCATGATGGCAAGAGTATTGAGGGAGGCATAGAGTGAGGATGACCCCATGGATTCTGGGGATATTCGAGGACTCGAGTCTACATAGAATGCAAGTAAAAAGATCCAATATCCTTTGGCTGATCTGTGTCGGAATGGAGAGCCCCCAATGTGTAAGTGGGGAGGGGACCCTGGCTTGTCTCGACACACTCCCTTCTAGCCTATTTGTCGATCACAGCATGAAAGCGATTTGGCGACAGCGCTGGAGATATGTAGGATTTAAGTGATGTGACACACCACTTTATGCCGATTGTCCCTATCCCCGGTCGGTGCTCAGGGTTATCTTTGGTGTGTCAAAGACATTACATACGATATCAGATTTATCTTCACTTCAACAGTGTGTTGAAGGAAGCCGAACTTCCTGTTCTCACTACCTTTATCATTATAGTTCTACTTTTCTGGTGTATAGACCATTGATCAGCAACATCATGAAAGCATTCTACATGAAAGTTTCGAAAGCCATGTCTCGAAAGTGGAAATATCAACCCCTGGTGAATCAGGAGCCAGAGTATATATCACAGAGCAACGGCAGACCATCTACTAAGCTCAGATGCTAACATACTGACAGGTCTGTTGGAAAAGAAAGTGGTCGCAAGCTCAGCATATCGTGTCTTATCAGCATTTGCCTGGTAGCAGTCCTATTCGTGGGACTTACTATTTCATGGGGTATTTCATTGACGAGACATACAAGCTGCACTCACCCGGTGAGACGGATGGAATGGAGGGATCTAAACAAAACGCAGAAGCGCGACTACATCAGTGCTGTCGTCTGTCTAACTGAGAAAGAATCAGTCTTTGAGCCAGGGAGCAGCCTTTACGATGACTTTGCATATATGCATGTGTTCGAAGGCACTGTCACGCATTACGCTGCTTCATTCCTACCCTGGCATCGATACTTCATTCACACATACGAAAAAGCATTGGTAGAGGAGTGCGGATTCCAGGGATCTTTGCCGTAAGTGTAGCCCATTTCTATTGATGATAACTGCCTAACTTGATCTGGCATAGGTACTGGGATTGGGCATTGGACGCCCATGACCTAGCCGTCTCTCCGATCTTTGATCCTAATGATGGCTTCGGTGGTAACGGTACAAGCGGAAGCTCTTTACCCGAAATATTTGGGGGCCATTGTGTTACAGAAGGTGCCTTTGCGAATGCAACCCGCCAGTGGCAGTCAAAGTCGAACGGTCATGGATTCGATATCTTGAGGAATCCTCACTGCCTCGGCCGAGGCTTTCAGGTGGGTGAGAAAAAGGTCAAGTTGGAGAATCGAGTCACGACCGACGCTATTAATAGCGTGCTGAGTATAGCAGCATATGAAGAATTTGTTGATGCGCTCGAAGTTCAAGCTCACAACTCGATTCCTCAGTTTGTGCGAGGGGACTTTTACGGGCTGACCGCACCAAACGGTAAGATCACGGTACGCCTCTTCCGTCCGGCACCATTCTGACACTCTTGTGGTAGATCCTGTGTTTTATCTACATCACGCCCAGGTTGATCGACTATGGTGGCTATGGCAGCAGCAGGATATCGAAAGCAGAGCTAAGACCTATCAGGGTCCTAGACAGAATACCAGGGTCCATGCCAACGAGTCCCTAACGGGATCTAGCCTGGAGGATGTTCTCTCGCTGGGTAATCTGTCAAAGCCGATTCGGGTTCATGATGTAATAACAACGGAGTCAGAGGTTCTATGTTACCGCTATTGAACAGGTATAGAATAGAGATAGTGTAATAGTTGACTTGTATTACGTGCTCGCGAGCTGTCGGCCAAACCCCTGCATGTAAGCCATTGGGCGAGTGAACGTCAACTGTCGTTCTCGACAAATGCAATGGATGCTCAGAGATCGACAGATTTCACAGGGTATGTCAGATATGTATCCGACGACGTTTAAATGGCCTAAAGGAGGGAAACAACGCAATGCCTCTGTCTTGTCAACGAGGGATAATGCTCGTGGCGATAACCCGAGATCATCGTACACCCACAACTTGCAAAAGGTTTTGGGGGCGGAATTATGTAACTCAATCCGGTGTAGATTACCTTGCTTTGCGTCTTTTTCGTGTTATCTGATAATAAGTTACGGATCAAGCGGCAGCGACATCCCCTGCGATATTTGCTTCACATGGTGATGCTTTACTAGTAAGCTGCATGTCAGCGGCAATGTTAAAGCCGATACTGGCAGGGGAGTTTGAAAATGGTATCAACCGATACGGCTTCGAAATAAGTGCCGCGGTCTGCTTGAGAGTAAAGAGGAAACGATGCAGATAAGCTATCCACGAGTTTTCATTCAGTTCTAGTCAGCAAAGAATGGCTCTATGGTGCGAACGACCAAGACAGAACAAGGCTTATCCACCGCTCTCCAAAATACATCTGCAATCCATACAACCATAGGAGCCAATACTGCTAGAGCTAGCAGCACTCCGAGCTGGTACTGCCACTCAGTGGAGCTACCTGTGAAGCCCTGGAATGCAGGTACCATTGAATATCCGAAAAGATGCAAAACTGGGCCATGAACAAGATACAATGTAAATGATATCTTTGCCAAGTAACGAAGGGGACGTGACGTGAAAGGCTTTTGGAGTAGTCTATCCCTACTTGAAGACCAGCAGATTAGAGTTGCACCATAGGATTGCCAATAGATGTATCGATTTGTCAGTGTTGAAAGAAATACGTAACCAGGCATAGAAAAACCTGCGTCTCTCGCTCGAGGGTATGAGCTCAAGTATAGTCCAACCAGAAATACAAATTTCTGGAGGATTCCTGGCCGAACTGGGGACCGTAGTGGAAGTCGAATCGTGGCAGATTCACCGCCATCGGTGAGCTGAGCCTCGAAATCATTACGACTCTCGAGACTTCTCTCAGCGAGAAAGACCCCAGCGAAGAACAGGTATATCTCCCATCTTCCCTGCTGAAGTGAGTAGAGACATAGACAGACCAGTGTCGTACCACGAACCCAGACACGGGCTCTCGCCAAAGCAAGAAGTGTGAGATAAATAATCATGGAGGCGCGAAACTGGATTGGGACTGTCCATAGATGACTGTCATACTCAGATACTGGTGACTTCCAGCTCCAAGGGTGCGTCAAATCAACGACCAAGAAACGCATCCAGTCCCATATCTGCGCCCACAATGATCCGAGTTGCTCTGGATGCCTGGGCACCCAACCCGGCATATCTTGATACGGAGCCGTGTAAAGTCCCGCACTCACTGCAAGGGCGACGATGAATGTTGATACCAGTGGAGGTAGAAACAGTCGAAATGGGCGACGCAGCACTGATGACATGGTGTACAACCCAAGAGTGTTGTAATCTTTCTTGTGGATGAGTTTCAGTGGTTTGTACGCAAGAAAAAACCCCGAGACAATGAAGAAGATGGGCACAGTAGGCCCACCATAGATAAGTCGGATTATGGGGAGCTTGATGAAAGACATATTGTTGGTTTGGCCAAAACCAGTGTCAAGACCTTCTTCCCAGGGCAAGAGAAAGTGGCGAAGGAAGACGAGAAAAGAGAAGAGTCCACGCAATCCATCGAGATAAAGTGTTGGAGAGGCGGATGATCGCGCCTGAGCGCTCTCTTTGGGGACTGAGCCTTGGCTTATGAAGCTTGGGAGGAGGAAAATGCGAATACTTCGAGCATGAGAGATGAGAGAGATCAATTTGCCGTGGTCTAGGAAAGACCGTGTGGTTGGTTTGGGTTCTTGCTCGCCGAGCAAAATCCCGCCAGCCATCATGTCAGATCTTGGGCAGATGATCTAAAAAGAACGGTGTTGGAGGAGTAATCTACTTGGGATTTAAAAGATTTACAGTAGAAGTGACCTGGGGACATGACATGCGGGGATGCCAGGATATAAGCCGAAGGACTGGCGTTATTAATCCGTTGTGACCATTGGGGCCTGTCTGGTGCAAATACCCAGTACGGTTTCTGGAATTTCTATGCAGTGCATGAGTTATTGACATAGCTTTTGAATTTCTTGCAGTAGATCTTATATATAATATCTTATTTATCTTAACCCGTCATGGTCTTGACAGAGTTCATCAAAAATAGTTTTACTACTTGGTTCCCTCCCCAGAAAGTCTTTCAAAATCTCAATCTCCGGACGACTTGACCCCGGTTCCAGCACTTGATACCTATATTTTCTCCCCGTCTCCGGACTCATAGGATCTTCTGAAAATTCAGACATGAAGAGATCTGCTGCAAAGACCATCGATAAGGGATAGGCATAGTAACTACCATCGTTCTTACGAAACATATGCGCAAACCTCGCCTGTCCAGCTCCCCAATCACGCGGATTTGGTCCAAAGCTATGCATGAGAACATCTCTCTTTGTTTTGTTCCAGATTTCAGTTGTATCCATCTCTAACGCAGCTTCATGAGTTGGAGGTGTATGAATCGCTAGGTCAAATAGAGCTGGTTGGACTTGAGCCAGGATGTTGTTAGCTCTGTTTGCGTTTCTTGTTCGTGCGACGCGTTGTGCTAGTTCCCGAGGTAAAGCTTCTTGACTTGTATAATGACGACCGAGTCGAACTAATACTTCTGGGAGCCATATCCAATTCTCAAGCATGATGCTTGGAATTTCAATGAAGTCTCGTGAGTGAGGAATAGAATATTTTGTTATGGCCACTATGTTGTGAATGGCGTGTCCAAGCTCATGAAACATGGTCTTCACTTCACTGTGCTGAAGCAGTGATGGGCGGGATAGCGACAGATTAGCGAAGCTACACACCATGGCCGATGCTGGGTAGTGTTTATCACCGTTTGCTTCGGTGAAACCCTGAACTGGTAGTTAGTTTGATATACAGGAACATTGCTAGTAAACCTACCGGTTGAATCAGAACATGGTGTGCCCCACGATATTTACCATCTCTATCAAAGAGATCAACGTACAAATGTCCCAGAAAACTGCCTCTTTCGCTGGCTGAGTCCCAGGCTTCATATGCCACGACACTCTTGTGCCATACTGAAGTTTCAATAAGCTTAAAGTCGATCCCAAAAAGGTCGTGGAACACATTAAGCATCCCCCGGAGAGTATGATTGGCTTCAAAGTACTCAGCAAGGAGCTCTTGGTCCACGGAGAAAATTTCCTGGGCTTGCTTGTGCAGATAATACGCCCTCTCCCATGAGTGCAACTCACTAACAGGCTCTTCATAATCCCTTTGCTTGAAACGAATCAAACTATCGGTCTCAACTTGCGCAAGTGGCTTTAGCCTTCTGTGAAGGTCATCCAGCTGAGCCTCAACATAAGCAACGCTAGGTGCCATCTTATCCGCAATCTTGAGAGCCGCATGGTGTTCAAACCCTAACAGGCGAGCAACTTTATCGCGTAAAGCGACTAGCGAAGCTAGACGAGCTACGTTTTCAGGAAGACGGTTCAGTCCAGCGACTGCAAACCGGTGGCGAGTCTCACCGCTGACTGCGAGACGCATCACTGCTGTAACATGGTCATTTCGGAATGTCACTTGGATCCGAGTTGCGTCTTGAGGCATAGATGCAAGTATAGTCTCTGGAACGCCCGTCAAATCTGCACGGTCAAACCAGATACCACCCTCGTCCTCTGTGAAGGCAGCTTGTGCGGCAGATCGCACCTGATCGATCTCCTCCAGAGCGGCTCGGAGCTCTTCCCGCTCTTCATCGCTTCGTAAAAACGACCCAGAACGCATGTACTCGCCATGCACACGAGCAAGTAAGTGTTGATCTTCTCCATCTAGGTTCGCATCCGGAGCCGTCTTCTCTCTGTCGTATATTACCGCCACTAGGGATGCAATGTCAGGTCGCATGAGGATCTTGACCTGAGCTGCCGCGACACGTGTTTCAGCCTGACGGGCAGCATCACGAAGTTCCTTGTCCGGCGATAACTGTGCCAGCAGCGTCGTCAGAATGCGTAGGCGGCATGCGGCACGGTTGGTATTATCTATGATGGGTCGGATAATACTGGTGAAGGTTGTGGACGAGGGTGTGAATGTAGCGGCAAGATCGTCATGCAGAGCTGCTGTTGAGTTGAGGATATTTTGGGTCTCGGCTAGTACCGCTTCGGCAGTGAGACTTTCGAAGGATGGAGGTGCAGGGACTTTTGGTTCGGAATTCATTGTGAAATCTCAGGGATATACACTATTGTCTATACTTCCAACTGCCGTTCTTGCCGAGGGTCTTTATAATCCTATCGTGGGGGCTAAAAAGCCTTTAAGCACCTTGGTAGGATGATCACACAATTCCGGACCCTTGAAGATTGATGGCCAATTAGGTAAACCTCGCTAGCCGTACACAAACTCGTACATTTGTCATGCCGCACCAAGCAGTCGGGGATAGATCTCACCCCCAGATCGAATTCCCCAGGAAAGCTATCTGAAGAGTTGGAGGATCCAGCCACCGCATCACTTTTGCACAGAAGGCCATTGCTCATGGCCACTCCGGTGTTGACCTCCCCTCGACTCATTCTTTCGATGCATCGCTCAACAAGGCCATCAGATAGGGAATATGTCCCTGTTCAGACCAAAGAGACCAACTCACTAAATGATGATTCTTCAGATTCAGATATTGCTGCAGCGAGGTCGAGAGAGCACCAAAGACGGAACCTCTCATGTTTTCTCGTTTACATACTACCCTGGGTACTCACAGTGATGTTTGCAATATTATCAATCATACTTCTTGCTAAGCTATATACTCAATCTCAATTGGGAACATACGAAACGAACTTCGCAACCGACTTTTGTAAGTCAGCCTCTACGCAAGCTACTCCGTCAAGATACTGATCTTGTCTCATCAGCTTTCCCAATACGAACTCCCCTAGAGAAGATCCAGTTCCGGGGCAGTCCGCATTTTCATAACAACGGCACGCCCTGGATAAAAGACCCAGACGAGACAGCACCATGGCCAGAGAACGTGAGATATGTTGGTGAACCAAGCCAAGAGCTCGATGAGAACTGGCAGAGGCTCATTGGCAAACGGTACTTCTCTATCTCGGACGAGGAGGCCAAAAGAGCTTGGGGAGATAAGAGGCATGAGTATGTAGATCAAAATATGGGAGGTTATACAGTTGGGTATGAGATATCCCCGAGCCTTGACATAAGATAATTACTAAACGCATGATTGCTAGGTTCGACATGTTTCATACGTTGCATTGCATTGTAAGCCTTTGAGCCCCGGGTTGGTCATTAGAATCAGCACTGATTAAATAGAATGAGCTTCGCAAGGCGTTGCGTCCCGAATACTACCCCCCGAACTCTCATACGCTTCATGGAGCACTTCAAAACGGCATGTCTCCCATTAACTGTTCTTACTATGTTGCTCTTCTTGAAGGCTCACGGCTAACCTCCATGCAAGACCATTGTTTAGAAATGCTTCGCCAAACAGTTCAATGCTATGGCAGCACAGCTCTGATACCCACAAAATTCATGGAGGGTCTTGAACATAATTATATTGACTCAGATCAGCTTCATGTTTGCCGTTCATTTACTGCCATTCGAGATTTCACGGACTCCAGAATGCCAGGCAGGGACAGATATGTCACTCGGGACAAGTCTTTGTTGGATGATAGGAAGCATGCGATTGCGAAAGCATTGGGGAAGACCAATGGCGATAATTCAAAAGGAGGGGCGTCGTAATCAATAGTGGCTTCAGGATATGAGAGTCTGATTCGATATATGAGGTACTCCTTTTCGAGCCCATACTTCTCATCGCGTACCCGCAGGATAATTAAACTTGGTCGATTGCTAGGCCAGCAATAGCCTAGACAATTCAATGATTCCAGGGGAATAGATTAGGGTTGACGTGGCATAAGGTTTATTAGACACTGAGTTGCTAGGTTAGTGGGTGATATCGTTTGCTTCCCGCACGGCAAGACAGAAGTTGCCGTCCCCGGAATTCAAGACGTCTACCCTGATAGATACCACTCCTGGCGCAAGTACCATAGGCAGGGTAGGCATTTACGCCGCTAAGAATCAAAAGACTTGTGCAGATGCGAGCTTTCACTGCACAGAGAAGACAGAACAGCTTTGCTCCTGCTGAACCGTCGTCGCATCTCACTCGAGACTTCATTTGCCAAGAGTCACGGTAGCACATCATAGACCCCTGCAAGAGGTTCTGCGATGTTATTCTTGTTGTTGGACGGCATACCTCGCTTGATCGGGCACTTAGAAATCATGATGCTCTTGAAACATGATATGACAGCAGGGGGTAGACATCAAGAACTCAGATCTAGTCCATCGTTTCCAAGTCTAAGGTAGACCGGAATGACAAACTTTGCCACTGTGGGAATTTCATCACTGTTCCTATACCTACACAGTCCAGTTGCTAAGAGGGTTCGAGTCCAATTTCTACCTGTCGGTCTGATGGGGGGAAAGGTGGCAGCTTATATACCCCATCCTCGTGACTTTTGAGTCATTCTTTTGAGAGTTCCTATTCACTTATGTTTAATTTAGAAAGGTTCGTACATGTTTTATGGTTTTGTGTTTTCCCCAATGGATCAGACCTAGGCTCTCGTATGATCCAAAGGTTCACGACGATATTTGGAGACGGGAGCACGTAAGAGATTGAAAGAATCGGCGAAATTTGAAAAACTACGTGCTTAGCATCCATTTCAAGTTGAGATATAGTGTGGCAGCCTCTCAAGCACCAAACCATGGGATGATTGACTGGGACATTTGCCATGACCTAGGGTCTAGTTCTGGAGTCTCAAACGACAACTCTACAGTTGATAGCAAAGGTGTTACGTACGCAGAGGAAGACCTTTAACATCTTTGAGTTTATATGTGTATCCAGTCACAAGACAAAGTATCAAGCAAGATACTTCGTTTGCTGCCGAGACCCGCGACTGACAGCTTATCTTCAACCCTCAACTTGGAATATCTGGGCACATTTTCTAGATCAGTATGTACGATATTTTATCGTCTAAATATCAGATACAAGTATACAAATGGACGCCAGGTGCTTGAGTGCAATCGAAGCTTGAAGAGGGTCGTGCAAATGCGCGCTGTCTTATCATCCGATGATAGTGTAGCCTAAACGTCGATCAATAACGTTCCATCATTGTTCTATGCATTCATAGTGGATCCACGAAAGATAGCAGGATAAGATAAGTGGTGCTAGATAGATAAACATGTTGAGGCGCTGATGGCAACTTGCAAGACACCATTCTCATCAATCTATCAATCAATGAACATCGTCTTGATGACCGCTTGGAGCAATTGTGAAGCAATGAATGCAGATACCGATGGCACAACGAGGTAATTTCTCAATAGCCGAGCTGAACCAGAATGACGTCTCACGGCGCGTCTAGTTTTAGTGACAACCCGGCAACTTTTGAGTTGCCGGTTCCCTGAATCATGCCCCATCGGCAAACCCCTCACAAACCGACGCCAGCTCCACCAAGACAGGCAGGTCAACCAGCGATCCCGGGCCAAATCCCTGCCGCGATGATTCTGGGGTTACAGCACGAGATAGTTCCTGTTACCAAATACAAATCCCACTCCAAGATCCGGGGTAAACCTCCGTGCGGAGATAAGACTCCTTGTTCTTAAATTGACTGGGCCCTTCACTCAACTTCTCTCCATCATCATCTCATCTCGCAATCTTTGTGGTCGACCATTAGAGGAATACGCGATTCGCCACTATGACTTCAAAGCCTGATATCCTTCCTGACAAGGAGATTGAGGAGCAGCGCAGTGCTCAAGATGAGATTTACATCGACCCAGTTGCTGAGAAGGCGCTTTTGAGAAAGCTTGATATGTGGATTGTTCCACCTGTGATGCTGCTCTACCTTCTCAGTTTTCTGGATCGTGTCAATATCGGCAATGCGCGACTCTATGGTATGGAAGAGGATCTTGGTTTAGTAGGTGATCAGGTGAGTACCCACCGATGAAAATTCGATCACTATACTAACAGATGCAGTATCAACTTGCGGTCTCGGTTTTGTTCGTCACGTACATCGCCTCAGAGCTTCCATCGAACCTCGTCATCAAGAAATTCAGACCCTCACGATGGATCGCCTTCATCACCACTGCCTGGGGTATCGTCGCGACACTTACCGGCATCGTGCAAGACTTCAAGGGTCTGGTCGCATGCCGTGTCATTCTCGGCGCGCTTGAAGGCGGTCTCTTTCCTGGTCTCACCATTTATCTCACCATGTTCTATACCAAGCGCGAATACGCCCTTCGAATCGGTTATCTTTTCGTCAGTGCTGCTATCGCGGGATCGCTCGGTGGCCTACTCGCTTACGGTATCGGTCATATGGACGGCGTTGCGGGACTACGAGGCTGGCGATGGATTATCATCATCGAAGGAATTCCAACGTTTATCCTTGGAATCGCCGTTTGGTTCTGGCTCGCGGATGACCCCGATTCAGCTCATTACCTTACCATCAATGAACGCGAACTCATAGATGCACGAATGCGACGACAAATTGGTCACACCAAATCTTCGGATCAGATGCATAAGGAAGATGTCTATGCTGGTCTCAAGGATTGGAAGATCTGGCTTTTCTGCATTGGCCAGTTCGGAGGAGATACTATTCTCTACGGATACAGCACCTTCTTGCCAACTATCATCCGTGGTCTCGGTGATTGGAACAATGCTCAGGTTCAGGCTCTCACGATCCCTTGCTACGCTATGGGTGCGATTACCTACCTCGTGGTGGCATGGTTCTCTGATCGAACTCAACGACGAGCTGTTTTTACAGTCGTCCTTGGTCTTGTCTGTGCCATCGGGTACGCTCTTCTCGTCAGCCCAGCTCCATCTGGCGTTCGATACTTCGGTTGCTTCCTCGCCGCCATGGGATTATATGTCATCGTCGGTTTACCTCTTGCCTGGCTTCCCAGCAACAACCCTCGTTATGGTAAGCGTACTGTCGCCACTGGTCTGCAGCTTACCATTGGTAACTCTGCCGGAATCCCAGCTCCCTTTGTAAGTACAGCCTATTCCCTCCAAAGAGCCTTAGCTAACACGACATTAGTTGTACAAAACTCACGAAGGCCCCCGCTTCGTCAAAGGCCATGCTGTTTCCATGGCCCTGGTTGCCATGTCTTCACTGATCTACATGGCCTTCTGGGCTTGGTTCCGTCGTCAGAATAAGAGAAAGGTCGAGGGTAAGGAGGATCACAGAATCCAGGGACTGACTGAGGAGGAAGCCGAGGAGCTCGGAGAGCATAACCCAAGATTCCACTACACTTACTGAGAGGCTTCTTTAGCCAAGTCCAGTTATTCTGGATATTTGTTTAACTATCAAGATTTGATTCTACCTATATTTCTTTGTATTCTTTTAAGTAAGGCAATAAGAGAACCGTGTAGCATTTGAATTCCAGCGCGGCCTCTTTCGGGCCGTCGTGGCTGTGAATCTGGAGGGCCTCAATCTTTTCTCTTCGACCAACCAACTTGCTTGTTTCAACTGTCGGCTGCGTTGTGACACCAACAAGCCACGTTCTCCTATTAGCCAGTATTTCGATTCAGCCCAAGGCTTGCTTCTAAACAATCTCAATGAGGCTGTGCCATTATGTGACTCAGAAAATTTCAATTTGGCAAGCTCGCCTTGCTCATAATCTTCACCTCCACATCTGTCGCTCATCCTTCCATCTCGCATTCACAATCCTCTCTTCCATCTTATTTCATCTTTCACAGAACCCATCAAAAGATTTGTTACATTTCTTGGATTTATATGTCTCGCTGAGATATCATAATCCTACTGCAGTATCAATCAACTGTGCCATGGAAGTAGCTGGCCTCACCCTCGGGGCCGTGGCACTCGTAAGTTTATTCAAAGATTGCGTCGACCTTTTCTCCATGATCACAGTAGCTCGTGGCTTGGTAAAAGATGCGGCCATACTGGACACGAAGCTCGATGTCGAGAGGATGCTATTTCTTCAATGGTCTGAGCGCGTTGGACTTCTAAAGAAGGACTCCACGAACACGCTGTCTCACGACACGGATACCCGACAAATTGTTTCGCGTATTTTAGAAAGCGTCAAAAGCCTGTTGAGTGAAGGCCAGGCTCTGCAAAGAGACTATGGTCTTAAGAAAGTTGATGTTACCAAGCTTACCACCGAGCATACCGGCACTGGATCGACAACGGGCTATAGAGGCGCCAGCTCTTATCGATTCGAAAGGTTCCTCAAACAATTTGAGGCGCTCAAAATTCGGCCCTCTCAAGTCTCGGATGCCGGCCAGCACAGGGAGTTGAAAAGAACCACCAAGCAATTGCGTTGGGTTATCGTCGACAAGGATAAATTTAACTCTCTCATCGACCATCTCTCCTACTTCAATACCTCCCTTAATAATCTTGTTCCGATCTCGGTAGAATCTGAAACGACTCCTTGCGAGAATGATTTGATTCAAATCAAGGACCTTGCTGAACTTGACTTGGTCATCCAAGCAACAGCGAATACACGGCCAAGCGTCAGCAAAGCAGCTGTTGCTGCTAAGTCTGCGCTTATCTCATCTCGTGTTCTCCGCTCTCTCTGGTTCCGCTCGTACGACGACCGCAGAATTAATATCAAGAACCATCACTTCAAAACTCTACAATGGGCTCTTGATCCCCCTAGCGATTACCTTCAGTGGGACGATCTCAACACTTGGTTACAGAGCGCATCTGGGTTATACTGGCTTTCTGGGAAAGCTGGGAGCGGCAAGTCAACTCTGATGAAGTACCTTCATCAGCATGAGAAAACACATGCTCTACTTCGAACCTGGGTCAATGGCTCTGGACTGATCTTCGCAAGCTTCTTCTTCTACGCTCTTGGAAAGTCGGAGCAAAAGTCACAGTCTGGGCTTTTGCGAAGCCTGCTCTACCAGATTCTGGAGCATGACCCAAGTGTCACTGAAAGCGCTCTTCCTCATATGTGGCGAGAAGCGTGCTACACTCAGCAAAGATCTCTAAACATTGAAGTTCCATCCGTTGCGGAGATGACAGCTGCTTTAAAAGATCTATGCTCAAGGCTTCATTGCGATAAAAAGATCTTTTTTTTGATTGACGGTATTGACGAATATGAAGGGAAAGATATGGATGTTGCAAGATTTATCAGCGAGCTTGAATCGTTTTCGAACGTTAAGATTCTTGTGTCAAGTAGACCGCATCCGGCATTTTTCACCGCATTTTCTCAAAAGCCAATGATGAGCCTTCAGAAGTTGACGAAACACGATGTTGCTACCTATATCGACGATACCGTGGCCTCTCATCCCTACATGATGACTATATCTCGACTATCCCCCCTGGAAACTGGAGATATCACGCAAAGGCTTGTGGAAAAGGCATCCGGCGTTTTCCTCTGGGTCGTTCTCGCTTGCCGGTCGGTCATCGAGGGATGTGATGATTTTTGTACCATAACCGAGCTCAAAGAAAGAGTTGACGAGTTGCCCAAAGAGGTTGAGGATCTCATTGAACATATGCTTGGGAAAATTGATCCAAAATGGAAGCAAGAAGCTATGAAGCTCATACATCTTGTTTACACCAATGAAGGTTGCAAGGGAATCGATCCCATTCCAACTCTAGGGTTGTACTTGACACACGAAAAGGGGCTTGGTGGAGATACAAGCTTATCAGGAATGAACCTCGAACCGGTTCCTCTCACAGAAATGGAAGACCAATGCCGCATTATGGAGGGTCGAATAAGGAGTCGGTGCTGTGGCCTACTTGAAGTCTACAACTATGACCGACATGAGAGGATAATTGAGGAATGCACTGTCAAATTTATGCACAGGACTGTGTACGACATGCTGTTACAGCCAGACGTCTCAAATCGCCTGTTCAGAGACCTTCAAAGCGAGGACTTTAATAGCTACGCAATCTTGTCTGAAATCTGGTGTCGAATGATCCACACTGATTCAGGGTCTGACGAGATATATATGAATGCTTTGTGTCCTGTCAAATATGGAGACTTGAATGGATGCCCGCCTGAGATCACAGTCCATCTCCTTTCAAGGTTGCAATTCCTCTTTGGCCAAATTACTGCTACTTCATCGCCGTCACCAGACGTTCCCCGTTACTTACGACATGATAAAGAATGTCGCAGACACTGCGATGACTTGTCAGTGGTTTTCCCGCTTGCTCTCGAGATGGGAATGTATGATGTAATTCGCTTTGTCTTTGAGAACAAGGATTCATTGGGGCATTTATTGTTTCGTCCACTAAACATTACATTGCTAGGGGACTGCCGGGTCGCGCAGAGTGCATCCAACCCCTGTCACCAATTTAGCTGTCAAGATGAGGGACATATTCTTGGGAGCACATACCCATTGATCTATCACGTTATGATGCAGCCATTGTTACAAATCTACTCTTATGTCGGCAGTAATTCCTGGAACCTGGAACGGTTGCCTTTAATGCAGCTTATCTTAAACATGGATGCGAATTTACAGCATCACAATAAGGGGATGGGGAGAAGACAGCTAGGGGTCTTAGGTGCGAAGCATAGCCCTCATAGTCTCGATTCGTGGGACATTGCCGACCTATTCGAATCAATCGAGAGGTTAGCCAAGGATGACTACGAAAACCGAGAGGAATGGAGGGAGGTGAAAAGATTGTGTGAGGAACAGCTGAAAGACGCTTCCTTTGGACGCAACAGACCGATACAACAGCCCCAGGGAATGCGACCCGAGATTAGGACCGCGAAACGGGGGCTTACTACAAATGATTCTATAGAGCCTTCTAGAAAAAGACAGAGGTAGTTGGTCTAAGGCTAAGAGTACTGTATGACATGCTTGATATGATGTTACCTGAACCTTTGCGCTGCAAGACACAACTACTTACCGGACACTGAGAAGCTATACTTAGGCAGCATGGCTACATTTTAGATAACGATTAGTTGCTCTTAAAAGAGATTCATTGCAATACGTGCTACTGGCTTTGTTCCTCAGTTGATATCTTCTCTAAATCACACCTTCCATTTCGAGCAGCATAAGCCACAGCGATGGACCTATCTCAACCCCTGCCAAGTCTTGTGAAATACGAAAATATTCCCCGCTTATTATGCAGCCCTCATTGCCCGCTTATTCGATTGATTCTAGAATACTTTTCAGCTGAACAGAGCGTGATTTGTTAAGCTTGAAATCACCCAAAGGAGCAATAAAATCATCGTTTGGTCTGCTGTGAGTAGGACCTTTGTCATCGTGCCTCTGCGGCTGAAGTCTGAAGTACTAGAATGATTCTACCCTACGGATACACGGCATCTTTTGTCTATGATTTCTATGTCTACTTTACGGATATGCGGCATCTTATGTATGCAAGGCGATGAAAGGTGTTGATAATATCGTGGTAAGCTTCAAAGCTTGTTGAGCTATGTCGCTCACATGGATATAATGTTTACCACTTGTGTATTCGTATATATAGGAGACCAGTCAATGCAGAAAATCAGACTTTCAAACCCATCCTCAAGAACAAGATTTGCTTCGATCCATTACCATCAATAATCATGCTTTTCCTCAGTACTCTGGTTCTGTCTTTTGTAGCAATCGGCTATGCCACACCCCTTGCTGTTAGACTGGACAACACTGAGCCTCCAGAGAACGCTACATTTGTTCAATGTGTCGAAGGCACCACAGACCCTATCTGCCTCAAGATCAGCAGACCATCTTCAGATGTAATCACGGAGATTGTTCATCCTGATGGAACCGTCGAGGTCCACCGCAACAAATACACCCGCGACCAACTCAAAGCCATCCGTCATAAGAACAAAGTCAAGAGCATCAAACACAAACCCGGCCACACTGCCCGCGATGAATCTGCCGCATTCATCAGCGATCTCACCAAGAGAGAGTCTGCCCCGCCAATCTGTAGGAGCGAGACTCAAAGGTGGTGGGATCAGAAGGAATGGGGCTACTGGTACCAAGCTTGGCACCAGGTTGGTAACTGTTTCTACTGTAACCAGTGTACCGAGGCCATTGCAGTTGGTTTCTCTGTTTCTCAAACCTGGACCGTTGGATTGAGTGCCAAGTTCGGCGAAGTCATCGAAGCATCTTTTGATTTCTCATGGGGTGAGACGCACACTCTGTCTGATACCCGAACATGCCAGTGGAACAATGTTCAGTCGGGGTGCCATTCCATTTGGTACCAGCCCTTGATGTCTTATCATAATGGATACGCGAACTATCAGACTCATACACACTGTAGCGCTGGTCAGGGCCAAGGAGCGACGGATTCTTATTACGACCATAATTATGCGTATGCCAATGTCAATCAGATCGGCAACAACAATGGTGTCAATCAGGGTAATCTCGGGTGCGACAGTGGTTGTCAAGGAAATGATCACAGGCAGTGTCAGTACGGAAACAATGGTGGTTCTCTTTGGCCCAATGCAAACTAGAAAAGGCTGGAATCGGGTCACTTGACAGAGAGACAAGCTTACTCAACCTTTTTGAGGCTGTCACACCCGTACTGGAATTTTCTACACTGTATTCCTATTATTAGACAGTAATAAAAGGTTGACCTATTCACAACCTTGGTAGTTTACAATCTGTGAAAAGGACAAGTGCCTCCGTAGCATCAAATGAGGCTGAGCATGCAGTTTGCTTCTATTAACAATCTCAATGTCATGCAATACGTTATATTAATAATTAATAAATTCAAGGGTGAAGGAATTGCTTGGCGTAAGACCAACTGCTACTCTAGACGTCAGAAGTTCGGAGCTTTTATGAATCGCCAGGGATTTATCTTACATACATATGCCGGACCCCACGCAGTATTGGCGAGCAAGCGAGTCATGATCTGGGGCAGTAGCTAATATTATACCCAATCATGACTCTGGTGCGATGGCAATAGACGAGCCAGCCAATTAGGATTGTTTAACTAACCTCTTGGCGACATGTTTAATTATGTTTGGTATGCGGCACTTTTGCATCACTAACTCAGCCTTGTAGTATGCAACCTGTCTCGTTACAGGGGCCCATGATCGATTTGTAAAACACGCCAAACTACAGATAGACGGGAATATTAGTTGCACCGACTACTCCTAGACTGCTAAGTCAGCCCACCTCAGTACCGTGTAATTCCCATTGGAACCACAAAGTCTTTAGCTTTGGACAGTAACTTATCTTACAGTACTTGGTTATGGATTCAGATCCTAGTCTGGTCCTTGGCCGCGTTAATTGCGATAGCCACGCCATCCCCATAAAAGTCCCCCACATCAACGGTCGCCCTATAGCCTTACACGCTGGGATCAATCGGATCATCACAGTGGCTGTGAGCTTGGGCCGTGGATCCTTTGCAATCCTTCAATGCACCACAAGTCTCCATACTATATACAAAAACACCAATAGTGCTGCGATGCCAAGTCTCATCTCGCCAAACATTCATGTCAGCTGCCAAGCTCAACATGGTGCCACAAAGAAGCTGGACCGTGTAACGAGTGGAATATATATATGCCCTCTCTTGCTCAGTAAAAAAGCTTGAGATCCAAGTCTTCATCGGCTCACTTGGCTATACCTCCCCACAAGTCAATCTATCTCTCGCATAATATCTTCACCATGAAGACCACTACCGCTCTTTTGGCACTTGTTGCTGCGGGAGAGGCCTCACCCCTGTTCTCCAAGCGGGACGCGAACGATATCTTCAACGACAAGCAGAAGTTCTGCAAGGGATGGGACTTGAAGACCGTCGAGGGCGTCGACAAGCTTTGGGAAGACACAGCTGCTGGTGTATCCCTCGAGCTGTTCATAAAGAGCCAATGGGGTAAGCAGCTTGCTTCTCGTCCTAACACATAAAATGCTGACCGTTAGCCTCATAGAGCACCAGAATAACTGGGTTAAGAATCTGGAGGATCAGGTCATGGGTGGCACTGATGGTAAGTCTGGTGCTAGCGGCTGCGCTCTCATTGGAACTAGCTGCAACCCCATGGGCGGCATCGGCTGCGAAGAGCAGTTCGATAAGTACGGCAAGACATTTGTAGGCAAGAACTCGTACTGGACCTTTCAGGCTGTCAAGGGCATGCATGGCAAGTTCGCCGAATTGCACCGCCAGTTGACCACTGAGACTCTTGTCAATGGCCTCAAGATCGGGCAGATGGTTAAGGACTTTAGCGGAAGCGAGAGTGGCTCAGGCAATATGAAAGGTTGGCTTTCAGCAGCCGCAACTATGGGCAATGCCCTTGGAGGCCTTGTTCCTGGAGTGGTACGTTACATTGTCTGTCCAGCTTCATTCTCCGTTACTAACTATCGCTATTACAGGGCTCTGGTATCTCTGCCGGCATGGGTATTCTGGCAGGTATCATGTCCGGTCTCTCCTTGAGCGACGATGAGGATGATGGTGCTGCTACTATATCAGCCGGCCTTGCCGACCTCTTCAAGTCCGCTTCAGTCAAGCTCGAGGATACTCTCCGAATCGCTACCGGAGGTGGTAGAAACGACGACGAGTACAACTCCCTCCCCGCCCCCAAGTGGGACACTTACGAGACCAAAATCGCCAAGTTCTTCAACGGCGGCTGGTTCCTTCTCGACGATGACGTCGAGACCGTGCGCGTTACCCTGGGCTCCATCACCAACAATATCCAGAAGAAGGTCGCCAACGACGTCATGAAGGCCTCCAAGCTACACCTTGTCGCTGATAAGCTTGGTGGCAAAGATTCTCGTGAAGACTGCGGTTATTCTACCGGTCGTCAGTGGCTGCCGCTCCGTGATGGTGAGGAGTACTGCTGGTACATCATGCGAAATGACCCCAACCCCATTCGTGAGGGCGAGTGGACCGAGGTTGGTGCTGATATCTACGAGAAGATGGCTTCATTTGGTCTTGGTGATCGCGAGACTTACTACAAGGCTCTCATCGACTGTGCTTTGAACAAGGGCGACAGTGATGAGGTTGACACTAGTAATCTTGTTCAGGGAGAGATTCCCCGATGCTTCTTTAACCTACCTGCTGTGTTTGTTGAGCATGACAGCTCAACTGGCTGCGGAGGTCCTTTCGACAAGCAGGACTGTGACTATCGCAAGGGCACTCCTCTTAAATGAACTAAGAGGAACAATCGCTACTAATTTTCTATTGCCTACCTGTCATACCGCCTTGCAAAGATGAGGAAGATAGTATATGTATATATTTATCCAAGACTTGGTTGTAGACATCACGTTTTATTTCTTTATATATTATACTATTTGTAACTACTTCTAAGTCATGGAGGATCTTTAATATCACATGTAACGTGACTTTATCTTCAGAAATCGATCTTTGAATTCAACATCAGATCCTGAGGTTTTATTCTCAACTGGAATTACTAAGGCTCTGATTGCTTCCTACATAAAACACCTTTAATTTGTAGAGGCTCTCTGCATACTGAAGATATGGTTGCAGTACGGCATGTAGGGCTAGATACATCTGGCTCTGCTCTCCTGTATGAAAGAGTCGATTAACCTTCTCAAGTAAAGTATGACCTAGAAGAGTACGGATGAAGTGTCCCAGCAGATTCCGGACGCAATCAAACTTACAGATTCGAATGCAGTAGATGTAAGGACGCCAGTCGTTCGTGCAGACTGCAATGTCTATCCGCCACAAAACATCACCGGAATCTCACTCGCACCGACTAGTATCAGGACACGCGAGGTTACTAGCCTTTATTCAATACAAACGAGCAAACAAAGCAGTGTCGATTTTCTGGAGCACATAGTGCAACCCTAACCATAACATCATCGCTGTTACAGGCAGTTAGTCTCTACTTACCGAATGCCGCGAAAAGGGAAGGAATAGCCACGATGTTTATTGTCTCCTGGGAGCTGTCAGCGTTTTGAATTACCTTATCAAGAGAGTTAAAAATGGTGAACTCGGAATCTATAGAACATCTAGAATTACTCAAGATGGGACCATGGGTTCATATAGAAGCTCCTGAAAAGGTCGCAAGCCTTTTGCTTAAGTTGTACTTGATCAATTTATAGTTAAAATTATGCTTTGAAGATTCCATAAACTCTGGTCGCCATTGTATATCACCAGTGTCATCAGGAAGCAAGAACAAAGCTTTCATGTAGAGCTTAAGAGTTGATTAAAACGTTCATGCACAAATGCGCAGTACTGATATCGCGGTAGGTGAAGTAGATATAATACTAACGAAACTATTGTATAAATAATTGAAGAATGTTTTATTTGCTCCAGAGAACTTATCATTGACTAGTAGATAGTCTCAAACGGGAGCAGAGATGGCCTGAACAGAAAGTGTCTGTCGGTGATAGAAAGTTAAAGGTCATTCAACCTGCTTAAGCAACAGCGACACAAGCATTCGTTCCCTTCCAAAGACCACTGCAATCCTTGCCGACTGCGGGATTCCACTTCGCAAACTGTGCCATTGTAATCTTGTCGTAATTCAAAACGCCTTGACACGTAGTCTGAGGGCCGATGAAGTGGAATTTTACGCAGTTCTTGACCATACCCTCCTGTATAGGCGTAGGCGTGGTGACTCCGTTGCCAGCAGTAGTGGTAGGGCTTGGCTTGAATCCTACCACGCCGACACACGCATTGGTGCCCTTCCAGAGTCCGCCGCAGTCTTTACCAACACCAGGATTCCACTTGACGAAATCTGCAAGAGTAATCTTGTTGTAGTTCAAAATACCTTGGCAGGTAGTTGTAGACTGGACAAAGTGAAACTTGTTGCAGTTGGAGACCATGCCATCTTGGATGGGAGTTGGCGTTGTGATACCATTGCCCTTGGTGGTTGTAGCTGCTGGCTTGGGCTTGGTGGTCGTCGTCAGTGATGGAGTAAAGCCAATAACACCGACACATGCGCTTGTGCCCTTCCACAAGTTGCTGCAGTCCTTGCCAACGGCAGGATTCCACTTGACAAAATCTGCAAGGGAGATTTTATCGTAGTTCAGAATGCCTTGGCAGGTTGTGGTGGATTGAATGTAGTGGAATTTGTTGCAGTTGGCCACCATGCCTTCTTGGATTGGGCTTGGAGTTTCAATGCCATTTCCGGAAGAGCCCTTGGTAGGAGAAGGTTTCTGGGGAGCAGTAGACTTGGCAGTGGAAGTGGTAGTGGTTGTCTTGCTGGGCGGCGGCACGTGAGTAGATTCAGGCACTATCGTCTTGGAACTAATGACGGTCGGCTCATCATCGTTTACAGTCCCAGCAACACAGTATGAACCGTTGGAGTCGATATCAGGGCACTTGACACCGGGGTTTAACGACTTGAGCTCAGCCTCAGTGAGACCCCAACCGCTGGCGAAGGTTGAGCATGTCTCGCCGCTATCAGGAGAGGTTGTGAATAAGCAATCTACAGCTCGACGGAAGGGAATGTGAAGAGCGTAGGGTAGTTAGGGGAGAAGGCATGTAGCTAAAAGTGTTGCGAGATGCATTGCGTCGAATTGACGGATAGATGAGAAGGAGGTAGAAGGGCTGAATGTAGATGGTGGCTGACAATGACAGCTACAAATGATCTAAGTAGCCCATCTTATACTTTTCCCCTCCGTACCTGGACTGAAAGTCCCTCAAACTCGTGATCATGAGCTCTACTTTTGGTCGTTACAAAATTTTGGACTCCATCGACGACGAAGGCTTTCCGCTCTGGTCATTATGATAGATCCCTGTTGGCGGAGAAAATTTTAAGGTTGTTGGCTCTAATTATTAATTCAGCAAGAAAGGTTTGACTAGCAGGCATTAGGAAGTTCGGAGCATTTGTCCAGGTCGGCAATTTTGGCGGGCCGAACAAAATTGACAAGGGCTGAACTGGATAAGGTGATGACAATCTTGGCACTAGAGCCGAGCCGGCTGCTGCCGGCAGCGATCGTTCTCTTTTAGGCATTCATTTTGACGAAGGCCGAATTCCCGTGGAAGCATGGCGAGCTTTGTCCTATGGGCTTCTCTAAGACCCCTGTGAGGTTCCGCTACAGGGGCCACTTGCTTGACTAATATCTGTCAACCAACAACTACCAAACCGGAAACTCGGCTATGCAGGTACCCTTATCACAGTGGATGCCCTGATGGCCGCAGTGCGTGAAAACAAGGGTCCCCATTCATACCATTCCACTTCACTACAAGAACCCGCTCGGGCCCTTGTAGACTCTTCAATCGCCATTTGCTTCTACATCTCCATTTCCATCCAGCATGCGTTACCTTCCTTCCTTGGCGTGTTGGTTCTTCCTCTTCTGCATCTCCATCTCCAGCGGGGCTGCCGAGGATCAAGATGATTGCACGGGCACTTTTGAAGTCGACTTGGTTTTCCCTCGCAATAAGACATACAATCCCTCGCCAATGATGCCTATTATCTTCTCGTACCGAAATCCCAAGCTCATATCTCTTCTTCAACCCTCTATCATTTATCAGATTTGGGATTATGATAATATGAGAAAGACTGTCGCTGGCGCCGAGATAGAAGCTCCATCTGTCAATCTCTCCACCTCGGGTGACCCTCACTTCGAGCATCTCTTCTCTAGAGAATTCAATAGGGAGGGGAGATGGTTCTTGACAGTCCATTTCTTCTGGCAGAATTGCTTCGAGGATCCTGATCACCAATCCTCTGTCGGGAGTCATGGAAACAACATACAGCTCAACGACACTGCTGCTAGCTTTATCTTCACCACTAAGGGCTCCTCTAAGCAAGTCGATCTCGTTGCTGCAACGAGGGACAAGAATTGTTCATCCCCTGCCGGGGCCGCCATAAAAGTCCAAGGAAAGCTCAGGACACCTAAATACAAAGGTTACGATAAAGAATTCTGCCCTGTCACACCAACAGCAACTGAGGCAGATGAGTGTGCTGTCACAATGCCTGCCTCGGCTGCATCAAGCATTAACGCCGCTATGACCTCTTGGGTATGTGAGCGCGCCATTAATATCACGGATGTCTCTAGAGGGGTTAATTGTTCATATCTGAAAGAGAGTTTAGCAACGCGGATCGTTATCAGAGGGATGACTTGTTTGGCGTTCATGCTAGGAGCTCTCAGCTATATTCTTTAGTATTAAATAATTAGATCTCTTATTCCAAGATTAGACCCGTGTTTAAAAACTCATCTCCAAAGCTTAAGCTAATAAGCGATAACCTTCTTCTCTCCAACGCACGTTATGTTACTCCGTATACGGATACAAAGTCCATTAATCTGATAAAACCCGCCTCATATTTGGCAGTGCATGAAAACTTGAACAACGTAAGTCCCAATTTGTCTTTACAATTATTATCCCGATCATGATCCAAGATCAAATGATTTGCATCATGCTGCTGATGCGATTCATAGCCAAACTAGGTGCGTCCGATGTCGCTCTACAGTGTACCCCGAAAGTTATATATATATCTCTCTCGGGGGCGCGTACAGGGGCTGTGTTGTCTCCCATGGCCCATGTGACGCTTTAGTGTGGTCTTTTCAAATCTCGGACCTCTTTACATGCCAAGACTCTCCGTTGGCCAAGAATAATTGCCACCAACAACACTATAACGTGGGGACAGCATCTCCTATACCCACAATGAACCCGCGATGTTCCTTGCCGATCCCCACAGAAGCCTTGAAACGTGAAGGGTCTTTTGTAATCGTGTCAGTTTCACACCAGTCCAGTTTTATCAGCTCCCCGGAATGCATACTCTGAACCCTGCAACGTGTGTCTCGGTGAAATGCATATGTTCGAACCAACAACCAACAGAATAAACCAGCAATACAACCGTTAGCCAAGCCGGACAGATGCCGTTGAAAATTTGCAAATGTTGACAATTACGAAGAACAGTCTTGTTATGATTGCCACCATGCCTTCCTGGATAGGGCTCGGGGTTTGAATGCCATTTCCAGAAGAGCCCTTCGTAGGAGAAGGTCTCTGGAGAACAGTAGACTTTGCAGTAGGTATGGCAGTGGAAGTAGCAGCAGCTATCTTGCTAGGTAGTAGTATGCAAGTAGATATAGGCTTTATTATCTTAGAAATAATAATAGTTAGTTTATTATTATTAATAGTTCTAGTAATATAATATAAACTGCCTAAATTAATATTAAGGTACTTAATATTAGGATTTAGTAACTTAAGTTTATTCTTAATAATACCCTAACTGCTAGCAAAGGTTAAATATATCTAGTTACTATTAGGAGAAGTTATAAATAAGCACTCTATAGATTAACGAGAGGGAATATTAAGAGCATAAGGCAGTTAGGGTAGAAGGCCTGCGGCTAATAGTGTTACGAGATGCATTTTGTTGACTTGGAAGATAGATAGAAAGGAAGATGAAGAACTGAGTGCAACTGATGGCTTGCAATAACACTTCCAATCTGATCCAGCTTGCCTGTTTTATACTTGTCATCCCTCCGCAGCCTGGACTGAAAGTCCCTCAAATTGGTGATGATGATGTCTACTTTTGGTCTCTACATTCTGTGCCTCCGTCGGCGATGAAGACTTTCCTGTCTGATCATCAAGGTAGGCCCCTGTTGATCGGGTAGAGTTTTAAGGTTGTTGGCTCTAAAATGTTAACGCCGTTAGAAAGTTCCAACTAGCATGAATTAGGAATGCTGTTAGTCCGGAGTATTTGTTCAGGTCGGCAATTTGTCGCGGGTCGAAGAGCAGTGGCTGGGGTTGACCTGAATAAGGTGATGACAGTCTTGGCACTAGCACCGAGCCGGATCCTACCGCCTGACGGCTTCGCGTGGCGAGCGTTGTTCCAGGGGTTGAGGGGATCTACCCCTGCGAGTCTCCGCTGCAGGGACCACATGGTTGACAAACATGTCAACCAACAACTACCAAGACGGCAACACGGCCACGCAGGTACCCCAACCACAGTGGAGCAGAAGCATGTACTCCTCATGTGCCCTGATGTCCGAAATGCGTGAAAACAAGGGTCTCGTTCATACCATCCCACTTCACTACAAGAACTCGCCCGGGCTCTCGCAGACTCGACTTTTCAGTCACGGTTTGCTTCTACATCCTCATTTCCACCATGCATTACCTTCCTTCCTTGGCGTGTTGGTTCTTCCTCCTCTGCATCTCCATCTCCAGTGGGGCTGCCGAGGAAGAACAAGAGCCTGATCCCACGGGTACCTTGGACATTGACTTGGTCTTCCCGCGCAACGAGACATACAATCCCACGCCAATGATGCCCGTTGTTTTTTCTTACCGAAACCCCAAGCTCATATCTGTTCTTCGCCCTCATATCATGTACCAATTCTGGGAGTACAATAAATTCGATGGGCGTGGTACCGGTGGACAGATTGCTGCTCCATACGTTAACACCTCTTCCACCGACGACCCTCATTTTGAACATCACTTCTTCAGAACCCCATTCAACACAGAAGGCCAATGGAAATTGGTTGTCCACTTTTCTTGGTTCAATTGCTACAAGGATCCCGATCGCTCCTTCGCTTACTTGGACAACAACAACACCATTCGGATGAATGGCACTTCGGTCAGTGTTGTCTTCACAACAACGGGCCCCTCCAAGCAAGTCGACCTCAATGCTGCAACGAGCAACAAAAATTGTTCGGCTCCCGCTGGAATCGCCATCGACGTGAGAGACACACTCAGAACACCTCAACATGAACGTCGTGAAGACTATGACCGAGAGTTCTGCCCAGTTGTCCCATCAGTAACCAAGGCGGATAAGTGCGATGTCACGATGGGCCCTTCAGCTGCATCAAGCGTCAGTGCCGCTATGACTTCTTTCGTATGCGCGTTCACCATCAACAAGACGGAAATTCCCGAGGAGGTCGATTGTTCAGTTTTGAAAGAGAGTATGGCAATGCCTATTGTTTTCGGAGGGACGACATTTCTGGCCTTCGTACTAGGTGCCTTGGGATACCTCGTATGGTCTTGAAACCCTTTCTCCTCCATTCATGTTTGGCACAGTAGTTCAACCGATAGATGTTTTCCAATATGTCAATGATTCGATACACTTGACGCATTGTGAGTAAATTAAGAGAGGAGAAATCCCGCATGGTATCTTACTAATACAACTTCCACTTGTGCTGTTGTCATTGATCTCTTACATAAATAATTTAATTATTACAATTCTGGGTTCATGCAGTTAATGCACCGCCTTCCAGTTATGTTCCAGCAGCTATCCCGGCGACGTTTGAGTTAGTATCATGTTCAGTACCAGGGGCTCCATTCTCCCTCATCCGAGGTTTAGCAAGATCATCTACATCCGCAGTTTCAGTCAGCTGCGCGCATCAGCCTAAACCTGGCCGTCTTCGCCTCCATGCCAAGACTCTTGATCCTGTTCAGTCACTATCATATTTGTCACCAACAACATCGCAACGTGGAGACGGCATCCCCTATATTCCACAATGTGCCCGTCGTGTCCCCTGCTGGCCGGTCTTTTGAATATCATGTCAACTAGCACCAATTTTAAGTTAACGTGTCCCCAGACCGAATGACCCGAACCCTGCTCGGTCCGTAGGCCATGTCTCGGTGAAATGCATATGCTGGAAGTTCGAACCAACAACCAACACCAAAACTAACATTGCAATCAGTAGCCAAGCCGGACAAATGCCGTTGAAAATTTGCAAATACTCACGACTGTGAGGAGCCATCTTGTTATGATTGGCCCATATACTCATATCACCAGACTGTAACGTAGCAATTGAGAAGAAGAAATCTCCCGTGCCATGTTACCCCGACTCATCCTTGTTAGAAGAAGTTGTTAGTGGTTGATTGAGAGTCGAGCGAGTATCTGGCAATTCCGAAGCCGACCTAATCCACTGCGAGGAGGTTTCAAGAGGTTGTACAGAGTAGGGCCATGTATTTCTCAATCTTCCAGAGGGAAAACCTTTTCTATAAGAGGCAACTAGTCCACAGCTTCAGATTCACATCACAGCAACAAAGTGCCTCAGCCACCATCATTTGCACTCTAGTCACTCATTGCTTTCCAGTCATTCGTTTTCATTCACTATCATCCATTCATTCTTTGACAAATCGCATTTGTTACTTCCTTACAATTAATTTACCTTCCTGCTGATGTAGCAAACGACCATGTTGTTCTCAACATGTCATGTGGCCACGCTACGGGTTATTAGCATTTTGATGTCTACAAGCCTGGCCGCGGCCATGGTAGGAAACAGACTCGGAGCCAGCCCATACTATCTCAACGCCGCTGCAGCTTGTCCGGAGCGGTGCAGTGTCTCCGGGCCTGAGCCAGGTAACTGGTCTGTGTACACAGATCTGGGACAGCTCAGGACTTGCCAGGAAACCATGTTCTATGCCTTCTCCATTTTCGATCCAGTCGATGAACATTCGACTACCCATCGCATCCATGCCTGCACATCATTTGGCCCAGACTTTTCCCAGCTTCCAAACTCCACGACCCTCCAATCTTCTTCCTCTCCCGTCAGTACCAGCTATGAGATTGGCTGGTGGAACGAGGGTTTTGGACTGGCTGCCTCCGGAATCCGTTCCATCACCAGGCAAGCTCGTCGCTACCTTACCCATGGACACGGGGCAACTGATAGGCCTACTATCATGTTTGCTCAGTCTGGACAGGCCACTATTGGTCTTTACATTGGACAAGGCCTCGAATCTCGACTCATTGGCTCTTCTGCACTCAAGATCTTCGAAGACAACCTTACCAACTTGAACGTCACAGCACCTACCTTGGCGATGCAACTCTGTGGGCCAGATTCTGGCAGCACGCATTCTTTTGGTCTGATGGTGACAAGCAATGGAACATTTGACTCCCTCCAGAACGCTGTTCAGTCGTGGGCCAATGGAACCTGTCTGTCTTTTTCAAGCTCTACCAACATGACTGGCCAGGTCCTGTATAACACGCCACTGGAGGTGTTGGCAGACGTCAAGAACTCAACCAGGTTGTCCAAGCATGTAGCTAGGCATGCCAGGCGCCATCAACATCTCCATGTTCGTGCCGAGTGCAAAACTACCAAGGTCGAGGCCGGGGATAGTTGCGCTAAACTGGCAACAAGATGTGGCATCTCGGCCAGTGACTTTACCAAGTACAACCCGGGGTCCAAGTTCTGTGCTGAGCTGGTGCCTAAGCAACATGTGTGCTGCTCAAAGGGAGAGCTTCCTGACCTCCGACCCTCCAAGAACTCCGATGGTTCTTGCCATGCCTACAAGGTTCAAGAAAACGACAACTGTGCCAGCATTGCTATCGAGAATGGCCTTCAGATGGAGGACCTCGAGAAGTTCAACAAGAAGACTTGGGGCTGGGCCGGTTGCAAGCGACTCTTCTACAAGACTGTCATGTGCTTGAGTGAGGGAACTCCCCCGTTCCCTGATACAATCGCCAACGCCCAGTGCGGTCCCCAAAAGCCAGGCACCAAGAAGACTGGGGACACCACCGATATCTCAGATCTCAACCCGTGCCCTCTCAATGCTTGCTGCAACATCTGGGGTCAGTGTGGTATCACGAAAGAGTTTTGTACTGATACCAACACTGGTGCGCCTGGAACTGCCAAAGAGAACACCAACGGTTGCATCTCGAACTGCGGTACAAAGATCGTCAAGAGCGGCGGCGATAGCTCAATCCGCATTGGCTACTTTCAGGGCTATGGCATGAGCCGAGACTGTCTTTATCAAGATGCCTCTCAGGTCGATACATCGAAGTATACGCACTTGCATTTTGCATTTGGTACTCTGACGAAGGAATATGATGTTAAAGTGGGCGACAAGCTTTCTCAGTATCAGTTCAAGTCATTTACGATGCTCAGAGACGTCAAGAAGATACTGTCCTTCGGTGGCTGGGACTTTTCCGCCAATTCTGCTACCTATTCCATCTTCCGCGAGGGTGTTAAGCCTGCCAACCGCCTCAAGATGGCCACCAAGGTCGCCAAGTTCATTACAGATAACGATCTCGATGGTGTCGATATTGACTGGGAATATCCTGGGGCGCCTGACATCCCTGGTATCCCGCCAGCTGAGAAAGACGAGGGTAAGAACTATCTCGCCTTTCTTGTTGTGTTGAAGAACCTCTTGAAAGGCAAGTCGGTATCTATCGCCGCTCCCTCTTCTTATTGGTACCTCAAACAGTATCCTATCAAGGACATTAGCAAGGTTATAGACTATATCGTCTACATGACATATGATCTTCACGGCCAGTGGGACACAGAGAACTCTTTCTCTCAAGAAGGGTGCGCACATGGCAACTGTCTTCGCAGCCAAGTTAACCTCACTGAGACACAATATTCTTTGGCGATGATTACCAAGGCCGGCGTCCCAAGCCACAAGGTCATTGTTGGTGTCACCAGCTATGGGCGGTCGTTCAAGATGGCCGAAGCTGGTTGCTACGGACCGGATTGCTTCTATACTGGAAACAAGTTGGAGTCCGGTGCCAAGAAGGGCAAATGCACCGGTACAGCTGGTTACATTGCCGATGCGGAGATCGATGAGATCCTCAAGGATAAGAGCCGCGTTGTCAAACACTATGTTGACACAACAAGCCACAGCGACGTTCTCATCTATGATGACACTGAATGGGTGTCATACATGAGTCCCAGCATCAAGTTGGCCCGTCAGGCCATGTACAGTGCGTTTGGTATGGGTGGCACTACTGACTGGGCGGTCGACTTGCAGACATATAACGATGTACCAAAGCCCGCCAAGTCTTGGGCCATCTTCAAAGAGGACGTCGTGACCGGGTATGATCCTAAGTTGGACCATACTCGAACTGGCAACTGGACAGAATATGACTGCAGAAGCAAATTCATCCGCGACATCAAGGCCTACACACCAAGTCAGCGGTGGAAGGGTGTGATGGCAGATGATGCATGGAAAGATGTCATCCGGATCTGGAAAGACTTGGATGAGCCGAGAGACTTTACATTCTCACAATCAGTTTCCATGAGTCTCCAAGTTAATACAGAACCATGGTGCCAGCAACTCACCAACTGCAAAAAGCCAGCCGAGTGTGAGAATGCGTTCAATGATGATCTGTCTGGGCCCGCTGCACAATTCATCTGGAACTCCTTAGTGAAAGTCCACCAAATGTACACTGACTTCCATGATGAGCTGTACAAAGCGGCTTCGGTCATTAGTTTCTCGCTTGATGACTTTGGCAACAAGTTTGCCCCTGTGCCAGAGGAAAAAGACGATACATGGCTCTTGGTTCTGATTGATCTTCTTACGTTCGGTACTGCTACGCTTGCTGGGCCCTTTTTCAACTCGTACCTCAGGAAGCTCCCCTACTTTATTAACAACCCCTCAGCTTATGATAATGCTAAAGACACTACCATGACTGCTATTGGACAAAGTACAACTCTAGCCAAGGATTTGTTACATAACGAAGCGTAAGTTCTCGTCCCGGTTTTGTACCAAAGCAGAACTGACTACTAACGCCATTCTTAGTTCCAACTGGACCGTACACCGGCAAGATTCTTTCAAGAATTACATGGGCCAAGTGATCGACGGCTGGGGAAATGTAACTTCCCTTGCATTAGACAAGATTTTTAACGGACGTCCAGACTCAATCGATCTGCTGTGGGACATGATTTCAGATGGAAAGATGATTGAAGGTGGCGTTGGAGTCAACGTCGACACGCCTCAGGTCGACCTCAAAGACAGCATTGCCAAGTCTTTCTACGGTTTCACCATCCCGACACTCTGGAGAGTTTCTGACACGTATGCTTTTGTTCTCGACTCCGGTTATAACTGCAACGAAGAGTACCCTCTCGAAGACTATTTGGATAAAGATACCATGGATGCCACGAGCGCGTGCTATGACGGAAGGCGCTACTATTTGGTTCACCCCAAAGGTGACTCGGAGGATTGCCATTGTGTGTACATCCATACCAAGTGTGAAAGGGTTTGCAACAAGAGCAAGTTTAGTGCGCCGCCCGGTCTGGATTCCTTGGACGGTAAGCTGTTTGGAGGAATCACGACCTCGGACCTCATCAAAGGGTACGTCATCCGGTTAATCTCATAGCTAGACTCTAACTAACTGGAAGGATATAGCTCCGTCCGTACCTACGTGAAGAACGGAAAGAAGAACACGGCAGATAGCCTGGACCCAAGCTCTGGCGACCTTGACGCCGAGGACCTTCTGAAAGTCGACATCACTACACCTGGCATCGTACGCCTCCCAGTATGCAGCCCCGAACGCGCATATCAGTCATGGGATACGACCTCCAAGGGCTCTAGCCCCTTCTACCCATGCGACATACCCCCGGGCAAGAAGGTGTGCGAGGAGTCGAGCTTCAAGGACGAGACGAGCGACAAATCTCCCTTGGTCGACGACTGTAAGTCCATCATCAAGAACATCGAAGGAGATGGCGGCACCAAGTGGACGACGCAGGTTCTTGGCAAGAATCAGCGCAAGATCGCATCTGCTGGTACTTGCGCCTTTGGGGTTGAGGCTACCAAGGAGGACGGAAACGCCAACTTTGCTTTCGGTGGACAGGACCTCATCGACATCATCAACACGGCTGTTGATGAGTACAGCAAGAGTGGGAAGATTGGTGCCACGGGTGACTTGCACTGCAGCGGCAATATCAAGAAGCAGCCTGTCCACTGGGCTATCTACCATACCTAAGTAGCTTACTATGTGTTGAGTTAGTCAGCGTTGGTAGTTAGGACAGTATGGGCGACCAGTCGTGAGGCTTGTGTCGCTTGTAGTGTTTTGTTGCATACATGGCTGCCTCAAAACCTAATGACCTTTCACCATCCACTGTAATAATTTAGACCCTTCACTGGCGATCGCTCTGTTTCATCGTATAGTATTGTGACTTCTCTGCATCTTAAAAGGTTAGCTCTGATGAATAAAGTTTGTTCGGCACCGAATGTCTTGAGTCGGTAGTCGGCCTCGAACTCTTCCCGTCTCAGCCAACGAATGACTACCATTTAGACAAGAAGCCCGATGCTGACAGACTTACCCTGAATTTGGTTGCTCGAAAGGACGTATTAATTTAAGCAGTAAGTACACTGTGGGACCTGGCGCATAATGATTCCAATTTGGAAGAAGCTGACATCCTTCGGGATGCGTTATCATGCCGACGGGATTTCCGGCTTGTCAGCATAACGTGTAAGCATGGCAAAACAAGGCTTATCAATCCAAGATGTTCCGAAACACTTTCCTTCAGTATAAAAACAATTGATTATCGTAATTAATAGTACAATTAGTGGTGTTCAATTCACGTCTTGAGATCATATTTGTTACTCTACTAGGCCAATAATATTCTTCAAACGAAAGCATGTCCGAATACGGCTCGTCCAAAAACCTATCCGGCGGATTAAAACTCTTCGCCATATTTTCTATGTTCACCGGAACCGTTGATCTAATCGTTGGTCATAAACTCATTATACCCGCATCGGAACGATCTCTCCTCCCAAGCCCAACACTCGCCTTCGTGGATAACCAGCTTCGATTCTTGGGAGCGATTTGGAGTGGATATGGAATGATCCTCTGGTGGGCTAGTAGCAACCTTGAGACGAGAAAAGTCCCACTCTCGCTGCTTGGAACCGCCATGTTCTTGGCTGGTGTTGGTCGGTTGACCTCAGGCTTAAGTCTGGGCTGGGGTGCGCCATGGCTCAAAATTGCTGCGGCTGCGGAGCTCATAGCCCCGCCTTTGATCTATCTGTTTGGATTCTGAAAGGGAAACGAAAGTCTCACACAGAGATAAAGCCCCGTATGTCTGGGTAAAATCAACCTCCGGAGTTCTTACTTTCCAGTATCTCCTTAGTGATGTTAGTGGGAAAGTCTAGGATTCGGGGCATTTGTAGGATGTTCCGACAAATCCTCGTGTCTATACTTTCTGGATACTTTCAGGCATCGCGGCTGTGATGGTTATTGCTGCTGCATGGCTATTTTGTTTACATACACAGGAAGATGATATGACCACTAGTTAGCCGTAAGCTGATTGATGGTTAATCAAGCTCAGGATACTCAACTCTATACTTGAAAATATGTTTATTACGCAGTATTTACACTGTAAATTTATCATACGATCTCTACAGGTACCGTATGCCTCGACATCTTGTAAGCTCTGCGGATGACGACTACTTCATAGAGGAAGAGCGAAACTGATGTGTCTTCAGGTCGAACTAGAGTCTAGGTAGTCATCTGTGAGAATAAACGGTCTATTGAATAGGATCCAAAAAAAAAAACTAACAAAGGTGTCTTATTAGACTTAGTGCTTGGCATCAGATGTCTCATACAATTCAGGGTTAATAATGCTACAGGCCATTAGACACGTTAAGTTCGGTGTGTGATAAGCCTATATAGATGCAGAAATATGACATTTCTCTTACTTTCGGTGCCATAACAGAGGAATATCAAAGACTCAGTGACTAGCGTTTTTCAAAGCAGTGGCTAAATAAAAAGTAACAGATTTAATGCTCAACATGCTGGTCCATAGTCTCATTTTCATCTCCTTTATCTTCTAGTTGACCCCCTTTTCGGAACCAGCTTCTGCTTGCGTACTCCAGGTTTTGGAACGATTCTCGGCTGAGTAGCTATTACTCTGCCAGTTCTGCCGGTCTGTGATCACGGCTGTGAAGCCCGTCCATGGGTCATCTCTGTCACTCTGGCTCAGCCATTCCAACATTGGTGAGATGTAGTCCAGATTGATGTTAGATTTGATATGTGTCATTGGCAGGTAGAACAAGACTCACCTTGTTCTTTACTTTCATGTGCCTTGGAGTTCTGAGGTACCCCACTTTTCTTCCGATTCAGAAGAAAAGCGGGTACGGTTGGAGCGGTCTTGTTCTTTTCAGGAGTGGAATTTCTCTGCGGCGACGGCGGCATTTTGGTGGCTTTGTTGTAGAAAATGAAGGTCAATAGGAAGTCGCAATGTCAAACATGAAAGAGGCGAGAAAGTTATTGTGATTCTGAAAGGCCTGGGTAAAGGTTCCGTCGTGTGATGAACGCCGTCTTATATATCTATAGACTATACATTCTGTCGCTTTCTTCAAGACAGGCTGACTAGACGAAAGCCATTATCGTATTGTTAATTCAACTTGGGCTCGGCATGGGCCATTTTTTGTATTGGATGTTTCTCTGTAACTCCTTCTAATTGTCTGGGATATCTGAATTGTTTGGTGTTACAGAGGCATCGGGGCCACGTTATTGGCCCAACCATTTGCGACTCCATCAGGGCCGTTTTTCGGATTCGTGAACTGTAGGAACATTGAAAGGGTCGTCGGTGATTCGTTGAGCATCGCGAGGCTATCCCGGGGCCAAATTTCTGATTGGTGAGTTCATGAGGCTCAAGCAAAGGGGAGGGTGATCAATGACCTTTCAGTATATGCATCGGGGCAGTCTTATGCCCTGAAGCTGACGAATGAGATAAATGGCCCTTATTCAACTACCCGAATCAACAAGTTTCAACCTATACAAGCCTCAACAACTTCAGCCGCACGTAAGATCTACGTACTGCTCGGGGTCAACGAATCACAGAATTGGCCCTGAGTCTGAGCCGCGTTTGACTTTCGGGCAAGCATTTTCAGCTGACCATATTTGAATCGGCTCTCGCCCACTTCTTCAGACTCGGTGCTACTGTCCTCCACTATCTAGTGAAGCCAGCTGGCTCAATACCTGCCAGGCCGATGGTAGTCGATATCACCGAAATGCTCTTTTGCGCTTCGTTGCTCTGATGCTCGTCTGCCCATCAGACACTTGAGTTCTTAACCGTTAAGGTCCATCTCGTGGGAGTGTCAGCGCCAAGCATAGGCTTGGCGCTTCCCCCATTCAAGAAGACCACAATGATCATCACTTAGAACCCTGGACGAGCGACATCGGCGACGCGCAATGGCAATTCGATTACGGATGGGAAACTGAATTCCAGCTTTTGTCTAGTGTTGAGAGCAATGACTTCCTTGACTCCCTTGACTTCAATGGATTTTACGACTGCTGTGTCGAAGCGCTGGACACAGACCTCACATCTTCAGCCACTCTGGGTTCGTCATTTAAGCAACGCTCAGTCATCATTGAACCTCATACCGCTCTCAACACTACGCAAGAAGCTTCAAACTTGTTTCAAGATGATCTACATTCTTTAGCTGGTCAAAGCTTGTTGTTTTGGGAACAGCCAGAACCATGTCCTCCCTTGTGCGACCCCTCTCCCAGCAGCAATGCTCCTATGTTCAACTCGCCAGGATCCGGTGGGTACGAGAAGAGATCCTCGCAATCTACCACGTCAAGCCCTGCATCCAATACGGCTCAGCTCAGGTGCGACTTCTGTGCCGAGCCTTTCTACGACGTGGATTCTCACTGGTAAGCATCAACATGATCTCTCTTCCACATCAATCTAACAATGAGCAGTGCCCACCTCATATTCTATCATGGCGCTTCAAGTCCCTTCCATTGTGGCAGAACAAGCTGCAGCAAGACCTTCAAGGATGAGAGGTCTTTGAAGCGACATCTGACTGAGTTACATCTGGGCGCCGCGTATGTCTGTCGCTGTGACAGACAGTGCGGAAGAAAAGATAAGCATTGCAAACACCTTGAGATCAATAGCTGCACTGGCCACGGCCTTTATCGATGCCCCTGTGGTCATGCAGTTCATCAACTCAACACGCACAAGCACTACATCGAGAAATGTGGTAGAAAGAGGAGGGGAAGGCCGCCAAAACACTTGGTGACGGCCAATGGAAGAATCTGAAATTCTGAACAAGACTTATACATTCAGGTGTTACATGGAAGGCAATGTCGCCAGCACGACTCGACTGGGTCGCGTGCTCATCCTATTCGGGAGGGCCGCTTGAGCGCTTGCAGTTTGTGTTTCACGTCTCTAAGTTTTGAGTTGTCCATGCAAGTTGTCCAGATGTTCGCGAATACTTGTGAACTTTGTTCGATGATCGTGGTTCGCGTACCATTCATTTCTTTCTTTCCTGTTCGGGTTAATCAATTGTAATAGTGCCATCTACGCATGGCATGAAGTCTTGAGGCAATAAGACAGAGGAAAATAGTGATGTTTACTTATATAAAATACAAAAAAAAAGACTTTCCGGGGCTGGCTTATCTAACCAAGTTCCCATCATCAAAAAATATCCATGCATAGACTATCGTTTTCCACTGTACTTAACCCCTGGATAGCCGTACTATAACTTGTGATTACGTCTTCAAATAGTGTAGTCGCCATTATAAGTCTTCTAGAGTATAAAAAGGTTATTTACACATCTTTTTGTGCCTTCTCAAGAAGAATCGGAAGAGTTGACTGAGTATGGTGAATTATATCTGATCGATGGTTTTTGCCTTTGATTGAACTGAGTGCATCGGATGCCCACTTCTCTGAGAGTTTAGAGTGAATTCCCGAAAAAAGCTGACGATAAGTCAGTTCCGACAGTTTTTCCTGATGATCTTCGAGCTCGGTAAGTCTCCAGCGGTTCAGACATTTGAGCTTTCCACTGAAAATGCCATAAGCTTGAATATTGATAATTCGATTATAAATGGGGTAATAAGAAAGCCCCGGAAACAAACTGTCGGCATCGGGAATGTCTGGCTTTTGGGCAGACCGCAGCTCTCCTTCACCGTTGTAAAGTATATACAGCAGGATAGCGCGCCTGAAGGTATCCTCGTATGAAATGTCGTATGAATCTTCTGGTTCGTCATGTCCAGCGAATTCTGTACATCGAGAACTCGAATGAATCTCCAAGTCTTGATTGTTATTTCTTTTTTGCCTTTTCTCCCTGCGCTTTTCTAGTTGCCGTGTTCGTACTGCCTCTCTTTTGTAGTCTGTATCTTTAGGTTGATCTGTTTTTCCTTGTTAACCTTCTGGAGTAGCAAGAGCTCCTGATAGACGTACGTGGTAAGCTTTGGTAAGACTCACTCAAATTGAGGTTGACCTCTTGGGCTTTGGTATCAGATGAGTTGGTCTTATATACTATGACTTTAGCTCCGCGGCATGGCGCTGAAAGCCAGGTTCGGGCTCCTAGACGGTACGTGCATCGTTTGCGATACTTTTTCAGTTTCCCCGAAACTCCATCGATAACAAAAGCGCGAGCCTCAAGAATCAACGATTTGGCATAGGTTTCAGGATCATAGACCGAATAGACATCGGCGTGTCTCTCTCTTCTAGTCAGATCCCCAATCATCACAGTGCGACTAGGATAGCCTTCATCTGCTAAGATCAGATTAACACTCTTGTCATCGGGGTCGTCTTCAGGCAACTGTAATGCATGGCGTGCGGTGCCAGTCGCTGATTGCTGATATTTTTGGCACAGTCAGCTTGAATCATACATGCAGCTTGTTATCTCACCTCCATTATCCCCAGAAGGAATTATATTGCTAAAATGAATCCTGTCGCAACAAGTTGAAAGTGAGGCGGCATGGCTGTTATGTGGTGGGCGGCTCACATGAAACCTCCTTACAGGCACAATACTGCCTAGTCTGATATATCGGCATTCTTTTAGACTCATCATGTCTACTTCTGGCTGATCAAGGGCCATTTATCTGATTGGCAGGTCTTAGCCATGGTACTGCACTGCCTGCTTTTCGGATTAGACCAATCAGATAAATGGCCCTCATTCAGCTATCTGCAGTCTGTCCAACGAGTCCTAGATGACCAACGAATCAGAGAATCGGTATATGTCGCTGGCGGTGTGCTGAAAGCTCGGTGCATCTCCCCTATTCCAGCTCTTGAATTCAATATAAGAACCCCTTCCTCGTCGCCGCGAAAGCAATTGTGATCCTCAGACAACCACCCACCCTCCGCCTCCCTTCATCAATACGCTACTACTATCATCCATCCTCAACCCTGAGGAAGGAGACTGCATTCCATTTGCAAGCAGAATCCCAACGAGTCGAATCCTTTCCGCAACTGAAGCGTTGAGCCTCGTGGTCGTCATGGCTATGGCTAACTTCAAATATCGGCGGCGCAAAAAGTTGCGCAGTTGGGGATATGCTGCAAATGCAACATATGATCTAACTTAGTTTGAGTTACACCGAGTGTTGGAATCGAGACTTTCGAAGTTTCGCACAACTTTCCGGTGTTGGAGTTGAGGAGATAGAGGCCGCTATATCTCTTATTAAACCGGGTCCATTTGTCAACCCCGTTCAGGAATCTCTGGGTGATTCACCACTTTGCGATCATTTCTCGCAAGTCGTCAGTCCCCGGCACCTGAACGTTGCTTCATCTATACAATATATTGAATCCAATCTCCTTCAGATATCATACGGCGATTCACAACCACCTTGCAAAGACGCATTGCAAGTGGTAAATCCCCGGAATCTGGACGGTAATTCATTTTTACAGCACGAATCAAGTACCTTTCTTAAAAATCCCCTCGAGAAAGCTACTCATGACTCTCTTCCACGCCAAAAATATTCAGAACCATCACATTTATTATCGATCTCTCCTAGGAACAATACTGCCTCTCCAGCACCTGCTGCGGACGACAATGATCCGTCATCAATTTCCTCTTCTTCTTCGTCTTCCTTTCCTTGTACACATCAAATTACCACTTGCAGCTTCAAACGGTGCGGACAAGTTTGTGAGAATGCGAAAACTCTCGTGTAAGCTACCTATGCACCAGTTGCTATCTAGCTTTGACTCTAACACTTAACAGCAATCACAAAATCACGTCCCCTCCCGAACCAGGACCTTTCAGTTGCAGAGAAGAGGCCTGTAAGCTTTTGTCTTTTAGGAACGAAAGGTCTTTGAACCGACATCTGATCAGCAAACATTTCGGTGCCTTCTATGTCTGCCGATGTAGATATTTTCAGGGGCGAAAGGACATTTACCGGAATCATCTACGCAGAAATAACTGCAGTGGCCAAGGGCCGTACAGATGTATTTGTGGTCATGTCACTGACGGTCTTGCCGAACATCTCGATCATTTTGAGGGCTGTCGGAAAGGGAAGCCAGGAAGACGTAGGAAGCAAAATGCTGGTTAATGGTAGACATGTCAAACTTGGAATCGATAATACAAAGCAGATGGTGATCTTTTTTTCTATTTCAAATTACACTTAGACCCCAAGAGCCGTGATAGAATATCCTCATCCTCATCCTACTTGTGGAGATCTTGCAAAACGGAAAGGGCTCTGGAGAAGCATCTGAGCGCTGTGTATATCTGCCGCTGTGGACACAGAGGTCGAAAGGATAAGCATCAAGACTATCTACGGGAGAACAACTGCAGTGGCCAGAGTTCCTGTCAGTGTATTTGCGGCCGTATCAGTTATTAGATCACTCAGCATAGCGTCCACATTGAGGATTGTGGGAGAAAAGGGAGAGGAAGACCCAGAACTTCGCATTGTAGTAAATACTAACTATTTAAACTTAATATTTAAACCTTTCTTTGTCTATCTCGTAAAGCTTATTTAATTTAAAAGTTCATAGTCATTGAATAAATAATTTGGATTACTTTTTTTGTATTATCTTCATAAAATATATTCATAAATATACTCTAGTTCATGCCCAACTTAGTCCAGTCAGGCCTCAATGCATCCAGGTTGAAGCGTGTTGGTGATTCGTGACTTATCGGTAATACTTCGGCGCTGTTAGGAAGGCAAAGCATCGAAATGTTTGACTTGGACATATCCGCAGCTCTTAAGCTGCTTCCAAGAACCCTAGGACCTTCAGGCTTGCCGTCTCCTTTTTGACTCATTCTACTTGTACGATGTCTCTTTGTTCTGTGAACGAATCCATACGGGAGACCAGCGACAACTGCTGGGTCATTGGAGGAAAGATCCTCTTAACTCGAGCTGAGTCGCCTCTTTGTAGCCCTAGCTGGAGCGATGGCAAAGGATCATTCTACAACATTTCGGAGGCTGCATCTCCAGTACCACCATCTAGGCCACTTTCGACCGAAAGCTGCATCAGGAAAGTCTACGAGGCTGGCGGCGCATCAGCCGTATGGGTCGTCGGCGATGCTATCTGCAAAGTTAAGGTTCTAGACCCTCACTCAACGCGCGAACACACTACATTGCAGTATCTTCACGATAAACAGCACCTGAGCTTTCCAGTCCCGAAGGTTTATTATCACACCGAGCATGACAATCGATACTACATCATACAGAGCAGACTGAGCGGCGAAACTCTTAGCAGTGTCTGGTCTACCGCGGATGATGTAACAAAACAACAATATGTCACTAGGGTTGTGGATATCTGTCAGGAACTGGCAATATGGCGTGCCGATAACGTTTGTGGTGTTGATGGCAAGCACTTATCAGACCTCTACCTTACGCGGCGATTGTCGAATGATTGTAGTCCCACGACTTTACTGAGAAATTGCAAAGAACTGGAAATGGATTGCTCAGAGTTTCTGTTCTATCATTGCGATCTGGGCCCCGGAAACATCATCGTGAATACCACAGACGGTACGCTCGGGCTGATTGATTGGGAGACAGCTGGCTTCGTTCCTCGGGAATGGATCAGAACTAAGTTCCGTGTTTCAGGCGGTCTGGATCTACCTGGCCATGATCATGATTCCAGAGGAGATTGGAGAAGACGCGTCCAGAGGCACTTGGAGAAGGAAGGCTTTCCCGATATCGCAGAAACTTGGATGACCTGGTGGAAAAACGAAATGTAAATCCAAATTTAAGCTCACTATGGTACAAGGGCTGAGTATTTCCCATGACGAGTGCAAGCTCTAGACGTGTTATTTGCAGTTGAGGCCTGCGACTGAGGGCTTATAATCACCACACAGAACTTTAGACCTTTGACCAGCGTCGAGTAGGAATATATCTCAGTGATCAAGATCATATCACGAGGATAAGGTCCAATTACCTTGGCTAAGAAGGCTCAGGAACCAAAATCTCTTCAGTGTACTAAAGTTAAACGATGACTTAGATGTTGGCCGAATGGAGGCATGTTAATGGTAAACATGTTGAACCTGGAATTACCTCAGGGAGCAAGAAAACCTCTTACCCTAAACTTAGATGCCAAAAATAAGTAGTCTAAAGATCTACTAAGTATGCCTAAGTATACCTAAGTATTCTTTTTCTTTAGAAAAGAGGTCCTAGGTTTTCTTGCTTCCCTTTAATTAATATTGCAAAGCAAGTGGTGATTTCTTTTGGTCTACCTATGTCAAATTACACTCAGACCCATATCCTCATCCTCATCCTCACTTCTCCAAGTCAGTACTAACAGTGACATCCTTCCACTCATTCAGCAACTCCAGCGTCTCCTCACACTTACTCCTAATATAAACATCCGCATCACTCCCCAACACAATCCGAACCGGAACGTCCCTCCCCTCTCCAACTCCTGTCCCCGTAAGAACCTCAACAATAACCTTTGTGCCCTTCTTAACATCACCAGGTTGATTATCATCCGTCTTTTCCAACATCTTTCTCGTCTTACCCGTAGGCGTACTTTCATCTTCATAAACATCCATGCGCTTCTTCGTAATTGCCCTGACACCAGGATTGAGGAAGCTAGTGCGGAAATAGCCAGGTTCAACGACTGTGGCGACAATGTTGAAGGGCTCTAGTTCGTAGCGGAGGGACTCGGCAAGGGACGACATGCAGGTTTTCACCATTGAGTAGACAGAGTATGTTGCGCCGCCTCTCCAAGAACCGATACTTCCAAAAGTAGCAATCGTACCGCGTTTTCCATTCTGGCCAATACTTTGCTCTCGCATGCCAGGTAAGAAAGCCTTGATAGTGTTGAAAATACCAAAGACGTTGGTGTTGAAGCTATCGTAGAGCTCCTGTTGCGAAACCTCTTCTACCGCGCCGTCGAGGATGTATCCAGCTGCGTTAATGAGATAGTCTACGCGGCCGTGCTTAGTGAAGACATCTTTGGCGATGGCTTCGAGATCGGAGAGGGGAGATGTTACGTCGAATGCAAGGGTGTATGCACCTGCGCCGGCGAGGTCTTGGACGCGTGATGTGCTACGTGCAGTAGCGATGACGGTGTGGCCAAGGTTGAGAGCGTGAAGGGCGATGTCATGGCCGAATCCTGATGAAGCGGCTGTGATGAACCAGACTGGCGCAGACATGTTGAGTGCTGTTGAAGTTGAGAGATTGTTGCGTGAACGATTTGTATAAGTGGTTAGTTATGTGAGTGTTGGAAGTGCTTTGCTGAAGCTTGTAAAACAAGTGATTGTTGTTGATACCATTCTCAAACGAAACATACAACCCTTATATACTTTTTTCATCTCGCATGTCTCCCTCAATCCATTTGATGACATTATCTCCGACTCAAACTCCTCAACACCATCATTCTATCACCGACTGCCCATCACCAATCTATCGCCGAATCTTAGCGTCGCCACATTTCGGCGTTAACAACCCACTCAACCACTAAAATTCCATCTCCACTCCCAGTGTGGCGCCACGACTTATGCTTAATCGCTTTTTCGGAAGTGAGTAAGCAGCCCAAATGAACGTACCAATCGCTGATCACGTAAAAACTTGATTCATCACTCGGGGCTGTTATGCAAGACGTTCGGTGATAGCTTGGTACTTCACGCAATGATAAAAGACAATGTTCAAGTTGTGTTGATACACTAAGAATGCCGTATCGTACCAATCTACATAGATCATGCAAGGCCCCAAACGCCGTAGCCGTAACTCCGGGCTCATAAACAATCAAGCACGCACCCATCCAAGGCCATCAAGGCAATCTCAACCTCAATCTGTACACATAAGTTTCACCCTCCTCGCTTATCGCAAAGTATAGCCCCTGCTGTCCTGTCGGCGATGAGCAGCTCCACCTCCAGTGCCAATTGTAATACGTCGCGGTGCACCACCCGCCATGCCGCCCTGGGGACTTGATCCAGGACCTTCCATTCTAGTGACTGTGCTGTTCATGTTCATGCGTCTAGCTTGACCAGGTGTCAGAGCCATGTCTATCTTGAAGTCGTTGGGGGAGCACGCCATCGGAGGGCTTCGTCTCCTCTCAGCGCTACCTCGGCGGAGTCGAGAGATACCGTTGGTGCTGCTGGCGAGGGCCGCAGGCAGACTAGGCCTGGGTCCCGTTCGCTCGGGCAAGGATCCCATTGACGATACTCGCTTGGTGCTGGATGCTGTTGTGCCAGCCATTATGCTCGCTCTACGAGCCTTCTCTTTCATGGCGGTTCGGAGGGCGGTCTGAAGCTTTCGAGCATCGATAGTGCTCGTCTCGGAATCAGATCCAGATCCGGGAGGGTTGTTCTCATCATGTATCGTGGGAAGTCGTCGAATCGCTCTAGGAATGCCGAGTCCCGATGGCGATGGTGAGAAATTGCCACTCTTAGTGACATCCAGCGATCGCAAGGGTGGTGTTCGTTGAATATCGGGTGATGCTTCGAGCTTGAGGCTCATTGTGGGTGCTTTGGGTGATCCATCAGCAAGGGAATGTCTAGCTCCCTTGGAAAGGAATCCGGCCTGGAACCTGCTAGGCTTCGCACCCAAACTGTTGGCCTCAGGGATCTCGAGACTAGGGCTTGACTCTTCGATTGTGGATGTCTCAGGCTCGAGGTATGAAGGCATGACAGGAGCAACGATAGGCTTCTCGGGCGAGGGCATCGCAGGGGAAGAGTTGTACTTCTGAGGAGTCTTCGAGAAGTCCTCTAGTGTGCCCTCCTCTGTCTCATCGTCCCTCCACCGGACTCCGCCCTTCTTCTTAGCTTTCACTGGCGTGAAGCTGACGCCCTTCTTGGAGGCTCCCAACACCTTACGTCTTCGTGGGGACCCCTTCATAGGGCTGACAGGAACGTGGTCGCTATGCGCGGGCATAAAATTGGGTGCCGAAACAGGCTTGATGTGCATCGCAATAGCCTTCTTGCGCTTGGGTGTGCCTCGCTTGCTGGGCGAGAAGACTTCAACAACGGGCATGGAGCCATCGGGCTTGACGACCTGACCGGCAGCTGTGAAGCCGGTTTGGAGGAGACGGTTAATCATCTCCTTCGCATGAGCGACAGCTTCTTCCTCATCCATGCCGAGCGTATCGGAAAGTGATGCGAGAATGTCGAACTGCGCAGTAAGGAGCATCTGGATCATGGCAGCATCACCAGCCTTGTCCTGCTCCAGGACTTCCCTGTAGGCTTCGCGGTTGAAGTTGGCCTTGATCAGCTCAGCTTCACGGGTCAAGTTGTCGGCTTCTCCATTGTCGGCACCCTCAGTTCCTTGGAGTTGTTGCAAGCTGTGCGACAGAGCTGTGTCAATGGCTCGGTCCCATCCAGACTTCTCTAGCTTCTGGTGGATATGGTGTCGGCTGTTCTCCAATTCAACGAGGATGCCTTGAGCCGTCTTTCGAATGGCGACAAGGTTCTCTGGCATCGCATCTTCATCACCTCGTTCGTCGCAGACCGTGTCAAAGGCAGCAATCCATCCGGACAGCATACCAATACGGCGCTCGAAAGCCTTGAGACGCTTCATGTTGTTGATACGCTCTTGACGCTCAGAAGCTGAGTTCTCGTAGGCTGTGCGCAATCGCTGAACTCCTTCCCGAGCGAGGGCATCCCTCTTGTCGCATTGCTTTCGGAACTTGGCGAAAAAGATACCCTCTGCGTCCTTCTGCTGGGCTTTAAGTTCGTTGATCAAAGCCATCTGTTCGTCGATCTTAACCAAGAAGTCCTTGACGTGGCGGTTGACGTTGAAGACGTTGCGCGTCACCTTGGTCTGGATGTTCTTGGCCCGGTTGGCGTATCGAAGAGTGTTTTGTGTCTCGTCGAAATGAGCGCTCGATGGTGACACACAGACAATCATGACAGTTTTGCAGTTACCGCCGAGGGAGAACTTGAGCAGTCGAGTAAGCTTGCTGTTTCGATAGGGAACGTGCTGCTTTTGTCGACGGTCGCAGAGGGCGTTGATGCAGCTTCCAAGGGCGAGGAGGGATTTGTTGATGTTGGCACCTTCTGTGAGACGCTCGCCGCGGTTCTTGGTGACAGACGCTCGTTCGGAACCAGCAAGATCGATAATGCTGAGGGTGGCCATGGTATGAGGCTCACTGGCACCAGCTGATCGGTCCTTTTGAGCGATGTTGATCTGAAGAACAGCGTGTGATCGGGAAGAAGTGGCGTTGGCTTCGGTCGGCGAAACTGTGCGGTATTCGTTTCCTTGGACAATTATATCCATGACCTCCTGTACATCCTTGGGGTGATGACTTGTCAATCCAGACACAGTAACAGCCTGGTTGCTGTCCTCTCTGAGCATCAATCCACCCTTGCTTCCACCAGGAACCAACAGATCGCGAATGGTCTCGTTGTAAATCTCAAGATAGCTCAGACTCAGCTCCGTGACCTTGTCTTGGCTGCGCTCCTCAATCTTCTCAAACAGTTCCTGCATGGTCATGAAGATGATACCGGGATGTTGCGACGTTCCAGTGATAGTATGTGTCTTTCCGCAGCCTGTAGCGCCGTAGGCGAAAACAGTCGCATTGTAGCCATCGAGGACGCTGTCGAGGAGGGTTCGAGTAGTGCCTTCGTAGACGTCGGACTGTGTTGTATTTTCGTCGAAGACGCGGTCGAAAGCAAAGACTTGGTCTTTGACCTTTTTCGATGAGGGTAGGACTGAGCGGGAGAATTTCTGTACGGGGCTGTCCTCGGGAGGATCAAAGACTCTGTGTCGTGTCAGCGTTTGCCGTTGTTGTGGTGGGGACGATGCGCGTACAAGCAACGGTCATCGACAACCTTGATAACGTTTCGAATACCACGTTGGTGTAGCTTTGGCGTAGGCGCAGCGGCGAGGGAGCCATCGCCGAGGAAAAGAGTTCCGTCATCGTTCTTTTGTCTGCCACACGGTCAACAAACATACCCCACGACAACGTCGTATCGCTTACAGTTGCGCAGCCTCTCGAATCGTAAAAGGTCGAACTCGAACTATGGTAACGGTCAGCTCAAGCAACACACTCAAAGAGCACACCTCATACCAGCAACAGTAATAGAATTCTGCCCAGCAGCAGCTGAGGCGCCCATGACAGCCATGATATCCTTCTTCGATCGAGTTCCGCTGTTGGTGCAGTACCGAGCTCTTCCACCTCAAGCTTTCAGTATCGATGAACAGTGAAGCCGTTAAGAGTAAACAAAGCTTAAAAAGAAGGGCACGCTCGATGCAGAGCAGATGGTCATAGAAACAATGTTCGAAAATGAACTCGAACAAGAAGAAAAATAAAAACAAGACGAATAGCTCTGTGTACCTGTTGTCGTTAGTTAGTAGCAGACTACGAGCCGGGCGGTAGTTGTAGAGAAATCAATTGCGAGCTGCCGAGCACGATTGTAGGTGACGTCTGGTTTGTTTTTTGACCTTTTTCGGGAGTGTTGCTGTGGTGACGCCTTAGCTCCGTTTTTATCAGGGGTTCTCTAAGTGGTATTCATGCGGGTGTTTTTTTAGCCCCTGAAGGTGAGGCTGGAGAGAGGATTGAACAATGGGATTTGAGTCATATTATGGAGATATGTGCCAGGTGTTGATGGATCATTTGTGGCTTTATTGTTGTCGACCTCAAAGCTCGAGATGCTGAGGTAGACCCTTGGTAATAATAGGTCGAGTCCCCGCCTTATCTTACCCTGTATCATCACAACTTCTATCTTCAACACGCTACATTGTATCCGTACTCCGTAAGGTAATTTGAATTGTGATTATTTACAGTCGATATGACGCAGATTTGTCGACTTTTGGGCCGGTCTGAAAATGTATTTATGACTGCTTTTCCACGTTTCAGGGTTCTGAACCAACATTCAGAGCTCTCACGTTATGTTGTAGCATCCACTTACAAGGCCCATCCATATGGCCATCATAATACCAAGATCCATGGATAACAAACAAGGTTCACAACACATACCTCGGGTCAAAACAAAGCTGAATAAACATCGGACGACACAGGGATCAACAGTGACGTCTGAATCCTTTCCACGATATCGCTGTATACCAACGTCACAACACCTGGTGTTGCAAACACAGCTCCAAAAACAAAATCACCATCAATTTACCATTTAGTTTACAACCAAACGCCAACCATGCAACAAGAATCCCCCAATTCACAAGAAATAGTGACTACTTCCCACCTAACTCACGGTCTCTGGTACAAAAGCATACCTCGGCAGAGCTGACATCCTCTCCTCAGGACTAATCTCCGCATCATCGTAGAACATCCTCGCCTTCTTCTCCTTCTTCTTC